CTCGTCTTTCATCTCACAACATGAAGGGATGTCTGAATCCCCTGTGGAGACCTTAGAGAAAGCCCTAGGTGCCTGCCTCATTTTGACGGAATGCCTCACATCCCACTGACACCTCGAGAGGCACGCGGAGTTCATTGCTTCAAAAGGTGACGATGCCTGACTCGTCTTGAATACTGATAGGAATCCCAAAATCCCTGTGGCTACTGGAAAGGGTCCTTGGGTGCCCTGCCTCACCTCGAGAAGCGTCCCTTTTGCCCTGCCAAGCCTCGAAGAGATTCCTGAGGTGTCCCTCGTTACTAGACAGGAGTCCTGACGTCACTGAAGAAACTCGTGTTTTGAAGGGCCATCCCCGCCGTAAGTCGAGAACATACCCCAGGTCCTCGCCGCAACTCGAGAAAAACCATGAGACTTCCCCCTAGAGGCGAGATGAGGCCGCATTCCCCTGCAGTGCATGCAGAGCTATTCCGTGATCCCATTCAAAGAAGTCAGGAGCTTCGACTTGCTTAATGGATCTCGAGACAGTCCCCAAGAACACTGTCACCAGTCTAGACGGTCCCTGAGGTCACCCCAGCAACGCAAAGCAGCTCCATGTGCCCCAAATCAACTCGAGATGAGGCCCGATTCCCCTGCATTGACTCCAGAGCCATTCCCCTTTCCCCATTCAACACGACCGGTGGCTCGACTTCCTTCAGGCAACTCCAGAGATGCCCCGAGAACACTGTCCCAAGTCTAGAGGAACACGAACTTCAGCACAGCAACTCGAGGAATGCTCCGTGTACCCCAAATCGTCTCGAGATGAGAGCTGATTCCCTGGCTTAGGCTCAAGACGTATGCCAACTTCCCAGAAGCACCTCAGGAGGAGGCTTCTCTCAGCAATAGGTATGTGGGATGGACCCCGATTTTGCTGCCTCAAGGGGAATATACAGTGAGAAGCCCTAACTTGAAAGGAGGCCGGATTTCCTTGCAGTGGCTTCAATACAGGCTCGTCTTTCATCTCACAACATGAAGGGATGTCTGAATCCCCTGTGGAGACCTTAGAGAAAGCCCTAGGTGCCTGCCTCATTTTGACGGAATGCCTCACATCCCGCTGACACCTCGAGAGGCACGCAGAGTTCATTGCTTCAGAAGGTGACGATGCCTGACTCCTCTTGAATACTGATAGGAATCCCAAAATCCCTGTGGCTACTGGAAAGGGTCCTTGGGTGCCCTGCCTCACCTCGAGAAGCGTCCCTTTTGCCCTGCCAAGCCTCGAAGAGATTCCTGAGGTGTCCCTCGTTACTAGACAGGAGTCCTGTCGTCACTGAAGAAACTCGTGTTTTGAAGGGCCATCCCCGCCGTAGGTCGAGAACATACCCCAGGTCCCCGCCGCAACTCGAGAAAAACCATGAGACTTCCCCCTAGAGGCGAGATGAGGCCCCATTCCCCTGCAGTGCATGCAGAGCTATTCCGTAATCCCATTCAAACAAGTCAGGAGCTTCGACTTGCTTAATGGATCTCGAGACAGTCCCCAAGAACACTGTCACCAGTCTAGACGGACCCTGAGGTCACCCCAGCAACGCAAATCAGCTCCATGTGCCCCAAATCAACTCGAGATGAGGCCCGATTCCCCTGCATTGACTCCAGAGCCATTCCCCGTTCCCCAATCAACACGACCGGTGGCTCGACTTCCTTCAGGCAACTCCAGAGATGCCCCGAGAACACTGTCCCAAGTCTAAAGGAACACCAACTTCACCACAGCAACTCGAGGAATGCTCCGTGTACACCAAATCGTCTCGAGATGAGAGCTGATTCCCTGGCTTAGGCTCAAGACGTATGCCAACTTCCCCGAAGCACCTCAGGAGGAGGCTTCTCTCAGCAATAGGTATGTGGGAGGGACCCCGAGTTTGCTGCCTCAAGGGGAATATACAGCGAGAAGACCTAACTTGAAAGGAGGCCGGATTTCCTTGCAGTGGCTTGAATACAGGCTCGTCTTTCATCTCACAACATGAAGGGATGTCTGAATCCCCTGTGGAGACCTTAGAGAAAGCCCTAGGTGCCTGCCTCATTTTGACGGAATGCCTCACGTCCCGCTGACACCTCGAGAGGCACGCGGAGTTCATTGCTTCAAAAGGTGACGATGCCTGACTCGTCTTGAATACTGATAGGAATCCCAAAATCCCTGTGGCTACTGGAAAGGGTCCTTGGGTGCCCTGCCTCACCTCGAGAAGCGTCCCTTTTGCCCTGCCAAGCCTCGAAGAGATTCCTGAGGTGTCCCTCGTTACTAGACAGGAGTCCTGACGTCACTGAAGAAACTCGTGTTTTGAAGGGCCATCCCCGCCGTAAGTCGAGAACATACCCCAGGTCCCCGCCGCAACTCGAGAAAAAACATGAGACTTCCCCCTAGAGGCGAGATGAGGCCCCATTCCCCTGCAGTGCATGCAGAGCTATTCCGTGATCCCATTCAAACAAGTCAGGAGCTTCGACTTGCTTAATGGATCTCGAGACAGTCCCCAAGAACACTGTCACCAGTCTAGACGGACCCTGAGGTCACCCCAGCAACGCAAAGCAGCTCCATGTGCCCCAAATCACCTCGAGATGAGGCCCGATTCCCCTGCATTGACTCCAGAGCCATTCCCCTTTCCCCATTCAACACGACCGGTGGCTCGACTTCCTTCAGGCAACTCCAGAGATGCCCCGAGAACACTGTCCCAAGTCTAGAGGAACACCAACTTCAGCACAGCAACTCGAGGAATGCTCCGTGTACCCCAAATCGTCTCGAGATGAGAGCTGATTCCCTGGCTTAGGCTCAAGACGTATGCCAACTTCCCAGAAGCACCTCAGGAGGAGGCTTCTCTCAGCAATAGGTATGTGGGATGGACCCCGATTTTGCTGCCTCAAGGGGAATATACAGTGAGAAGCCCTAACTTGAAAGGAGGCCGGATTTCCTTGCAGTGGCTTCAATACAGGCTCGTCTTTCATCTCACAACATGAAGGGATGTCTGAATCCCCTGTGGAGACCTTAGAGAAAGCCCTAGGTGCCTGCCTCATTTTGACGGAATGCCTCACATCCCGCTGACACCTCGAGAGGCACGCGGAGTTCATTGCTTCAGAAGGTGACGATGCCTGACTCCTCTTGAATACTGATAGGAATCCCAAAATCCCTGTGGCTACTGGAAAGGGTCCTTGGGTGCCCTGCCTCACCTCGAGAAGCGTCCCTTTTGCCCTGCCAAGCGTCGAAGAGATTCCTGAGGTGTCCCTCGTTACTAGACAGGAGTCCTGTCGTCACTGAAGAAACTCGTGTTTTGAAGGGCCATCCCCGCCGTAAGTCGAGAACATACCCCAGGTCCCCGCCGCAACTCGAGAAAAACCATGAGACTTCCCCCCAGAGGCGAGATGAGGCCCCATTCCCCTGCAGTGCATGCAGAGCTATTCCGTAATCCCATTCAAACAAGTCAGGAGCTTCGACTTGCTTAATGGATCTCGAGACAGTCCCCAAGAACACTGTCACCAGTCTAGGCGGACCCAGAGGTCACCCCAGCAACGCAAAGCAGCTCCATGTGCCCCAAATCAACTCGAGGTGAGGCCCGATTCCCCTGCATTGACTCCAGAGCCATTCCCCGTTCCCCATTCAACACGACCAGTGGCTCGACTTCCTTCAGGCACCTCCAGAGATGCCCGGAGAACACTGTCCCAAGTCTAGAGGAACACCAACTTCAGCCCAGCAACTCGAGGAATGCTCCGTGTACCCCAAATCGTCTCGAGATGAGAGCTGATTCCCTGGCTTGGGCTCAAGACGTATGCCAACTTCCCAGAAGCACCTCAGGAGGAGGCTTCTCTCAGCAATAGGTAAGTGGGAGGGACCCCGAGTTTGCTGCCTCAAGGGGAATATACAGCGAGAAGCCCTAACTTGAAAGGAGGCCGGATTTCCTTGCAGTGGCTTGAATACAGGCTCGTCTTTCATCTCACAACATGAAGGGATGTCTGAATCCCCTGTGGAGACCTTAGAGAAAGCCCTAGGTCCCTGCCTCATTTTGACGGAATGCCTCACATCCCGCTGACACCTCGAGAGGCACGCGGAGTTCATTGCTTCAAAAGGTGACGATGCCTGACTCCTCTTGAATACTGATTGGAATCCCAAAATCCCTGTGGCTACTGGAAAGGGTCCTTGGATGCCCTGCCTCACCTCGAGAAGCGTCCCTTTTGCCCTGCCAAGCCTCGAAGAGATTCCTGAGTTGTCCCTCGTTACTAGACAGGAGTCCTGACGTCACTGAAGAAACTCGTGTTTTGAAGGGCCATCCCCGCCGTAAGTCGAGAACATACCCCAGGTCCCCGCCGCAACTCGAGAAAAACCATGAGACTTCCCCCTAGAGGCGAGATGAGGCCGCATTCCCCTGCAGTGCATGCAGAGCTATTCCGTGATCCCATTCAAACAAGTCAGGAGCTTCGACTTGCTTAATGGATCTCGAGACAGTCCCCAAGAACACTGTCACCAGTCTAGACGGGCCCTGAGGTCACCCCAGCAACGCAAAGCAGCACCATGTGCCCCAAATCAACTCGAGGTGAGGCCCGATTCCCCTGCATTGACTCCAGAGCCATTCCCCGTTCCCCATTCAACACGACCAGTGGCTCGACTTCCTTCAGGCACCTCCAGAGATGCCCCGAGAACACTGTCCCAAGTCTAGAGGAACACCAACTTCAGCACAGCAACTCGAGGAATGCTCCGTGTACCCCAAATCATCTCGAGATGAGAGCTGATTCCCTGGCTTAGGCTCAAGACGTATGCCAATTTCCCAGAAGCACCTCAGGAGGAGGCTTCTCTCAGCAATAGGTATGTGGGAGGGACCCCGAGTTTGCTGCCTGAAGGGGAATATACAGCGAGAAGCCGTAACTTGAAAGGAGGCCGGATTTCCTTGCAGTGGCTTGAATACAGGCTCGTCTTTCATCTCACAACATGAAGGGATGTCTGAATCCCCTGTGGAGACCTTAGAGAAAGCCCTAGGTCCCTGCCTCATTTTGACGGAATGCCTCACATCCCGCTGACACCTCGAGAGGCACGCGGAGTTCATTGCTTCAAAAGGTGACGATGCCTGACTCCTCTTGAATACTGATAGGAATCCCAAAATCCCTGTGGCTACTGGAAAGGGTCCTTGGGTGCCCTGCCTCACCTCGAGAAGCGTCCCTTTTGCCCTGCCAAGCCTCGAAGAGATTCCTGAGGTGTCCCTCGTTACTAGACAGGAGTCCTGACGTCACTGAAGAAACTCGTGTTTTGAAGGGCCATCCCCGCAGTAAGTCGAGAACATACCCCAGGTCCCCGCCGCAACTCGAGAAAAACCATGAGACTTCCCCCTAGAGGCGACATGAGGCCCCATTCCCCTGCAGTGCATGCAGAGCTATTCCGTGATCCCATTCAAACAAGTCAGGAGCTTCGACTTGCTTAATGGATCTCGAGACAGTCCCCAAGAACACTGTCACCAGTCTAGACGGGCCCTGAGGTCACCCCAGCAACGCAAATCAGCTCCATGTGCCCCAAATCAACTCGAAATGAGGCCCGATTCCCCTGCATTGCCTCCAGAGCCATTCCCCATTCCCCATTCAACACGACCGGTGGCTCGACTTCCTTCAGGCAACTCCAGAGATGCCCCGAGAACACTGTCCCAAGTCTAGAGGAACACCAACTTCAGCACAGCAACTCGATGAATGCTCCGTGTACCCCAAATCGTCTCGAGATGAGAGCTGATTCCCTGGCTTAGGCTCAAGACGTATGCCAACTTCCCAGAAGCACCTCAGGAGGAGGCTTCTCTCAGCAATAGGTATGTGGGAGGGACCCCGAGTTTGCTGCCTCAAGGGGAATATACAGCGAGAAGCCCTAACTTGAAAGGAGGCCGGATTTCCTTGCAGTGGCTTGAATACAGGCTCGTCTTTCATCTCACAACATGAAGGGATGTCTGAATCCCCTGTGGAGACCTTAGAGAAAGCCCTAGGTGCCTGCCTCATTTTGACGGAATGCCTCACATCCCGCTGACACCTCGAGAGGCACGCGGAGTTCATTGCTTCAAAAGGTGACGATGCCTGACTCCTCTTGAATACTGATAGGAATCCCAAAATCCCTGTGGCTACTGGAAAGGGTCCTTGGGTGCCCTGCCTCACCTCGAGAAGCGTCCCTTTTGCCCTGCCAAGCCTCGAAGAGATTCCTGAGGTGTCCCTCGTTACTAGACAGGAGTCCTGACGTCACTGAAGAAACTCGTGTTTTGAAGGGCCATCCCCGCCGTAAGTCGAGAACATACCCCAGGTCCCCGCCGCACCTCGAGAAAAACCATGAGACTTCCCCCTAGAAGCGAGATGAGGCCCCATTCCCATGCAGTGCATGCAGAGCTATTCCGTGATCCCATTCAAACAAGTCAGGAGCTTCGACTTGCTTAATGGATCTCGAGACAGTCCCCAAGAACACTGTCACCAGTCTAGACGGACCCTGAGGTCACCCCAGCAACGCAAATCAGCTCCATGTGCCCCAAATCAACTCGAGATGAGACCCGACTCCCCTGCATTGAATCCAGAGCCATTCCCCGTTCCCCATTCAACAGGACCGGTGGCTTGACTTCCTTCAGGCAACTCCAGAGATGCCCCGAGAACACTGTCCCAAGTCTAGAGGAACACCAACTTCAGCACAGCAACTCGAGGAATGCTCCGTGTACCCCAAATCGTCTCGAGATGAGAGCTGATTCCCTGGCTTAGGCTCAAGACGTATGCCATCTTCCCAGAAGCACCTCAGCAGGAGGCTTCTCTCAGCAATAGGTATGTGGGAGGGACCCCGAGTTTGCTGCCTCAAGGGGAATATACAGCGAGAAGCCCTAACTTGAAAGGAGGCCGGATTTCCTTGCAGTGGCTTGAATACAGGCTCGTCTTTCATCTCACAACATGAAGGGATGTCTGAATCCCCTGTGGAGACCTTAGAGAAAGCCCTAGGTGCCTGCCTCATTTTGACGGAATGCCTCACATCCCGCTGACACCTCGAGAGGCACGCGGAGTTCATTGCTTCAAAAGGTGACGATGCCTGACTCCTCTTGAATACTGATAGGAATCCCAAAATCCCTGTGGCTACTGGAAAGGGTCCTTGGGTGCCCTGCCTCACCTCGAGAAGCGTCCCTTTTGCCCTGCCAAGCCTCGAAGAGATTACTGAGGTGTCCCTCGTTACTAGACAGGAGTCCTGACGTCACTGAAGAAACTCGTGTTTTGAAGGGCCATCCCCGCCGTAAGTCGAGAACATACCCCAGGTCCCCGCCGCAACTCGAGAAAAACCTTGAGACTTCCCCCTAGAGGCGAGATGAGGCCCCATTCCCCTGCAGTGCATGCAGAGCTATTCCGTGATCCCATTCAAACAAGTCAGGAGCTTCGACTTGCTTAATGGATCTCGAGACAGTCCCCAAGAACACTGTCACCAGTCTAGACGGACCCTGAGGTCACCCCAGCAACGCAAATCAGCACAATGTGCCCCAAATCAACTCGAGATGAGGCCCGATTCCCCTGCATTGACTCCAGAGCCATTCCCCGTTCCCCATTCAACAAGACCGGTGGCTCGACTTCCTTCAGGCAACCCCAGAGATGCCCCGAGAACACTGTCCCAAGTCTAGAGGAACACCAACTTCAGCACAGCAACTCGATGAATGCTCCGTGTACCCCAAATCTCTCGAGATGAGAGCTGATTCCCTGGCTTAGGCTCAAGACTTATGCCAACTTCCCAGAAGCACCTCAGGAGGAGGCTTCTCTCAGCAATAGGTATGTGGGAGGGACCCCGAGTTTGCTGCCTCAAGGGGAATATACAGCGAGAAGCCCTAACTTGAAAGGAGGCCGGATTTCCTTGCAGTGGCTTGAATACAGGCTCGTCTTTCATCTCACAACATGAAGGGATGTCTGAATCCCCTGTGGAGACCTTAGAGAAAGCCCTAGGTGCCTGCCTCATTTTGACGGAATGCCTCACATCCCGCTGACACCTCGAGAGGCACGCGGAGTTCATTGCTTCAAAAGGTGACGATGCCTGACTCCTCTTGAATACTGATAGGAATCCCAAAATCCCTGTGGCTACTGGAAAGGGTCCTTGGGTGCCCTGCCTCACCTCGAGAAGCGTCCCTTTTGCCCTGCCAAGCCTCGAAGAGATTCCTGAGGTGTCCCTCGTTACTAGACAGGAGTCCTGACGTCACTGAAGAAACTCGTGTTTTGAAGGGCCATCCCCGCCGTAAGTCGAGAACATACCCCAGGTCCCCGCCGCAACTCGAGAAAAACCTTGAGACTTCCCCCTAGAGGCGAGATGAGGCCCCATTCCCCTGCAGTGCATGCAGAGCTATTCCGTGATCCCATTCAAACAAGTCAGGAGCTTCGACTTGCTTAATGGATCTCGAGACAGTCCCCAAGAACACTGTCACCAGTCTAGACGGACCCTGAGGTCACCCCAGCAACGCAAATCAGCTCCATGTGCCCCAAATCAACTCGAGATGAGGCCCGATTCCCCTGCATTGACTCCAGAGCCATTCCCCGTTCCCCATTCAACACGACCGGTGGCTCGACTTCCTTCAGGCAACCCCAGAGATGCCCCGAGAACACTGTCCCAAGTCTAGAGGAACACCAACTTCAGCACAGCAACTCGATGAATGCTCCGTGTACCCCAAATCTCTCGAGATGAGAGCTGATTCCCTGGCTTGGGCTCAAGACGTATGCCAACTTCCCAGAAGCACCTCAGGAGGAGGCTTCTCTCAGCAATAGGTAAGTGGGAGGGACCCCGAGTTTGCTGCCTCAAGGGGAATATACAGCGAGAAGCCCTAACTTGAAAGGAGGCCGGATTTCCTTGCAGTGGCTTGAATACAGGCTCGTCTTTCATCTCACAACATGAAGGGATGTCTGAATCCCCTGTGGAGACCTTAGAGAAAGCCCTAGGTCCCTGCCTCATTTTGACGGAATGCCTCACATCCCGCTGACACCTCGAGAGGCACGCGGAGTTCATTGCTTCAAAAGGTGACGATGCCTGACTCCTCTTGAATACTGATTGGAATCCCAAAATCCCTGTGGCTACTGGAAAGGGTCCTTGGATGCCCTGCCTCACCTCGAGAAGCGTCCCTTTTGCCCTGCCAAGCCTCGAAGAGATTCCTGAGTTGTCCCTCGTTACTAGACAGGAGTCCTGACGTCACTGAAGAAACTCGTGTTTTGAAGGGCCATCCCCGCCGTAAGTCGAGAACATACCCCAGGTCCCCGCCGCAACTCGAGAAAAACCATGAGACTTCCCCCTAGAGGCGAGATGAGGCCGCATTCCCCTGCAGTGCATGCAGAGCTATTCCGTGATCCCATTCAAACAAGTCAGGAGCTTCGACTTGCTTAATGGATCTCGAGACAGTCCCCAAGAACACTGTCACCAGTCTAGACGGGCCCTGAGGTCACCCCAGCAACGCAAAGCAGCACCATGTGCCCCAAATCAACTCGAGGTGAGGCCCGATTCCCCTGCATTGACTCCAGAGCCATTCCCCGTTCCCCATTCAACACGACCAGTGGCTCGACTTCCTTCAGGCACCTCCAGAGATGCCCCGAGAACACTGTCCCAAGTCTAGAGGAACACCAACTTCAGCACAGCAACTCGAGGAATGCTCCGTGTACCCCAAATCGTCTCGAGATGAGAGCTGATTCCCTGGCTTAGGCTCAAGACGTATGCCAATTTCCCAGAAGCACCTCAGGAGGAGGCTTCTCTCAGCAATAGGTATGTGGGAGGGACCCCGAGTTTGCTGCCTCAAGGGGAATATACAGCGAGAAGCCGTAACTTGAAAGGAGGCCGGATTTCCTTGCAGTGGCTTGAATACAGGCTCGTCTTTCATCTCACAACATGAAGGGATGTCTGAATCCCCTGTGGAGACCTTAGAGAAAGCCCTAGGTCCCTGCCTCATTTTGACGGAATGCCTCACATCCCGCTGACACCTCGAGAGGCACGCGGAGTTCATTGCTTCAAAAGGTGACGATGCCTGACTCGTCTTGAATACTGATAGGAATCCCAAAATCCCTGTGGCTACTGGAAAGGGTCCTTGGGTGCCCTGCCTCATTTCGAGAAACGTCCCTTTTGCCCTGCCAAGCTTCGAAGAGATTCCTGAGGTGTCCCTCGTTACTAGACAGGGGTCCTGACGTCACTGAAGAAACTCGTGTTTTGAAGGGCCATCCCCGCCGTAAGTCGAGAACATACCCAAGGTCCCCGCCGCAACTCGAGAAAAACCATGAGACTTCCCCCTAGAGGCGAGATGAGGCCCCATTCCCCTGCAGTGCATGCAGAGCTATTCCGTGATCCCATTCAGACAAGTCAGGAGCTTCCACTTGCTTAATGGATCTCGAGACAGTCCCCAAGAACACTGTCACCAGTCTAGACGGACCCTGAGGTCACCCCAGCAACGCAAAGCAGCTCCATGTGCCCCAAATCAACTCGAGATGAGACCCGACTCCCCTGCATTGAATCCAGAGCCATTCCCCGTTCCCCATTCAACAGGACCGGTGGCTTGACTTCCTTCAGGCAACTCCAGAGATGCCCCGAGAACACTGTCCCAAGTCTAGAGGAACACCAACTTCAGCACAGCAACTCGAGGAATGCTCCGTGTACCCCAAATCGTCTCGAGATGAGAGCTGATTCCCTGGCTTAGGCTCAAGACGTATGCCATCTTCCCAGAAGCACCTCAGCAGGAGGCTTCTCTCAGCAATAGGTATGTGGGAGGGACCCCGAGTTTGCTGCCTCAAGGGGAATATACAGCGAGAAGCCCTAACTTGAAAGGAGGCCGGATTTCCTTGCAGTGGCTTGAATACAGGCTCGTCTTTCATCTCACAACATGAAGGGATGTCTGAATCCCCTGTGGAGACCTTAGAGAAAGCCCTAGGTGCCTGCCTCATTTTGACGGAATGCCTCACATCCCGCTGACACCTCGAGAGGCACGCGGAGTTCATTGCTTCAAAAGGTGACGATGCCTGACTCCTCTTGAATACTGATAGGAATCCCAAAATCCCTGTGGCTACTGGAAAGGGTCCTTGGGTGCCCTGCCTCACCTCGAGAAGCGTCCCTTTTGCCCTGCCAAGCCTCGAAGAGATTACTGAGGTGTCCCTCGTTACTAGACAGGAGTCCTGACGTCACTGAAGAAACTCGTGTTTTGAAGGGCCATCCCCGCCGTAAGTCGAGAACATACCCCAGGTCCCCGCCGCAACTCGAGAAAAACCTTGAGACTTCCCCCTAGAGGCGAGATGAGGCCCCATTCCCCTGCAGTGCATGCAGAGCTATTCCGTGATCCCATTCAAACAAGTCAGGAGCTTCGACTTGCTTAATGGATCTCGAGACAGTCCCCAAGAACACTGTCACCAGTCTAGACGGACCCTGAGGTCACCCCAGCAACGCAAATCAGCACAATGTGCCCCAAATCAACTCGAGATGAGGCCCGATTCCCCTGCATTGACTCCAGAGCCATTCCCCGTTCCCCATTCAACAAGACCGGTGGCTCGACTTCCTTCAGGCAACCCCAGAGATGCCCCGAGAACACTGTCCCAAGTCTAGAGGAACACCAACTTCAGCACAGCAACTCGATGAATGCTCCGTGTACCCCAAATCTCTCGAGATGAGAGCTGATTCCCTGGCTTAGGCTCAAGACTTATGCCAACTTCCCAGAAGCACCTCAGGAGGAGGCTTCTCTCAGCAATAGGTATGTGGGAGGGACCCCGAGTTTGCTGCCTCAAGGGGAATATACAGCGAGAAGCCCTAACTTGAAAGGAGGCCGGATTTCCTTGCAGTGGCTTGAATACAGGCTCGTCTTTCATCTCACAACATGAAGGGATGTCTGAATCCCCTGTGGAGACCTTAGAGAAAGCCCTAGGTGCCTGCCTCATTTTGACGGAATGCCTCACATCCCGCTGACACCTCGAGAGGCACGCGGAGTTCATTGCTTCAAAAGGTGACGATGCCTGACTCCTCTTGAATACTGATAGGAATCCCAAAATCCCTGTGGCTACTGGAAAGGGTCCTTGGGTGCCCTGCCTCACCTCGAGAAGCGTCCCTTTTGCCCTGCCAAGCCTCGAAGAGATTCCTGAGGTGTCCCTCGTTACTAGACAGGAGTCCTGACGTCACTGAAGAAACTCGTGTTTTGAAGGGCCATCCCCGCCGTAAGTCGAGAACATACCCCAGGTCCCCGCCGCAACTCGAGAAAAACCTTGAGACTTCCCCCTAGAGGCGAGATGAGGCCCCATTCCCCTGCAGTGCATGCAGAGCTATTCCGTGATCCCATTCAAACAAGTCAGGAGCTTCGACTTGCTTAATGGATCTCGAGACAGTCCCCAAGAACACTGTCACCAGTCTAGACGGACCCTGAGGTCACCCCAGCAACGCAAATCAGCTCCATGTGCCCCAAATCAACTCGAGATGAGGCCCGATTCCCCTGCATTGACTCCAGAGCCATTCCCCGTTCCCCATTCAACACGACCGGTGGCTCGACTTCCTTCAGGCAACCCCAGAGATGCCCCGAGAACACTGTCCCAAGTCTAGAGGAACACCAACTTCAGCACAGCAACTCGATGAATGCTCCGTGTACCCCAAATCTCTCGAGATGAGAGCTGATTCCCTGGCTTGGGCTCAAGACGTATGCCAACTTCCCAGAAGCACCTCAGGAGGAGGCTTCTCTCAGCAATAGGTAAGTGGGAGGGACCCCGAGTTTGCTGCCTCAAGGGGAATATACAGCGAGAAGCCCTAACTTGAAAGGAGGCCGGATTTCCTTGCAGTGGCTTGAATACAGGCTCGTCTTTCATCTCACAACATGAAGGGATGTCTGAATCCCCTGTGGAGACCTTAGAGAAAGCCCTAGGTCCCTGCCTCATTTTGACGGAATGCCTCACATCCCGCTGACACCTCGAGAGGCACGCGGAGTTCATTGCTTCAAAAGGTGACGATGCCTGACTCCTCTTGAATACTGATTGGAATCCCAAAATCCCTGTGGCTACTGGAAAGGGTCCTTGGATGCCCTGCCTCACCTCGAGAAGCGTCCCTTTTGCCCTGCCAAGCCTCGAAGAGATTCCTGAGTTGTCCCTCGTTACTAGACAGGAGTCCTGACGTCACTGAAGAAACTCGTGTTTTGAAGGGCCATCCCCGCCGTAAGTCGAGAACATACCCAAGGTCCCCGCCGCAACTCGAGAAAAACCATGAGACTTCCCCCTAGAGGCGAGATGAGGCCCCATTCCCCTGCAGTGCATGCAGAGCTATTCCGTGATCCCATTCAGACAAGTCAGGAGCTTCCACTTGCTTAATGGATCTCGAGACAGTCCCCAAGAACACTGTCACCAGTCTAGACGGACCCTGAGGTCACCCCAGCAACGCAAAGCAGCTCCATGTGCCCCAAATCAACTCGAGGTGAGGCCCGATTCCCCTGCATTGACTCCAGAGCCATTCCCCGTTCCCCATTCAACACGACCGGTGGCTCGACTTCCTTCAGGCAACTCCAGAGATGCCCCGAGAACACTGTCCCAAGTCTAGAGGAACACCAACTTCAGCACAGCAACTCGAGGAATGCTCCGTGTACCCCAAATCGTCTCGAGATGAGAGCTGATTCCCTGGCTTAGGCTCAAGACGTATGCCAACTTCCCAGAAGCACCTCAGGAGGAGGCTTCTCTCAGCAATAGGTAAGTGGGAGGGACCCCGAGTTTGCTGCCTCAAGGGGAATATACAGCGAGAAGCCCTAACTTGAAAGGAGGCCGGATTTCCTTGCAGTGGCTTGAATACAGGCTCGTCTTTCATCTCACAACATGAAGGGATGTCTGAATCCCCTGTGGAGACCTTAGAGAAAGCCCTAGGTCCCTGCCTCATTTTGACGGAATGCCTCACATCCCGCTGACACCTCGAGAGGCACGCGGAGTTCATTGCTTCAAAAGGTGACGATGCCTGACTCCTCTTGAATACTGATAGGAATCCCAAAATCCCTGTGGCTACTGGAAAGGGTCCTTGGGTGCCCTGCCTCACCTCGAGAAGCGTCCCTTTTGCCCTGCCAAGCCTCGAAGAGATTCCTGAGGTGTCCCTCGTTACTAGACAGGAGTCCTGACGTCACTGAAGAAACTCGTGTTTTGAAGGGCCATCCCCGCCGTAAGTCGAGAACATACCCCAGGTCCCCGCCGCAACTCGAGAAAAACCATGAGACTTCCCCCTAGAGGCGACATGAGGCCCCATTCCCCTGCAGTGCATGCAGAGCTATTCCGTGATCCCATTCAAACAAGTCAGGAGCTTCGACTTGCTTAATGGATCTCGAGACAGTCCCCAAGAACACTGTCACCAGTCTAGACGGGCCCTGAGGTCACCCCAGCAACGCAAAGCAGGACCATGTGCCCCAAATCAACTCGAGGTGAGGCCCGATTCCCCTGCATTGACTCCAGAGCCATTCCCCGTTCCCCATTCAACACGACCGGTGGCTCGACTTCCTTCAGGCAACTCCAGAGATGCCCCGAGAACACTGTCCCAAGTCTAGAGGAACACCAACTTCAGCACAGCAACTCGATGAATGCTCCGTGTACCCCAAATCGTCTCGAGATGAGAGCTGATTCCCTGGCTTAGGCTCAAGACGTATGCCAATTTCCCAGAAGCACCTCAGGAGGAGGCTTCTCTCAGCAATAGGTATGTGGGAGGGACCCCGAGTTTGCTGCCTCAAGGGGAATATACAGCGAGAAGACCTAACTTGAAAGGAGGCCGGATTTCCTTGCAGTGGCTTGAATACAGGCTCGTCTTTCATCTCACAACATGAAGGGATGTCTGAATCCCCTGTGGAGACCTTAGAGAAAGCCCTAGGTGCCTGCCTCATTTTGACGGAATGCCTCACATCCCGCTAACACCTCGAGAGGCACGCGGAGTTCATTGCTTCAAAAGGTGACGATGCCTGACTCCTCTTGAATACTGATAGGAATCCCAAAATCCCTGTGGCTACTGGAATGGGTCCTTGGGTGCCCTGCCTCACCTCGAGAAGCGTCCCTTTTGCCCTGCCAAGCCTCGAAGAGATTCCTGAAGTGTCCCTCGTTACTAGACAGGAGTCCTGACGTCACTGAAGAAACTCGTGTTTTGAAGGGCCATCCCCGCCGTAAGTCGAGAACATACCCCAGGTCCCCGCCGCAACTCGAGAAAAACCTTGAGACTTCCCCCTAGAGGCGAGATGAGGCCCCATTCCCCTGCAGTGCATGCAGAGCTATTCCGTGATCCCATTCAAACAAGTCAGGAGCTTCGACTTGCTTAATGGATCTCGAGACAGTCCCCAAGAACACTGTCACCAGTCTAGGCGGACCCAGAGGTCAACCCAGCAACGCAAAGCAGCTCCATGTGCCCCAAATCAACTCGAGATGAGGCCCGATTCCCCTGCATTGACTCCAGAGCCATTCCCCGTTCCCCATTCAACACGACCGGTGGCTCGACTTCCTTCAGGCAACCCCAGAGATGCCCCGAGAACACTGTCCCAAGTCTAGAGGAACACCAACTTCAGCACAGCAACTCGATGAATGCTCCGTGTACCCCAAATCTCTCGAGATGAGAGCTGATTCCCTGGCTTAGGCTCAAGACGTATGCCAACTTCCCAGAAGCACCTCAGGAGGAGGCTTCTCTCAGCAATAGGTATGTGGGAGGGACCCCGAGTTTGCTGCCTCAAGGGGAATATACAGCGAGAAGCCCTAACTTGAAAGGAGGCCGGATTTCCTTGCAGTGGCTTGAATACAGGCTCGTCTTTCATCTCACAACATGAAGGGATGTCTGAATCCCCTGTGGAGACCTTAGAGAAAGCCCTAGGTGCCTGCCTCATTTTGACGGAATGCCTCACATCCCGCTGACACCTCGAGAGGCACGCGGAGTTCATTGCTTCAAAAGGTGACGATGCCTGACTCCTCTTGAATACTGATAGGAATCCCAAAATACCTGTGGCTACTGGAAAGGGTCTTGGGTGCCCTGCCTCACCTCGAGAAGCGTCCCTTTTGCCCTGCCAAGCCTCGAAGAGATTCCTGAGGTGTCCCTCGTTACTAGACAGGAGTCCTGACGTCACTGAAGAAACTCGTGTTTTGAAGGGCCATCCCCGCCGTAAGTCGAGAACATACCCCAGGTCCCCGCCGCACCTCGAGAAAAACCATGAGACTTCCCCCTAGAGGCGAGATGAGGCCCCATTCCCATGCAGTGCATGCAGAGCTATTCCGTGATCCCATTCAAACAAGTCAGGAGCTTCGACTTGCTTAATGGATCTCGAGACAGTCCCCAAGAACACTGTCACCAGTCTAGACGGACCCTGAGGTCACCCCAGCAACGCAAATCAGCTCCATGTGCCCCAAATCAACTCGAGATGAGACCCGACTCCCCTGCATTGAATCCAGAGCCATTCCCCGTTCCCCATTCAACAGGACCGGTGGCTTGACTTCCTTCAGGCAACTCCAGAGATGCCCCGAGAACACTGTCCCAAGTCTAGAGGAACACCAACTTCAGCACAGCAACTCGAGGAATGCTCCGTGTACCCCAAATCGTCTCGAGATGAGAGCTGATTCCCTGGCTTAGGCTCAAGACGTATGCCAACTTCCCAGAAGCACCTCAGCAGGAGGCTTCTCTCAGCAATAGGTATGTGGGAGGGACCCCGAGTTTGCTGCCTCAAGGGGAATATACAGCGAGAAGCCCTAACTTGAAAGGAGGCCGGATTTCCTTGCAGTGGCTTGAATACAGGCTCGTCTTTCATCTCACAACATGAAGGGATGTCTGAATCCCCTGTGGAGACCTTAGAGAAAGCCCTAGGTGCCTGCCTCATTTTGACGGAATGCCTCACATCCCGCTGACACCTCGAGAGTCACGCGGAGTTCATTGCTTCAAAAGGTGATGATGCCTGACTCGTCTTGAATACTGATAGGAATCCCAAAATCACTGTGGCTACTGGAAAGGGTACTTGGGTGCACTGCCTCACCTCGAGAAGCGTCCCTTTTGCCCTGCCAAGCCTCGAAGAGATTCCTGAGGTGTCCCTCGTTACTAGACAGGAGTCCTGACGTCACTGAAGAAACCCGTGTTTTGAAGGGCCATCCCCGCCGTAAGTCGAGAACATACCCCAGGTCCCCGCCGCAACTCGAGAAAAACCATGAGACTTCCCCCTAGAGGCGAGATGAGGCCCCATTCCACTGCAGTGCATGCAGAGCTCTTCCGTGATCCCATTCAAACAAGTCAGGAGATTCGACTTGCTTAGTGGATCTCGAGACAGTCCCCAAGAACACTGTCACCAGTCTAGACGGACCCTGAGGTCACCCCAGCAACGCAAATCAGCTCCATGTGCCCCAAATCAACTCGAGATGAGGCCCGATTCCCCTGCATTGACTCCAGAGCCATTCTCCGTTCCCCATTCAACACGACCGGTGGCTCGACTTCCTTCAGGCAACTCCAGAGATGCCCCGAGAACACTGTCCCAAGTCTAGAGGAACACCAACTTCAGCACAGCAACTCGAGGAATGCTCCGTGTACCCCAAATTGTCTCGAGATGAGAGATGATTCCCTGGCTTAGGCTCAAGACGTATGCCAACTTCCCAGAAGCACCTCAGGAGGAGGCTTCTCTCAGCAATAGGTATGTGGGAGGGACCCCGAGTTTGCTGCCTCAAGGGGAATATACAGCGAGAAGCCCTAACTTGAAAGGAGGCCGGATTTCCTTGCAGTGGCTTGAATACAGGCTCGTCTTTCATCTCACAACATGAAGGGATGTCTGAATCCCCTGTGGAGACCTTAGAGAAAGCCCTAGGTGCCTGCCTCATTTTGACGGAATGCCTCACATCCCGCTGACACCTCGAGAGGCACGCGGAGTTCATTGCTTCAAAAGGTGACGATGCCTGACTCCTCTTGAATACTGATAGGAATCCCAAAATCCCTGTGGCTACTGGAAAGGGTCCTTGGGTGCCCTGCCTCACCTCGAGAAGCGTCCCTTTTGCCCTGCCAAGCCTCGAAGAAATTCCTGAGGTGTCCCTCGTTACTAGACAGGAGTCCTGACGTCACTGAAGAAACTCGTGTTTTGAAGGGCCATCCCCGCCATAAGTCGAGAACATACCCCAGGTCCCCGCCGCACCTCGAGAAAAACCATGAGACTTCCCCCTAGAGGCGAGATGAGGCCCCATTCCCCTGCAGTGCATGCAGAGCTATTCCGTGATCCCATTCAAACAAGTCAGGAGCTTCGACTTGCTTAATGGATCTCGAGACAGTCCCCAAGAACACTGTCACCAGTCTAGACGGACCCTGAGGTCACCCCAGCAACGCAAATCAGGTCCATGTGCCCCAAATCAACTCGAGATGAGGCCCGACTCCCGTGCATTGAATCCAGAGCCATTCCCCGTTCCCCATTCAACACGACCGGTGGCTCGACTTCCTTCAGGCAACTCCAGAGATGACCCGAGAACACTGTCCCAAGTCTAGAGGAACACCAACTTCAGCACAGCAACTCGAGGAATGCTCCGTGTACCCCAAATCGTCTCGAGATGAGAGCTGATTCCCTGGCTTAGGCTCAAGACGTATGCCAACTTCCCAGAAGCACCTCAGGAGGAGGCTTCTCTCAGCAATAGGTATGTGGGAGGGACCCCGAGTTTGCTGCCTCCAGGGGAATATACAGCGAGAAGCCCTAACTTGAAAGGAGGCCGGATTTCCTTGCAGTGGCTTGAATACAGGCTCGTCTTTCATCTCACAACATGAAGGGATGTCTGAATCCCCTGTGGAGACCTTAGAGAAAGCCCTAGGTGCCTGCCTCATTTTGACGGAATGCCTCACATCCCGCTGACACCTCGAGAGGCACGCGGAGTTCATTGCTTCAAAAGGTGACGATGCCTGACTCCTCTTGAATACTGATAGGAATCCCAAAATCCCTGTGGCTACTGGAAAGGGTCCTTGGGTGCCCTGCCTCACCTCGAGAAGCGTCCATTTTGCCCTGCCAAGCCTCGAAGAGATTCCTGAGGTGTCCCTCGTTACTAGACAGGAGTCCTGACGTCACTGAAGAAACTCGTGTTTTGAAGGGCCATCCCCGCCGTAAGTCGAGAACATACCCCAGGTCCCCGCCGCAACTCGAGAAAAACCATGAGACTTCCCCCTAGAGGCGAGATGAGGCCCCATTCCCCTGCAGTGCATGCAGAGCTATTCCGTGATCCCATTCAAACAAGTCAGGAGCTTCGACTTGCTTAATGGATCTCGAGACAGTCCCCAAGAACACTGTCACCAGTCTAGACGGACCCTGAGGTCACCCCAGCAACGCAAATCAGCTCCATGTGCCCCAAATCAACTCGAGATGAGGCCCGACTCCCCTGCATTGAATCCAGAGCCATTCCCCTTTCCCCATTCAACACGACCGGTGGCTCGACTTCCTTCAGGCAACTCCAGAGATGCCCCGAGAACACTGTCCCAAGTCTAGAGCAACACCAACTTAAGCACAGCAACTCGATGAATGCTCCGTGTACCCCAAATCGTCTCGAGATGAGAGCTGATTCCCTGGCTTAGGCTCAAGACGTATGCCAACTTCCCAGAAGCACCTCAGGAGGAGGCTTCTCTCAGCACTAGGTATTTGGGAGGGACCCCGAGTTTGCTGCCTCAAGGAGAATATACAGCGAGAAGCCCTAACTTGAAAGGAGGCCGGATTTCCTTGCAGTGGCTTGAATACAGGCTCGTCTTTCATCTCACAACATGAAGGGATGTCTGAATCCCCTGTGGAGACCTTAGAGAAAGCCCTAGGTCCCTGCCTCATTTTGACGGAATGCCTCACATCCCGCTGACACCTCGAGAGGCACGCGGAGTTCATTGCTTCAAAAGGTGACGATGCCTGACTCCTCTTAAATACTGATAGGAATCCCAAAATCCCTGTGGCTACTGGAAAGGGTCCTTGGGTGCACTGCCTCACCTCGAGAAGTGTCCCTTGTGCCCTACCAAGCCTCGAAGAGGTTCCTGAGGTGTCCCTCGTTACTAGACAGGAGTCCTGACGTCACTGAAGAAACTCGTGTTTTGAAGGGCCATCCCCGCCGTAAGTCGAGAACATACCCCAGGTCCCCGCCGCAACTCGAGAAAAACCATGAGATTTCCCCCTAGAGGCGAGATGAGGCCCCATTCCCCTGCAGTGCATGCAGAGCAATTCTGTGATCCCATTCAGACAAGTCAGGAGTTTCCACTTGCTTAATGGATCTCGAGACAGTCCCCAAGAACACTGTCACCAGTCTAGACGGACCCTGAGTTCAACCCAGCAACGCAAAGCAGCTCCATGTGCCCCAAATCAACTCGAGATGCGGCCCGATTCCCCTGCATTGACTCCAGAGCCATTCCCCGTTCCCCATTCCACACGACCGGTGGCTCGACTTCCTTCAGGCAACTCCAGAGATGCCCCGAGAACACTGTCCCAAGTCTAGAGGAACACCAACTTCAGCACAGCAACTCGATGAATGCTCCGTGTACCCCAAATCATCTCGAAATGAGAGCTGATTCCCTGGCTTAGGCTCAAGACGTATGCCAACTTCCCAGAAGCACCTCAGGAGGAGGCTTCTCTCAGCAATAGGTATGTGGGAGGGACCCCGAGTTTGCTGCCTCAAGGGGAATATACAGCGAGAAGCCCTAACTTGAAAGGAGGCCGGATTTCCTTGCAGTGGCTTGAATACAGGCTCGTCTTTCATCTCACAACATGAAGGGATGTCTGAATCCCCTGTGGAGACCTTAGAGAAAGCCCTAGGTGCCTGCCTCATTTTGACGGAATGCCTCACATCCCGCTGACACCTCGAGAGGCACGCGGAGTTCATTGCTTCAAAAGGTGACGATGCCTGACTCCTCTTGAATACTGATAGGAATCCCAAAATCCCTGTGGCTACTGGAAAGGGTCCTTGGGTGCCCTGCCTCACCTCGAGAAGCGTCCCTTTTGCCCTGCCAAGCCTCGAAGAGATTCCTGAGGTGTCCCTCGTTACTAGACAGGAGTCCTGACATCACTGAAGAAACTCGTGTTTTGAAGGGCCATCCCCGCCGTAAGTCGAGAACATACCCCAGGTCCCCGCCGCAACTCGAGAAAAACCATGAGACTTCCCCCTAGAGGCGAGATGAGGCCCCATTCCCCTGCAGTGCATGCAGAGCTATTCCGTGATCCCATTCAAACAAGTCAGGAGCTTCGACTTGCTTAATGGATCTCGAGACAGTCCCCAAGAACACTGTCACCAGTCTAGACGGACCCTGAGGTCACCCCAGCAACGCAAATCAGCTCCATGTGCCCCAAATCAACTCGAGATGAGGCCCGATTCCCCTGCATTGACTCCAGAGCCATTCCCCGTTCCCCATTCAACACGACCGGTGGCTCGACTTCCTTCAGGCAACTCCAGAGATGCCCCGAGAACACTGTCCCAAGTCTAGAGGAACACCAACTTCAGCACAGCAACTCGATGAATGCTCCGTGTACCCCAAATCGTCTCGAGATGAGAGCTGATTCCCTGGCTTAGGCTCAAGACGTATGCCAACTTCCCAGAAGCACCTCAGGAGGAGGCTTCTCTCAGCCATAGGTATGAGGGAGGGACCCCGAGTTTGCTGCCTCAAGTTGAATATACAGCGAGAAGACCTAACTTGAAAGGAGGCCGGATTTCCTTGCAGTGGCTTGAATAGAGGCTCGTCTTTCATCTCACAACATGATGGGATATCTGAATCCCCTGTGGAGCCCTTAGAGAAAGCCCTAGGTGCCTGCCTCATTTTGACGGAATGCCTCACATCCCGCTGACACCTCGAGAGGCACGCGGAGTTCATTGCTTCAAAAGGTGACGATGCCTGACTCGTCTTGAATACTGATAGGAATCCCAAAATCCCTGTGGCTACTGGAAAGGGTCCTTGGGTGCCCTGCCTCACCTCGAGAAGCGTCCCTTTTTTCCCTGCCAAGCCTCGAAGAGATTCCTGAGGTTTCCCTCGTTACTAGACAGAAGTCCTGACGTCACTGAAGAAACTCGTGTTTTGAAGGGCCATCCCCGCCGTAAGTCGAGAACATACCCTAGGTCCTCGCCGCAACTCGAGAAAAACCATGAGACTTCCCCCTAGAGGCGGGATGAGGCCCCATTCCCCTGCAGTGCATGCAGAGCTATTCCGTGATCCCATTCAAACAAGTCAGGAGCTTCGACTTAATGGATCTCGAGACAGTCCCCAAGAACACTGTCACCAGTCTAGACGGACCCAGAGGTCACCCCAGCAACGCAAATCAGCTCCATGAGCCCCAAATCAACTCGAGATGAGGCCCGATTCCCCTGCATTGACTCCAGAGCCATTCCCCGTTCCCCATTCAACACGACCGGTGGCTCGACTTCCTTCAGGCAACTCCAGAGATGCCCCGAGAACACTGTCCCAAGTCTAGAGGAAGACCAACTTCAGCACAGCAACTCGATGAATGCTCCGTGTACCCCAAATCGTCTCGAGATGAGAACTGATTCCCTGGCTTAGGCTCAAGACGTATGCCAACTTCCCAGAAGCACCTCAGGAGGAGGCTTCCCTCAGCAATAGGTATGAGGGAGGGACCCCGAGTTTGCTGCCTCAAGGGGAATATACAGCGAGAAGATCTAACTTGAAAGGAGGCCGGATTTCCTTGCAGTGGCTTGAATACAGGCTCGTCTTTCATCTCACAACATGAAGGGATGTCTGAATCCCCTGTGGAGACCTTAGAGAAAGCCCTAGGTGCCTGCCTCATTTTGACGGAATGCCTCACATCCCACTGACACCTCGAGAGGCACGCGGAGTTCATTGCTTCAAAAGGTGACGATGCCTGACTCGTCTTGAATACTGATAGGAATCCCAAAATCCCTGTGGCTACTGGAAAGGGTCCTTGGGTGCCCTGCCTCACCACGAGAAGCGTCCCTTTTGCCCTGCCAAGCCTCGAAGAGATTCCTGAGGTGTCCCTCGTTACTAGACAGGAGTCCTGACGTCACTGAAGAAACTCGTGTTTTGAAGGGCCATCCCCGCTGTAAGTCGAGAACATACCCCAGGTCCTCGCCGCAACTCGAGAAAAACCATGAGACTTCCCCCTAGAGGCGAGATGAGGCCGCATTCCCCTGCAGTGCATGCAGAGCTATTCCGTGATCCCATTCAAAGAAGTTAGGAGCTTCGACTTGCTTAATGGATCTCGAGACAGTCCCCAAGAACACTGTCACCAGTCTAGACGGACCCTGAGGTCACCCCAGCAACGCAAATCAGCTCCATGTGCCCCAAATCAACTCGAGATGAGGCCCGATTCCCCTGCATTGACTCCAGAGCCATTCCCCGTTCCCCAATCAACACGACCGGTGGCTCGACTTCCTTCAGGCAACTCCAGAGATGCCCCGAGAACACTGTCCCAAGTCTAGAGGAACACCAACTTCACCACAGCAACTCGAGGAATGCTCCGTGTACACCAAATCGTCTCGAGATGAGAGCTGATTCCCTGGCTTAGGCTCAAGACGTATGCCAACTTCCCCGAAGCACCTCAGGAGGAGGCTTTTCTCAGCAATAGGTATGTGGGAGGGACCCCGAGTTTGCTGCCTCAAGGGGAATATACAGCGAGAAGACCTAACTTGAAAGGAGGCCGGATTTCCTTGCAGTGGCTTGAATACAGGCTCGTCTTTCATCTCACAACATGAAGGGATGTCTGAATCCCCTGTGGAGACCTTAGAGAAAGCCCTAGGTGCCTGCCTCATTTTGACGGAATGCCTCACATCCCGCTGACACCTCGAGAGGCACGCGGAGTTCATTGCTTCAAAAGGTGACGATGCCTGACTCGTCTTGAATACTGATAGGAATCCCAAAATCCCTGTGGCTACTGGAAAGGGTCCTTGGGTGCCCTGCCTCACCTCGAGAAGCGTCCCTTTTGCCCTGCCAAGCCTCGAAGAGATGCCTGAGGTGTCCCTCGTTACTAGACAGGAGTCCTGACGTCACTGAAGAAACTCGTGTTTTGAAGGGCCATCCCCGCCGTAAGTCGAGAACATACCCCAGGTCCCCGCCGCAACTCGAGAAAAACCATGAGACTTCCCCCTAGAGGCGAGATGAGGCCCCATTCCCCTGCAGTGCATGCAGAGCTATTCCGTGATCCCATTCAAACAAGTCAGGAGCTTCGACTTGCTTAATGGATCTCGAGACAGTCCCCAAGAACACTGTCACCAGTCTAGACGGACCCTGAGGTCACCCCAGCAACGCAAAGCAGCTCCATGTGCCCCAAATCAACTCGAGATGAGGCCCGATTCCCCTGCATTGACTCCAGAGCCATTCCCCTTTCCCCATTCAACACGACCGGTGGCTCGACTTCCTTCAGGCAACTCCAGAGATGCCCCGAGAACACTGTCCCAAGTCTAGAGGAACACCAACTTCAGCACAGCAACTCGATGAATGCTCCGTGTACCCCAAATCGTCTCGAGATGAGAGCTGATTCCCTGGCTTAGGCTCAAGACGTATGCCAACTTCCCAGAAGCACCTCAGGAGGAGGCTTCTCTCAGCCATAGGTATGAGGGAGGGACCCCGAGTTTGCTGCCTCAAGTTGAATATACAGCGAGAAGACCTAACTTGAAAGGAGGCCGGATTTCCTTGCAGTGGCTTGAATAGAGGCTCGTCTTTCATCTCACAACATGATGGGATATCTGAATCCCCTGTGGAGCCCTTAGAGAAAGCCCTAGGTGCCTGCCTCATTTTGACGGAATGCCTCACATCCCGCTGACACCTCGAGAGGCACGCGGAGTTCATTGCTTCAAAAGGTGACGATGCCTGACTCCTCTTGAATACTGATAGGAATCCCAAAATCCCTGTGGCTACTGGAAAGGGTCCTTGGGTGCCCTGCCTCACCTCGAGAAGCGTCCCTTTTTTCCCTGCCAAGCCTCGAAGAGATTCCTGAGGTTTCCCTCGTTACTAGACAGAAGTCCTGACGTCACTGAAGAAACTCGTGTTTTGAAGGGCCATCCCCGCCGTAAGTCGAGAACATACCCTAGGTCCTCGCCGCAACTCGAGAAAAACCATGAGACTTCCCCCTAGAGGCGGGATGAGGCCCCATTCCCCTGCAGTGCATGCAGAGCTATTCCGTGATCCCATTCAAACAAGTCAGGAGCTTCGACTTAATGGATCTCGAGACAGTCCCCAAGAACACTGTCACCAGTCTAGACGGACCCAGAGGTCACCCCAGCAACGCAAATCAGCTCCATGAGCCCCAAATCAACTCGAGATTCGGCCCGATTCCCCTGCATTGACTCCAGAGCCATTCCCCGTTCCCCATTCAACACGACCGGTGGCTCGACTTCCTTCAGGCAACTCCAGAGATGCCCCGAGAACACTGTCCCAAGTCTAGAGGAAGACCAACTTCAGCACAGCAACTCGATGAATGCTCCGTGTACCCCAAATCGTCTCGAGATGAGAACTGATTCCCTGGCTTAGGCTCAAGACGTATGCCAACTTCCCAGAAGCACCTCAGGAGGAGGCTTCCCTCAGCAATAGGTATGAGGGAGGGACCCCGAGTTTGCTGCCTCAAGGGGAATATACAGCGAGAAGCCCTAACTTGAAAGGAGGCCGGATTTCCTTGCAGTGGCTTGAATACAGGCTCGTCTTTCATCTCACAACATGAAGGGATGTCTGAATCCCCTGTGGAGAACTTAGAGAAAGCCCTAGGTGCCTGCCTCATTTTGACGGAATGCCTCACATCCCGCTGACACCTCGAGAGGCACGCGGAGTTCATTGCTTCAAAAGGTGACGATGCCTGACTCGTCTTGAATACTGATAGGAATCCCAAAATCCCTGTGGCTACTGGATAGGGTCCTTGGGTGCCCTGCCTCAACTCGAGAAGCGTCCCTTTTGCCCTGCCAAGCCTCGAAGAGATTCCTGAGGTGTCCCTCGTTACTAGACAGGAGTCCTGACGTCACTGAAGAAACTCGTGTTTTGAAGGGCCATCCCCGCCGTAAGTCGAGAACATACCCCAGGTCCCCGCCGCAACTCGAGAAAAACCATGAGACTTCCCCCTAGAGGCGAGATGAGGCCCCATTCCCCTGCAGTGCATGCAGAGCTATTCCGTGATCCCATTCAAACAAGTCAGGAGCTTCGACTTGCTTAATGGATCTCGAGACAGTCCCCAAGAACACTGTCACCAGTCTAGACGGACCCTGAGGTCACCCCAGCAACGCAAAGCAGCTCCATGTGCCCCAAATCAACTCGAGATGAGGCCCGATTCCCCTGCATTGACTCCAGAGCCATTCACCTTTCCCCATTCAACACGACCGGTGGCTCGACTTCCTTCAGGCAACTCCAGAGATGCCCCGAGAACACTGTCCCAAGTCTAGAGGAACACCAACTTCAGCACAGCAACTCGAGGAATGCTCCGTGTACCCCAAATCGTCTCGAGATGAGAGCTGATTCCCTGGCTTAGGCTCAAGACGTATGCCAACTTCCCAGAAGCACCTCAGGAGGAGGCTTCTCTCAACAATAGGTATGTGGGATGGACCCCGATTTTGCTGCCTCAAGGGGAATATACAGTGAGAAGCCCTAACTTGAAAGGAGGCCGGATTTCCTTGCAGTGGCTTCAATACAGGCTCGTCTTTCATCTCACAACATGAAGGGATGTCTGAATCCCCTGTGGAGACCTTAGAGAAAGCCCTAGGTGCCTGCCTCATTTTGACGGAATGCCTCACATCCCGCTGACACCTCGAGAGGCACGCGGAGTTCATTGCTTCAAAAGGTGACGATGCCTGACTCCTCTTGAATACTGATAGGAATCCCAAAATCCCTGTGGCTACTGGAAAGGGTCCTTGGGTGCCCTGCCTCACCTCGAGAAGCGTCCCTTTTGCCCTGCCAAGCCTCGAAGAGATTCCTGAGGTGTCCCTCGTTACTAGACAGGAGTCCTGTCGTCACTGAAGAAACTCGTGTTTTGAAGGGCCATCCCCGCCGTAAGTCGAGAACATACCCCAGGTCCCCGCCGCAACTCGAGAAAAACCATGAGACTTCCCCCTAGAGGCGAGATGAGGCCCCATTCCCCTGCAGTGCATGCAGAGCTATTCCGTAATCCCATTCAAACAAGTCAGGAGCTTCTACTTGCTTAATGGATCTCGAGACAGTCCCCAAGAACACTGTCACCAGTCTAGACGGACCCTGAGGTCACCCCAGCAACGCAAATCAGCTCCATGTGCCCCAAATCAACTCGAGATGAGGCCCGATTCCCCTGCATTGACTCCAGAGCCATTCCCCGTTCCCCATTCAACACGACCGGTGGCTCGACTTCCTTCAGGCACCTCCAGAGATGCCCCGAGAACACTGTCCCAAGTCTAGAGGAACACCAACTTCAGCACAGCAACTCGAGGAATGCTCCGTGTACCCCAAATCGTCTCGAGATGAGAGCTGATTCCCTGGCTTAGGCTCAAGACGTATGCCAACTTCCCAGAAGCACCTCAGGAGGAGGCTTCTCTCAACAATAGGTATGTGGGATGGACCCCGATTTTGCTGCCTCAAGGGGAATATACAGTGAGAAGCCCTAACTTGAAAGGAGGCCGGATTTCCTTGCAGTGGCTTCAATACAGGCTCGTCTTTCATCTCACAACATGAAGGGATGTCTGAATCCCCTGTGGAGACCTTAGAGAAAGCCCTAGGTGCCTGCCTCATTTTGACGGAATGCCTCACATCCCGCTGACACCTCGAGAGGCACGCGGAGTTCATTGCTTCAAAAGGTGACGATGCCTGACTCCTCTTGAATACTGATAGGAATCCCAAAATCCCTGTGGCTACTGGAAAGGGTCCTTGGGTGCCCTGCCTCACCTCGAGAAGCGTCCCTTTTGCCCTGCCAAGCCTCGAAGAGATTCCTGAGGTGTCCCTCGTTACTAGACAGGAGTCCTGTCGTCACTGAAGAAACTCGTGTTTTGAAGGGCCATCCCCGCCGTAAGTCGAGAACATACCCCAGGTCCCCGCCGCAACTCGAGAAAAACCATGAGACTTCCCCCTAGAGGCGAGATGAGGCCCCATTCCCCTGCAGTGCATGCAGAGCTATTCCGTAATCCCATTCAAACAAGTCAGGAGCTTCTACTTGCTTAATGGATCTCGAGACAGTCCCCAAGAACACTGTCACCAGTCTAGACGGACCCTGAGGTCACCCCAGCAACGCAAATCAGCTCCATGTGCCCCAAATCAACTCGAGATGAGGCCCGATTCCCCTGCATTGACTCCAGAGCCATTCCCCGTTCCCCATTCAACACGACCGGTGGCTCGACTTCCTTCAGGCACCTCCAGAGATGCCCCGAGAACACTGTCCCAAGTCTAGAGGAACACCAACTTCAGCACAGCAACTCGAGGAATGCTCCGTGTACCCCAAATCGTCTCGAGATGAGAGCTGATTCCCTGGCTTAGGCTCAAGACGTATGCCAACTTCCCAGAAGCACCTCAGGAGGAGGCTTCTCTCAGCAATAGGTAAGTGGGAGGGACCCCGAGTTTGCTGCCTCAAGGGGAATATACAGCGAGAAGCCCTAACTTGAAAGGAGGCCGGATTTCCTTGCAGTGGCTTGAATACAGGCTCGTCTTTCATCTCACAACATGAAGGGATGTCTGAATCCCCTGTGGAGACCTTAGAGAAAGCCCTAGGTCCCTGCCTCATTTTGACGGAATGCCTCACATCCCGCTGACACCTCGAGAGGCACGCGGAGTTCATTGCTTCAAAAGGTGACGATGCCTGACTCCTCTTGAATACTGATAGGAATCCCAAAATCCCTGTGGCTACTGGAAAGGGTCCTTGGGTGCCCTGCCTCACCTCGAGAAGCGTCCCTTTTGCCCTGCCAAGCCTCGAAGAGATTCCTGAGGTGTCCCTCGTTACTAGACAGGAGTCCTGACGTCACTGAAGAAACTCGTGTTTTGAAGGGCCATCCCCGCCGTAAGTCGAGAACATACCCCAGGTCCCCGCCGCAACTCGAGAAAAACCATGAGACTTCCCCCTAGAGGCGAGATGAGGCCCCATTCCCCTGCAGTGCATGCAGAGCTATTCCGTGATCCCATTCAAACAAGTCAGGAGCTTCGACTTGCTTAATGGATCTCGAGACAGTCCCCAAGAACACTGTCACCAGTCTAGACGGGCCCTGAGGTCACCCCAGAAACGCAAATCAGCTCCATGTGCCCCAAATCAACTCGAGATGAGGCCCGATTCCCCTGCATTGACTCCAGAGCCATTCCCCGTTCCCCATTCAACACGACCGGTGGCTCGACTTCCTTCAGGCAACTCCAGAGATGCCCCGAGAACACTGTCCCAAGTCTAGAGGAACACCAACTTCAGCACAGCAACTCGATGAATGCTCCGTGTACCCCAAATCGTCTCGAGATGAGAGCTGATTCCCTGGCTTAGGCTCAAGACGTATGCCAACTTCCCAGAAGCACCTCAGGAGGAGGCTTCTCTCAGCAATAGGTATGTGGGAGGGACCCCGAGTTTGCTGCCTCAAGGGGAATATACAGCGAGAAGACCTAACTTGAAAGGAGGCCGGATTTCCTTGCAGTGGCTTGAATACAGGCTCGTCTTTCATCTCACAACATGAAGGGATGTCTGAATCCCCTGTGGAGACCTTAGAGAAAGCCCTAGGTCCCTGCCTCATTTTGACGGAATGCCTCACATCCCGCTAACACCTCGAGAGGCACGCGGAGTTCATTGCTTCAAAAGGTGACGATGCCTGACTCCTCTTGAATACTGATAGGAATCCCAAAATCCCTGTGGCTACTGGAAAGGGTCCTTGGGTGCCCTGCCTCACCTCGAGAAGCGTCCCTTTTGCCCTGCCAAGCCTCGAAGAGATTCCTGAGGTGACCCTCGTTACTAGACAGGAGTCCTGACGTCACTGAAGAAACTCGTGTTTTGAAGGGCCATCCCCGCCGTAAGTCGAGAACATACCCCAGGTCCCCGCCGCAACTCGAGAAAAACCTTGAGACTTCCCCCTAGAGGCGAGATGAGGCCCCATTCCCCTGCAGTGCATGCAGAGCTATTCCGTGATCCCATTCAAACAAGTCAGGAGCTTCGACTTGCTTAATGGATCTCGAGACAGTCCCCAAGAACACTGTCACCAGTCTAGACGGACCCTGAGGTCACCCCAGCAGCGCAAATCAGCTCCATGTGCCCCAAATCAACTCGAGATGAGGCCCGATTCCCCTGCATTGACTCCAGAGCCATTCCCCGTTCCCCATTCAACACGACCGGTGGCTCGACTTCCTTCAGGCAACCCCAGAGATGCCCCGAGAACACTGTCCCAAGTCTAGAGGAACACCAACTTCAGCACAGCAACTCGATGAATGCTCCGTGTACCCCAAATCTCTCGAGATGAGAGCTGATTCCCTGGCTTAGGCTCAAGACGTATGCCAACTTCCCAGAAGCACCTCAGGAGGAGGCTTCTCTCAGCAATAGGTATGTGGGAGGGACCCCGAGTTTGCTGCCTCAAGGGGAATATACAGCGAGAAGCCCTAACTTGAAAGGAGGCCGGATTTCCTTGCAGTGGCTTGAATACAGGCTCGTCTTTCATCTCACAACATGAAGGGATGTCTGAATCCCCTGTGGAGACCTTAGAGAAAGCCCTAGGTGCCTGCCTCATTTTGACGGAATGCCTCACATCCCGCTGAAACCTCGAGAGGCACGCGGAGTTCATTGCTTCAAAAGGTGACGATGCCTGACTCCTCTTGAATACTGATAGGAATCCCAAAATCCCTGTGGCTACTGGAAAGGGTCCTTGGGTGCCCTGCCTCACCTCGAGAAGCGTCCCTTTTGCCCTGCCAAGCCTCGAAGAGATTCCTGAGGTGTCCCTCGTTACTAGACAGGAGTCCTGACGTCACTGAAGAAACTCGTGTTTTGAAGGGCCATCCCCGCCGTAAGTCGAGAACATACCCCAGGTCCCCGCCGCAACTCGAGAAAAACCTTGAGACTTCCCCCTAGAGGCGAGATGAGGCCCCATTCCCCTGCAGTGCATGCAGAGCTATTCCGTGATCCCATTCAAACAAGTCAGGAGCTTCGACTTGCTTAATGGATCTCGAGACAGTCCCCAAGAACACTGTCACCAGTCTAGACGGACCCTGAGGTCACCCCAGCAACGCAAATCAGCTCCATGTGCCCCAAATCAACTCGAGATGAGGCCCGATTCCCCTGCATTGACTCCAGAGCCATTCCCCGTTCCCCATTCAACAAGACCGGTGGCTCGACTTCCTTCAGGCAACCCCAGAGATGCCCCGAGAACACTGTCCCAAGTCTAGAGGAACACCAACTTCAGCACAGCAACTCGATGAATGCTCCGTGTACCCCAAATCTCTCGAGATGAGAGCTGATTCCCTGGCTTAGGCTCAAGACGTATGCCAACTTCCCAGAAGCACCTCAGGAGGAGGCTTCTCTCAGCAATAGGTATGTGGGAGGGACCCCGAGTTTGCTGCCTCAAGGGGAATATACAGCGAGAAGCCCTAACTTGAAAGGAGGCCGGATTTCCTTGCAGTGGCTTGAATACAGGCTCGTCTTTCATCTCACAACATGAAGGGATGTCTGAATCCCCTGTGGAGACCTTAGAGAAAGCCCTAGGTGCCTGCCTCATTTTGACGGAATGCCTCACATCCCGCTGACACCTCGAGAGGCACGCGGAGTTCATTGCTTCAAAAGGTGACGATGCCTGACTCCTCTTGAATACTGATAGGAATCCCAAAATCCCTGTGGCTACTGGAAAGGGTCCTTGGGTGCCCTGCCTCACCTCGAGAAGCGTCCCTTTTGCCCTGCCAAGCCTCGAAGAGATTCCTGAGGTGTCCCTCGTTACTAGACAGGAGTCCTGACGTCACTGAAGAAACTCGTGTTTTGAAGGGCCATCCCCGCCGTAAGTCGAGAACATACCCCAGGTCCCCGCCGCACCTCGAGAAAAACCATGAGACTTCCCCCTAGAGGCGAGATGAGGCCCCATTCCCATGCAGTGCATGCAGAGCTATTCCGTGATCCCATTCAAACAAGTCAGGAGCTTCGACTTGCTTAATGGATCTCGAGACAGTCCCCAAGAACACTGTCACCAGTCTAGACGGACCCTGAGGTCACCCCAGCAACGCAAATAAGCTCCATGTGCCCCAAATCAACTCGAGATGAGACCCGACTCCCCTGCTTTGAATCCAGAGCCATTCCCCGTTCCCCATTCAACAGGACCGGTGGCTTGACTTCCTTCAGGCAACTCCAGAGATGCCCCGAGAACACTGTCCCAAGTCTAGAGGAACACCAACTTCAGCACAGCAACTCGAGGAATGCTCCGTGTACCCCAAATCGTCTCGAGATGAGAGCTGATTCCCTGGCTTAGGCTCAAGACGTATGCCAACTTCCCAGAAGCACTTCAGCAGGAGGCTTCTCTCAGCAATAGGTATGTGGGAGGGACCCCGAGTTTGCTGCCTCAAGGGGAATATACAGCGAGAAGCCCTAACTTGAAAGGAGGCCGGATTTCCTTGCAGTGGCTTGAATACAGGCTCGTCTTTCATCTCACAACATGAAGGGATGTCTGAATCCCCTGTGGAGACCTTAGAGAAAGCCCTAGGTACCTGCCTCATTTTGACGGAATGCCTTACATCCCGCTGACACCTCGAGAGGCACACGGAGTTCATTGCTTCAAAAGGTGACGATGCCTGACTCCTCTTGAATACTGATAGGAATCCCAAAATCCCTGTGGCTACTGGAAAGGGTCCTTGGGTGCCCTGCCTCACCTCGAGAAGCGTCCCTTTTGCCCTGCCAAGCCTCGAAGAGATTCCTGAGGTGTCCCTCGTTACTAGACAGGAGTCCTGACGTCACTGAAGAAACTCGTGTTTTGAAGGGCCATCCCCGCCGTAAGTCGAGAACATACCCCAGGTCCCCGCCACAACTCGAGAAAAACCTTGAGACTTCCCCCTAGAGGCGAGATGAGGCCCCATTCCCCTGCAGTGCATGCAGAGCTATTCCGTGATCCCATTCAAACAAGTCAGGAGCTTCGACTTGCTTAATGGATCTCGAGACAGTCCCCAAGAACACTGTCACCAGTCTAGACGGACCCTGAGGTCACCCCAGCAACGCAAATCAGCTCCATGTGCCCCAAATCAACTCGAGATGAGGCCCGATTCCCCTGCATTGACTCCAGAGCCATTCCCCGTTCCCCATTCAACACGACCGGTGGCTCGACTTCCTTCAGGCAACCCCAGAGATGCCCCGAGAACACTGTCCCAAGTCTAGAGGAACACCAACTTCAGCACAGCAACTCGATGAATGCTCCGTGTACCCCAAATCTCTCGAGATGAGAGCTGATTCCCTGGCTTGGGCTCAAGACGTATGCCAACTTCCCAGAAGCACCTCAGGAGGAGGCTTCTCTCAGCAATAGGTAAGTGGGAGGGACCCCGAGTTTGCTGCCTCAAGGGGAATATACAGCGAGAAGCCCTAACTTGAAAGGAGGCCGGATTTCCTTGCAGTGGCTTGAATACAGGCTCGTCTTTCATCTCACAACATGAAGGGATGTCTGAATCCCCTGTGGAGACCTTAGAGAAAGCCCTAGGTCCCTGCCTCATTTTGACGGAATGCCTCACATCCCGCTGACACCTCGAGAGGCACGCGGAGTTCATTGCTTCAAAAGGTGACGATGCCTGACTCCTCTTGAATACTGATTGGAATCCCAAAATCCCTGTGGCTACTGGAAAGGGTCCTTGGATGCCCTGCCTCACCTCGAGAAGCGTCCCTTTTGCCCTGCCAAGCCTCGAAGAGATTCCTGAGTTGTCCCTCGTTACTAGACAGGAGTCCTGACGTCACTGAAGAAACTCGTGTTTTGAAGGGCCATCCCCGCCGTAAGTCGAGAACATACCCCAGGTCCCCGCCGCAACTTGAGAAAAACCATGAGACTTCCCCCTAGAGGCGAGATGAGGCCGCATTCCCCTGCAGTGCATGCAGAGCTATTCCGTGATCCCATTCAAACAAGTCAGGAGCTTCGACTTGCTTAATGAATCTCGAGACAGTCCCCAAGAACACTGTCACCAGTCTAGACGGGCCCTGAGGTCACCCCAGCAACGCAAAGCAGCACCATGTGCCCCAAATCAACTCGAGGTGAGGCCCGATTCACCTGCATTGACTCCAGAGCCATTCCCCGTTCCCCATTCAACACGACCAGTGGCTCGACTTCCTTCAGGCACCTCCAGAGATGCCCCGAGAACACTGTCCCAAGTCTAGAGGAACACCAACTTCAGCACAGCAACTCGAGGAATGCTCCGTGTACCCCAAATCGTCTCGAGATGAGAGCTGATTCCCTGGCTTAGGCTCAAGACGTATGCCAATTTCCCAGAAGCACCTCAGGAGGAGGCTTCTCTCAGCAATAGGTATGTGGGAGGGACCCCGAGTTTGCTGCCTCAAGGGGAATATACAGCGAGAAGCCGTAACTTGAAAGGAGGCCGGATTTCCTTGCAGTGGCTTGAATACAGGCTCGTCTTTCATCTCACAACATGAAGGGATGTCTGAATCCCCTGTGGAGACCTTAGAGAAAGCCCTAGGTCCCTGCCTCATTTTGACGGAATGCCTCACATCCCGCTGACACCTCGAGAGGCACGCGGAGTTCATTGCTTCAAAAGGTGACGATGCCTGACTCGTCTTGAATACTGATAGGAATCCCAAAATCCCTGTGGCTACTGGAAAGGGTCCTTGGGTGCCCTGCCTCATTTCGAGAAACGTCCCTTTTGCCCTGCCAAGCTTCGAAGAGATTCCTGAGGTGTCCCTCGTTACTAGACAGGGGTCCTGACGTCACTGAAGAAACTCGTGTTTTGAAGGGCCATCCCCGCCGTAAGTCGAGAACATACCCAAGGTCCCCGCCGCAACTCGAGAAAAACCATGAGACTTCCCCCTAGAGGCGAGATGAGGCCCCATTCCCCTGCAGTGCATGCAGAGCTATTCCGTGATCCCATTCAGACAAGTCAGGAGCTTCCACTTGCTTAATGGATCTCGAGACAGTCCCCAAGAACACTGTCACCAGTCTAGACGGACCCTGAGGTCACCCCAGCAACGCAAAGCAGCTCCATGTGCCCCAAATCAACTCGAGGTGAGGCCCGATTCCCCTGCATTGACTCCAGAGCCATTCCCCGTTCCCCATTCAACACGACCGGTGGCTCGACTTCCTTCAGGCAACTCCAGAGATGCCCCGAGAACACTGTCCCAAGTCTAGAGGAACACCAACTTCAGCACAGCAACTCGAGGAATGCTCCGTGTACCCCAAATCGTCTCGAGATGAGAGCTGATTCCCTGGCTTAGGCTCAAGACGTATGCCAACTTCCCAGAAGCACCTCAGGAGGAGGCTTCTCTCAGCAATAGGTAAGTGGGAGGGACCCCGAGTTTGCTGCCTCAAGGGGAATATACAGCGAGAAGCCCTAACTTGAAAGGAGGCCGGATTTCCTTGCAGTGGCTTGAATACAGGCTCGTCTTTCATCTCACAACATGAAGGGATGTCTGAATCCCCTGTGGAGACCTTAGAGAAAGCCCTAGGTCCCTGCCTCATTTTGACGGAATGCCTCACATCCCGCTGACACCTCGAGAGGCACGCGGAGTTCATTGCTTCAAAAGGTGACGATGCCTGACTCCTCTTGAATACTGATAGGAATCCCAAAATCCCTGTGGCTACTGGAAAGGGTCCTTGGGTGCCCTGCCTCACCTCGAGAAGCGTCCCTTTTGCCCTGCCAAGCCTCGAAGAGATTCCTGAGGTGTCCCTCGTTACTAGACAGGAGTCCTGACGTCACTGAAGAAACTCGTGTTTTGAAGGGCCATCCCCGCCGTAAGTCGAGAACATACCCCAGGTCCCCGCCGCAACTCGAGAAAAACCATGAGACTTCCCCCTAGAGGCGACATGAGGCCCCATTCCCCTGCAGTGCATGCAGAGCTATTCCGTGATCCCATTTAAACAAGTCAGGAGCTTCGACTTGCTTAATGGATCTCGAGACAGTCCCCAAGAACACTGTCACCAGTCTAGACGGGCCCTGAGGTCACCCCAGAAACGCAAATCAGCTCCATGTGCCCCAAATCAACTCGAGATGAGGCCCGATTCCCCTGCATTGACTCCAGAGCCATTCCCCGTTCCCCATTCAACACGACCGGTGGCTCGACTTCCTTCAGGCAACTCCAGAGATGCCCCGAGAACACTGTCCCAAGTCTAGAGGAACACCAACTTCAGCACAGCAACTCGATGAATGCTCCGTGTACCCCAAATCGTCTCGAGATGAGAGCTGATTCCCTGGCTTAGGCTCAAGACGTATGCCAACTTCCCAGAAGCACCTCAGGAGGAGGCTTCTCTCAGCAATAGGTATGTGGGAGGGACCCCGAGTTTGCTGCCTCAAGGGGAATATACAGCGAGAAGACCTAACTTGAAAGGAGGCCGGATTTCCTTGCAGTGGCTTGAATACAGGCTCGTCTTTCATCTCACAACATGAAGGGATGTCTGAATCCCCTGTGGAGACCTTAGAGAAAGCCCTAGGTGCCTGCCTCATTTTGACGGAATGCCTCACATCCCGCTAACACCTCGAGAGGCACGCGGAGTTCATTGCTTCAAAAGGTGACGATGCCTGACTCCTCTTGAATACTGATAGGAATCCCAAAATCCCTGTGGCTACTGGAAAGGGTCCTTGGGTGCCCTGCCTCACCTCGAGAAGCGTCCCTTTTGCCCTGCCAAGCCTCGAAGAGATTCCTGAGGTGACCCTCGTTACTAGACAGGAGTCCTGACGTCACTGAAGAAACTCGTGTTTTGAAGGGCCATCCCCGCCGTAAGTCGAGAACATACCCCAGGTCCCCGCCGCAACTCGAGAAAAACCTTGAGACTTCCCCCTAGAGGCGAGATGAGGCCCCATTCCCCTGCAGTGCATGCAGAGCTATTCCGTGATCCCATTCAAACAAGTCAGGAGCTTCGACTTGCTTAATGGATCTCGAGACAGTCCCCAAGAACACTGTCACCAGTCTAGACGGACCCTGAGGTCACCCCAGCAACGCAAATCAGCTCCATGTGCCCCAAATCAACTCGAGATGAGGCCCGATTCCACTGCATTGACTCCAGAGCCATTCCCCGTTCCCCATTCAACAGGACCGGTGGCTCGACTTCCTTCAGGCAACTCCAGAGATGCCCCGAGAACACTGTCCCAAGTCTAGAGGAACACCAACTTCAGCACAGCAACTCGATGAATGCTCCGTGTACCCCAAATCGTCTCGAGATGAGAGCTGATTCCCTGGCTTAGGCTCAAGACGTATGCCAACTTCCCAGAAGCACCTCAGGAGGAGGCTTCTCTCAGCAATAGGTATGTGGGAGGGACCCCGAGTTTGCTGCCTCAAGGGGAATATACAGCGAGAAGCCCTAACTTGAAAGGAGGCCGGATTTCCTTGCAGTGGCTTGAATACAGGCTCGTCTTTCATCTCACAACATGAAGGGATGTCTGAATCCCCTGTGGAGACCTTAGAGAAAGCCCTAGGTGCCTGCCTCATTTTGACGGAATGCCTCACATCCCGCTGACACCTCGAGAGGCACGCGGAGTTCATTGCTTCAAAAGGTGACGATGCCTGACTCCTCTTGAATACTGATAGGAATCCCAAAATCCCTGTGGCTACTGGAATGGGTCCTTGGGTGCCCTGCCTCACCTCGAGAAGCGTCCCTTTTGCCCTGCCAAGCCTCGAAGAGATTCCTGAAGTGTCCCTCGTTACTAGACAGGAGTCCTGACGTCACTGAAGAAACTCGTGTTTTGAAGGGCCATCCCCGCCGTAAGTCGAGAACATACCCCAGGTCCCCGCCGCAACTCGAGAAAAACCTTGAGACTTCCCCCTAGAGGCGAGATGAGGCCCCATTCCCCTGCAGTGCATGCAGAGCTATTCCGTGATCCCATTCAAACAAGTCAGGAGCTTCGACTTGCTTAATGGATCTCGAGACAGTCCCCAAGAACACTGTCACCAGTCTAGACGGACCCTGAGGTCACCCCAGCAACGCAAATCAGCTCCATGTGCCCCAAATCAACTCGAGATGAGGCCCGATTCCCCTGCATTGACTCCAGAGCCATTCCCCGTTCCCCATTCAACACGACCGGTGGCTCGACTTCCTTCAGGCAACCCCAGAGATGCCCCGAGAACACTGTCCCAAGTCTAGAGGAACACCAACTTCAGCACAGCAACTCGATGAATGCTCCGTGTACCCCAAATCTCTCGAGATGAGAGCTGATTCCCTGGCTTAGGCTCAAGACGTATGCCAACTTCCCAGAAGCACCTCAGGAGGAGGCTTCTCTCAGCAATAGGTATGTGGGAGGGACCCCGAGTTTGCTGCCTCAAGGGGAATATACAGCGAGAAGCCCTAACTTGAAAGGAGGCCGGATTTCCTTGCAGTGGCTTGAATACAGGCTCGTCTTTCATCTCACAACATGAAGGGATGTCTGAATCCCCTGTGGAGACCTTAGAGAAAGCCCTAGGTGCCTGCCTCATTTTGACGGAATGCCTCACATCCCGCTGACACCTCGAGAGGCACGCGGAGTTCATTGCTTCAAAAGGTGACGATGCCTGACTCCTCTTGAATACTGATAGGAATCCCAAAATCCCTGTGGCTACTGGAAAGGGTCCTTGGGTGCCCTGCCTCACCTCGAGAAGCGTCCCTTTTGCCCTGCCAAGCCTCGAAGAGATTCCTGAGGTGTCCCTCGTTACTAGACAGGAGTCCTGACGTCACTGAAGAAACTCGTGTTTTGAAGGGCCATCCCCGCCGTAAGTCGAGAACATACCCCAGGTCCCCGCCGCACCTCGAGAAAAACCATGAGACTTCCCCCTAGAGGCGAGATGAGGCCCCATTCCCATGCAGTGCATGCAGAGCTATTCCGTGATCCCATTCAAACAAGTCAGGAGCTTCGACTTGCTTAATGGATCTCGAGACAGTCCCCAAGAACACTGTCACCAGTCTAGACGGACCCTGAGGTCACCCCAGCAACGCAAATCAGCTCCATGTGCCCCAAATCAACTCGAGATGAGACCCGACTCCCCTGCATTGAATCCAGAGCCATTCCCCGTTCCCCATTCAACAGGACCGGTGGCTTGACTTCCTTCAGGCAACTCCAGAGATGCCCCGAGAACACTGTCCCAAGTCTAGAGGAACACCAACTTCAGCACAGCAACTCGAGGAATGCTCCGTGTACCCCAAATCGTCTCGAGATGAGAGCTGATTCCCTGGCTTAGGCTCAAGACGTATGCCATCTTCCCAGAAGCACCTCAGCAGGAGGCTTCTCTCAGCAATAGGTATGTGGGAGGGACCCCGAGTTTGCTGCCTCAAGGGGAATATACAGCGAGAAGCCCTAACTTGAAAGGAGGCCGGATTTCCTTGCAGTGGCTTGAATACAGGCTCGTCTTTCATCTCACAACATGAAGGGATGTCTGAATCCCCTGTGGAGACCTTAGAGAAAGCCCTAGGTGCCTGCCTCATTTTGACGGAATGCCTCACATCCCGCTGACACCTCGAGAGGCACGCGGAGTTCATTGCTTCAAAAGGTGACGATGCCTGACTCCTCTTGAATACTGATAGGAATCCCAAAATCCCTGTGGCTACTGGAAAGGGTCCTTGGGTGCCCTGCCTCACCTCGAGAAGCGTCCCTTTTGCCCTGCCAAGCCTCGAAGAGATTACTGAGGTGTCCCTCGTTACTAGACAGGAGTCCTGACGTCACTGAAGAAACTCGTGTTTTGAAGGGCCATCCCCGCCGTAAGTCGAGAACATACCCCAGGTCCCCGCCGCAACTCGAGAAAAACCTTGAGACTTCCCCCTAGAGGCGAGATGAGGCCCCATTCCCCTGCAGTGCATGCAGAGCTATTCCGTGATCCCATTCAAACAAGTCAGGAGCTTCGACTTGCTTAATGGATCTCGAGACAGTCCCCAAGAACACTGTCACCAGTCTAGACGGACCCTGAGGTCACCCCAGCAACGCAAATCAGCTCCATGTGCCCCAAATCAACTCGAGATGAGGCCCGATTCCCCTGCATTGACTCCAGAGCCATTCCCCGTTCCCCATTCAACAAGACCGGTGGCTCGACTTCCTTCAGGCAACCCCAGAGATGCCCCGAGAACACTGTCCCAAGTCTAGAGGAACACCAGCTTCAGCACAGCAACTCGATGAATGCTCCGTGTACCCCAAATCTCTCGAGATGAGAGCTGATTCCCTGGCTTAGGCTCAAGACGTATGCCAACTTCCCAGAAGCACCTCAGGAGGAGGCTTCTCTCAGCAATAGGTATGTGGGAGGGACCCCGAGTTTGCTGCCTCAAGGGGAATATACAGCGAGAAGCCCTAACTTGAAAGGAGGCCGGATTTCCTTGCAGTGGCTTGAATACAGGCTCGTCTTTCATCTCACAACATGAAGGGATGTCTGAATCCCCTGTGGAGACCTTAGAGAAAGCCCTAGGTGCCTGCCTCATTTTGACGGAATGCCTCACATCCCGCTGACACCTCGAGAGGCACGCGGAGTTCATTGCTTCAAAAGGTGACGATGCCTGACTCCTCTTGAATACTGATAGGAATCCCAAAATCCCTGTGGCTACTGGAAAGGGTCCTTGGGTGCCCTGCCTCACCTCGAGAAGCGTCCCTTTTGCCCTGCCAAGCCTCGAAGAGATTCCTGAGGTGTCCCTCGTTACTAGACAGGAGTCCTGACGTCACTGAAGAAACTCGTGTTTTGAAGGGCCATCCCCGCCGTAAGTCGAGAACATACCCCAGGTCCCCGCCGCACCTCGAGAAAAACCATGAGACTTCCCCCTAGAGGCGAGATGAGGCCCCATTCCCATGCAGTGCATGCAGAGCTATTCCGTGATCCCATTCAAACAAGTCAGGAGCTTCGACTTGCTTAATGGATCTCGAGACAGTCCCCAAGAACACTGTCACCAGTCTAGACGGACCCTGAGGTCACCCCAGCAACGCAAATAAGCTCCATGTGCCCCAAATCAACTCGAGATGAGACCCGACTCCCCTGCTTTGAATCCAGAGCCATTCCCCGTTCCCCATTCAACAGGACCGGTGGCTTGACTTCCTTCAGGCAACTCCAGAGATGCCCCGAGAACACTGTCCCAAGTCTAGAGGAACACCAACTTCAGCACAGCAACTCGAGGAATGCTCCGTGTACCCCAAATCGTCTCGAGATGAGAGCTGATTCCCTGGCTTAGGCTCAAGACGTATGCCAACTTCCCAGAAGCACCTCAGCAGGAGGCTTCTCTCAGCAATAGGTATGTGGGAGGGACCCCGAGTTTGCTGCCTCAAGGGGAATATACAGCGAGAAGCCCTAACTTGAAAGGAGGCCGGATTTCCTTGCAGTGGCTTGAATACAGGCTCGTCTTTCATCTCACAACATGAAGGGATGTCTGAATCCCTTGTGGAGACCTTAGAGAAAGCCCTAGGTACCTGCCTCATTTTGACGGAATGCCTTACATCCCGCTGACACCTCGAGAGGCACGCCTAGTTCATTGCTTCAAAAGGTGACGATGCCTGACTCGTCTTGAATACTGATAGGAATCCCAAAATCACTGTGGCTACTGGAAAGGGTACTTGGGTGCACTGCCTCACCTCGAGAAGTGTCCCTTTTGCCCTGCCAAGCCTCGAAGAGATTCCTGAGGTGTCCCTCGTTACTAGACAGGAGTCCTGACGTCACTGAAGAAACCCGTGTTTTGAAGGGCCATCCCCGCCGTAAGTCGAGAACATACCCCAGGTCCCCGCCGCAACTCGAGAAAAACCATGAGACTTCCCCCTAGAGGCGAGATGAGGCCCCATTCCACTGCAGTGCATGCAGAGCTCTTCCGTGATCCCATTCAAACAAGTCAGGAGCTTCGACTTGCTTAATGGATCTCGAGACAGTCCCCAAGAACACTGTCACCAGTCTAGACGGACCCTGAGGTCACCCCAGCAACGCAAATCAGCTCCATGTGCCCCAAATCAACTCGAGATGAGGCCCGATTCCCCTGCATTGACTCCAGAGCCATTCCCCGTTCCCCATTCAACAGGACCGGTGGCTCGACTTCCTTCAGGCAACTCCAGAGATGCCCCGAGAACACTGTCCCAAGTCTAGAGGAACACCAACTTCAGCACAGCAACTCGAGGAATGCTCCGTGTACCCCAAATTGTCTCGAGATGAGAGATGATTCCCTGGCTTAGGCTCAAGACGTATGCCAACTTCCCAGAAGCACCTCAGGAGGAGGCTTCTCTCAGCAATAGGTATGTGGGAGGGACCCCGAGTTTGCTGCCTCAAGGGGAATATACAGCGAGAAGCCCTAACTTGAAAGGAGGCCGGATTTCCTTGCAGTGGCTTGAATACAGGCTCGTCTTTCATCTCACAACATGAAGGGATGTCTGAATCCCCTGTGGAGACCTTAGAGAAAGCCCTAGGTGCCTGCCTCATTTTGACGGAATGCCTCACATCCCGCTGACACCTCGAGAGGCACGCCTAGTTCATTGCTTCAAAAGGTGACGATGCCTGACTCCTCTTGAATACTGATAGGAATCCCAAAATCCCTGTGGCTACTGGAAAGGGTCCTTGGGTGCCCTGCCTCACCTCGAGAAGCGTCCCTTTTGCCCTGCCAAGCCTCGAAGAAATTCCTGAGGTGTCCCTCGTTACTAGACAGGAGTCCTGACGTCACTGAAGAAACTCGTGTTTTGAAGGGCCATCCCCGCCATAAGTCGAGAACATACCCCAGGTCCCCGCCGCAACTCGAGAAAAACCATGAGACTTCCCCCTAGAGGCGAGATGAGGCCCCATTCCCCTGCAGTGCATGCAGAGCTATTCCGTGATCCCATTCAAACAAGTCAGGAGCTTCGACTTGCTTAATGGATCTCGAGACAGTCCCCAAGAACACTGTCACCAGTCTAGACGGACCCTGAGGTCACCCCAGCAACGCAAATCAGCTCCATGTGCCCCAAATCAACTCGAGATGAGGCCCGATTCCCCTGCATTGACTCCAGAGCCATTCCCTGTTCCCCATTCAACACGACCGGTGGCTCGACTTCCTTCAGGCAACTCCAGAGATACCCCGAGAACACTGTCCCAAGTCTAGGGGAACACCAACTTCAGCACAGCAACTCGATGAATGCTCCGTGTACCCCAAATCGTCTCGAGATGAGAGCTGATTCCCTGGCTTATGCTCAAGACGTATGCCAACTTCCCAGAAGCACCTCAGGAGGAGGCTTCTCTCAGCAATAGGTATGTGGGAGGGACCCCGAGTTTGCTGCCTCAAGGGGAATATACAGCGAGAAGCCCTAACTTGAAAGGAGGCCGGATTTCCTTGCAGTGGCTTGAATACAGGCTCGTCTTTCATCTCACAACATGAAGGGATGTCTGAATCCCCTGTGGAGACCTTAGAGAAAGCCCTAGGTCCCTGCCTCATTTTGACGGAATGCCTCACATCCCGCTGACACCTCGAGAGGCACGCGGAGTTCATTGCTTCAAAAGGTGACGATGCCTGACTCCTCTTGAATACTGATAGGAATCCCAAAATCCCTGTGGCTACTGGAAACTGTCCTTGGGTGCCCTGCCTCACCTCGAGAAGCGTCCCTTTTGCCCTGCCAAGCCTCGAAGAGATTCCTGAGGTGTCCCTCGTTACTAGACAGGAGTCCTGACGTCACTGAAAAAACTCGTGTTTTGAAGGGCCATCCCCGCCGTAAGTCGAGAACATACCCCAGGTCCCCGCCGCACCTCGAGAAAAACCATGAGACTTCCCCCTAGAGGCGAGATGAGGCCCCATTCCCATGCAGTGCATGCAGAGCTATTCCGTGATCCCATTCAAACAAGTCAGGAGCTTCGACTTGCTTAATGGATCTTGAGACAGTCACCAAGAACACTGTCACCAGTCTAGACGGACCCTGAGGTCACCCCAGCAACGCAAATCAGCTCCATGTGCCCCAAATCAACTCGAGATGAGGCCCGACTCCCCTGCATTGAATCCAGAGCCATTCCCCGTTCCCCATTCAACACGACCGGTGGCTCGACTTCCTTCAGGCAAATCCAGAGTTGCCCCGAGAACACTGTCCCAAGTCTAGAGGAACACCAACTTCAGCACAGCAACTCGAGGAATGCTCCGTGTACACCAAATCGTCTCGAGATGAGAGCTGATTCCCTGGCTTAGGCTCAAGACGTATGCCAACTTCCCAGAAGCACCTCAGGAGGAGGCTTCCTCAGCAATAGGTATGTGGGAGGGACCCCGAGTTTGCTGCCTCAAGGGGAATATACAGCGAGAAGCCCTAACTTGAAAGGAGGCCGGATTTCCTTGCAGTGGCTTGAATACAGGCTCGTCTTTCATCTCACAACATGAAGGGATGTCTGAATCCCCTGTGGAGACCTTAGAGAAAGCCCTAGGTCCCTGCCTCATTTTGACGGAATGCCTCACATCCCGCTGACACCTCGAGAGGCACGCGGAGTTCATTGCTTCAAAAGGTGACGAAGCCTGACTCCTCTTGAATACTGATAGGAATCCCAAAATCCCTGTGGCTACTGGAAAGGGTCCTTGGGTGCCCTGCCTCACCTCGAGAAGCGTCCCTTTTGCCCTGCCAAGCCTCGAAGAGATTCCTGAGGTGTCCCTCGTTACTAGACAGGAGTCCTGACGTCACTGAAGAAACTCATGTTTTGAAGGGCCATCCCCGCCGTAAGTCGAGAACATACCCCAGGTCCCCGCCGCAACTCGAGAAAAACCATGAGACTTCCCCCTAGAGGCGAGATGAGGCCCCATTCCCCTGCAGTGCATGCAGAGCTATTCCGTGATCCCATTCAAACAAGTCAGGAGCTTCGACTTGCTTAATGGATCTCGAGACAGTCCCCAAGACCACTGTCACCAGTCTAGACGGACCCTGAGGTCACCCCAGCAACGCAAAGCAGCTCCATGTGCCCCAAATCAACTCAAGATGAGGCCCGATTCCCCTGCATTGACTCCAGAGCCATTCCCCGTTCCCCATTCAACACGACCGGTGGCTCGACTTCCTTCAGGCAACTCCAGAGATGCCCCGAGAACACTGTCCCATGTCTAGAGGAACACCAACTTCAGCACAGCAACTCGAGGAATGCTCCGTGTACCCCAAATCGTCTCGAGATGAGAGCTGATTCCCTGGCTTAGGCTCAAGACGTATGCCAACTTCCCAGAAGCACCTCAGGAGGAGGCTTCTCTCAGCAATAGGTATGTGGGAGGGACCCCGAGTTTGCTGCCTCAAGGGGAATATACAGCGAGAAGCCCTAACTTGAAAGGAGGCCGGATTTCCTTGCAGTGGCTTGAATACAGGCTCGTCTTTCATCTCACAACATGAAGGGATGTCTGAATCCCCTGTGGAGACCTTAGAGAAAGCCCTAGGTCCCTGCCTCATTTTGACGGAATGCCTCACATCCCGCTGACACCTCGAGAGGCACGCGGAGTTCATTGCTTCAAAAGGTGACGATGCCTGACTCCTCTTGAATACTGATAGGAATCCCAAAATCCCTGTGGCTACTGGAAAGGGTCCTTGGGTGCCCTGCCTCACCTCGAGAAGCGTCCCTTTTGCCCTGCCAAGCCTCGAAGAGATTCCTGAGGTGTCCCTCGTTACTAGACAGGAGTCCTGACGTCACTGAGGAAACTCGTGTTTTGAAGGGCCATCCCCGCCGTAAGTCGAGAACATACCCCAGGTCCCCGCCGCAACTCGAGAAAAACCATGAGACTTCCCCCTAGAGGCGAGATGAGTCCCCATTCCCCTGCAGTGCATGCAGAGCTATTCCGTGATCCCATTCAAACAAGTCAGGAGCTTCGACTTGCTTCATGGATCTCGAGACAGTCCCCAAGAACACTGTCACCAGTCTAGACGGAACCTGAGGTCACCCCAGCAACGCAAAGCAGCTCCAGGTGCCCCAAATCAACTCAAGATGAGGCCCGATTCCCCTGCATTGACTCCAGAGCCATTCCCCGTTCCCCATTCAACACGACCGGTGGCTCGACTTCTTTCAGGCAACTCCAGAGATGCCCCGAGAACACTCTCCCAAGTCTAGAGGAACACCAACTTCAGCACAGCAACTCGAGGAATGCTCCGTGTACCCCAAATCGTCTCGAGATGAGAGCTGATTCCCTGGCTTAGGCTCAAGACGTATGCCAACTTCCCAGAAGCACCTCAGGAGGAGGCTTCTCTCAGCAATAGGTATGTGGGAGGGACCCCGAGTTTGCTGCCTCAAGGGGAATATACAGCGAGAAGCCCTAACTTGAAAGGAGGCCGGATTTCCTTGCAGTGGCTTGAATACAGGCTCGTCTTTCATCTCACAACATGAAGGGATGTCTGAATCCCCTGTGGAGACCTTAGAGAAAGCCCTAGGTGCCTGCCTCATTTTGACGGAATGCCTCACATCCCGCTGACACCTCGAGAGGCACGCGGAGTTCATTGCTTCAAAAGGTGACGATGCCTGACTCCTCTTGAATACTGATAGGAATCCCAAAATCCCTGTGGCTACTGGAAAGGGTCCTTGGGTGCCCTGCCTCACCTCGAGAAGCGTCCCTTTTGCCCTGCCAAGCCTCGAAGAGATTCCTGAGGTGTCCCTCGTTACTAGACAGGAGTCCTGACGTCACTGAAGAAACTCGTGTTTTGAAGGGCCATCCCCGCCGTAAGTCGAGAACATACCCCAGGTCCCCGCCGCAACTCGAGAAAAACCATGAGACTTCCCCCTAGAGGCGAGATGAGGCCCCATTCCCCTGCAGTGCATGCAGAGCTATTCCGTGATCCCATTCAAACAAGTCAGGAGCTTCGACTTGCTTAATGGATCTCGAGACAGTCCCCAAGAACACTGTCACCAGTCTAGATGGACCCTGAGGTCACCCCAGCAACGCAAAGCAGCTCCATGTGCCCCAAATCAACTCGAGATGAGGCCCGATTCCCCTGCATTGACTCCAGAGCCATTCCCCGTTCCCCATTCAACATGACCGGTGGCTCGACTTCCTTCAGGCAACTCCAGAGATGCCCCGAGAACACTGTTCCAAGTCTAGGGGAAAACCAACTTCAGCACAGCAACTCGAGGAATGCTCCGTGTACCCCAAATCGTCTCGAGATGAGAGCTGATTCCCTGGCTTAGGCTCAAGACGTATGCCAACTTCCCAGAAGCACATCAGGAGGAGGCTTCTCTCAGCAATAGGTATGTGGGAGGGACCCCGAGTTTGCTGCCTCAAGGGGAATATACAGCGAGAAGACCTAACTTGAAAGGAGGCCGGATTTCCTTGCAGTGGCTTGAATACAGGCTCGTCTTTCATCTCACAACATGAAGGGATGTCTGAATCCCCTGTGGAGACCTTAGAGAAAGCCCTAGGTCCCTGCCTCATTTTGACGGAATGCCTCACATCCCGTTGACACCTCGAGAGGCACGCGGAGTTCATTGCTTCAAAAGGTGACGATGCCTGACTCCTCTTGAATACTGATAGGAATCCCAAAATCCCTGTGGCTACTGGAAAGGGTCCTTGGGTGCCCTGCCTCACCTCGAGAAGCGTCCCTTTTGCCCTGCCAAGCCTCGAAGAGATTCCTGAGGTGTCCCTCGTTACTAGACAGGAGTCCTGACGTCACTGAAGAAACTCGTGTTTTGAAGGGCCATCCCCGCCGTAAGTCGAGAACATACCCCAGGTCCCCGCCGCACCTCGAGAAAAACCATGAGACTTCCCCCTAGAGGCGAGATGAGTCCCCATTCTCATGCAGTGCATGCAGAGCTATTCCGTGATCCAATTCAAACAAGTCAGGAGCTTCGACTTGCTTAATGGATCTCGAGACAGTCCCCAAGAACACTGTCACCAGTCTAGACGGACCCTGAGGTCACCCCAGCAACGCAAATCAGCTCCATGTGCCCCAAATCAACTCGAGCTGAGGCCCGATTCCCCTGCATTGACTCCAGAGCCATTCCCCGTTCCCCATTCAACACGACCGGTGGCTCGACTTCCTTCAGGCAACTCCAGAGATGCCCCGAGAACACTGTCCCAAGTCTAGGGGAACACCAACTTCAGCACAGCAACTCGATGAATGCTCCTTGTACCCCAAATCGTCTCGAGATGAGAGCTGATTCCCTGGCTTAGGCTCAAGACGTATGCCAACTTCCCAGAAGCACCTCAGGAGGAGGCTTCTCTCAGCAATAGGTATGTGGGAGGGACCCCGAGTTTGCTGCCTCAAGGGGAACATACAGCGAGAAGCCCTAACTTGAAAGGAGGCCGGATTTCCTTGCAGTGGTTTGAATACAGGCTCGTCTTTCATCTCACAACATGAAGGGATGTCTGAATCCCCTGTGGAGACCTTAGAGAAAGCCCTAGGTGCCTGCCTCATTTTGACGGAATGCCTCACATCCCGCTGACACCTCGAGAGGCACGCGGAGTTCATTGCTTCAAAAGGTGACGATGCCTGACTCCTCTTGAATACTGATAGGAATCCCAAAATCCCTGTGGCTACTGGAAAGGGTCCTTGGGTGCCCTGCCTCACCTCGAGAAGCGTCCCTTTTGCCCTGCCAAGCCTCGAAGAGATTCCTGAGGTGTCCCTCGTTACTAGACAGGAGTCCTGACGTCACTGAAGAAACTCGTGTTTTGAAGGGCCATCCCCGCCGTAAGTCGAGAACATACCCCAGGTCCCCGCCGCAACTCGAGAAAAACCATGAGACTTCCCCCTAGAGGCGAGATGAGGCCCCATTCCCCTGCAGTGCATGCAGAGCTATTCCGTGATCCCATTCAAACAAGTCAGGAGCTTCGACTTGCTTCATGGATCTCGAGACAGTCCCCAAGAACACTGTCACCAGTCTAGACGGACCCTGAGGTCACCCCAGCAACGCAAAGCAGCTCCATGTGCCCCAAATCAACTCAAGATGAGGCCCGATTCCCCTGCATTGACTCCAGAGCCATTCCCCGTTCCCCATTCAACACGACCGGTGGCTCGACTTCTTTCAGGCAACTCCAGAGATGCCCCGAGAACACTCTCCCAAGTCTTGAGGAACACCAACTTCAGCACAGCAACTCGAGGAATGCTCCGTGTACCCCAAATCGTCTCGAGATGAGAGCTGATTCCCTGGCTTAGGCTCAAGACGTATGCCAACTTCCCAGAAGCACCTCAGGAGGAGGCTTCTCTCAGCAATAGGTATGTGGGAGGGACCCCGAGTTTGCTGCCTCAAGGGGAATATACAGCGAGAAGCCCTAACTTGAAAGGAGGCCGGATTTCATTGCAGTGGCTTGAATACAGGCTCGTCTTTCATCTCACAACATGAAGGGATGTCTGAATCCCCTGTGGAGACCTTAGAGAAAGCCCTAGGTGCCTGCCTCATTTTGACGGAATGCCTCACATCCCGCTGACACCTCGAGAGGCACGCGGAGTTCATTGCTTCAAAAGGTGACGATGCCTGACTCCTCTTGAATACTGATAGGAATCCCAAAATCCCTGTGGCTACTGGAAAGGGTCCTTGGGTGCCCTGCCTCACCTCGAGAAGCGTCCCTTTTGCCCTGCCAAGCCTCGAAGAGATTCCTGAGGTGTCCCTCGTTACTAGACAGGAGTCCTGACGTCACTGAAGAAACTCGTGTTTTGAAGGGCCATCCCCGCCGTAAGTCGAGAACATACCCCAGGTCCCCGCCGCAACTCGAGAAAAACCATGAGACTTCCCCCTAGAGGCGAGATGAGGCCCCATTCCCCTGCAGTGCATGCAGAGCTATTCCGTGATCCCATTCAAACAAGTCAGGAGCTTCGACTTGCTTAATGGATCTCGAGACAGTCCCCAAGAACACTGTCACCAGTCTAGATGGACCCTGAGGTCACCCCAGCAACGCAAAGCAGCTCCATGTGCCCCAAATCAACTCGAGATGAGGCCCGATTCCCCTGCATTGACTCCAGAGCCATTCCCCGTTCCCCATTCAACACGACCGGTGGCTCGACTTCCTTCAGGCAACTCCAGAGATGCCCCGAGAACACTGTTCCAAGTCTAGGGGAAAACCAACTTCAGCACAGCAACTCGAGGAATGCTCCGTGTACCCCAAATCGTCTCGAGATGAGAGCTGATTCCCTGGCTTAGGCTCAAGACGTATGCCAACTTCCCAGAAGCACATCAGGAGGAGGCTTCTCTCAGCAATAGGTATGTGGGAGGGACCCCGAGTTTGCTGCCTCAAGGGGAATATACAGCGAGAAGCCCTAACTTGAAAGGAGGCCGGATTTCCTTGCAGTGGCTTGAATACAGGCTCGTCTTTCATCTCACAACATGAAGGGATGTCTGAATCCCCTGTGGAGCCCTTAGAGAAAGCCCTAGGTGCCTGCCTCATTTTGACGGAATGCCTCACATCCCGCTGACACCTCGAGAGGCACGCGGAGTTCATTGCTTCAAAAGGTGACGATGCCTGACTCCTCTTGAATACTGATAGGAATCCCAAAATCCCTGTGGCTACTGGAAAGGGTCCTTGGGTGCCCTGCCTCACCTCGAGAAGCGTCCCTTTTGCCCTGCCAAGCCTCGAAGAGATTCCTGAGGTGTCCCTCGTTACTAGACAGGAGTCCTGACGTCACTGAAGAAACTCGTGTTTTGAAGGGCCATCCCCGCCGTAAGTCGAGAACATACCCCAGGTCCCCGCCGCACCTCGAGAAAAACCATGAGACTTCCCCCTAGAGGCGAGATGAGGCCCCATTCTCATGCAGTGCATGCAGAGCTATTCCGTGATCCAATTCAAACAAGTCAGGAGCTTCGACTTGCTTAATGGATCTCGAGACAGTCCCCAAGAACACTGTCACCAGTCTAGACGGACCCTGAGGTCACCCCAGCAACGCAAATCAGCTCCATGTGCCCCAAATCAACTCGAGATGAGGCCCGATTCCCCTGCATTGACCCCAGAGCCATTCCCCGTTCCCCATTCAACACGACCGGTGGCTCGACTTCCTTCAGGCAACTCCAGAGATGCCCCGAGAACACTGTCCCAAGTCTAGGGGAACACCAACTTCAGCACAGCAACTCGATGAATGCTCCGTGTACCCCAAATCGTCTCGAGATGAGAGCTGATTCCCTGGCTTAGGCTCAAGACGTATGCCAACTTCCCAGAAGCACCTCAGGAGGAGGCTTCTCTCAGCAATAGGTATGTGGGAGGGACCCCGAGTTTGTTGCCTCAAGGGGAATATACAGCGAGAAGCCCTAACTTGAAAGGAAGCCGGATTTCCTTGCAGTGGCTTGAATACAGGCTCGTCTTTCATCTCACAACATGAAGGGATGTCTGAATCCCCTGTGGAGACCTTAGAGAAAGCCCTAGGTGCCTGCCTCATTTTGACGGAATGCCTCACATCCCGCTGACACCTCGAGAGGCACGCGGAGTTCATTGCTTCAAAAGGTGACGATGCCTGACTCCTCTTGAATACTGATAGGAATCCCAAAATCCCTGTGGCTACTGGAAAGGGTCCTTGGGTGCCCTGCCTCACCTCGAGAAGCGTCCCTTTTGCCCTGCCAAGCCTCGAAGAGATTCCTGAGGTGTCCCTCCTTACTAGACAGGAGTCCTGACGTCACTGAAGAAACTCGTGTTTTGGAGGGCCATCCCCGCTGTAAGTCGAGAACATACCCCAGGTCCCCGCCGCACCTCGAGAAAAACCATGAGACTTCCCCCTAGAGGCGAGATGAGGCCCCATTCCCATGCAGTGCATGCAGAGCTATTCCGTGATCCCATTCAAACAAGTCAGGAGCTTCGACTTGCTTAATGGATCTCGAGACAGTCCCCAAGAACACTGTCACCAGTCTAGACGGACCCTGAGCTCACCCCAGCAACGCAAATCAGCTCCATGGGCCCCAAGTCAACTCGAGATGAGGCCCGACTCCCCTGCATTGAATCCAGCGCCATTCCCCGTTCCCCATTCAACACGACCGGTGGCTCGACTTCCTTCAGGCAACTCCAGAGATGCCCTGAGAACACTGTCCCAAGTCTAGAGGAACACCAACTTAAGCACAGCAACTCGAGGAATGCTCCGTGTACCCCAAATCGTCTCGAGATGAGAGCTGATTCCCTGGCTTAGGCTCAAGACGTATGCCAACTTCCCAGAAGCACCTCAGGAGGAGGCTTCTCTCAGCAATAGGTATGTGGGAGGGACCCTGAGTTTGCTGCCTCAAGGGGAATATACAGCGAGAAGCCCTAACTTGAAAGGAGGCCGGATTTCCTTGCAGTGGCTTGAATACAGGCTCGTCTTTCATCTCACAACACGAAGGGATGTCTGAATCCCCTGTGGAGACCTTAGAGAAAGCCCTAGGTGCCTGCCACATTTTGACGGAATGCCTCACATCCCGCTGACACCTCTAGAGGCACGCGGAGTTCATTGCTTCAAAAGGTGACGATGCCTGACTCGTCTTGAATACTGATAGGAATCCCAAAATCACTGTGGCTACTGGAAAGGGTCCTTGGGTGCCCTGCCTCACCTCGAGAAGCGTCCCTTTTGCCCTGCCAAGCCTCGAAGAGATTCCTGAGGTGTCCCTCGTTACTAGACAGGAGTCCTGACGTCACTGAAGAAACTCGTGTTTTGAAGGGCCATCCCCGCCGTAAGTCGAGAACATACCCCAGGTCCCCGCCGCAACTCGAGAAAAACCATGAGACTTCCCCCTAGAGGCGAGATGAGGCCCCATTCCCCTGCAGTGCATGCAGAGCTATTCCGTGATCCCATTCAAACAAGTCAGGAGCTTCGACTTGCTTAATGGATCTCGAGACAGTCCCCAAGAACACTGTCACCAGTCTAGACGGACCCTGAGGTCACCCCAGCAACGCAAAGCAGCTCCATGTGCCCCAAATCAACCCGAGATGAGGCCCGATTCCCCTGCATTGACTCCAGAGCCATTCACGTTCCCCATTCAACACGACCGGTGGCTCGACTTCCTTCAGGCAACTCCAGAGATGCCCCGAGAACACTGTCCCAAGTCTAGAGGAACACCAACTTCAGCACAGCAACTCGATGAATGCTCCGTGTACCCCAAATCGTCTCGAGATGAGAGCTGATTCCCTGGCTTAGGCTCAAGACGTATGCCAACTTCCCAGAAGCACCTCAGGAGGAGGCTTCTCTCAGCAATAGGTATGTGGGAGGGACCCCGAGTTTGCTGCCTCAAGGGGAATATACAGCGAGAAGCCCTAACTTGAAAGGAGGCCGCATTTCCTTGCAGTGGCTTGAATACAGGCTCGTCTTTCATCTCACAACATGAAGGGATGTCTGAATCCCCTGTGGAGACCTTAGAGAAAGCCCTAGGTGCCTGCCTCATTTTGACGGAATGCCTCACATCCCGCTGACACCTCGAGAGGCACGCGGAGTTCATTGCTTCAAAAGGTGACGATGCCTGACTCGTCTTGAATACTGATAGGAATCCCAAAATCCCTGTGGCTACTGGAAAGGGTCCTTGGGTGCCCTGCCTCACCTCGAGAAGCGTCCCTTTTGCCCTGCCAAGCCTCGAAGAGATTCCTGAGGTGTCCCTCGTTACTAGACAGGAGTCCTGACGTCACTGAAGAAACTCGTGTTTTGAAGGGCCATCCCCGCCGTAAGTCGAGAACATACCCCAGGTCCCCGCCGCACCTCGAGAAAAACCATGAGACTTCCCCCTAGAGGCGAGATGAGGCCCCATTCCCATGCAGTGCATGCAGAGCTATTCCGTGATCCCATTCAAACAAGTCAGGAGCTTCGACTTGCTTAATGGATCTCGAGACAGTCCCCAAGAACACTGTCACCAGTCTAGACGGAACCTGAGGTCACCCCAGCAACGCAAATCAGCTCCATGTGCCCCAAATCAACTCGAGATGAGGCCCGACTCCCCTGCATTGAATCCAGAGCCATTCCCCGTTCCCCATTCAACACGACCGGTGGCTCGACTTCCTTCAGGCAAATCCAGAGATGCCCCGAGAACACTGCCCCAAGTCTAGAGGAACACCAACTTAAGCACAGCAACTCGAGTAATGCTCCGTGTACCCCAAATCGTCTCGAGATGAGAGCTGATTCCCTGGCTTAGGCTCAAGACGTATGCCAACTTCACAGAAGCACCTCAGGAGGAGGCTTCTCTCAGCAATAGGTATGTGGGAGGGACCCCGAGTTTGCTGCCTCAAGGGGAATATACAGCGAGAAGCCCTAACTTGAAAGGAGGCCGGATTTCCTTGCAGTGGCTTGAATACAGGCTCGTCGTTCATCTCACAACATGAAGGGATGTCTGAATCCCCTGTGGAGACCTTAGAGAAAGCCCTAGGTGCCTGCCTCATTTTGACGGAATGCCTCACATCCCGCTGACACCTCGAGAGGCACGCGGAGTTCATTGCTTCAAAAGGTGACGATGCCTGACTCGTCTTGAATACTGATAGGAATCCCAAAATCACTGTGGCTACTGGAAAGGGTCCTTGGGTGCCCTGCCTCACCTCGAGAAGCGTCCCTTTTGCCCTGCCAAGCCTCGAAGAGATTCCTGAGGTGTCCCTCGTTACTAGACAGGAGTCCTGACGTCACTGAAGAAACTCGTGTTTTGAAGGGCCATCCCCGCCGTAAGTCGAGAACATACCCCAGGTCACCGCCACAACTCGAGAAAAACCATGAGACTTCCCCCTAGAGGCGAGATGAGGCCCCATTCCCCTGCAGTGCATGCAGAGCTATTCCGTGATCCCATTCAAACAAGTCAGGAGCTTCGACTTGCTTAATGGATCTCGAGACAGTCCCCAAGAACACTGTCACCAGTCTAGACGGACCCTGAGGTCACCCCAGCAACGCCAAGCAGCTCCATGTGCCCCAAATCAACTCGAGATGAGGCCCAATTCCCCTGCAGTGACTCCAGAGCCATTCCCCGTTCCACATTCAACACGACCGGTGGCTCGACTTCCTTCAGGCAACTCCAGAGATGCCCCGAGAACACTGTCCCATGTCTAGAGGAACAACAACTTCAGCACAGCAACTCGAGGAATGCTCCGTGTACCCCAAATTGTCTCGAGATGAGAGATGATTCCCTGGCTTAGGCTCAAGACGTATGCCAACTTCCCAGAAGCACCACAGGAGGAGGCTTCTCTCAGCAATAGGTATGTGGGAGGGACCCTGAGTTTGCTGCCTCAAGGGGAATATACAGCGAGAAGCCCTAACTTGAAAGGAGGCCGGATTTCCTTGCAGTGGCTTGAATACAGGCTCGTCTTTCATCTCACAACATGAAGGGATGTCTGAATCCCCTGTGGAGACCTTAGAGAAAGCCCTAGGTCCCTGCCTCATTTTGACGGAATGCCTCACATCCCGCTGACACCTCGAGAGGCACGCGGAGTTCATTGCTTCAAAAGGTGACGATGCCTGACTCGTCTTGAATACTGATAGGAATCCCAAAATCCCTGTGGCTACTGGAAAGCGTCCTTGGGTGCCCTGCCTCACCTCGAGAAGCGTCCCTTTTGCCCTGCCAAGCCTCGAAGAGATTCCTGAGGTGTCCCTCGTTACTAGACAGGAGTCCTGACGTCACTGAAGAAACTCGTGTTTCGAAGGGCCATCCCCGCCGTAAGTCGAGAACATACCCCAGGTCCCCGCCGCACCTCGAGAAAAACCATGAGACTTCCCCCTAGAGGCGAGATGAGGCCCCATTCCCCTGCAGTGCATGCAGAGCTATTCCGTGATCCCATTCAAACAAGTCAGGATCTTCGACTTGCTTAATGGATCTCGAGACAGTCCCCAAGAACACTGTCACCAGTCTAGATGGACCCTGAGGTCACCCCAGCAACGCAAAGCAGCTCCATGTGCCCCAAATCAACTCGAGATGAGGCCCGATTCCCCTGCATTGACTCCAGAGCCATTCCCCGTTCCCCATTCAACACGACCGGTGGCTCGACTTCCTTCAGGCAACTCCAGAGATGCCCCGAGAACACTGTCCCAAGTCTAGAGGAAAACCAACTTCAGCACAGCAACTCGAGGAATGCTCCGTGTACCCCAAATCGTCTCGAGATGAGAGCTGATTCCCTGGCTTAGGCTCAAGACGTATGCCAACTTCCCAGAAGCACATCAGGAGGAGGCTTCTCTCAGCAATAGGTATGTGGGAGGGACCCCGAGTTTGCTGCCTCAAGGGGAATGTACAGCGAGAAGCCCTAACTTGAAAGGAGGCCGGATTTCCTTGCAGTGGCTTGAATACAGGCTCGTCTTTCATCTCACCACATGAAGGGATGTCTGAATCCCCTGTGGAGACCTTAGAGAAAGCCCTAGGTCCCTGCCTCATTTTGACGGAATGCCTCACATCCCGCTGAAACCTCGAGAGGCACGCGGAGTTCATTGCTTCAAAAGGTGACGATGCCTGACTCGTCTTGAATACTGATAGGAATCCCAAAATCACTGTGGCTACTGGAAAGGGTCCTTGGGTGCCCTGCCTCACCTCGAGAAGCGTCCCTTTTGCCCTGCCAAGCCTCGAAGAGATTCCTGAGGTGTCCCTCATTACTAGACAGGAGTCCTTACGTCACTGAATAAACTCGTGTTTCGAAGGGCCATCCCCGCCGTAAGTCGAGAACATACCCCAGGTCCCCGCCGCAACTCGAGAAAAACCATGAGACTTCCCCCTAGAGGCGAGATGAGGCCCCATTCCCCTGCAGTGCATGCAGAGCTATTCCGTGATCCCATTCAAACAAGTCAGGAGCTTCAACTTGCTTAATGGATCTCGAGACAGTCCCCAAGAACACTGTCACCAGTCTAGACGGACCCTGAGGTCACCCCAGCAACGCAAATCAGCTCCATGTGCCCCAAATCAACTCGAGATGAGGCCCGATTCCCCTGCATTGACTCCAGAGCCATTCCCCGTTCCCCATTCAACACGACCGGTGGCTCGACTTCCTTCAGGCAACTCCAGAGATGCCCCGAGAACACTGTCCCAAGTCTAGAGGAAAACCAACTTCAGCACAGCAACTCGAGGAATGCTCCGTGTACCCCAAATCGTCTCGAGATGAGAGCTCATTCCCTGGCTTAGGCTCAAGACGTATGCCAACTTCCCAGAAGCACATCAGGAGGAGGCTTCTCTCAGCAATAGGTATGTGGGAGGGACCCCGAGTTTGCTGCCTCAAGGGGAATATACAGCGAGAAGCCCTAACTTGAAAGGAGGTCGGATTTCCTTGCAGTGGCTTGAATACAGGCTCGTCTTTCATCTCACAACATGAAGGGATGTCTGAATCCCCTGTGGAGACCTTAGAGAAAGCCCTTTGTCCCTGCCTCATTTTGACGGAATGCCTCACATCCCGTTGACACCTCGAGAGGCACGCGGAGTTCATTGCTTCAAAAGGTGACGATGCCTGACTCCTCTTGAATACTGATAGGAATCCCAAAATCCCTGTGGCTACTGGAAAGGGTCCTTGGGTGCCCTGCCTCACCTCGAGAAGCGTCCCTTTTGCCCTGCCAAGCCTCGAAGAGATTCCTGAGGTGTCCCTCGTTACTAGACAGGAGTCCTGACGTCACTGAAGAAACTCGTGTTTTGAAGGGCCATCCCCGCCGTAAGTCGAGAACATACCCCAGGTCCCCGCCGCAACTCGAGAAAAACCATGAGACTTCCCCTTACAGGCGAGATGAGGCCCCATTCCCCTGCAGTGCATGCAGAGCTATTCCGTGATCCCATTCAAACAAGTCAGGAGCTTCGACTTGCTTAATGGATCTCGAGACAGTCCCCAAGAACACTGTCACCAGTCTAGACGGACCCTGAGGTCACCCCAGCAACGCAAAGCAGCTCCATGTGCCCCAAATCAACTCGAGGTGAGGACCGATTCCCCTGCATTGACTCCAGAGCCATTCCCCGTTCCCCATGCAACACGACCGGTGGCTCGACTTCCTTTAGGCAACTCCAGAGATGCCCCGAAAACACTGTCCCAAGTCTAGAGGAATACCAACTTCAGCACAGCAACTCGAGGAATGCTCCGTGTACCCCAAATCGTCTCGAGATGAGAGCTGATTCCCTGGCTTAGGCTCAAGACGTATGCCAACTTTCCAGAAGCACCTCAGGAGGAGGCTTCTCTCAGCAATAGGTATGTGGGAGGGACCCCGAGTTTGCTGCCTCAAGGGGAATATACAGCGAGAAGCCCTAACTTGAAAGGAGGCCGGATTTCCTTGCAGTGGCTTGAATACAGGCTCGTCTTTCATCTCACAACATGAAGGGATGTCTGAATCCCCTGTGGAGACCTTAGAGAAAGCCCTAGGTGCCTGCCTCATTTTGACGGAATGCCTCACATCCCGCTGACACCTCGAGAGGCACGCGGAGTTCATTGCTTCAAAAGGTGACGATGCCTGACTCGTCTTGAATACTGATATGAATCCCAAAATCCCTGTGGCTACTGGAAAGGGTCCTTGGGTGCCCTGCCTCACCTCGAGAAGCGTCCCTTTTGCCCTGCCAAGCCTCGAAGAGATTCTTGAGGTGTCCCTCGTTACTAGACAGGAGTCCTGACGTCACTGAAGAAACTCGTGTTTTGAAGGGCCATCCCCGCCGTAAGTCGAGAACATACCCCAGGTACCCGCCGCAACTCGAGAAAAACCATGAGACTTCCCCTTACAGGCGAGATGAGGCCCCATTCCCCTGCAGTGCATGCAGAGCTATTCCGTGATCCCATTCAAACAAGTCAGGAGCTTCGACTTGCTTAATGGATCTCGAGACAGTCCCCAAGAACACTGTCACCAGTCTAGACGGACCCAGAGGTCACCCCAGCAATGCAAAGCAGCTCCATGTGCCCCAAATCAACTCGAGGTGAGGACCGATTCCCCTGCATTGACTCCAGAGCCATTCCCCGTTCCCCATTCAACACGACCGGTGGCTCGACTTCCTTCAGGCAACTCCAGAGATGCCCCGAGAACACTGTCCCAAGTCTAGAGGAACACGAACTTCAGCACAGCAACTCGAGGAATGCTCCGTGTACCCCAAATCGTCTCGAGATGAGAGCTGATTCCCTGGCTTAGGCTCAAGACGTATGCCAATTTCCCAGAAGCACCACAGGAGGAGGCTTCTCTCAGCAATAGGTATGTGGGAGGGACCCCGAGTTTGCTGCCTCAAGGGGAATATACAGCGAGAAGCCCTAACTTGAAAGGAGGCCGGATTTCATTGCAGTGGCTTGAATACAGGCTCGTCTTTCATCTCACAACATGAAGGGATGTCTGAATCCCCTGTGGAGACCTTAGAGAAAGCCCTAGGTCCCTGCCTCATTTTGACGGAATGCCTCACATCCCGCTGACACCTCGAGAGGCACGCGGAGTTCATTGCTTCAAAAGGTGACGATGCCTGACTCCTCTTGAATACTGATAGGAATCCCAAAATCCCTGTGGCTACTGGAAAGGGTCCTTGGGTGCCCTGCCTCACCTCGAGAAGCGTCCCTTTTGCCCTGCCAAGCCTCGAAGAGATTCCTGAGGTGTCCCTCGTTACTAGACAGGAGTCCTGACGTCACTGAAGAAACTCGTGTTTTGAAGGGCCATCCCCGCCGTAAGTCGAGAACATACCCCAGGTCCCCGCCGCAACTCGAGAAAAACCATGAGACTTCCCCCTAGAGGCGACATGAGGCCCCATTCCCCTGCAGTGCATGCAGAGCTATTCCGAGATCCCATTCAAACAAGTCAGGAGCTTCGACTTGCTTAATGGATCTCGAGACAGTCCCCAAGAACACTGTCACCAGTCTAGACGGACCCTGAGGTCACCCCAGCAACGCAAAGCAGCTCCATGTGCCCCAAATCAACTCGAGGTGAGGCCCGATTCCCCTGCATTGACTCCAGAGCCATTCCCCGTTCCCCATTCAACACGACCGGTGGCTCGACTTCCTTCAGGCAACTCCAGAAATGCCCCGAGAACACTGTCCCAAGTCTAGAGGAACACCAACTTCAGCACAGCAACTCGAGGAATGCTCCGTGTACCCCAAATCGTCTCGAGATGAGAGCTGATTCCCTGGCTTAGGCTCAAGACGTATGCCAATTTCCCAGAAGCACCTCAGGAGGAGGCTTCTCTCAGCAATAGGTATGTGGGAGGGACCCCGAGTTTGCTGCCTCAAGGGCAATATACAGCGAGAAGCCCTAACTTGAAAGGAGGCCGGATTTCCTTGCAGTGGCTTGAATACAGGCTCGTCTTTCATCTCACATAATGAAGGGATGTCTGAATCCCCTGTGGAGACCTTAGAGAAAGCCCTAGGTCCCTGCATCATTTTGACGGAATGCCTCACATCCCGCTGACACCTCGAGAGGCACGCGGAGTTCATTGCTTCAAAAGGTGACGATGCCTGACTCCTCTTGAATACTGATAGGAATCCCAAAATCCCTGTGGCTACTGGAAAGGGTCCTTGGGTGCCCTGCCTCACCTCGAGAAGCGTCCCTTTTGCCCTGCCAAGCCTCGAAGAGATTCCTGAAGTGTCCCTCGTTACTAGACAGGAGTCCTGACGTCACTGAAGAAACTCGTGTTTTGAAGGGCCATCCCCGCCGTAAGTCGAGAACATACCCCAGGTCCCCGCCGCAACTCGAGAAAAACCATGAGACTTCCCCCTAGAGGCGAGATGAGGCCCCATTCCCATGCAGTGCATGCAGAGCTATTCCGTGATCCCATTCAAACAAGTCAGGAGCTTCGACTTGCTTAATGGATCTCGAGACAGTCCCCAAGAACACTGTCACCAGTCTAGACGGAACCTGAGGTCACCCCAGCAACGCAAATCAGCTCCATGTGCCCCAAATCAACTCGAGGTGAGGCCCGACTCCCCTGCATTGAATCCAGAGCCATTCCCCGTTCCCCATTCAACACGACCGGTGGCTCGACTTCCTTCAGGCAAATCCAGAGATGCCCCGAGAACACTGCCCCAAGTCTAGAGGAACACCAACTTAAGCACAGCAACTCGAGTAATGCTCCGTGTACCCCAAATCGTCTCGAGATGAGAGCTGATTCCCTGGCTTAGGCTCAAGACGTATGCCAACTTCACAGAAGCACCTCAGGAGGAGGCTTCTCTCAGCAATAGGTATGTGGGAGGGACCCCGAGTTTGCTGCCTCAAGGGGAATATACAGCGAGAAGCCCTAACTTGAAAGGAGGCCGGATTTCCTTGCAGTGGCTTGAATACAGGCTCGTCGTTCATCTCACAACATGAAGGGATGTCTGAATCCCCTGTGGAGACCTTAGAGAAAGCCCTAGGTGCCTGCCTCATTTTGACGGAATGCCTCACATCCCGCTGACACCTCGAGAGGCACGCGGAGTTCATTGCTTCAAAAGGTGACGATGCCTGACTCGTCTTGAATACTGATAGGAATCCCAAAATCACTGTGGCTACTGGAAAGGGTCCTTGGGTGCCCTGCCTCACCTCGAGAAGCGTCCCTTTTGCCCTGCCAAGCCTCGAAGAGATTCCTGAGGTGTCCCTCGTTACTAGACAGGAGTCCTGACGTCACTGAAGAAACTCGTGTTTTGAAGGGCCATCCCCGCCGTAAGTCGAGAACATACCCCAGGTCACCGCCACAACTCGAGAAAAACCATGAGACTTCCCCCTAGAGGCGAGATGAGGCCCCATTCCCCTGCAGTGCATGCAGAGCTATTCCGTGATCCCATTCAAACAAGTCAGGAGCTTCGACTTGCTTAATGGATCTCGAGACAGTCCCCAAGAACACTGTCACCAGTCTAGACGGACCCTGAGGTCACCCCAGCAACGCCAAGCAGCTCCATGTGCCCCAAATCAACTCGAGATGAGGCCCAATTCCCCTGCAGTGACTCCAGAGCCATTCCCCGTTCCACATTCAACACGACCGGTGGCTCGACTTCCTTCAGGCAACTCCAGAGATGCCCCGAGAACACTGTCCCATGTCTAGAGGAACAACAACTTCAGCACAGCAACTCGAGGAATGCTCCGTGTACCCCAAATTGTCTCGAGATGAGAGATGATTCCCTGGCTTAGGCTCAAGACGTATGCCAACTTCCCAGAAGCACCACAGGAGGAGGCTTCTCTCAGCAATAGGTATGTGGGAGGGACCCTGAGTTTGCTGCCTCAAGGGGAATATACAGCGAGAAGCCCTAACTTGAAAGGAGGCCGGATTTCCTTGCAGTGGCTTGAATACAGGCTCGTCTTTCATCTCACAACATGAAGGGATGTCTGAATCCCCTGTGGAGACCTTAGAGAAAGCCCTAGGTCCCTGCCTCATTTTGACGGAATGCCTCACATCCCGCTGACACCTCGAGAGGCACGCGGAGTTCATTGCTTCAAAAGGTGACGATGCCTGACTCGTCTTGAATACTGATAGGAATCCCAAAATCCCTGTGGCTACTGGAAAGCGTCCTTGGGTGCCCTGCCTCACCTCGAGAAGCGTCCCTTTTGCCCTGCCAAGCCTCGAAGAGATTCCTGAGGTGTCCCTCGTTACTAGACAGGAGTCCTGACGTCACTGAAGAAACTCGTGTTTCGAAGGGCCATCCCCGCCGTAAGTCGAGAACATACCCCAGGTCCCCGCCGCACCTCGAGAAAAACCATGAGACTTCCCCCTAGAGGCGAGATGAGGCCCCATTCCCCTGCAGTGCATGCAGAGCTATTCCGTGATCCCATTCAAACAAGTCAGGAGCTTCGACTTGCTTAATGGATCTCGAGACAGTCCCCAAGAACACTGTCACCAGTCTAGATGGACCCTGAGGTCACCCCAGCAACGCAAAGCAGCTCCATGTGCCCCAAATCAACTCGAGATGAGGCCCGATTCCCCTGCATTGACTCCAGAGCCATTCCCCGTTCCCCATTCAACACGACCGGTGGCTCGACTTCCTTCAGGCAACTCCAGAGATGCCCCGAGAACACTGTCCCAAGTCTAGAGGAAAACCAACTTCAGCACAGCAACTCGAGGAATGCTCCGTGTACCCCAAATCGTCTCGAGATGAGAGCTGATTCCCTGGCTTAGGCTCAAGACGTATGCCAACTTCCCAGAAGCACATCAGGAGGAGGCTTCTCTCAGCAATAGGTATGTGGGAGGGACCCCGAGTTTGCTGCCTCAAGGGGAATGTACAGCGAGAAGCCCTAACTTGAAAGGAGGCAGGATTTCCTTGCAGTGGCTTGAATACAGGCTCGTCTTTCATCTCACCACATGAAGGGATGTCTGAATCCCCTGTGGAGACCTTAGAGAAAGCCCTAGGTCCCTGCCTCATTTTGACGGAATGCCTCACATCCCGCTGAAACCTCGAGAGGCACGCGGAGTTCATTGCTTCAAAAGGTGACGATGCCTGACTCGTCTTGAATACTGATAGGAATCCCAAAATCCCTGTGGCTACTGGAAAGGGTCCTTGGGTGCCCTGCCTCACCTCGAGAAGCGTCCCTTTTGCCCTGCCAAGCCTCGAAGAGATTCCTGAGGTGTCCCTCGTTACTAGACAGGAGTCCTGACGTCACTGAAGAAACTCGTGTTTTGAAGGGCCATCCCCGCCGTAAGTCGAGAACATACCCCAGGTCCCCGCCGCAACTCGAGAAAAACCATGAGACTTCCCCCTAGAGGCGAGATGAGGCCCCATTCCCCTGCAGTGCATGCAGAGCTATTCGGTGATCCCATTCAAACAAGTCAGGAGCTTCGACTTGCTTAATGGATCTCGAGACAGTCCCCATGAACACTGTCACCAGTCTAGGCGGACCCAGAAGTCACCCCAGCAACGCAAAGCAGCTCCATGTGCCCCAAATCAACTCGAGGTGAGGCCCGATTCCCCTGCATTGACTCCAGAGCCATTCCCCGTTCCCCATTCAACACGACCGGTGGCTCGACTTCCTTCAGGCAACTCCAGAGATGCCCCGAGAACACTGTCCCAAGTCTAGAGGAACACGAACTTCAGCACAGCAACTCGAGGAATGCTCCGTGTACCCCAAATCGTCTCGAGATGAGAGCTGATTCCCTGGCTTAGGCTCAAGACGTATGCCAACTTCCCAGAAGCACCTCAGGAGGAGGCTTCTCTCAGCAATAGGTATGTGGGAGGGACCCCGAGTTTGCTGCCTCAAGGGGAATATACAGCGAGAAGCCCTAACTTGAAAGGAGGCCGGATTTCCTTGCAGTGGCTTGAATACAGGCTCGTCTTTCATCTCACAACATGAAGGGATGTCTGAATCCCCTGTGGAGACCTTAGAGAAAGCCCTAGGTCCCTGCCTCATTTTGACGGAATGCCTCACATCCCGTTGACACCTCGAGAGGCACGCGGAGTTCATTGCTTCAAAAGGTGACGATGCCTGACTCCTCTTGAATACTGATAGGAATCCCAAAATCCCTGTGGCTACTGGAAAGGGTCCTTGGGTGCCCTGCCTCACCTCGAGAAGCGTCCCTTTTGCCCTGCCAAGCCTCGAAGAGATTCTTGAGGTGTCCCTCGTTACTAGAGAGGAGTCCTGACGTCACTGAAGAAACTCGTGTTTTGAAGGGCCATCCCCGCCGTAAGTCGAGAACATACCCCAGGTACCCGCCGCAACTCGAGAAAAACCATGAGACTTCCCCCTAGAGGCGAGATGAGGCCCCATTCCCCTGCAGTGCATGCAGAGCTATTCCGTGATCCCATTCAAACAAGTCAGGAGCTTCGACTTGCTTAATGGATCTCGAGACAGTCCCCAAGAACACTGTCACCAGTCTAGACGGACCCAGAGGTCACCCCAGCAACGCAAAGCAGCTCCATGTGCCCCAAATCAACTCGAGGTGAGGACCGATTCCCCTGCATTGACTCCAGAGCCATTCCCCGTTCCCCATTCAACACGACCGGTGGCTCGACTTCCTTCAGGCAACTCCAGAGATGCCCCGAGAACACTGTCCCAAGTCTAGAGGAACACGAACTTCAGCACAGCAACTCGAGGAATGCTCCGTGTACCCCAAATCGTCTCGAGATGAGAGCTGATTCCCTGGCTTAGGCTCAAGACGTATGCCAATTTCCCAGAAGCACCACAGGAGGAGGCTTCTCTCAGCAATAGGTATGTGGGAGGGACCCCGAGTTTGCTGCCTCAAGGGGAATATACAGCGAGAAGCCCTAACTTGAAAGGAGGCCGGATTTCATTGCAGTGGCTTGAATACAGGCTCGTCTTTCATCTCACAACATGAAGGGATGTCTGAATCCCCTGTGGAGACCTTAGAGAAAGCCCTAGGTCCCTGCCTCATTTTGACGGAATGCCTCACATCCCGCTGACACCTCGAGAGGCACGCGGAGTTCATTGCTTCAAAAGGTGACGATGCCTGACTCCTCTTGAATACTGATAGGAATCCCAAAATCCCTGTGGCTACTGGAAAGGGTCCTTGGGTGCCCTGCCTCACCTCGAGAAGCGTCCCTTTTGCCCTGCCAAGCCTCGAAGAGATTCCTGAGGTGTCCCTCGTTACTAGACAGGAGTCCTGACGTCACTGAAGAAACTCGTGTTTTGAAGGGCCATCCCCGCCGTAAGTCGAGAACATACCCCAGGTCCCCGCCGCAACTCGAGAAAAACCATGAGACTTCCCCCTAGAGGCGACATGAGGCCCCATTCCCCTGCAGTGCATGCAGAGCTATTCCGAGATCCCATTCAAACAAGTCAGGAGCTTCGACTTGCTTAATGGATCTCGAGACAGTCCCCAAGAACACTGTCACCAGTCTAGACGGACCCTGAGGTCACCCCAGCAACGCAAAGCAGCTCCATGTGCCCCAAATCAACTCGAGGTGAGGCCCGATTCCCCTGCATTGACTCCAGAGCCATTCCCCGTTCCCCATTCAACACGACCGGTGGCTCGACTTCCTTCAGGCAACTCCAGAAATGCCCCGAGAACACTGTCCCAAGTCTAGAGGAACACCAACTTCAGCACAGCAACTCGAGGAATGCTCCGTGTACCCCAAATCGTCTCGAGATGAGAGCTGATTCCCTGGCTTAGGCTCAAGACGTATGCCAATTTCCCAGAAGCACCTCAGGAGGAGGCTTCTCTCAGCAATAGGTATGTGGGAGGGACCCCGAGTTTGCTGCCTCAAGGGCAATATACAGCGAGAAGCCCTAACTTGAAAGGAGGCCGGATTTCCTTGCAGTGGCTTGAATACAGGCTCGTCTTTCATCTCACATAATGAAGGGATGTCTGAATCCCCTGTGGAGACCTTAGAGAAAGCCCTAGGTCCCTGCATCATTTTGACGGAATGCCTCACATCCCGCTGACACCTCGAGAGGCACGCGGAGTTCATTGCTTCAAAAGGTGACGATGCCTGACTCCTCTTGAATACTGATAGGAATCCCAAAATCCCTGTGGCTACTGGAAAGGGTCCTTGGGTGCCCTGCCTCACCTCGAGAAGCGTCCCTTTTGCCCTGCCAAGCCTCGAAGAGATTCCTGAAGTGTCCCTCGTTACTAGACAGGAGTCCTGACGTCACTGAAGAAACTCGTGTTTTGAAGGGCCATCCCCGCCGTAAGTCGAGAACATACCCCAGGTCCCCGCCGCAACTCGAGAAAAACCATGAGACTTCCCCTTAGAGGCGAGATGAGGCCCCATTCCCCTGCAGTGCATGCAGAGCTATTCCGTGATCCCATTCAAACAAGTCAGGAGCTTCGACTTGCTTAATGGATCTCGAGACAGTCCCCAAGAACACTGTCACCAGTCTAGACGGACCCAGAGGTCACCCCAGCAACGCAAAGCAGCTCCATGTGCCCCAAATCAACTCGAGGTGAGGACCGATTCCCCTGCATTGACTCCAGAGCCATAACCCATTCCCCATTCAACACGACCGGTGGCTCGACTTCCTTCAGGCAACTCCAGCGATGCCCCGAGAACACTGTCCCAAGTCTAGAGGAATACCAACTTCAGCACAGCAACTCGAGGAATGCTCCGTGTACCCCAAATCGTCTCGAGATGAGAGCTGATTCCCTGGCTTAGGCTCAAGACGTATGCCAACTTCCCAGAAGCACCTCAGGAGGAGGCTTCTCTCAGCAATAGGTATGTGGGAGGGACCCCGAGTTTGCTGCCTCAAGGGGAATATACAGCGAGAAGCCCTAACTTGAAAGGAGGCCGGATTTCCTTGCAGTGGCTTGAATACAGGCTTGTCTTTCATCTCACAACATGAAGGGATGTCTGAATCCCCTGTGGAGACCTTAGAGAAAGCCCTAGGTCCCTGCCTCATTTTGACGGAATGCCTCACATCCCGCTGACACCTCGAGAGGCACGCGGAGTCCATTGCTTCAAATGGTGACGATGCCTGACTCGTCTTGAATACTGATAGGAATCCCAAAATCCCTGTGGCTACTGGAAAGGGTCCTTGGGTGCCCTGCCTCACCTCGAGAAGCGTCCCTTTTGCCCTGCCAAGCCTCGAAGAGATTCCTGAGGTGTCCCTCGTTACTACACAGGAGTCCTGACGTCACTGAAGAAACTCGTGTTTTGAAGGGCCATCCCCGCCGTAAGTCGAGAACATACCCCAGGTCCCCGCCGCACCTCGAGAAAAACCATGAGACTTCCCCCTAGAGGCGAGATGAGGCCCCATTCCCCTGCAGTGCATGCAGAGCTATTCCGTGATCCCATTCAAACAAGTCAGGAGCTTCGACTTGCTTAATGGATCTCGAGACAGTCCCCAAGAACACTGTCACCAGTCTAGGCGGACCCAGAAGTCACCCCAGCTACGCAAAGCAGATCCATGTGCCCCAAATCAACTCGAGGTGAGGCCCGATTCCCCTGCATTGACTCCAGAGCCATTCCCCGTTCCCCATTCAACACGACCGGTGGCTCGACTTCCTTCAGGCAACTCCAGAGATGCCCCGAGAACACTGTCCCAAGTCTAGAGGAACACGAACTTCAGCACAGCAACTCGAGGAATGCTCCGTGTACCCCAAATCGTCTCGAGATGAGAGCTGATTCCCTGGCTTAGGCTCAAGACGTATGCCAATTTCCCAGAAGCACCTCAGGAGGAGGCTTCTCTCAGCAATAGGTATGTGGGAGGGACCCCGAGTTTGCTGCCTCAAGGGGAATATACAGCGAGAAGCCCTAACTTGAAAGGAGGCCGGATTTCCTTGCAGTGGCTTGAATACAGGCTCGTCTTTCATCTCACAACATGAAGGGATGTCTGAATCCCCTGTGGAGACCTTAGAGAAAGCCCTAGGTCCCTGCCTCATTTTGACGGAATGCCTCACATCCCGCTGACACCTCGAGAGGCACGCGGAGTTCATTGCTTCAAAAGGTGACGATGCCTGACTCCTCTTGAATACTGATAGGAATCCCAAAATCCCTGTGGCTACTGGAAAGGGTCCTTGGGTGCCCTGCCTCACCTCGAGAAGCGTCCCTTTTGCCCTGCCAAGCCTCGAAGAGATTCCTGAGGTGTCCCTCGTTACTAGACAGGAGTCCTGACGTCACTGAAGAAACTCGTGTTTTGAAGGGCCATCCCCGCCGTAAGTCGAGAACATACCCCAGGTCCCCGCCGCAACTCGAGAAAAACCATGAGACTTCCCCCTAGAGGCGAGATGAGGCCCCATTCCCCTGCAGTGCATGCAGAGCTATTCCGTGATCCCATTCAAACAAGTCAGGAGCTTCGACTTTCTTAATGGATCTCGAGACAGTCCCCAAGAACACTGTCACCAGTCTAGACGGACCCAGAGGTCACCCCAGCAACGCAAAGCAGCTCCATGTGCCCCAAATCAACTCGAGGTGAGGCCCGATTCCCCTGCATTGACTCCAGAGCCATTCCCCGTTCCCCATTCAACACGACCGGTGGCTCGACTTCCTTCAGGCAACTCCAGAGATGCCCCGAGAACACTGTCCCAAGTCTAGAGGAACACCAACTTCAGCACAGCAACTCGAGGAATGCTCCGTGTACCCCAAATCGTCTCGAGATGAGAGCTGATTCCCTGGCTTAGGCTCAAGACGTATGCCAACTTCCCAGAAGCACCTCAGGAGGAGGCTTCTCTCAGCAATAGGTATGTGGGAGGGACCCCGAGTTTGCTGCCTCAAGGGGAATATACAGCGAGAAGACCTAACTTGAAAGGAGGCCGGATTTCCTTGCAGTGGCTTGAATACAGGCTCGTCTTTCATCTCACAACATGAAGGGATGTCTGAATCCCCTGTGGAGACCTTAGAGAAAGCCCTAGGTCCCTGCCTCATTTTGACGGAATGCCTCACATCCCGCTGACACCTCGAGAGGCAAGCGGAGTTCATTGCTTCAAAAGGTGACGATGCCTGACTCGTCTTGGATACTGATAGGAATCCCAAAATCCCTGTGGCTACTGGAAAGGGTCCTTGGGTGCCTTGCCTCACCTCGAGAAGCGTCCCTTTTGCCCTGCCAAGCCTCGAAGAGATTCCTGAGGTGTCCCTCGTTACTAGACAGGGGTCCTGACGTCACTGAAGAAACTCGTGTTTTGAAGGGCCATCCCCGCCGTAAGTCGAGAACATACCCCAGGTCCCCGCCGCAACTCGAGAAAAACCATGAGACTTCCCCCTAGAGGCGAGATGAGGCCCCATTCCCCTGCAGTGCATGCAGAGCTATTCCGTGATCCCATTCAAACAAGTCAGGAGCTTCGACTTGCTTAATGGATCTCGAGATAGTCCCCAAGAACACTGTCACCAGTCTAGGCGGACCCAGAGGTCACCCCAGCAACGCAAATCAGCTCCATGTGCCCCAAATCAACTCGAGGTGAGGCCCGATTCCCCTGCATTGACTCCAGAGCCATTCCCCGTTCCCCATTCAACACGACCGGTGGCTCGACTTCCTTCAGGCAACTCCAGAGATGCCCCGAGAACACTGTCCCAAGTCTAGAGGAACACCAACTTCAGCACAGCAACTCGAGGAATGCTCCGTGTACCCCAAATCGTCTCGAGATGAGAGCTGATTCCCTGGCTTAGGCTCAAGACGTATGCCAATTTCCCAGAAGCACCTCAGGAGGAGGCTTCTCTCAGCAACAGGTATGTGGGAGGGACCCCGAGTTTGCTGCCTCAAGGGGAATATACAGCGAGAAGCCCTAACTTGAAAGGAGGCCGGATTTCCTTGCAGTGGCTTGAATACAGGCTCGTCTTTCATCTCACAACATGAAGGGATGTCTGAATCCCCTGTGGAGACCTTAGAGAAAGCCCTAGGTCCATGCCTCATTTTGACGGAATACCTCACATCCCGCTGACACCTCGAGAGGCACGCGGAGTTCATTGCTTCAAAAGGTGACGATGCCTGACTCGTCTTGAATACTGATAGGAATCCCAAAATCCCTGTGGCTACTGGAAAGGGTCCTTGGGTGCCCTGCCTCACCTCGAGAAGCGTCCCTTTTGCCCTGCCAAGCCTCGAAGAGATTCCTGAGGTGTCCCTCATTACTAGACAGGGGTCCTGACGTCACTGAAGAAACTCGTGTTTTGAAGGGCCATCCCCGCCGTAAGTCGAGAACATACCCCAGGTCCCCGCCGCAACTCGAGAAAAACCATGAGACTTCCCCCTAGAGGCGAGATGAGGCCCCATTCCCCTGCAGTGCATGCAGAGCTATTCCGTGATCCCATTCAAACAATTCAGGAGCTTCGACTTGCTTAATGGATCTCGAGACAGTCCCCAAGAACACTGTCAGCAGTCTAGATGGACCCTGAGGTCACCCCAGCAACGCAAAGCAGCTCCATGTGCCCCAAATCAACTCGAGATGAGGCCCGATTCCCCTGCATTGACTCCAGAGCCATTCCCCGTTCCCCATTCAACACGACCGGTGGCACGACTTCCTTCAGGCAACTCCAGAGATGCCCCGAGAACACTCTCCCAAGTCTAGAGGAACACCAACTTCAGCACAGCAACTCGAGGAATGCTCCGTGTACCCCAAATCGTCTCGAGATGAGAGCTGATTCCCTGGCTTAGGCTCAAGACGTATGCCAACTTCCCAGAAGCACCTCAGGAGGAGGCTTCTCTCAGCACTAGGTATGTGGGAGGGACCCCGAGTTTGCTGCCTCAAGGGGAATATACAGCGAGAAGCCCTAACTTGAAAGGAGGCCGGATTTTCTTGCAGTGGCTTGAATACAGGCTCGTCTTTCATCTCACAACATGAAGGGATGTCTGAATCCCCTGTGGAGACCTTAGAGAAAGCCCTAGGTCCCTGCCTCATTTTGACGGAATGCCTCACATCCCGCTGACATCTCGAGAGGCACGCGGAGTTCATTGCTTCAAAAGGTGACGATGCCTGACTCCTCTTGAATACTGATAGGAATCCCAAAATCCCTGTGGCTACTGGAAAGGGTCCTTGGGTGCCCTGCCTCACCTCGAGAAGCGTCCCTTTTGCCCTGCCAAGCCTCGAAGAGATTCCTGAGGTGTCCCTCGTTACTAGACAGGAGTCCTGACGTCACTGAAGAAACTCTTGTTTGAAGGGCCATCCCCGCCGTAAGTCGAGAACATAACCCAGGTCCCCGCCGCAACTCGAGAAAAACCATGAGACTTCCCCCTAGAGGCGAGATGAGGCCCCATTCCCCTGCAGTGCATGCAGAGCTATTCCGTGATCCCATTCAAACAAGTCAGGAGCTTCGACTTGCTTAATGGATCTCGAGACAGTCCCCAAGAACACTGTCACCAGTCTAGATGGACCGTGAGGTCACCCCAGCAATGCAAAGCAGCTCCATGTGCCCCAAGTGAACTCGAGATGAGGCCCGATTCCCCTGCATTGACTCCAGAGCCATTCCCCGTTCCCCATTCAACACGACCGGTGGCTCGACTTCCTTCAGGCAACTCCAGAGATGCCCCGAGAACACTCTCCCAAGTCTAGAGGAACACCAACTTCAGCACAGCAACTCGAGGAATGCTCCGTGTACCCCAAATCGTCTCGAGATGAGAGCTGATTCCCTGGCTTACGCTCAAGACGTATGCCAACTTCCCAGAAGCACCTCAGGAGGAGGCTTCTCTCAGCAATAGGTATGTGGGAGGGACCCCGAGTTTGCTGCCTCAAGGGGAATATACAGCGAGAAGCCCTAACTTGAAAGGAGGCCGGATTTCCTTGCAGTGGCTTGAATACAGGCTCGTCTTTCATCTCACAACATGAAGGGATGTCTGAATCCCCTGTGGAGACCTTAGAGAAAGCCCTAGGTGCCTGCCTCATTTTGACGGAATGCCTCACATCCCGCTGACACCTCGAGAGGCACGCGGAGTTCATTGCTTCAAAAGGTGACGATGCCTGACTCGTCTTGAATACTGATATGAATCCCAAAATCCCTGTGGCTACTGGAAAGGGTCCTTGGGTGCCCTGCCTCACCTCGAGAAGCGTCCCTTTTGCCCTGCCAAGCCTCGAAGAGATTCTTGAGGTGTCCCTCGTTACTAGACAGGAGTCCTGACGTCACTGAAGAAACTCGTGTTTTGAAGGGCCATCCCCGCCGTAAGTCGAGAACATACCCCAGGTCCCCGCCGCAACTCGAGAAAAACCATGAGACTTCCCCCTAGAGGCGAGATGAGGCCCCATTCCCCTGCAGTGCATGCAGAGCTATTCCGTGATCCCATTCAAACAAGTCAGGAGCTTCGACTTGCTTAATGGATCTCGAGACAGTCCCCAAGAACACTGTCACCAGTCTAGGCGGACCCAGAAGTCACCCCAGCAACGCAAAGCAGCTCCATGTGCCCCAAATCAACTCGAGGTGAGGCCCGATTCCCCTGCATTGACTCCAGAGCCATTCCCCGTTCCCCATTCAACACGACCGGTGGCTCGACTTCCTTCAGGCAACTCCAGAGATGCCCCGAGAACACTGTCCCAAGTCTAGAGGAACACCAACTTCAGCACAGCAACTCGAGGAATGCTCCGTGTACCCCAAATCGTCTCGAGATGAGAGCTGATTCCCTGGCTTAGGCTCAAGACGTATGCCAACTTCCCAGAAGCACCTCAGGAGGAGGCTTCTCTCAGCAATAGGTATGTGGGAGGGACCCCGAGTTTGCTGCCTCAAGGGGAATATACAGCGAGAAGCCCTAACTTGAAAGGAGGCCGGATTTCCTTGCAGTGGCTTGAATACAGGCTCGTCTTTCATCTCACAACATGAAGGGATGTCTGAATCCCCTGTGGAGACCTTAGAGAAAGCCCTAGGTCCCTGCCTCATTTTGACGGAATGCCTCACATCCCGTTGACACCTCGAGAGGCACGCGGAGTTCATTGCTTCAAAAGGTGACGATGCCTGACTCCTCTTGAATACTGATAGGAATCCCAAAATCCCTGTGGCTACTGGAAAGGGTCCTTGGGTGCCCTGCCTCACCTCGAGAAGCGTCCCTTTTGCCCTGCCAAGCCTCGAAGAGATTCCTGAGGTGTCCCTCGTTACTAGAGAGGAGTCCTGACGTCACTGAAGAAACTCGTGTTTTGAAGGGCCATCCCCGCCGTAAGTCGAGAACATACCCCAGGTACCCGCCGCAACTCGAGAAAAACCATGAGACTTCCCCTTACAGGCGAGATGAGGCCCCATTCCCCTGCAGTGCATGCAGAGCTATTCCGTGATCCCATTCAAACAAGTCAGGAGCTTCGACTTGCTTAATGGATCTCGAGACAGTCCCCAAGAACACTGTCACCAGTCTAGACGGACCCAGAGGTCACCCCAGCAACGCAAAGCAGCTCCATGTGCCCCAAATCAACTCGAGGTGAGGACCGATTCCCCTGCATTGACTCCAGAGCCATTCCCCGTTCCCCATTCAACACGACCGGTGGCTCGACTTCCTTCAGGCAACTCCAGAGATGCCCCGAGAACACTGTCCCAAGTCTAGAGGAACACGAACTTCAGCACAGCAACTCGAGGAATGCTCCGTGTACCCCAAATCGTCTCGAGATGAGAGCTGATTCCCTGGCTTAGGCTCAAGACGTATGCCAATTTCCCAGAAGCACCACAGGAGGAGGCTTCTCTCAGCAATAGGTATGTGGGAGGGACCCCGAGTTTGCTGCCTCAAGGGGAATATACAGCGAGAAGCCCTAACTTGAAAGGAGGCCGGATTTCCTTGCAGTGTCTTGAATACAGGCTCGTCTTTCATCTCACAACATGAAGGGATGTCTGAATCCCCTGTGGAGACCTTAGAGAAAGCCCTAGGTCCCTGCCTCATTTTGACGGAATGCCTCACATCCCGCTGACACCTCGAGAGGCACGCGGAGTTCATTGCTTCAAAAGGTGACGATGCCTGACTCCTCTTGAATACTGATAGGAATCCCAAAATCCCTGTGGCTACTGGAAAGGGTCCTTGGGTGCCCTGCCTCACCTCGAGAAGCGTCCCTTTTGCCCTGCCAAGCCTCGAAGAGATTCCTGAGGTGTCCCTCGTTACTAGACAGGAGTCCTGACGTCACTGAAGAAACTCGTGTTTTGAAGGGCCATCCCCGCCGTAAGTCGAGAACATACCCCAGGTCCCCGCCGCAACTCGAGAAAAACCATGAGACTTCCCCCTAGAGGCGACATGAGGCCCCATTCCCCTGCAGTGCATGCAGAGCTATTCCGTGATCCCATTCAAACAAGTCAGGAGCTTCGACTTGCTTAATGGATCTCGAGACAGTCCCCAAGAACACTGTCACCAGTCTAGACGGACCCTGAGGTCACCCCAGCAACGCAAAGCAGCTCCATGTGCCCCAAATCAACTCGAGGTGAGGCCCGATTCCCCTGCATTGACTCCAGAGCCATTCCCCGTTCCCCATTCAACACGGCCGGTGGCTCGACTTCCTTCAGGCAACTCCAGAAATGCCCCGAGAACACTGTCCCAAGTCTAGAGGAACACCAACTTCAGCACAGCAACTCGAGGAATGCTCCGTGTACCCCAAATCGTCTCGAGATGAGAGCTGATTCCCTGGCTTAGGCTCAAGACGTATGCCAATTTCCCAGAAGCACCTCAGGAGGAGGCTTCTCTCAGCAATAGGTATGTGGGAGGGACCCCGAGTTTGCTGCCTCAAGGGCAATATACAGCGAGAAGCCCTAACTTGAAAGGAGGCCGGATTTCCTTGCAGTGGCTTGAATACAGGCTCGTCTTTCATCTCACATAATGAAGGGATGTCTGAATCCCCTGTGGAGACCTTAGAGAAAGCCCTAGGTCCCTGCCTCATTTTGACGGAATGCCTCACATCCCGCTGACACCTCGAGAGGCACGCGGAGTTCATTGCTTCAAAAGGTGACGATGCCTGACTCCTCTTGAATACTGATAGGAATCCCAAAATCCCTGTGGCTACTGGAAAGGGTCCTTGGGTGCCCTGCCTCACCTCGAGAAGCGTCCCTTTTGCCCTGCCAAGCCTCGAAGAGATTCCTGAAGTGTCCCTCGTTACTAGACAGGAGTCCTGACGTCACTGAAGAAACTCGTGTTTTGAAGGGCCATCCCCGCCGTAAGTCGAGAACATACCCCAGGTCCCCGCCGCAACTCGAGAAAAACCATGAGACTTCCCCTTAGAGGCGACATGAGGCCCCATTCCCCTGCAGTGCATGCAGAGCTATTCCGTGATCCCATTCAAACAAGTCAGGAGCTTCGACTTGCTTAATGGATCTCGAGACAGTCCCTAAGAACACTGTCACCAGTCTAGACGGACCCAGAGGTCACCCCAGCAACGCAAAGCAGCTCCATGTGCCCCAAATCAACTCGAGGTGAGGACCGATTCCCCTGCATTGACTCCAGAGCCATAACCCATTCCCCATTCAACACGACCGGTGGCTCGACTTCCTTCAGGCAACTCCAGCGATGCCCCGAGAACACTGTCCCAAGTCTAGAGGAATACCAACTTCAGCACAGCAACTCGAGGAATGCTCCGTGTACCCCAAATCGTCTCGAGATGAGAGCTGATTCCCTGGCTTAGGCTCAAGACGTATGCCAACTTCCCAGAAGCACCTCAGGAGGAGGCTTCTCTAAGCAATAGGTATTTGGGAGGGACCCCGAGTTTGCTGCCTCAAGGGGAATATACAGCGAGAAGCCCTAACTTGAAAGGAGGCCGGATTTCCTTGCAGTGGCTTGAATACAGGCTTGTCTTTCATCTCACAACATGAAGGGATGTCTGAATCCCCTGTGGAGACCTTAGAGAAAGCCCTAGGTCCCTGCCTCATTTTGACGGAATGCCTCACATCCCGCTGACACCTCGAGAGGCACGCGGAGTCCATTGCTTCAAATGGTGACGATGCCTGACTCGTCTTGAATACTGATAGGAATCCCAAAATCCCTGTGGCTACTGGAAAGGGTCCTTGGGTGCCCTGCCTCACCTCGAGAAGCGTCCCTTTTGCCCTGCCAAGCCTCGAAGAGATTCCTGAGGTGTCCCTCGTTACTACACAGGAGTCCTGACGTCACTGAAGAAACTCGTGTTTTGAAGGGCCATCCCCGCCGTAAGTCGAGAACATACCCCAGGTCCCCGCCGCAACTCGAGAAAAACCATGAGACTTCCCCCTAGAGGCGAGATGAGGCCCCATTCCCCTGCAGTGCATGCAGAGCTATTCCGTGATCCCATTCAAACAAGTCAGGAGCTTCGACTTGCTTAATGGATCTCGAGACAGTCCCCAAGAACACTGTCACCAGTCTAGGCGGACCCAGAAGTCACCCCAGCTACGCAAAGCAGATCCATGTGCCCCAAATCAACTCGAGGTGAGGCCCGATTCCCCTGCATTGACTCCAGAGCCATTCCCCGTTCCCCATTCAACACGACCGGTGGCTCGACTTCCTTCAGGCAACTCCAGAGATGCCCCGAGAACACTGTCCCAAGTCTAGAGGAACACGAACTTCAGCACAGCAACTCGAGGAATGCTCCGTGTACCCCAAATCGTCTCGAGATGAGAGCTGATTCCCTGGCTTAGGCTCAAGACGTATGCCAATTTCCCAGAAGCACCTCAGGAGGAGGCTTCTCTCAGCAATAGGTATGTGGGAGGGACCCCGAGTTTGCTGCCTCAAGGGGAATATACAGCGAGAAGCCCTAACTTGAAAGGAGGCCGGATTTCCTTGCAGTGGCTTGAATACAGGCTCGTCTTTCATCTCACAACATGAAGGGATGTCTGAATCCCCTGTGGAGACCTTAGAGAAAGCCCTAGGTCCCTGCCTCATTTTGACGGAATGCCTCACATCCCGCTGACACCTCGAGAGGCACGCGGAGTTCATTGCTTCAAAAGGTGACGATGCCTGACTCCTCTTGAATACTGATAGGAATCCCAAAATCCCTGTGGCTACTGGAAAGGGTCCTTGGGTGCCCTGCCTCACCTCGAGAAGCGTCCCTTTTGCCCTGCCAAGCCTCGAAGAGATTCCTGAGGTGTCCCTCGTTACTAGACAGGAGTCCTGACGTCACTGAAGAAACTCGTGTTTTGAAGGGCCATCCCCGCCGTAAGTCGAGAACATACCCCAGGTCCCCGCCGCAACTCGTGAAAAACCATGAGACTTCCCCCTAGAGGCGACATGAGGCCCCATTCCCCTGCAGTGCATGCAGAGCTATTCCGTGATCCCATTCAAACAAGTCAGGAGCTTCGACTTGCTTAATGGATCTCGAGACAGTCCCCAAGAACACTGTCACCAGTCTAGACGGACCCAGAGGTCACCCCAGCAACGCAAAGCAGCTCCATGTGCCCCAAATCAACTCGAGGTGAGGCCCGATTCCCCTGCATTGACTCCAGAGCCATTCCCCGTTCCCCATTCAACACGACCGGTGGCTCGACTTCCTTCAGGCAACTCCAGAGATGCCCCGAGAACACTGTCCCAAGTCTAGAGGAACACCAACTTCAGCACAGCAACTCGAGGAATGCTCCGTGTACCCCAAATCGTCTCGAGATGAGAGCTGATTCCCTGGCTTAGGCTCAAGACGTATGCCAACTTCCCAGAAGCACCTCAGGAGGAGGCTTCTCTCAGCAATAGGTATGTGGGAGGGACCCCGAGTTTGCTGCCTCAAGGGGAATATACAGCGAGAAGACCTAACTTGAAAGGAGGCCGGATTTCCTTGCAGTGGCTTGAATACAGGCTCGTCTTTCATCTCACAACATGAAGGGATGTCTGAATCCCCTGTGGAGACCTTAGAGAAAGCCCTAGGTCCCTGCCTCATTTTGACGGAATGCCTCACATCCCGCTGACACCTCGAGAGGCACGCGGAGTTCATTGCTTCAAAAGGTGACGATGCCTGACTCGTCTTGGATACTGATAGGAATCCCAAAATCCCTGTGGCTACTGGAAAGGGTCCTTGGGTGCCCTGCCTCACCTCGAGAAGCGTCCCTTTTGCCCTGCCAAGCCTCGAAGAGATTCCTGAGGTGTCCCTCGTTACTAGACAGGGGTCCTGACGTCACTGAAGAAACTCGTGTTTTGAAGGGCCATCCCCGCCGTAAGTCGAGAACATACCCCAGGTCCCCGCCGCAACTCGAGAAAAACCATGAGACTTCCCCCTAGAGGCGAGATGAGGCCCCATTCCCCTGCAGTGCATGCAGAGCTATTCCGTGATCCCATTCAAACAAGTCAGGAGCTTCGACTTGCTTAATGGATCTCGAGATAGTCCCCAAGAACACTGTCACCAGTCTAGGCGGACCCAGAGGTCACCCCAGCAACGCAAATCAGCTCCATGTGCCCCAAATCAACTCGAGGTGAGGCCCGATTCCCCTGCATTGACTCCAGAGCCATTCCCCGTTCCCCATTCAACACGACCGGTGGCTCGACTTCCTTCAGGCAACTCCAGAGATGCCCCGAGAACACTGTCCCAAGTCTAGAGGAACACCAACTTCAGCACAGCAACTCGAGGAATGCTCCGTGTACCCCAAATCGTCTCGAGATGAGAGCTGATTCCCTGGCTTAGGCTCAAGACGTATGCCAATTTCCCAGAAGCACCTCAGGAGGAGGCTTCTCTCAGCAACAGGTATGTGGGAGGGACCCCGAGTTTGCTGCCTCAAGGGGAATATACAGCGAGAAGCCCTAACTTGAAAGGAGGCCGGATTTCCTTGCAGTGGCTTGAATACAGGCTCGTCTTTCATCTCACAACATGAAGGGATGTCTGAATCCCCTGTGGAGACCTTAGAGAAAGCCCTAGGTCCATGCCTCATTTTGACGGAATACCTCACATCCCGCTGACACCTCGAGAGGCACGCGGAGTTCATTGCTTCAAAAGGTGACGATGCCTGACTCGTCTTGAATACTGATAGGAATCCCAAAATCCCTGTGGCTACTGGAAAGGGTCCTTGGGTGCCCTGCCTCACCTCGAGAAGCGTCCCTTTTGCCCTGCCAAGCCTCGAAGAGATTCCTGAGGTGTCCCTCGTTACTAGACAGGGGTCCTGACGTCACTGAAGAAACTCGTGTTTTGAAGGGCCATCCCCGCCGTAAGTCGAGAACATACCCCAGGTCCCCGCCGCAACTCGAGAAAAACCATGAGACTTCCCCCTAGAGGCGAGATGAGGCCCCATTCCCCTGCAGTGCATGCAGAGCTATTCCGTGATCCCATTCAAACAATTCAGGAGCTTAGACTTGCTTAATGGATCTCGAGACAGTCCCCAAGAACACTGTCAGCAGTCTAGATGGACCCTGAGGTCACCCCAGCAACGCAAAGCAGCTCCGTGTGCCCCAAATCAACTCGAGATGAGGCCTGATTCCCCTGCATTGACTCCAGAGCCATTCCCCGTTCCCCATTCAACACGACTGGTGGCTCTACTTCCTTCAGGCAACTCCAGAGATTCCCCGAGAACACTGTCCCAAGTCTAGAAGAACACCAACATCAGCACAGCAACTCGAGGAATGCTCCGTGTACCCCAAATCGTCTCGAGATGAGAGCTGATTCCCTGGCTTAGGCTCAAGACGTATGCCAACTTCCCAGAAGGACCTCAGGAGGAGGCTTCTCTCAGCAATAGGTATGTGGGAGGGACCCCGAGTTTGCTGCCTCAAGGGGAATATACAGCGAGAAGCCCTAACTTGAAAGGAGGCCGCATTTCCTTGCAGTGGCTTGAATACAGGCTCGTCTTTCATCTCACAACATGAAGGGATGTCTGAATCCCCTGTGGAGACCTTAGAGAAAGCCCTAGGTCCCTGCCTCATTTTGACGGAATGCCTCACATCCCGCTGACATCTCGAGAGGCACGCGGAGTTCATTGCTTCAAAAGGTGACGATGCCTGACTCCTCTTGAATACTGATAGGAATCCCAAAATCCCTGTGGCTACTGGAAAGGGTCCTTGGGTGCCCTGCCTCACCTCGAGAAGCGTCCCTTTTGCCCTGCCAAGCCTCGAAGAGATTCCTGAGGTGTCCCTCGTTACTAGACAGGAGTCCTGACGTCACTGAAGAAACTCTTGTTTGAAGGGCCATCCCCGCCGTAAGTCGAGAACATAACCCAGGTCCCCGCCGCAACTCGAGAAAAACCATGAGACTTCCCCCTAGAGGCGAGATGAGGCCCCATTCCCCTGCAGTGCATGCAGAGCTATTCCGTGATCCCATTCAAACAAGTCAGGAGCTTCGACTTGCTTAATGGATCTCGAGACAGTCCCCAAGAACACTGTCACCAGTCTAGACGGACCGTGAGGTCACCCCAGCAATGCAAAGCAGCTCCATGTGCCCCAAGTGAACTCGAGATGAGGCCCGATTCCCCTGCATTGACTCCAGAGCCATTCCCCGTTCCCCATTCAACACGACCGGTGGCTCGACTTCCTTCAGGCAACTCCAGAGATGCCCCGAGAACACTCTCCCAAGTCTAGAGGAACACCAACTTCAGCACAGCAACTCGAGGAATGCTCCGTGTACCCCAAATCGTCTCGAGATGAGAGCTGATTCCCTGGCTTACGCTCAAGACGTATGCCAACTTCCCAGAAGCACCTCAGGAGGAGGCTTCTCTCAGCAATAGGTATGTGGGAGGGACCCCGAGTTTGCTGCCTCAAGGGGAATATACAGCGAGAAGCCCTAACTTGAAAGGAGGCCGGATTTCCTTGCAGTGGCTTGAATACAGGCTCGTCTTTCATCTCACAACATGAAGGGATGTCTGAATCCCCTGTGGAGACCTTAGAGAAAGCCCTAGGTCCCCGCCTCATTTTGACGCAATGCCTCACATCCCGCTGACACCTCGAGAGGCACGCGGAGTTCATTGCTCCAGAAGGTGACGATGCCTGACTTCTCTTGAATACTGATAGGAATCCCAAAATCCCTGTGGCTACTGGAAAGGGTCCTTGGGTGCCCTGCCTCACCTCGAGAAGCGTCCCTTTTGCCCTGCCAAGCCTCGAAGAGATTCCTGAGGTGTCCCTCGTTACTAGACAGGAGTCCTGACGTCACTGAAGAAACTCGTGTTTTGAAGGGCCATCCCCGCCGTAAGTCGAGAACATACCCCAAGTCCCCGTCGCAACTCGGAAAAACCATGAGACTTCCCCCTAGAGGCGAGATGAGGCCCCATTCCCCTGCAGTGCATGCAGAGCTATTCCGTGATCCCATTCAAACAAGTCAGGAGCTTCGACTTGCTTAATGGATCTCGAGACAGTCCCCAAGAACACTGTCACCAGTCTAGGCGGACCCAGAGGTCAACCCAGCAACGCAAAGCAGCTCCATGTGCTCCAAATCAACTCGAGGTGAGGCCCGATTCCCCTGCATTGACTCCAGAGCCATTCCCCGTTCCCCATTCAACACGACCGGTGGCTCGACTTCCTTCAGGCAACTCCAGAGATGCCCCGAGAACACTGTCCCAAGTCTAGAGGAACACCAACTTCAGCACAGCATCTCGAGGAATGCTCCGTGTACCCCAAATCGTCTCGAGATGAGAGCTGATTCCCTGGCTTAGGCTCAAGACGTATGCCAATTTCCCAGAAGCACCTCAGGAGGAAGCTTCTCTCAGCAATAGGTATGTGGGAGGGACCCCGAGTTTGCTGCCTCAAGGGGAATATACAGCGAGAAGCCTTAACTTGAAAGGAGGCCGGATTTCCTTGCAGTGGCTTGAATACAGGCTCGTCTTTCATCTCACAACATGAAGGGATGTCTGAATCCCCTGTGGAGACCTTAGAGAAAGCCCTAGGTGCCTGCCTCATTTTGACGGATGCCTCACATCCCGCTGACACCTCGAGCGGCACGCGGAGTTCATTGCTTCAAAAGGTGACGATGCCTGACTCCTCTTGAATACTGATAGGAATCCCAAAATCCCTGTGGCTACTGGAAAGGGTCCTTGGGTGCCCTGCCTCACCTCGAGAAGCGTCCCTTTTGCCCTGCCAAGCCTCGAAGAGATTCCTGAGGTGTCCCTCGTTACTAGACAGGAGTCCTGACGTCACTGAAGAAACTCGTGTTTTGAAGGGCCATCCCCGCCGTAAGTCGAGAACATACCCCAGGTCCCCGCCGCAACTCGAGAAAAACCATGAGACTTCCCCCTAGAGGCGAGATGAGGCCCCATTCCCCTGCAGTGCATGCAGAGCTATTCCGAGATCCCATTCAAACAAGTCAGGAGCTTCGACTTGCTTAATGGATCTCGACACAGTCCCCAAGAACACTGTCACCAGTCTAGACGGACCCTGAGGTCACCCCAGCAACGCAAAGCAGCTCCATGTGCCCCAAATCAACTCGAGATGAGGCCTGATTCCCCTGCATTGACTCCAGAGCCATTCCCCGTTCCCCATTCAACATGACCGGTGGCTTGACTTCCTTCAGGCAACTCCAGAGATGCCCCGAGAACACTGTCCCAAGTCTAGAGGAAAACCAACTTCAGCACAGCAACTCGAGGAATGCTCCGTGTACCCCAAATCGTCTCGAGATGAGAGCTGATTCCCTGGCTTAGGCTCAAGACGTATGCCAACTTCCCAGAAGCACCTCAGGAGGAGGCTTCTCTCAGCAATAGGTATGTGGGAGGGACCCCGAGTTTGCTGCCTCAAGGGGAATATACAGCGAGAAGCCCTAACTTGAAAGGAGGCCGGATTTCCTTGCAGTGGCTTGAATACAGGCTCGTCTTTCATCTCACAACATGAAGGGATGTCTGAATCCCCTGTGGAGACCTTAGAGAAAGCCCTAGGTCCCTGCCTCATTTTGACGGAATGCCTCACATCCCGCTGACACCTCGAGAGGCACGCGGAGTTCATTGCTTCAAATGGTGACGATGCCTGACTCGTCTTGAATACTGATAGGAATCCCAAAATCCCTGTGGCTACTGGAAAGGGTCCTTGGGTGCCCTGCCTCACCTCGAGAAGCGTCCCTTTTGCCCTGCCAAGCCTCGAAGAGATTCCTGAGGTGTCCCTCGTTACTAGACAGGAGTCCTGACGTCACTGAAGAAACTCGTGTTTTGAAGGGCCATCCCCGCCGTAAGTCGAGAACATACCCCAGGTCCCCGCCGCAACTCGAGAAAAACCATGAGACTTCCCCCTAGAGGCGAGATGAGGCCCCATTCCCCTGCAGTGCATGCAGAGCTATTCCGTGATCCCATTCAAACAAGTCAGGAGCTTCGACTTGCTTAATGGATCTCGAGACAGTCCCCAAGAACACTGTCACCAGTCTAGGCGGACCCAGAAGTCACCCCAGCTACGCAAAGCAGATCCATGTGCCCCAAATCAACTCGAGGTGAGGCCCGATTCCCCTGCATTGACTCCAGAGCCATTCCCCGTTCCCCATTCAACACGACCGGTGGCTCGACTTCCTTCAGGCAACTCCAGAGATGCCCCGAGAACACTGTCCCAAGTCTAGAGGAACACGAACTTCAGCACAGCAACTCGAGGAATGCTCCGTGTACCCCAAATCGTCTCGAGATGAGAGCTGATTCCCTGGCTTAGGCTCAAGACGTATGCCAATTTCCCAGAAGCACCTCAGGAGGAGGCTTCTCTCAGCAATAGGTATGTGGGAGGGACCCCGAGTTTGCTGCCTCAAGGGGAATATACAGCGAGAAGCCCTAACTTGAAAGGAGGCCGGATTTCCTTGCAGTGGCTTGAATACAGGCTCGTCTTTCATCTCACAACATGAAGGGATGTCTGAATCCCCTGTGGAGACCTTAGAGAAAGCCCTAGGTCCCTGCCTCATTTTGACGGAATGCCTCACATCCCGCTGACACCTCGAGAGGCACGCGGAGTTCATTGCTTCAAAAGGTGACGATGCCTGACTCCTCTTGAATACTGATAGGAATCCCAAAATCCCTGTGGCTACTGGAAAGGGTCCTTGGGTGCCCTGCCTCACATCGAGAAGCGTCCCTTTTGCCCTGCCAAGCCTCGAAGAGATTCCTGAGGTGTCCCTCGTTACTAGACAGGAGTCCTGACGTCACTGAAGAAACTCGTGTTTTGAAGGGCCATCCCCGCCGTAAGTCGAGAACATACCCCAGGTCCCCGCCGCAACTCGAGAAAAACCATGAGACTTCCCCCTAGAGGCGACATGAGGCCCCATTCCCCTGCAGTGCATGCAGAGCTATTCCGTGATCCCATTCAAACAAGTCAGGAGCTTCGACTTGCTTAATGGATCTCGAGACAGTCCCCAAGAACACTGTCACCAGTCTAGACGGACCCTGAGGTCACCCCAGCAACGCAAAGCAGCTCCATGTGCCCCAAATCAACTCGAGGTGAGGCCCGATTCCCCTACATTGACTCCAGAGCCATTCCCCGTTCCCTATTCAACACGACCGGTGGCTCGACTTCCTTCACGCAACTCCAGAGATGCCCCGAGAACACTGTCCCAAGTCTAGAGGAACACCAACTTCAGCACAGCAACTCGAGGAATGCTCCGTGTACCCCAAATCGTCTCGAGATGAGAGCTGATTCCCTGGCTTAGGCTCAAGATGTATGCCAATTTCCCAGAAGCACCTCAGGAGGAGGCTTCTCTCAGCAATAGGTATGTGGGAGGGACCCCGAGTTTGCTGCCTCAAGGGGAATATACAGCGAGAAGCCCTAACTTGAAAGGAGGCCGGATTTCCTTGCAGTGGCTTGAATACAGGCTCGTCTTTCATCTCACAACATGAAGGGATGTCTGAATCCCGTGTGGAGACCTTAGAGAAAGCCCTAGGTCCCTGCCTCATTTTGACGGAATGCCTCACATCCCGCTGACACCTCGAGAGGCACGCGGAGTTCATTGCTTCAAAAGGTGACGATGCCTGACTCCTCTTGAATACTGATAGGAATCCCAAAATCCCTGTGGCTACTGGAAAGGGTCCTTGGGTGCCCTGCCTCACCTCGAGAAGCGTCCCTTTTGCCCTGCCAAGCCTCGAAGAGATTCCTGAGGTGTCCCTCGTTACTAGACAGGAGTCCTGACGTCACTGAAGAAACTCGTGTTTTGAAGGGCCATCCCCGCCGTAAGTCGAGAACATACCCCAGGTCCCCGCCGCAACTCGAGAAAAACCATGAGACTTCCCCCTAGAGGCGAGATGAGGCCCCATTCCCCTGCAGTGCATGCAGAGCTATTCCGTGATCCCATTCAAACAAGTCAGGAGCTTCGACTTGCTTAATGGATCTCCAGACAGTCCCCAAGAACACTGTCACCAGTCTAGACGGACCGTGAGGTCACCCCAGCAATGCAAAGCAGCTCCATGTGCCCCAAATCAACTGGAGATGAGGCCCGATTCCCCTGCATTGACTCCAGAGCCATTCCCCGTTCCCCATTCAACACGACCGGTGGCTCGACTTCCTTCAGGCAACTCCAGAGATGCCCCGAGAACACTCTCCCAAGTCTAGAGGAACACCAACTTCAGCACAGCAACTCGAGGAATGCTCCGTGTACCCCAAATCGTCTCGAGATGAGAGCTGATTCCCTGGCTTACGCTCAAGACGTATGCCAACTTCCCAGAAGCACCTCAGGAGGAGGCTTCTCTCAGCAATAGGTATGTGGGAGGGACCCCGAGTTTGCTGCCTCAAGGGGAATATACAGCGAGAAGCCCTAACTTGAAAGGAGGCCGGATTTCCTTGCAGTGGCTTGAATACAGGCTCGTCTTTCATCTCACAACATGAAGGGATGTCTGAATCCCCTGTGGAGACCTTAGAGAAAGCCCTAGGTCCCCGCCTCATTTTGACGCAATGCCTCACATCCCGCTGACACCTCGAGAGGCACGCGGAGTTCATTGCTTCAGAAGGTGACGATGCCTGACTTCTCTTGAATACTAATAGGAATCCCAAAATCCCTGTGGCTACTGGAAAGGGTCCTTGGGTGCCCTGCCTCACCTCGAGAAGCGTCCCTTTTGCCCTGCCAAGCCTCGAAGAGATTCCTGAGGTGTCCCTCGTTACTAGACAGGAGTCCTGACGTCACTGAAGAAACTCGTGTTTTGAAGGGCCATCCCCGCCGTAAGTCGAGAACATACCCCAGGTCCCCGCCGCAACTCGAGAAAAACCATGAGACTTCCCCCTAGAGGCGAGATGAGGCCCCATTCCCCTGCAGTGCATGCAGAGCTATTCCGTGATCCCATTCAAACAAGTCAGGAGCTTCGACTTGCTTAATGGATCTCGAGACAGTCCCCAAGAACACTGTCACCAGTCTAGACGGACCCTGAGGTCACCCCAGCAACGCAAATCAGCTCCATGTGCCCCAAATCAACTCGAGATGAGGCCCGATTCCCCTGCATTGACTCCAGAGCCATTCCCCGTTCCCCGTTCAACACGACCGGTGGCTCGACTTCCTTCAGGCAACTCCAGAGATGCCCCGAGAACACTGTACCAAGTCTAGAGGAACACCAACTTCAGCACAGCAACTCGAGGAATGCTCCGTGTACCCCAAATCGTCTCGAGATGAGAGCTGATTCCCTGGCTTAGGCTCAAGACATATGCCAACTTCCCAGAAGCACCTCAGGAGGAGGCTTCTCTCAGCAATAGGTATGTGGGAGGGACCCCGAGTTTGCTGCCTCAAGGGGAATATACAGTGAGAAGGCCTAACTTGAAAGGAGGCCGGATTTCCTTGCAGTGGCTTGAATACAGGCTCGTCTTTCATCTCACAACATGAAGGGAGGTCTGAATCCCCTGTGGAGACCTTAGAGAAAGCCCTAGGTCCCTTCCTCATTTTGACGGAATGCCTCACATCCCGCTGACACCTCGAGAGGCACGCAGAGTTCATTGCTTCAAAAGGTGACGATGCCTGACTCCTCTTGAATACTGATAGGAATCCCAAAATCCCTGTGGCTACTGGAAAGGGTCCTTGGGTGCCCTGCCTCACCTCGAGAAGCGTCCCTTTTGCCCTGCCAAGCCTCGAAGAGATTCCTGAGGTGTCCCTCGTTACTAGACAGGAGTCCTGACGTCACTGAAGAAACTCGTGTTTTGAAGGGCCATCCCCGCCGTAAGTCGAGAACATACCCCAGGTCCCCGCCGCAACTCGAGAAAAACCATGAGACTTCCCCCTAGAGGCGAGATGAGGCCCCATTCCCCTGCAGTGCATGCAGAGCTATTCCGTGATCCCATTCAAACAAGTCAGGAGCTTCGACTTGCTTAATGGATCTCGAGACAGTCCCCAAGAACACTGTCACCAGTCTAGGCGGACCCAGAGGTCACCCCAGCAACGCAAAGCAGCTCCATGTGCTACAAATCAACTCGAGGTGAGGCCCGATTCCCCTGCATTGACTCCAGAGCCATTCCCCGTTCCCCATTCAACACGACCGGTGGCTCGACTTCCTTCAGGCAACTCCAGAGATGCCCCGAGAACACTCTCCCAAGTCTAGAGGAACACCAACTTCAGCACAGCAACTCGAGGAATGCTCCGTGTACCCCAAATCGTCTCGAGATGAGAGCTGATTCCCTGGCTTAGGCTCAAGACGTATGCGAATTTCCCTGAAGCACCTCAGGAGGAAGCTTCTCTCAGCAATAGGTATGTGGGAGGGACCCCGAGTTTGCTGCCTCAAGGGGAATATACAGCGAGAAGCCCTAACTTGAAAGGAGGCCGGATTTCCTCGCAGTGGCTTGAATACAGGCTCGTCTTTCATCTCACAACATGAAGGGATGTCTGAATCCCCTGTGGAGACCTTAGAGAAAGCCCTAGGTGCCTGCCTCATTTTGCCGGAATGCCTCACATCCCGCTGACACCTCGAGAGGCACGCGGAGTTCATTGCTTCAAAAGGTGACGATGCCTGACTCCTCTTGAATACTGATAGGAATCCCAAAATCCCTGTGGCTACTGGAAAGGGTCCTTGGGTGCACTTCCTCACCTCGAGAAGCGTCCCTTTTGCCCTGCCAAGCCTCGAAGAGATTCCTGAAGTGTCCCTCGTTACTAGACAGGAGTCCTGACGTCACTGAAGAAACTCGTGTTTTGAAGGGCCATCCCCGCCGTAAGTCGAGAACATACCCCAGGTCCCCGCCGCAACTCGAGAAAAACCATGAGACTTCCCCATAGAGGCGAGATGAGGCCCCATTCCCCTGCAGTGCATGCAGAGCTATTCCGTGATCCCATTCAAACAAGTCAGGAGCTTCGACTTGCTTAATGGATCTCGAGACAGTCCCCAAGAACACTGTCACCAGTCTAGACGGACCCTGAGGTCACCCCAGCAACGCAAAGCAGCTCCATGTGCCCCAAATCAACTCGAGATGAGGCCTGATTCCCCTGCATTGACTCCAGAGCCATTCCCCGTTCCCCATTCAACATGACCGGTGGCTTGACTTCCTTCAGGCAACTCCAGAGATGCCCCGAGAACACTGTCCCAAGTCTAGAGGAAAACCAACTTCAGCACAGCAACTCGAGGAATGCTCCGTGTACCCCAAATCGTCTCGAGATGAGAGCTGATTCCCTGGCTTAGGCTCAAGACGTATGCCAACTTCCCAGAAGCACATCAGGAGGAGGCTTCTCTCAGCAATAGGTATGTGGGAGGGACCCCGAGTTTGCTGCCTCAAGGGGAATATACAGCGAGAAGCCCTAACTTGAAAGGAGGCCGGATTTCCTTGCAGTGGCTTGAAAACAGGCTCGTCTTTCATCTCACAACCTAAAGGGATGTCTGAATCCCCTGTGGAGACCTTAGAGAAAGTCCTAGGTCCCTGCCTCATTTTGACGGAATGCCTCACATCCCGTTGACACCTCGAGAGGCACGCGGAGTTCATTGCTTCAAAAGGTGACGATGCCTGACTCGTCTTGGATACTGATAGGAATCCCAAAATCCCTGTGGCTACTGGAAAGGGTCCTTGGGTGCCCTGCCTCACCTCGAGAAGCGTTCCTTTTGCCCTCCCAAGCCTCGAAGAGATTCCTGAGGTGTCCCTCGTTACTAGACAGGAGTCCTGACGTCACTGAAGAAACTCGTGTTTTGAAGGGCCATCCCCGCCGTAAGTCGAGAACATACCCCAGGTCCCCGCCGCAACTCGAGAAAAACCATGAGACTTCCCCTTAGAGGCGAGATGAGGCCCCATTCCCCTGCAGTGCATGCAGAGCTATTCCGTGATCCCATTCAAACAAGTCAGGAGCTTCGACTTGCTTAATGGATCTCGAGACAGTCCCCAAGAACACTGTCACCAGTCTAGACGGACCCTGAGGTCACCCCAGCAACGCAAAGCAGCTCCATGTGCCCCAAATCAACTCGAGGTGAGGACCGATTCCCCTGCATTGACTCCAGAGCCATTCCCCGTTCCCCATTCAACACGACCGGTGGCTCGACTTCCTTCAGGCAACTCCAGAGATGCCCCGAGAACACTGTCCCAAGTCTAGAGGAACACCAACTTCAGCACAGCAACTCGAGGAATGCTCCGTGTACCCCAAATCGTCTCGAGATGAGAGCTGATTCCCTGGCTTAGGCTCAAGACGTATGCCAACTTCCCAGAAGCACCTCAGGAGGAGGCTTCTCTCAGCAATAGGTATGTGGGAGGGACCCCGAGTTTGCTGCCTCAAGGGGAATATACAGCGAGAAGCCCTAACTTGAAAGGAGGCCGGATTTCCTTGCAGTGGCTTGAATACAGGCTCGTCTTTCATCTCACAACATGAAGGGATGTCTGAATCCCCTGTGGAGACCTTAGAGAAAGCCCTAGGTCCCTGCCTCATTTTGACGGAATGCCTCACATCCCGCTGACACCTCGAGAGGCACGCGGAGTTCATTGCTTCAAAAGGTGACGATGCCTGACTCGTCTTGGATACTGATAGGAATCCCAAAATCCCTGTGGCTACTGGAAAGGGTCCTTGGGTGCCCTGCCTCACCTCGAGAAGCGTCCCTTTTGCCCTGCCAAGCCTCGAAGAGATTCCTGAGGTGTCCCTCGTTACTAGACAGGAGTCCTGACGTCACTGAAGAAACTCGTGTTTTGAAGGGCCATCCCCGCCGTAAGTCGAGAACATACCCCAGGTCCCCGCCGCAACTCGAGAAAAACCATGAGACTTCCCCCTAGAGGCGAGATGAGGCCCCATTCCCCTGCAGTGCATGCAGAGCTATTCCGTGATCCCATTCAAACAAGTCAGGAGCTTCGACTTGCTTAATGGATCTCGAGACAGTCCCCAAGAACACTGTCACCAGTCTAGGCGGACCCAGAGGTCACCCCAGCAACGCAAATCAGCTCCATGTGCCCCAAATCAACTCGAGGTGAGGCCCGATTCCCCTGCATTGACTCCAGAGCCATTCCCCGTTCCCCATTCAACACGACCGGTGGCTCGACTTCCTTCAGGCAACTCCAGAGATGCCCCGAGAACACTGTCCCAAGTCTAGAGGAACACCAACTTCAGCACAGCAACTCGAGGAATGCTCCGTGTACCCCAAATCGTCTCGAGATGAGAGCTGATTCCCTGGCTTAGGCTCAAGACGTATGCCAACTTCCCAGAAGCACCTCAGGAGGAGGCTTCTCTCAGCAATAGGTATGTGGGAGGGACCCCGAGTTTGCTGCCTCAAGGGGAATATACAGCGAGAAGCCCTAACTTGAAAGGAGGCCGGATTTCCTTGCAGTGGCTTGAATACAGGCTCGTCTTTCATCTCACAACATGAAGGGATGTCTGAATCCCCTGTGGAGACCTTAGAGAAAGCCCTAGGTCCCTGCCTCATTTTGACGGAATGCCTCACATCCCGCTGACACCTCGAGAGGCACGCGGAGTTCATTGCTTCAAATGGTGACGATGCCTGACTCGTCTTGAATACTGATAGGAATCCCAAAATCCCTGTGGCTACTGGAAAGGGTCCTTGGGTGCCCTGCCTCACCTCGAGAAGCGTCCCTTTTGCCCTGCCAAGCCTCGAAGAGATTCCTGAGGTGTCCCTCGTTACTAGACAGGAGTCCTGACGTCACTGAAGAAACTCGTGTTTTGAAGGGCCATCCCCGCCGTAAGTCGAGAACATACCCCAGGTCCCCGCCGCAACTCGAGAAAAACCATGAGACTTCCCCCTAGAGGCGAGATGAGGCCCCATTCCCCTGCAGTGCATGCAGAGCTATTCCGTGATCCCATTCAAACAAGTCAGGAGCTTCGACTTGCTTAATGGATCTCGAGACAGTCCCCAAGAACACTGTCACCAGTCTAGGCGGACCCAGAAGTCACCCCAGCTACGCAAAGCAGATCCATGTGCCCCAAATCAACTCGAGGTGAGGCCCGATTCCCCTGCATTGACTCCAGAGCCATTCCCCGTTCCCCATTCAACACGACCGGTGGCTCGACTTCCTTCAGGCAACTCCAGAGATGCCCCGAGAACACTGTCCCAAGTCTAGAGGAACACGAACTTCAGCACAGCAACTCGAGGAATGCTCCGTGTACCCCAAATCGTCTCGAGATGAGAGCTGATTCCCTGGCTTAGGCTCAAGACGTATGCCAATTTCCCAGAAGCACCTCAGGAGGAGGCTTCTCTCAGCAATAGGTATGTGGGAGGGACCCCGAGTTTGCTGCCTCAAGGGGAATATACAGCGAGAAGCCCTAACTTGAAAGGAGGCCGGATTTCCTTGCAGTGGCTTGAATACAGGCTCGTCTTTCATCTCACAACATGAAGGGATGTCTGAATCCCCTGTGGAGACCTTAGAGAAAGCCCTAGGTCCCTGCCTCATTTTGACGGAATGCCTCACATCCCGCTGACACCTCGAGAGGCACGCGGAGTTCATTGCTTCAAAAGGTGACGATGCCTGACTCCTCTTGAATACTGATAGGAATCCCAAAATCCCTGTGGCTACTGGAAAGGGTCCTTGGGTGCCCTGCCTCACATCGAGAAGCGTCCCTTTTGCCCTGCCAAGCCTCGAAGAGATTCCTGAGGTGTCCCTCGTTACTAGACAGGAGTCCTGACGTCACTGAAGAAACTCGTGTTTTGAAGGGCCATCCCCGCCGTAAGTCGAGAACATACCCCAGGTCCCCGCCGCAACTCGAGAAAAACCATGAGACTTCCCCCTAGAGGCGACATGAGGCCCCATTCCCCTGCAGTGCATGCAGAGCTATTCCGTGATCCCATTCAAACAAGTCAGGAGCTTCGACTTGCTTAATGGATCTCGAGACAGTCCCCAAGAACACTGTCACCAGTCTAGACGGACCCTGAGGTCACCCCAGCAACGCAAAGCAGCTCCATGTGCCCCAAATCAACTCGAGGTGAGGCCCGATTCCCCTACATTGACTCCAGAGCCATTCCCCGTTCCCTATTCAACACGACCGGTGGCTCGACTTCCTTCAGGCAACTCCAGAGATGCCCCGAGAACACTGTCCCAAGTCTAGAGGAACACCAACTTCAGCACAGCAACTCGAGGAATGCTCCGTGTACCCCAAATCGTCTCGAGATGAGAGCTGATTCCCTGGCTTAGGCTCAAGATGTATGCCAATTTCCCAGAAGCACCTCAGGAGGAGGCTTCTCTCAGCAATAGGTATGTGGGAGGGACCCCGAGTTTGCTGCCTCAAGGGGAATATACAGCGAGAAGCCCTAACTTGAAAGGAGGCCGGATTTCCTTGCAGTGGCTTGAATACAGGCTCGTCTTTCATCTCACAACATGAAGGGATGTCTGAATCCCGTGTGGAGACCTTAGAGAAAGCCCTAGGTCCCTGCCTCATTTTGACGGAATGCCTCACATCCCGCTGACACCTCGAGAGGCACGCGGAGTTCATTGCTTCAAAAGGTGACGATGCCTGACTCCTCTTGAATACTGATAGGAATCCCAAAATCCCTGTGGCTACTGGAAAGGGTCCTTGGGTGCCCTGCCTCACCTCGAGAAGCGTCCCTTTTGCCCTGCCAAGCCTCGAAGAGATTCCTGAGGTGTCCCTCGTTACTAGACAGGAGTCCTGACGTCACTGAAGAAACTCGTGTTTTGAAGGGCCATCCCCGCCGTAAGTCGAGAACATACCCCAGGTCCCCGCCGCAACTCGAGAAAAACCATGAGACTTCCCCCTAGAGGCGAGATGAGGCCCCATTCCCCTGCAGTGCATGCAGAGCTATTCCGTGATCCCATTCAAACAAGTCAGGAGCTTCGACTTGCTTAATGGATCTCCAGACAGTCCCCAAGAACACTGTCACCAGTCTAGACGGACCGTGAGGTCACCCCAGCAATGCAAAGCAGCTCCATGTGCCCCAAATCAACTCGAGATGAGGCCCGATTCCCCTGCATTGACTCCAGAGCCATTCCCCGTTCCCCATTCAACACGACCGGTGGCTCGACTTCCTTCAGGCAACTCCAGAGATGCCCCGAGAACACTCTCCCAAGTCTAGAGGAACACCAACTTCAGCACAGCAACTCGAGGAATGCTCCGTGTACCCCAAATCGTCTCGAGATGAGAGCTGATTCCCTGGCTTACGCTCAAGACGTATGCCAACTTCCCAGAAGCACCTCAGGAGGAGGCTTCTCTCAGCAATAGGTATGTGGGAGGGACCCCGAGTTTGCTGCCTCAAGGGGAATATACAGCGAGAAGCCCTAACTTGAAAGGAGGCCGGATTTCCTTGCAGTGGCTTGAATACAGGCTCGTCTTTCATCTCACAACATGAAGGGATGTCTGAATCCCCTGTGGAGACCTTAGAGAAAGCCCTAGGTCCCCGCCTCATTTTGACGCAATGCCTCACATCCCGCTGACACCTCGAGAGGCACGCGGAGTTCATTGCTTCAGAAGGTGACGATGCCTGACTTCTCTTGAATACTAATAGGAATCCCAAAATCCCTGTGGCTACTGGAAAGGGTCCTTGGGTGCCCTGCCTCACCTCGAGAAGCGTCCCTTTTGCCCTGCCAAGCCTCGAAGAGATTCCTGAGGTGTCCCTCGTTACTAGACAGGAGTCCTGACGTCACTGAAGAAACTCGTGTTTTGAAGGGCCATCCCCGCCGTAAGTCGAGAACATACCCCAGGTCCCCGCCGCAACTCGAGAAAAACCATGAGACTTCCCCCTAGAGGCGAGATGAGGCCCCATTCCCCTGCAGTGCATGCAGAGCTATTCCGTGATCCCATTCAAACAAGTCAGGAGCTTCGACTTGCTTAATGGATCTCGAGACAGTCCCCAAGAACACTGTCACCAGTCTAGACGGACCCTGAGGTCACCCCAGCAACGCAAATCAGCTCCATGTGCCCCAAATCAACTCGAGATGAGGCCCGATTCCCCTGCATTGACTCCAGAGCCATTCCCCGTTCCCCGTTCAACACGACCGGTGGCTCGACTTCCTTCAGGCAACTCCAGAGATGCCCCGAGAACACTGTACCAAGTCTAGAGGAACACCAACTTCAGCACAGCAACTAGAGGAATGCTCCGTGTACCCCAAATCGTCTCGAGATGAGAGCTGATTCCCTGGCTTAGGCTCAAGACATATGCCAACTTCCCAGAAGCACCTCAGGAGGAGGCTTCTCTCAGCAATAGGTATGTGGGAGGGACCCCGAGTTTGCTGCCTCAAGGGGAATATACAGCGAGAAGGCCTAACTTGAAAGGAGGCCGGATTTCCTTGCAGTGGCTTGAATACAGGCTCGTCTTTCATCTCACAACATGAAGGGAGGTCTGAATCCCCTGTGGAGACCTTAGAGAAAGCCCTAGGTCCCTTCCTCATTTTGACGGAATGCCTCACATCCCGCTGACACCTCGAGAGGCACGCAGAGTTCATTGCTTCAAAAGGTGACGATGCCTGACTCCTCTTGAATACTGATAGGAATCCCAAAATCCCTGTGGCTACTGGAAAGGGTCCTTGGGTGCCCTGCCTCACCTCGAGAAGCGTCCCTTTTGCCCTGCCAAGCCTCGAAGAGATTCCTGAGGTGTCCCTCGTTACTAGACAGGAGTCCTGACGTCACTGAAGAAACTCGTGTTTTGAAGGGCCATCCCCGCCGTAAGTCGAGAACATACCCCAGGTCCCCGCCGCAACTCGAGAAAAACCATGAGACTTCCCCCTAGAGGCGAGATGAGGCCCCATTCCCCTGCAGTGCATGCAGAGCTATTCCGTGATCCCATTCAAACAAGTCAGGAGCTTCGACTTGCTTAATGGATCTCGAGACAGTCCCCAAGAACACTGTCACCAGTCTAGGCGGACCCAGAGGTCACCCCAGCAACGCAAAGCAGCTCCATGTGCTACAAATCAACTCGAGGTGAGGCCCGATTCCCCTGCATTGACTCCAGAGCCATTCCCCGTTCCCCATTCAACACGACCGGTGGCTCGACTTCCTTCAGGCAACTCCAGAGATGCCCCGAGAACACTCTCCCAAGTCTAGAGGAACACCAACTTCAGCACAGCAACTCGAGGAATGCTCCGTGTACCCCAAATCGTCTCGAGATGAGAGCTGATTCCCTGGCTTAGGCTCAAGACGTATGCGAATTTCCCTGAAGCACCTCAGGAGGAAGCTTCTCTCAGCAATAGGTATGTGGGAGGGACCCCGAGTTTGCTGCCTCAAGGGGAATATACAGCGAGAAGCCCTAACTTGAAAGGAGGCCGGATTTCCTCGCAGTGGCTTGAATACAGGCTCGTCTTTCATCTCACAACATGAAGGGATGTCTGAATCCCCTGTGGAGACCTTAGAGAAAGCCCTAGGTGCCTGCCTCATTTTGCCGGAATGCCTCACATCCCGCTGACACCTCGAGAGGCACGCGGAGTTCATTGCTTCAAAAGGTGACGATGCCTGACTCCTCTTGAATACTGATAGGAATCCCAAAATCCCTGTGGCTACTGGAAAGGGTCCTTGGGTGCACTTCCTCACCTCGAGAAGCGTCCCTTTTGCCCTGCCAAGCCTCGAAGAGATTCCTGAAGTGTCCCTCGTTACTAGACAGGAGTCCTGACGTCACTGAAGAAACTCGTGTTTTGAAGGGCCATCCCCGCCGTAAGTCGAGAACATACCCCAGGTCCCCGCCGCAACTCGAGAAAAACCATGAGACTTCCCCATAGAGGCGAGATGAGGCCCCATTCCCCTGCAGTGCATGCAGAGCTATTCCGTGATCCCATTCAAACAAGTCAGGAGCTTCGACTTGCTTAATGGATCTCGAGACAGTCCCCAAGAACACTGTCACCAGTCTAGACGGACCCTGAGGTCACCCCAGCAACGCAAAGCAGCTCCATGTGCCCCAAATCAACTCGAGATGAGGCCTGATTCCCCTGCATTGACTCCAGAGCCATTCCCCGTTCCCCATTCAACATGACCGGTGGCTTGACTTCCTTCAGGCAACTCCAGAGATGCCCCGAGAACACTGTCCCAAGTCTAGAGGAAAACCAACTTCAGCACAGCAACTCGAGGAATGCTCCGTGTACCCCAAATCGTCTCGAGATGAGAGCTGATTCCCTGGCTTAGGCTCAAGACGTATGCCAACTTCCCAGAAGCACATCAGGAGGAGGCTTCTCTCAGCAATAGGTATGTGGGAGGGACCCCGAGTTTGCTGCCTCAAGGGGAATATACAGCGAGAAGCCCTAACTTGAAAGGAGGCCGGATTTCCTTGCAGTGGCTTGAAAACAGGCTCGTCTTTCATCTCACAACCTAAAGGGATGTCTGAATCCCCTGTGGAGACCTTAGAGAAAGTCCTAGGTCCCTGCCTCATTTTGACGGAATGCCTCACATCCCGTTGACACCTCGAGAGGCACGCGGAGTTCATTGCTTCAAAAGGTGACGATGCCTGACTCGTCTTGGATACTGATAGGAATCCCAAAATCCCTGTGGCTACTGGAAAGGGTCCTTGGGTGCCCTGCCTCACCTCGAGAAGCGTTCCTTTTGCCCTCCCAAGCCTCGAAGAGATTCCTGAGGTGTCCCTCGTTACTAGACAGGAGTCCTGACGTCACTGAAGAAACTCGTGTTTTGAAGGGCCATCCCCGCCGTAAGTCGAGAACATACCCCAGGTCCCCGCCGCAACTCGAGAAAAACCATGAGACTTCCCCTTAGAGGCGAGATGAGGCCCCATTCCCCTGCAGTGCATGCAGAGCTATTCCGTGATCCCATTCAAACAAGTCAGGAGCTTCGACTTGCTTAATGGATCTCGAGACAGTCCCCAAGAACACTGTCACCAGTCTAGACGGACCCTGAGGTCACCCCAGCAACGCAAAGCAGCTCCATGTGCCCCAAATCAACTCGAGGTGAGGACCGATTCCCCTGCATTGACTCCAGAGCCATTCCCCGTTCCCCATTCAACACGACCGGTGGCTCGACTTCCTTCAGGCAACTCCAGAGATGCCCCGAGAACACTGTCCCAAGTCTAGAGGAACACCAACTTCAGCACAGCAACTCGAGGAATGCTCCGTGTACCCCAAATCGTCTCGAGATGAGAGCTGATTCCCTGGCTTAGGCTCAAGACGTATGCCAACTTCCCAGAAGCACCTCAGGAGGAGGCTTCTCTCAGCAATAGGTATGTGGGAGGGACCCCGAGTTTGCTGCCTCAAGGGGAATATACAGCGAGAAGCCCTAACTTGAAAGGAGGCCGGATTTCCTTGCAGTGGCTTGAATACAGGCTCGTCTTTCATCTCACAACATGAAGGGATGTCTGAATCCCCTGTGGAGACCTTAGAGAAAGCCCTAGGTCCCTGCCTCATTTTGACGGAATGCCTCACATCCCGCTGACACCTCGAGAGGCACGCGGAGTTCATTGCTTCAAAAGGTGACGATGCCTGACTCGTCTTGGATACTGATAGGAATCCCAAAATCCCTGTGGCTACTGGAAAGGGTCCTTGGGTGCCTGCCTCACCTCGAGAAGCGTCCCTTTTGCCCTGCCAAGCCTCGAAGAGATTCCTGAGGTGTCCCTCGTTACTAGACAGGAGTCCTGACGTCACTGAAGAAACTCGTGTTTTGAAGGGCCATCCCCGCCGTAAGTCGAGAACATACCCCAGGTCCCCGCCGCAACTCGAGAAAAACCATGAGACTTCCCCCTAGAGGCGAGATGAGGCCCCATTCCCCTGCAGTGCATGCAGAGCTATTCCGTGATCCCATTCAAACAAGTCAGGAGCTTCGACTTGCTTAATGGATCTCGAGACAGTCCCCAAGAACACTGTCACCAGTCTAGGCGGACCCAGAGGTCACCCCAGCAACGCAAATCAGCTCCATGTGCCCCAAATCAACTCGAGGTGAGGCCCGATTCCCCTGCATTGACTCCAGAGCCATTCCCCGTTCCCCATTCAACACGACCGGTGGCTCGACTTCCTTCAGGCAACTCCAGAGATGCCCCGAGAACACTGTCCCAAGTCTAGAGGAACACCAACTTCAGCACAGCAACTCGAGGAATGCTCCGTGTACCCCAAATCGTCTCGACATGAGAGCTGATTCCCTGGCTTAGGCTCAAGACGTATGCCACCTTTCCAGAAGCACATCAGGAGGAGGCTTCTCTCAGCAATAGGTATGTGGGAGGGACCCCGAGTTTGCTGCCTCAAGGGGAATATACAGCGAGAAGCCCTAACTTGAAAGGAGGCCGGATTTCCTTGCAGTGGCTTGAATACAGGCTCGTCTTTCATCTCACAACATGAAGGGATGTCTGAATCCCCTGTGGAGACCTTAGAGAAAGCCCTAGGTCCCTGCCTCATTTTGACGGAATGCCTCACATCCCGCTGACACCTCGAGAGGCACGCGGAGTTCATTGCTTCAAAAGGTGACGATGCCTGGCTCCTCTTGAATACTGATAGGAATCCCAAAATCCCTGTGGCTACTGGAAAGGGTCCTTGGGTGCCCTGCCTCACCTCGAGAAGCGTCCCTTTTGCCCTGCCAAGCCTCGAAGAGATTCCTGAGGTGTCCCTCGTTACTAGACAGGAGTCCTGACGTCACTGAAGAAACTCGTGTTTTGAAGGGCCATCCCCGCCGTAAGTCGAGAACATACCCCAGGTCCCCGCCGCAACTCGAGAAAAACCATGAGACTTCCCCTTAGAGGCGAGATGAGGCCCCATTCCCCTGCAGTGCATGCAGAGCTATTCCGTGATCCCATTCAAACAAGTCAGGAGCTTCGACTTGCTTAATGGATCTCGAGACAGTCCCCAAGAACACTGTCACCAGTCTAGACGGACCCAGAGGTCACCCCAGCAACGCAAAGCAGCTCCATGTGCCCCAAATCAACTCGAGGTGAGGACCGATTCCCCTGCATTGACTCCAGAGCCATTCCCCGTTCCCAATTCAACACGACCGGTGGCTCGACTTCCTTCAGGCAACTCCAGAGATGCCCCGAGAACACTGTCCCAAGTCTAGAGGAACACCAACTTCAGCACAGCAACTCGAGGAATGCTCCGTGTACCCCAAATCGTCTCGAGATGAGAGCTGATTCCCTGGCTTAGGCTCAAGACGTATGCCAACTTCCCAGAAGCACCTCAGGAGGAGGCTTCTCTCAGCAATAGGTATGTGGGAGGGACCCCGAGTTTGCTGCCTCAAGGGGAATATACAGCGAGAAGACCTAACTTGAAAGGAGGCCGGATTTCCCTGCAGTGGCTTGAATACAGGCTCGTCTTTCATCTCACAACATGAAGGGTTGTCTGAATCCCCTGTGGAGACCTTAGAGAAAGCCCTAGGTCCCTGCCTCATTTTGACGGAATGCCTCACATCCCGCTGACACCTCGAGAGGCACGCGGAGTTCATTGCTTCAAAAGGTGACGATGCCTGACTCGTCTTGGATACTGATAGGAATCCCAAAATCCCTGTGGCTACTGGAAAGGGTTCTTGGGTGCCCTGCCTCACCTCGAGAAGCGTCCCTTTTGCCCTGCCAAGCCTCGAAGAGATTCCTGAGGTGTCCCTCGTTACTAGACAGGGGTCCTGACGTCACTGAAGAAACTCGTGTTTTGAAGGGCCATCCCCGCCGTAAGTCGAGAACATACCCCAGGTCCCCGCCACAACTCAAGAAAAACCATGAGACTTCCCCCTAGGGCGAGATGAGGCCCCATTCCCCTGCAGTGCATGCAGAGCTATTCCGTGATCCCATTCAAACAAGTCAGGAGCTTCGACTTGCTTAATGGATCTCGAGACAGTCCCCAAGAACACTGTCACCAGTCTAGGCGGACCCAGAGGTCACCCCAGCAACGCAAATCAGCTCCATGTGCCCCAAATCAACTCGAGGTGAGGCCCGATTCCCCTGCATTGACTCCAGAGCCATTCCCCGTTCCCCATTCAACACGACCGGTGGCTCGACTTCCTTCAGGCAACTCCAGAGATGCCCCGAGAACACTGTCCCAAGTCTAGAGGAACACCAACTTCAGCACAGCAACTCGAGGAATGCTCCGTGTACCCCAAATCGTCTCGAGATGAGAGCTGATTCCCTGGCTTAGGCTCAAGACGTATGCCAACTTCCCAGAAGCACCTCAGGAGGAGGCTTCTCTCAGCAATAGGTATGTGGGAGGGACCCCGAGTTTGCTGCCTCAAGGGGAATATACAGCGAGAAGGCCTAACTTGAAAGGAGGCCGGATTTCCTTGCAGTGGCTTGAATACAGGCTCGTCTTTCATCTCACAACATGAAGGGATGTCTGAATCCCCTGTGGAGACCTTAGAGAAAGCCCTAGGTGCCTGCCTCATTTTGACGGAATGCCTCACATCCCGCTGACACCTCGAGAGGCACGCGGAGTTCATTGCTTCAAAAGGTGACGATGCCTGACTCCTCTTGAATACTGATAGGAATCCCAAAATCCCTGTGGCTACTGGAAAGGGTCCTTGGGTGCCCTGCCTCACCTCGAGAAGCGTCCCTTTTGCCCTGCCAAGCCTCGAAGAGATTCCTGAGGTGTCCCTCGTTACTAGACAGGAGTCCTGACGTCACTGAAGAAACTCGTGTTTTGAAGGGCCATCCCCGCCGTAAGTCGAGAACATACCCCAGGTCCCCGCCGCAACTCGAGAAAAACCATGAGACTTCCCCCTAGAGGCGAGATGAGTCCCCATTCCCCTGCAGTGCATGCAGAGCTATTCCGTGATCCCATTCAAACAAGTCAGGAGCTTCGACTTGCTTAATGGATCTCGAGACAGTCCCCAAGAACACTGTCACCAGTCTAGACGGACCCTGAGGTCACCCCAGCAACGCAAAGCAGCTCCATGTGCCCCAAATCAACTCGAGATGAGGCCTGATTCCCCTGCATTGACTCCAGAGCCATTCCCCGTTCCCCATTCAACATGACCGGTGGCTTGACTTCCTTCAGGCAACTCCAGAGATGCCCCGAGAACACTGTCCCAAGTCTAGAGGAACACCAACTTCAGCACAGCAACTCGAGGAATGCTCCGTGTACCCCAAATCGTCTCGAGATGAGAGCTGATTCCCTGGCTTAGGCTCAAGACGTATGCCAACTTCCCAGAAGCACCTCAGGAGGAGTCTTCTCTCAGCAATAGGTATGTGGGAGGGACCCCGAGTTTGCTGCCTCAAGGGGAATATACAGCGAGAAGCCCTAACTTGAAAGGAGGCCGGATTTCCTTGCAGTGGCTTGAATACAGGCTCGTCTTTCTTCTCACAACATGAAGGGATGTCTGAATCCCCTGTGGAGACCTTAGAGAAAGCCCTAGGTGCCTGCCTCATTTTGACGGAATGCCTCACATCCCGCTGACACCTCGAGAGGCACGCGGAGTTCATTGCTTCAAAAGGTGACGATGCCTGACTCCTCTTGAATACTGATAGGAATCCCAAAATCCCTGTGGCTACTAGAAAGGGTCCTTGGGTGCCCTGCCTCACCTCGAGAAGCGTCCCTTTTGCCCTGCCAAGCCTCGAAGAGATTCCTGAGGTGTCCCTCGTTACTAGACAGGAGTCCTGACGTCACTGAAGAAACTCGTGTTTTGAAGGGCCATCCCCGCCGTAAGTCGAGAACATACCCCAGGTCCCCGCCGCAACTCGAGAAAAACCATGAGACTTCCCCATAGAGGCGAGATGAGGCCCCATTCCCCTGCAGTGCATGCAGAGCTATTCCGTGATCCCATTCAAACAAGTCAGGAGCTTCGACTTGCTTAATGGATCTCGAGACAGTCCCCAAGAACACTGTCACCAGTCTAGACGGACCCTGAGGTCACCCCAGCAATGCAAATCAGCTCCATGTGCCCCAAATCAACTCGAGATGAGGCCCGATTCCCCTGCATTGACTCCAGAGCCATTCCCCGTTCCCCGTTCAACACGACCGGTGGCTCGACTTCCTTCAGGCAACTCCAGAGATGCCCCGAGAACACTGTCCCAAGTCTAGAGGAACACCAACTTCAGCACAGCAACTCGAGGAATGCTCCGTGTACCCCAAATCGTCTCGAGATGAGAGCTGATTCCCTGGCTTAGGCTCAAGACGTATGCCAACTTCCCAGAAGCACCTCAGGAAGAGGCTTCTCTCAGCAATAGGTATGTGGGAGGGACCCCGAGTTTGCTGCCTCAAGGGGAATATACAGCGAGAAGCCCTAACTTGAAAGGAGGCCGGATTTCCTTGCAGTGGCTTGAATACAGGCTCGTCTTTCATCTCACAACATGAAGGGATGTCTGAATCCCCTGTGGAGACCTTAGAGAAAGCCCTAGGTCCCTGCCTCATTTTGACTGAATGCCTCACATCCCGCTGACACCTCGAGAGGCACGCGGAGTTCATTGCTTCAAAAGGTGACGATGCCTGGCTCCTCTTGAATACTGATAGGAATCCCAAAATCCCTGTGGCTACTGGAAAGGGTCCTTGGGTGCCCTGCCTCACCTCGAGAAGCGTCCCTTTTGCCCTGCCAAGCCTCGAAGAGATTCCTGAGGTGTCCCTCCTTACTAGACAGGAGTCCTGACGTCACTGAAGAAACTCGTGTTTTGAAGGGCCATCCCCGCCGTAAGTCGAGAACATACCCCAGGTCCCCGCCGCAACTCGAGAAAAACCATGAGACTTCCCCTTAGAGGCGAGATGAGGCCCCATTCCCCTGCAGTGCATGCAGAGCTATTCCGTGATCCCATTCAAACAAGTCAGGAGCTTCGACTTGCTTAATGGATCTCGAGACAGTCCCCAAGAACACTGTCACCAGTCTAGACGGACCCAGAGGTCACCCCAGCAACGCAAAGCAGCTCCATGTGCCCCAAATCAACTCGAGGTGAGGACCGATTCCCCTGCATTGACTCCAGAGCCATTCCCCGTTCCCAATTCAACACGACCGGTGGCTCGACTTCCTTCAGGCAACTCCAGAGATGCCCCGAGAACACTGTCCCAAGTCTAGAGGAACACCAACTTCAGCACAGCAACTCGAGGAATGCTCCGTGTACCCCAAATCGTCTCGAGATGAGAGCTGATTCCCTGGCTTAGGCTCAAGACGTATGCCAACTTCCCAGAAGCACCTCAGGAGGAGGCTTCTCTCAGCAATAGGTATGTGGGAGGGACCCCGAGTTTGCTGCCTCAAGGGGAATATACAGCGAGAAGACCTAACTTGAAAGGAGGCCGGATTTCCTTGCAGTGGCTTGAATACAGGCTCGTCTTTCATCTCACAACATGAAGGGTTGTCTGAATCCCCTGTGGAGACCTTAGAGAAAGCCCTAGGTCCCTGCCTCATTTTGACGGAATGCCTCACATCCCGCTGACACCTCGAGAGGCACGCGGAGTTCATTGCTTCAAAAGGTGACGATGCCTGACTCGTCTTGGATACTGATAGGAATCCCAAAATCCCTGTGGCTACTGGAAAGGGTTCTTGGGTGCCCTGCCTCACGTCGAGAAGCGTCCCTTTTGCCCTGCCAAGCCTCGAAGAGATTCCTGAGGTGTCCCTCGTTACTAGACAGGGGTCCTGACTTCACTGAAGAAACTCGTGTTTTGAAGGGCCATTCCCGCCGTAAGTCGAGAACATACCCCAGGTCCCCGCCGCAACTCAAGAAAAACCATGAGACTTCCCCCTAGAGGCGAGATGAGGCCCCATTCCCCTGCAGTGCATGCAGAGCTATTCCGTGATCCCATTCAAACAAGTCAGGAGCTTCGACTTGCTTAATGGATCTCGAGACAGTCCCCAAGAGCACTGTCACCAGTCTAGGCGGACCCAGAGGTCACCCCAGCAACGCAAATCAGCTCCATGTGCGCCAAATCAACTCGAGGTGAGGCCCGATTCCCCTGCATTGACTCCAGAGCCATTCCCCGTTCCCCATTCAACACGACCGGTGGCTCGACTTCCTTCAGGCAACTCCAGAGATGCCCCGAGAACACTGTCCCAAGTCTAGAGGAACACCAACTTCAGCACAGCAACTCGAGGAATGCTCCGTGTACCCCAAATCGTCTCGAGATGAGAGCTGATTCCCTGGCTTAGGCTCACGACGTATGCCAATTTCCCAGAAGCACATCAGGAGGAGGCTTCTCTCAGCAACACTTATGTGGGAGGGACCCCGAGTTTGCTGCCTCAAGGGGAATATACAGCGAGAAGCCCTAACTTGAAAGGAGGCCGGATTTCCTTGCAGTGGCTTGAATACAGGCTCGTCTTTCTTCTCACAACATGAAGGGATGTCTGAATCCCCTGTGGAGACCTTAGAGAAAGCCCTAGGTGCCTGCCTCATTTTGACGGAATGCCTCACATCCCGCTGACACCTCGAGAGGCACGCGGAGTTCATTGCTTCAAAAGGTGACGATGCCTGACTCCTCTTGAATACTGATAGGAATCCCAAAATCCCTGTGGCTACTAGAAAGGGTCCTTGGGTGCCCTGCCTCACCTCGAGAAGCGTCCCTTTTGCCCTGCCAAGCCTCGAAGAGATTCCTGAGGTGTCCCTCGTTACTAGACAGGAGTCCTGACGTCACTGAAGAAACTCGTGTTTTGAAGGGCCATCCCCGCCGTAAGTCGAGAACATACCCCAGGTCCCCGCCGCAACTCGAGAAAAACCATGAGACTTCCCCATAGAGGCGAGATGAGGCCCCATTCCCCTGCAGTGCATGCAGAGCTATTCCGTGATCCCATTCAAACAAGTCAGGAGCTTCGACTTGCTTAATGGATCTCGAGACAGTCCCCAAGAACACTGTCACCAGTCTAGACGGACCCTGAGGTCACCCCAGCAATGCAAATCAGCTCCATGTGCCCCAAATCAACTCGAGATGAGGCCCGATTCCCCTGCATTGACTCCAGAGCCATTCCCCGTTCCCCGTTCAACACGACCGGTGGCTCGACTTCCTTCAGGCAACTCCAGAGATGCCCCGAGAACACTGTCCCAAGTCTAGAGGAACACCAACTTCAGCACAGCAACTCGAGGAATGCTCCGTGTACCCCAAATCGTCTCGAGATGAGAGCTGATTCCCTGGCTTAGGCTCAAGACGTATGCCAACTTCCCAGAAGCACCTCAGGAAGAGGCTTCTCTCAGCAATAGGTATGTGGGAGGGACCCCGAGTTTGCTGCCTCAAGGGGAATATACAGCGAGAAGCCCTAACTTGAAAGGAGGCCGGATTTCCTTGCAGTGGCTTGAATACAGGCTCGTCTTTCATCTCACAACATGAAGGGATGTCTGAATCCCCTGTGGAGACCTTAGAGAAAGCCCTAGGTCCCTGCCTCATTTTGACTGAATGCCTCACATCCCGCTGACACCTCGAGAGGCACGCGGAGTTCATTGCTTCAAAAGGTGACGATGCCTGGCTCCTCTTGAATACTGATAGGAATCCCAAAATCCCTGTGGCTACTGGAAAGGGTCCTTGGGTGCCCTGCCTCACCTCGAGAAGCGTCCCTTTTGCCCTGCCAAGCCTCGAAGAGATTCCTGAGGTGTCCCTCCTTACTAGACAGGAGTCCTGACGTCACTGAAGAAACTCGTGTTTTGAAGGGCCATCCCCGCCGTAAGTCGAGAACATACCCCAGGTCCCCGCCGCAACTCGAGAAAAACCATGAGACTTCCCCTTAGAGGCGAGATGAGGCCCCATTCCCCTGCAGTGCATGCAGAGCTATTCCGTGATCCCATTCAAACAAGTCAGGAGCTTCGACTTGCTTAATGGATCTCGAGACAGTCCCCAAGAACACTGTCACCAGTCTAGACGGACCCAGAGGTCACCCCAGCAACGCAAAGCAGCTCCATGTGCCCCAAATCAACTCGAGGTGAGGACCGATTCCCCTGCATTGACTCCAGAGCCATTCCCCGTTCCCAATTCAACACGACCGGTGGCTCGACTTCCTTCAGGCAACTCCAGAGATGCCCCGAGAACACTGTCCCAAGTCTAGAGGAACACCAACTTCAGCACAGCAACTCGAGGAATGCTCCGTGTACCCCAAATCGTCTCGAGATGAGAGCTGATTCCCTGGCTTAGGCTCAAGACGTATGCCAACTTCCCAGAAGCACCTCAGGAGGAGGCTTCTCTCAGCAATAGGTATGTGGGAGGGACCCCGAGTTTGCTGCCTCAAGGGGAATATACAGCGAGAAGACCTAACTTGAAAGGAGGCCGGATTTCCTTGCAGTGGCTTGAATACAGGCTCGTCTTTCATCTCACAACATGAAGGGTTGTCTGAATCCCCTGTGGAGACCTTAGAGAAAGCCCTAGGTCCCTGCCTCATTTTGACGGAATGCCTCACATCCCGCTGACACCTCGAGAGGCACGCGGAGTTCATTGCTTCAAAAGGTGACGATGCCTGACTCGTCTTGGATACTGATAGGAATCCCAAAATCCCTGTGGCTACTGGAAAGGGTTCTTGGGTGCCCTGCCTCACGTCGAGAAGCGTCCCTTTTGCCCTGCCAAGCCTCGAAGAGATTCCTGAGGTGTCCCTCGTTACTAGACAGGGGTCCTGACTTCACTGAAGAAACTCGTGTTTTGAAGGGCCATCCCCGCCGTAAGTCGAGAACATACCCCAGGTCCCCGCCGCAACTCAAGAAAAACCATGAGACTTCCCCCTAGAGGCGAGATGAGGCCCCATTCCCCTGCAGTGCATGCAGAGCTATTCCGTGATCCCATTCAAACAAGTCAGGAGCTTCGACTTGCTTAATGGATCTCGAGACAGTCCCCAAGAGCACTGTCACCAGTCTAGGCGGACCCAGAGGTCACCCCAGCAACGCAAATCAGCTCCATGTGCGCCAAATCAACTCGAGGTGAGGCCCGATTCCCCTGCATTGACTCCAGAGCCATTCCCCGTTCCCCATTCAACACGACCGGTGGCTCGACTTCCTTCAGGCAACTCCAGAGATGCCCCGAGAACACTGTCCCAAGTCTAGAGGAACACCAACTTCAGCACAGCAACTCGAGGAATGCTCCGTGTACCCCAAATCGTCTCGAGATGAGAGCTGATTCCCTGGCTTAGGCTCACGACGTATGCCAATTTCCCAGAAGCACATCAGGAGGAGGCTTCTCTCAGCAACACTTATGTGGGAGGGACCCCGAGTTTGCTGCCTCAAGGGGAATATACAGCGAGATGCCCTAACTTGAAAGGAGGCCGGATTTCCTTGCAGTGGCTTGAATACAGGCTCGTCTTTCATCTCACAACATGAAGGGATGTCTGAATCCCCTGTGGAGACCTTAGAGAAAGCCCTAGGTGCCTGCCTCATTTTGACGGAATGCCTCACATCCCGCTGACACCTCGAGAGGCACGCGGAGTTCATTGCTTCAAAAGGTGACGATGCCTGACTCCTCTTGAATACTGATAGGAATCCCAAAATCCCTGTGGCTACTGGAAAGGGTCCTTGGGTGCCCTGCCTCACCTCGAGAAGCGTCCCTTTTGCCCTGCCAAGCCTCGAAGAGATTCCTGAGGTGTCCCTCGTTACTAGACAGGAGTCCTGACGTCACTGAAGAAACTCGTGTTTTGAAGGGCCATCCCTGCCATAAGTCGAGAACATACCCCAGGTCCCCGCCGCAACTCGAGAAAAACCATGAGACTTCCCCCTAGAGGCGAGATGAGGCCCCATTCCCCTGCAGTGCATGCAGAGCTATTCCGTGATCCCATTCAAACAAGTCAGGAGCTTCGACTTGCTTAATGGATCTCGAGACAGTCCCCAAGAACACTGTCACCAGTCTAGACGGACCCTGAGGTCACCCCAGCAACGCAAAGCAGCTCCATGTGCCCCAAATCAACTCGAGATGAGGCCTGATTCCCCTGCATTGACTCCAGAGCCATTCCCCGTTCCCCATTCAACATGACCGGTGGCTTGACTTCCTTCAGGCAACTCCAGAGATGCCCCGAGAACACTGTCCCAAGTCTAGAGGAACACCAACTTCAGCACAGCAACTCGAGGAATGCTCCGTGTACCCCAAATCGTCTCGAGATGAGAGCTGATTCCCTGGCTTAGGCTCAAGACGTATGCCAACTTCCCAGAAGCACCTCAGGAGGAGTCTTCTCTCAGCAATAGGTATGTGGGAGGGACCCCGAGTTTGCTGCCTCAAGGGGAATATACAGCGAGAAGCCCTAACTTGAAAGGAGGCCGGATTTCCTTGCAGTGGCTTGAATACAGGCTCGTCTTTCATCTCACAACATGAAGGGATGTCTGAATCCCCTGTGGAGACCTTAGAGAAAGCCCTAGGTGCCTGCCTCATTTTGACGGAATGCCTCACATCCCGCTGACACCTCGAGAGGCACGCGGAGTTCATTGCTTCAAAAGGTGACGATGCCTGACTCCTCTTGAATACTGATAGGAATCCCAAAATCCCTGTGGCTACTGGAAAGGGTCCTTGGGTGCCCTGCCTCACCTCGAGAAGCGTCCCTTTTGCCCTGCCAAGCCTCGAAGAGATTCCTGAGGTGTCCCTCGTTACTAGACAGGAGTCCTGACGTCACTGAAGAAACTCGTGTTTTGAAGGGCCATCCCCGCCGTAAGTCGAGAACATACCCCAGGTCCCCGCCGCAACTCGAGAAAAACCATGAGACTTCCCCCTAGAGGCGAGATGAGGCCCCATTCCCCTGCAGTGCATGCAGAGCTATTCCGTGATCCCATTCAAACAAGTCAGGAGCTTCGACTTGCTTAATGGATCTCCAGACAGTCCCCAAGAACACTGTCACCAGTCTAGACGGACCCTGAGGTCACCCCAGCAACGCAAAGCAGCTCCATGTGCCCCAAATCAACTCGAGATGAGGCCTGATTCCCCTGCATTGACTCCAGAGCCATTCCCCGTTCCCCATTCAACATGACCGGTGGCTTGACTTCCTTCAGGCAACTCCAGAGATGCCCCGAGAACACTGTCCCAAGTCTAGAGGAAAACCAACTTCAGCACAGCAACTCGAGGAATGCTCCGTGTACCCCAAATCGTCTCGAGATGAGAGCTGATTCCCTGGCTTAGGCTCAAACGTATGCCAACTTCCCAGAAGCACATCAGGAGGAGTCTTCTCTCAGCAATAGGTATGTGGGAGGGACCCCGAGTTTGCTGCCTCAAGGGGAATATACAGCGAGAAGCCCTAACTTGAAAGGAGGCCGGATTTCCTTGCAGTGGCTTGAATACAGGCTCGTCTTTCATCTCACAACATGAAGGGATGTCTGAATCCCCTGTGGAGACCTTAGAGAAAGCCCTAGGTCCCTGCCTCATTTTGACGGAATGCCTCACATCCCGCTGACACCTCGAGAGGCACGCGGAGTTCATTGCTTCAAAAGGTGACGATGCCTGACTCCTCTTGAATACTGATAGGAATCCCAAAATCCCTGTGGCTACTGGAAAGGGTCCTTGGGTGCCCTGCCTCACCTCGAGAAGCGTCCCTTTTGCCCTGCCAAGCCTCGAAGAGATTCCTGAGGTGTCCCTCGTTACTAGACAGGAGTCCTGACGTCACTGAAGAAACTCGTGTTTTGAAGGGCCATCCCCGCCGTAAGTCGAGAACATACCCCAGGTCCCCGCCGCAACTCGAGAAAAACCATGAGACTTCCCCCTAGAGGCGAGATGAGGCCCCATTCCCCTGCAGTGCATGCAGAGCTATTCCGTGATCCCATTCAAACAAGTCAGGAGCTTCGACTTGCTTAATGGATCTCGAGACAGTCCCCAAGAACACTGTCACCAGTCTAGACGGACCCTGAGGTCACCCCAGCAACGCAAAGCAGCTCCATGTGCCCCAAATCAACTCGAGATGAGGCCTGATTCCCCTGCATTGACTCCAGAGCCATTCCTCGTTCCCCATTCAACATGACCAGTGGCTTGACTTCCTTCAGGCAACTCCAGAGATGCCCCGAGAACACTGTCCCAAGTCTAGAGGAAAACCAACTTCAGCACAGCAACTCGAGGAATGCTCCGTGTACCCCAAATCGTCTCGAGATGAGAGCTGATTCCCTGGCTTAGGCTCAAGACGTATGCCAACTTCCCAGAAGCACCTCAGGAGGAGGCTTCTCTCAGCAATAGGTATGTGGGAGGGACCCCGAGTTTGCTGCCTCAAGGGGAATATACAGCGAGAAGCCCTAACTTGAAAGGAGGCCGGATTTCCTTGCAGTGGCTTGAATACAGGCTCGTCTTTCATCTCACAACATGAAGGGATGTCTGAATCCCCTGTGGAGACCTTAGAGAAAGCCCTAGGTCCCTGCCTCATTTTGACGGAATGCCTCACATCCCGCTGACACCTCGAGAGGCACGCGGAGTTCATTGCTTCAAAAGGTGACGATGCCTGACTCCTCTTGAATACTGATAGGAATCCCAAAATCCCTGTGGCTACTGGAAAGGGTCCTTGGGTGCCCTGCCTCACCTCGAGAAGCGTCCCTTTTGCCCTGCCAAGCCTCGAAGAGATTCCTGAGGTGTCCCTCGTTACTAGACAGGAGTCCTGACGTCACTGAAGAAACTCGTGTTTTGAAGGGCCATCCCCGCCGTAAGTCGAGAACATACCCCAGGTCCCCGCCGCAACTCGAGAAAAACCATGAGACTTCCCCCTAGAGGCGAGATGAGGCCCCATTCCCCTGCAGTGCATGCAGAGCTATTCCGTGATCCCATTCAAACAAGTCAGGAGCTTCGACTTGCTTAATGGATCTCGAGACAGTCCCCAAGAACACTGTCACCAGTCTAGACGGACCCTGAGGTCACCCCAGCAACGCAAAGCAGCTCCATGTGCCCCAAATCAACTCGAGATGAGGCCCGATTCCCCTGCATTGACTCCAGAGCCATTCCCCGTTCCCAATTCAACACGACCGGTGGCTCGACTTCCTTCAGGCAACTCCAGAGATGCCCCGAGAACACTGTCCCAAGTCTAGAGGAACACCAACTTCAGCACAGCAACTCGAGGAATGCTCCGTGTACCCCAAATCGTCTCGAGATGAGAGCTGATTCCCTGGCTTAGGCTCAAGACGTATGCCAACTTCCCAGAAGCACCTCAGGAGGAGGCTTCTCTCAGCAATAGGTATGTGGGAGGGACCCCGAGTTTGCTGCCTCAAGGGGAATATACAGCGAGAAGCCCTAACTTGAAAGGAGGCCGGATTTCCTTGCAGTGGCTTGAATACAGGCTCGTCTTTCATCTCACAACATGAAGGGATGTCTGAATCCCCTGTGGAGACCTTAGAGAAAGCCCTAGGTCCCTGCCTCATTTTGACGGAATGCCTCACATCCCGCTGACACCTCGAGAGGCACGCGGAGTTCATTGCTTCAAATGGTGACGATGCCTGACTCGTCTTGAATACTGATAGGAATCCCAAAATCCCTGTGGCTACTGGAAAGGGTCCTTGGGTGCCCTGCCTCACCTCGAGAAGCGTCCCTTTTGCCCTGCCAAGCCTCGAAGAGATTCCTGAGGTGTCCCTCGTTACTAGACAGGAGTCCTGACGTCACTGAAGAAACTCGTGTTTTGAAGGGCCATCCCCGCCGTAAGTCGAGAACATACCCCAGGTCCCCGCCGCAACTCGAGAAAAACCATGAGACTTCCCCCTAGAGGCGAGATGAGGCCCCATTCCCCTGCAGTGCATGCAGAGCTATTCCGTGATCCCATTCAAACAAGTCAGGAGCTTCGACTTGCTTAATGGATCTCGAGACAGTCCCCAAGAACACTGTCACCAGTCTAGGCGGACCCAGAAGTCACCCCAGCTACGCAAAGCAGATCCATGTGCCCCAAATCAACTCGAGGTGAGGCCCGATTCCCCTGCATTGACTCCAGAGCCATTCCCCGTTCCCCATTCAACACGACCGGTGGCTCGACTTCCTTCAGGCAACTCCAGAGATGCCCCGAGAACACTGTCCCAAGTCTAGAGGAACACCAACTTCAGCACAGCAACTCGAGGAATGCTCCGTGTACCCCAAATCGTCTCGAGATGAGAGCTGATTCCCTGGCTTAGGCTCAAGACGTATGCCAATTTCCCAGAAGCACCTCAGGAGGAGGCTTCTCTCAGCAATAGGTATGTGGGAAGGGACCCCGAGTTTGCTGCCTCAAGGGGAATATACAGCGAGAAGCCCTAACTTGAAAGGAGGCCGGATTTCCTTGCAGTGGCTTGAATACAGGCTCGTCTTTCATCTCACAACATGAAGAGATGTCTGAATCCCCTGTGGAGACCTTAGAGAAAGCCCTAGGTCCCTGCCTCATTTTGACGGAATGCCTCACATCCCGTTGACACCTCGAGAGGCACGCGGAGTTCATTTCTTCAAAAGGTGACGATGCCTGACTCCTCTTGAATACTAATAGGAATCCCAAAATCCCTGTGGCTACTGGAAAGGGTCCTTGGGTGCCCTGCCTCACCTCGAGAAGCGTCCCTTTTGCCCTGCCAAGCCTCGAAGAGATTCCTGAGGTGTCCCTCGTTACTAGACAGGAGTCCTGACGTCACTGAAGAAACTAGTGTTTTGAAGGGCCATCCCCGCCGTAAGTCGAGAACATACCCCAGGTCCCCGCCGCAACTCGAGAAAAACCATGAGACTTCCCCTTAGAGGCGAGATGAGGCCCCATTCCCCTGCAGTGCATGCAGATCTATTCCGTGATCCCATTCAAACAAGTCAGGAGCTTCGACTTGCTTAATGGATCTCGAGACAGTCCCCAAGAACACTGTCACCAGTCTAGACGGACCCAGAGGTCACCCCAGCAACGCAAAGCAGCTCCATGTGCCCCAAATCAACTCGAGGTGAGGACCGATTCCCCTGCATTGACTCCAGAGCCATTCCCCGTTCCCAATTCAACACGACCGGTGGCTCGACTTCCTTCAGGCAACTCCAAAGATGCCCCGAGAACACTGTCCCAAGTCTAGAGGAACACCAACTTCAGCACAGCAACTCGAGGAATGCTCCGTGTACCCCAAATCGTCTCGAGATGAGAGCTGATTCCCTGGCTTAGGCTCAAGACGTATGCCAACTTCCCAGAAGCACCTCAGGAGGAGGCTTCTCTCAGCAATAGGTATGTGGGAGGGACCCCGAGTTTGCTGCCTCAAGGGGAATATACAGCGAGAAGCCCTAACTTGAAAGGAGGCCGGATTTCCTTGCAGTGGCTTGAATACGGGCTCGTCTTTCATCTCACAACATGAAGGGATGTCTGAATCCCCTGTGGAGACCTTAGAGAAAGCCCTAGGTCCCTGCCTCATTTTGACGGAATGCCTCACATCCCGTTGACACCTCGAGAGGCACGCGGAGTTCATTGCTTCAAATGGTGACGATGCCTGACTCGTCTTGAATACTGATAGGAATCCCAAAATCCCTGTGGCTACTGGAAAGGGTCCTTGGGTGCCCTGCCTCACCTCGAGAAGCGTCCCTTTTGCCCTGCCAAGCCTCGAAGAGATTCCTGAGGTGTCCCTCGTTACTAGACAGGAGTCCTGACGTCACTGAAGAAACTCGTGTTTTGAAGGGCCATCCCCGCCGTAAGTCGAGAACATACCCCAGGTCCCCGCCGCAACTCGAGAAAAACCATGAGACTTCCCCCTAGAGGCGAGATGAGGCCCCATTCCCCTGCAGTGCATGCAGAGCTATTCCGTGATCCCATTCAAACAAGTCAGGAGCTTCGACTTGCTTAATGGATCTCGAGACAGTCCCCAAGAACACTGTCACCAGTCTAGGCGGACCCAGAAGTCACCCCAGCTACGCAAAGCAGATCCATCTGCCCCAAATCAACTCGAGGTGAGGCCCGATTCCCCTGCATTGACTCCAGAGCCATTCCCCGTTCCCCATTCAACACGACCGGTGGCTCGACTTCCTTCAGGCAACTCCAGAGATGCCCCGAGAACACTGTCCCAAGTCTAGAGGAACACGAACTTCAGCACAGCAACTCGAGGAATGCTCCGTGTACCCCAAATCGTCTCGAGATGAGAGCTGATTCCCTGGCTTAGGCTCAAGACGTATGCCAATTTCCCAGAAGCACCTCAGGAGGAGGCTTCTCTCAGCAATAGGTATGTGGGTGGGACCCCGAGTTTGCTGCCTCAAGGGGAATATACAGCGAGAAGCCCTAACTTGAAAGGAGGCCGGATTTCCTTGCAGTGGCTTGAATACAGGCTCGTCTTTCATCTCACAACATGAAGGGATGTCTGAATCCCCTGTGGAGACCTTAGAGAAAGCCCTAGGTCCCTGCCTCATTTTGACGGAATGCCTCACATCACGCTGACACCTCGAGAGGCACGCGGAGTTCATTGCTTCAAAAGGTGACGATGCCTGACTCGTCTTGAATACTGATAGGAATCCCTAAATCCCTGTGGCTACTGGAAAGGGTCCTTGGGTGCCCTGCCTCACCTCGAGAAGCGTCCCTTTTGCCCTGCCAAGCCTCGAAGAGATTCCTGAGGTGTCCCTCGTTACTAGACAGGAGTCCTGACGTCACTGAAGAAACTCGTGTTTTGAAGGGCCATCCCCGCCGTAAGTCGAGAACATACCCCAGGTCCCCGCCGCAACTCGAGAAAAACCATGAGACTTCCCCCTAGAGGCGACATGAGGCCCCATTCCCCTGCAGTGCATGCAGAGCTATTCCGTGATCCCATTCAAACAAGTCAGGAGCTTCGACTTGCTTAATGGATCTCGAGACAGTCCCCAAGAACACTGTCACCAGTCTAGACGGACCCTGAGGTCACCCCAGCAACGCAAAGCAGCTCCATGTGCCCCAAATCAACTCGAGATGAGGCCCGATTCCCCTGCATTGACTCCAGAGCCATTCCCCGTTCCCCATTCAACACGACCGGTGGCTCGACTTCCTTCAGGCAACTCCAGAGATGCCCCGAGAACACTGTCCCAAGCCTAGAGGAACACCAACTTCAGCACAGCAACTCGAGGAATGCTCCGTGTACCCCAAATCGTCTCGAGATGAGAGCTGATTCCCTGGCTTAGGCTCAAGACGTATGCCAATTTCCCAGAAGCACCTCAGGAGGAGGCTTCTCTCAGCAATAGGTATGTGGGAGGGACCCCGAGTTTGCTGCCTCAAGGGGAATATACAGCGAGAAGCCCTAACTTGAAAGGAGGCCGGATTTCCTTGCAGTGGCTTGAATACAGGCTCGTCTTTCATCTCACAACATGAAGGGATGTCTGAATCCCGTGTGGAGACCTTAGAGAAAGCCCTAGGTCCCCGCCTCATTTTGACGGAATGCCTCACATCCCGCTGACACCTCGAGAGGCACGCGGAGTTCATTGCTTCAGAAGGTGACGATGCCTGACTTCTCTTGAATACTGATAGGAATCCCAAAATCCCTGTGGCTACTGGAAAGGGTCCTTGGGTGCCCTGCCTCACCTCGAGAAGCGTCCCTTTTGCCCTGCCAAGCCTCGAAGAGATTCCTGAGGTGTCCCTCGTTACTAGACAGGAGTCCTGACGTCACTGAAGAAACTCGTGTTTTGAAGGGCCATCCCCGCCGTAAGTCGAGAACATACCCCAGGTCCCCGCCGCAACTCGAGAAAAACCATGAGACTTCCCCCTAGAGGCGAGATGAGGCCCCATTCCCCTGCAGTGCATGCAGAACTATTCCGTGATCCCATTCAAACAAGTCAGGAGCTTCGACTTGCTTAATGGATCTCGAGACAGTCCCCAAGAACACTGTCACCAGTCTAGACGGACCCTGAGGTCACCCCAGCAACGCAAATCAGCTCCATGTGCCCCAAATCAACTCGAGATGAGGCCCGATTCCCCTGCATTGACTCCAGAGCCATTCCCCGTTCCCCGTTCAACACGACCGGTGGCTAGACTTCCTTCAGGCAACTCCAGAGATGCCCCGAGAACACTGTCCCAAGTCTAGAGGAACACCAACTTCAGCACAGCAACTCGAGGAATGCTCCGTGTACCCCAAATCGTCTCGAGATGAGAGCTGATTCCCTGGCTTAGGCTCAAGACGTATGCCAACTTCCCAGAAGCACCTCAGGAGGAGGCTTCTCTCAGCAATAGGTATGTGGGAGGGACCCCGAGTTTGCTGCCTCAAGGGGAATATACAGCGAGAAGGCCTAACTTGAAAGGAGGCCGGATTTCCTTGCAGTGGCTTGAATACAGGCTCGTCTTTCATCTCACAACATGAAGGGATGTCTGAATCCCCTGTGGAGACCTTAGAGAAAGCCCTAGGTCCCTGCCTCATTTTGACGGAATGCCTCACATCCCGCTGACACCTCGAGAGGCACGCGGAGTTCATTGCTTCAAAAGGTGACGATGCCTGACTCCTCTTGAATACTGATAGGAATCCCAAAATCCCTGTGGCTACTGGAAAGGGTCCTTGGGTGCCCTGCCTCACCTCGAGAAGCGTCCCTTTTGCCCTGCCAAGCCTCGAAGAGATTCCTGAGGTGTCCCTCGTTACTAGACAGGAGTCCTGACGTCACTGAAGAAACTCGTGTTTTGAAGGGCCATCCCCGCCGTAAGTCGAGAACATACCCCAGGTCCCCGCCGCAACTCGAGAAAAACCATGAGACTTCCCCCTAGAGGCGAGATGAGGCCCCATTCCCCTGCAGTGCATGCAGAGCTATTCCGTGATCCCATTCAAACAAGTCAGGAGCTTCGACTTGCTTAATGGATCTCGAGACAGTCCCCAAGAACACTGTCACCAGTCTAGGCGGACCCAGAGGTCACCCCAGCAACGCAAAGCAGCTCCATGTGCTCCAAATCAACTCGAGGTGAGGCCCGATTCCCCTGCATTGACTCCAGAGCCATTCCCCGTTCCCCATTCAACACGACCGGTGGCTCGACTTCCTTCAGGCAACTCCAGAGATGCCCCGAGAACACTGTCCCAAGTCTAGAGGAACACCAACTTCAGCACAGCAACTCGAGGAATGCTCCGTGTACCCCAAATCGTCTCGAGATGAGAGCTGATTCCCTGGCTTAGGCTCAAGACGTATGCCAATTTCCCAGAAGCACCTCAGGAGGAAGCTTCTCTCAGCAATAGGTATGTGGGAGGGACCCCGAGTTTGCTGCCTCAAGGGGAATATACAGCGAGAAGCCTTAACTTGAAAGGAGGCTGGATTTCCTCGCAGTGGCTTGAATACAGGCTCGTCTTTCATCTCACAACATGAAGGGATGTCTGAATCCCCTGTGGAGACCTTAGAGAAAGCCCTAGGTGCCTGCCTCATTTTGCCGGAATGCCTCACATCCCGCTGACACCTCGAGAGGCACGCGGAGTTCATTGCTTCAAAAGGTGACGATGCCTGACTCCTCTTGAATACTGATAGGAATCCCAAAATCCCTGTGGCTACTGGAAAGGGTCCTTGGGTGCCCTGCCTCACCTCGAGAAGCGTCCCTTTTGCCCTGCCAAGCCTCGAAGAGATTCCTGAAGTGTCCCTCGTTACTAGACAGGAGTCCTGACGTCACTGAAGAAACTCGTGTTTTGAAGGGCCATCCCCGCCGTAAGTCGAGAACATACCCCAGGTCCCCGCCGCAACTCGAGAAAAACCATGAGACTTCCCCATAGAGGCGAGATGAGGCCCCATTCCCCTGCAGTGCATGCAGAGCTATTCCGTGATCCCATTCAAACAAGTCAGGAGCTTCGACTTGCTTAATGGATCTCGAGACAGTCCCCAAGAACACTGTCACCAGTCTAGACGGACCCTGAGGTCACCCCAGCAACGCAAAGCAGCTCCATGTGCCCCAAATCAACTCGAGATGAGGCCTGATTCCCCTGCATTGACTCCAGAGCCATTCCCCGTTCCCCATTCAACATGACCGGTGGCTTGACTTCCTTCAGGCAACTCCAGAGATGCCCCGAGAACACTGTCCCAAGTCTAGAGGAAAACCAACTTCAGCACAGCAACTCGAGGAATGCTCCGTGTACCCCAAATCGTCTCGAGATGAGAGCTGATTCCCTGGCTTAGGCTCAAGACGTATGCCAATTTCCCAGAAGCACCACAGGAGGAGGCTTCTCTCAGCAATAGGTATGTGGGAGGGACCCCGAGTTTGCTGCCTCAAGGGGAATATACAGCGAGAAGCCCTAACTTGAAAGGAGGCCGGATTTCCTTGCAGTGGCTTGAATACAGGCTCGTCTTTCATCTCACAACATGAAGGGATGTCTGAATCCCCTGTGGAGACCTTAGAGAAAGCCCTAGGTCCCTGCCTCATTTTGACGGAATGCCTCACATCCCGCTGACACCTCGAGAGGCACGCGGAGTTCATTGCTTCAAAAGGTGACGATGCCTGACTCCTCTTGAATACTGATAGGAATCCCAAAATCCCTGTGGCTACTGGAAAGGGTCCTTGGGTGCCCTGCCTCACCTCGAGAAGCGTCCCTTTTGCCCTGCCAAGCCTCGAAGAGATTCCTGAGGTGTCCCTCGTTACTAGACAGGAGTCCTGACGTCACTGAAGAAACTCGTGTTTTGAAGGGCCATCCCCGCCGTAAGTCGAGAACATACCCCAGGTCCCCGCCGCAACTCGAGAAAAACCATGAGACTTCCCCCTAGAGGCGACATGAGGCCCCATTCCCCTGCAGTGCATGCAGAGCTATTCCGTGATCCCATTCAAACAAGTCAGGAGCTTCGACTTGCTTAATGGATCTCGAGACAGTCCCCAAGAACACTGTCACCAGTCTAGACGGACCCTGAGGTCACCCCAGCAACGCAAAGCAGCTCCATGTGCCCCAAATCAACTCGAGGTGAGGCCCGATTCCCCTGCATTGACTCCAGAGCCATTCCCCGTTCCCCATTCAACACGACCGGTGGCTCGACTTCCTTCAGGCAACTCCAGAAATGCCCCGAGAACACTGTCCCAAGTCTAGAGGAACACCAACTTCAGCACAGCAACTCGAGGAATGCTCCGTGTACCCCAAATCGTCTCGAGATGAGAGCTGATTCCCTGGCTTAGGCTCAAGACGTATGCCAATTTCCCAGAAGCACCTCAGGAGGAGGCTTCTCTCAGCAATAGGTATGTGGGAGGGACCCCGAGTTTGCTGCCTCAAGGGCAATATACAGCGAGAAGCCCTAACTTGAAAGGAGGCCGGATTTCCTTGCAGTGGCTTGAATACAGGCTCGTCTTTCATCTCACATAATGAAGGGATGTCTGAATCCCCTGTGGAGACCTTAGAGAAAGCCCTAGGTCCCTGCCTCATTTTGACGGAATGCCTCACATCCCGCTGACACCTCGAGAGGCACGCGGAGTTCATTGCTTCAAAAGGTGACGATGCCTGACTCCTCTTGAATACTGATAGGAATCCCAAAATCCCTGTGGCTACTGGAAAGGGTCCTTGGGTGCCCTGCCTCACCTCGAGAAGCGTCCCTTTTGCCCTGCCAAGCCTCGAAGAGATTCCTGAAGTGTCCCTCGTTACTAGACAGGAGTCCTGACGTCACTGAAGAAACTCGTGTTTTGAAGGGCCATCCCCGCCGTAAGTCGAGAACATACCCCAGGTCCCCGCCGCAACTCGAGAAAAACCATGAGACTTCCCCTTAGAGGCGACATGAGGCCCCATTCCCCTGCAGTGCATGCAGAGCTATTCCGTGATCCCATTCAAACAAGTCAGGAGCTTCGACTTGCTTAATGGATCTCGAGACAGTCCCTAAGAACACTGTCACCAGTCTAGACGGACCCAGAGGTCACCCCAGCAACGCAAAGCAGCTCCATGTGCCCCAAATCAACTCGAGGTGAGGACCGATTCCCCTGCATTGACTCCAGAGCCATAACCCATTCCCCATTCAACACGACCGGTGGCTCGACTTCCTTCAGGCAACTCCAGCGATGCCCCGAGAACACTGTCCCAAGTCTAGAGGAATACCAACTTCAGCACAGCAACTCGAGGAATGCTCCGTGTACCCCAAATCGTCTCGAGATGAGAGCTGATTCCCTGGCTTAGGCTCAAGACGTATGCCAACTTCCCAGAAGCACCTCAGGAGGAGGCTTCTCTAAGCAATAGGTATTTGGGAGGGACCCCGAGTTTGCTGCCTCAAGGGGAATATACAGCGAGAAGCCCTAACTTGAAAGGAGGCCGGATTTCCTTGCAGTGGCTTGAATACAGGCTTGTCTTTCATCTCACAACATGAAGGGATGTCTGAATCCCCTGTGGAGACCTTAGAGAAAGCCCTAGGTCCCTGCCTCATTTTGACGGAATGCCTCACATCCCGCTGACACCTCGAGAGGCACGCGGAGTCCATTGCTTCAAATGGTGACGATGCCTGACTCGTCTTGAATACTGATAGGAATCCCAAAATCCCTGTGGCTACTGGAAAGGGTCCTTGGGTGCCCTGCCTCACCTCGAGAAGCGTCCCTTTTGCCCTGCCAAGCCTCGAAGAGATTCCTGAGGTGTCCCTCGTTACTACACAGGAGTCCTGACGTCACTGAAGAAACTCGTGTTTTGAAGGGCCATCCCCGCCGTAAGTCGAGAACATACCCCAGGTCCCCGCCGCAACTCGAGAAAAACCATGAGACTTCCCCCTAGAGGCGAGATGAGGCCCCATTCCCCTGCAGTGCATGCAGAGCTATTCCGTGATCCCATTCAAACAAGTCAGGAGCTTCGACTTGCTTAATGGATCTCGAGACAGTCCCCAAGAACACTGTCACCAGTCTAGGCGGACCCAGAAGTCACCCCAGCTACGCAAAGCAGATCCATGTGCCCCAAATCAACTCGAGGTGAGGCCCGATTCCCCTGCATTGACTCCAGAGCCATTCCCCGTTCCCCATTCAACACGACCGGTGGCTCGACTTCCTTCAGGCAACTCCAGAGATGCCCCGAGAACACTGTCCCAAGTCTAGAGGAACACGAACTTCAGCACAGCAACTCGAGGAATGCTCCGTGTACCCCAAATCGTCTCGAGATGAGAGCTGATTCCCTGGCTTAGGCTCAAGACGTATGCCAATTTCCCAGAAGCACCTCAGGAGGAGGCTTCTCTCAGCAATAGGTATGTGGGAGGGACCCCGAGTTTGCTGCCTCAAGGGGAATATACAGCGAGAAGCCCTAACTTGAAAGGAGGCCGGATTTCCTTGCAGTGGCTTGAATACAGGCTCGTCTTTCATCTCACAACATGAAGGGATGTCTGAATCCCCTGTGGAGACCTTAGAGAAAGCCCTAGGTCCCTGCCTCATTTTGACGGAATGCCTCACATCCCGCTGACACCTCGAGAGGCACGCGGAGTTCATTGCTTCAAAAGGTGACGATGCCTGACTCCTCTTGAATACTGATAGGAATCCCAAAATCCCTGTGGCTACTGGAAAGGGTCCTTGGGTGCCCTGCCTCACCTCGAGAAGCGTCCCTTTTGCCCTGCCAAGCCTCGAAGAGATTCCTGAGGTGTCCCTCGTTACTAGACAGGAGTCCTGACGTCACTGAAGAAACTCGTGTTTTGAAGGGCCATCCCCGCCGTAAGTCGAGAACATACCCCAGGTCCCCGCCGCAACTCGTGAAAAACCATGAGACTTCCCCCTAGAGGCGACATGAGGCCCCATTCCCCTGCAGTGCATGCAGAGCTATTCCGTGATCCCATTCAAACAAGTCAGGAGCTTCGACTTGCTTAATGGATCTCGAGACAGTCCCCAAGAACACTGTCACCAGTCTAGACGGACCCAGAGGTCACCCCAGCAACGCAAAGCAGCTCCATGTGCCCCAAATCAACTCGAGGTGAGGCCCGATTCCCCTGCATTGACTCCAGAGCCATTCCCCGTTCCCCATTCAACACGACCGGTGGCTCGACTTCCTTCAGGCAACTCCAGAGATGCCCCGAGAACACTGTCCCAAGTCTAGAGGAACACCAACTTCAGCACAGCAACTCGAGGAATGCTCCGTGTACCCCAAATCGTCTCGAGATGAGAGCTGATTCCCTGGCTTAGGCTCAAGACGTATGCCAACTTCCCAGAAGCACCTCAGGAGGAGGTTTCTCTCAGCAATAGGTATGTGGGAGGGACCCCGAGTTTGCTGCCTCAAGGGGAATATACAGCGAGAAGACCTAACTTGAAAGGAGGCCGGATTTCCTTGCAGTGGCTTGAATACAGGCTCGTCTTTCATCTCACAACATGAAGGGATGTCTGAATCCCCTGTGGAGACCTTAGAGAAAGCCCTAGGTCCCTGCCTCATTTTGACGGAATGCCTCACATCCCGCTGACACCTCGAGAGGCACGCGGAGTTCATTGCTTCAAAAGGTGACGATGCCTGACTCGTCTTGGATACTGATAGGAATCCCAAAATCCCTGTGGCTACTGGAAAGGGTCCTTGGGTGCCCTGCCTCACCTCGAGAAGCGTCCCTTTTGCCCTGCCAAGCCTCGAAGAGATTCCTGAGGTGTCCCTCGTTACTAGACAGGGGTCCTGACGTCACTGAAGAAACTCGTGTTTTGAAGGGCCATCCCCGCCGTAAGTCGAGAACATACCCCAGGTCCCCGCCGCAACTCGAGAAAAACCATGAGACTTCCCCCTAGAGGCGAGATGAGGCCCCATTCCCCTGCAGTGCATGCAGAGCTATTCCGTGATCCCATTCAAACAAGTCAGGAGCTTCGACTTGCTTAATGGATCTCGAGATAGTCCCCAAGAACACTGTCACCAGTCTAGGCGGACCCAGAGGTCACCCCAGCAACGCAAATCAGCTCCATGTGCCCCAAATCAACTCGAGGTGAGGCCCGATTCCCCTGCATTGACTCCAGAGCCATTCCCCGTTCCCCATTCAACACGACCGGTGGCTCGACTTCCTTCAGGCAACTCCAGAGATGCCCCGAGAACACTGTCCCAAGTCTAGAGGAACACCAACTTCAGCACAGCAACTCGAGGAATGCTCCGTGTACCCCAAATCGTCTCGAGATGAGAGCTGATTCCCTGGCTTAGGCTCAAGACGTATGCCAATTTCCCAGAAGCACCTCAGGAGGAGGCTTCTCTCAGCAACAGGTATGTGGGAGGGACCCCGAGTTTGCTGCCTCAAGGGGAATATACAGCGAGAAGCCCTAACTTGAAAGGAGGCCGGATTTCCTTGCAGTGGCTTGAATACAGGCTCGTCTTTCATCTCACAACATGAAGGGATGTCTGAATCCCCTGTGGAGACCTTAGAGAAAGCCCTAGGTCCATGCCTCATTTTGACGGAATACCTCACATCCCGCTGACACCTCGAGAGGCACGCGGAGTTCATTGCTTCAAAAGGTGACGATGCCTGACTCGTCTTGAATACTGATAGGAATCCCAAAATCCCTGTGGCTACTGGAAAGGGTCCTTGGGTGCCCTGCCTCACCTCGAGAAGCGTCCCTTTTGCCCTGCCAAGCCTCGAAGAGATTCCTGAGGTGTCCCTCGTTACTAGACAGGGGTCCTGACGTCACTGAAGAAACTCGTGTTTTGAAGGGCCATCCCCGCCGTAAGTCGAGAACATACCCCAGGTCCCCGCCGCAACTCGAGAAAAACCATGAGACTTCCCCCTAGAGGCGAGATGAGGCCCCATTCCCCTGCAGTGCATGCAGAGCTATTCCGTGATCCCATTCAAACAATTCAGGAGCTTAGACTTGCTTAATGGATCTCGAGACAGTCCCCAAGAACACTGTCAGCAGTCTAGATGGACCCTGAGGTCACCCCAGCAACGCAAAGCAGCTCCGTGTGCCCCAAATCAACTCGAGATGAGGCCTGATTCCCCTGCATTGACTCCAGAGCCATTCCCCGTTCCCCATTCAACACGACTGGTGGCTCGACTTCCTTCAGGCAACTCCAGAGATTCCCCGAGAACACTGTCCCAAGTCTAGAAGAACACCAACATCAGCACAGCAACTCGAGGAATGCTCCGTGTACCCCAAATCGTCTCGAGATGAGAGCTGATTCCCTGGCTTAGGCTCAAGACGTATGCCAACTTCCCAGAAGGACCTCAGGAGGAGGCTTCTCTCAGCAATAGGTATGTGGGAGGGACCCCGAGTTTGCTGCCTCAAGGGGAATATACAGCGAGAAGCCCTAACTTGAAAGGAGGCCGCATTTCCTTGCAGTGGCTTGAATACAGGCTCGTCTTTCATCTCACAACATGAAGGGATGTCTGAATCCCCTGTGGAGACCTTAGAGAAAGCCCTAGGTCCCTGCCTCATTTTGACGGAATGCCTCACATCCCGCTGACATCTCGAGAGGCACGCGGAGTTCATTGCTTCAAAAGGTGACGATGCCTGACTCCTCTTGAATACTGATAGGAATCCCAAAATCCCTGTGGCTACTGGAAAGGGTCCTTGGGTGCCCTGCCTCACCTCGAGAAGCGTCCCTTTTGCCCTGCCAAGCCTCGAAGAGATTCCTGAGGTGTCCCTCGTTACTAGACAGGAGTCCTGACGTCACTGAAGAAACTCTTGTTTGAAGGGCCATCCCCGCCGTAAGTCGAGAACATAACCCAGGTCCCCGCCGCAACTCGAGAAAAACCATGAGACTTCCCCCTAGAGGCGAGATGAGGCCCCATTCCCCTGCAGTGCATGCAGAGCTATTCCGTGATCCCATTCAAACAAGTCAGGAGCTTCGACTTGCTTAATGGATCTCGAGACAGTCCCCAAGAACACTGTCACCAGTCTAGACGGACCGTGAGGTCACCCCAGCAATGCAAAGCAGCTCCATGTGCCCCAAGTGAACTCGAGATGAGGCCCGATTCCCCTGCATTGACTCCAGAGCCATTCCCCGTTCCCCATTCAACACGACCGGTGGCTCGACTTCCTTCAGGCAACTCCAGAGATGCCCCGAGAACACTCTCCCAAGTCTAGAGGAACACCAACTTCAGCACAGCAACTCGAGGAATGCTCCGTGTACCCCAAATCGTCTCGAGATGAGAGCTGATTCCCTGGCTTACGCTCAAGACGTATGCCAACTTCCCAGAAGCACCTCAGGAGGAGGCTTCTCTCAGCAATAGGTATGTGGGAGGGACCCCGAGTTTGCTGCCTCAAGGGGAATATACAGCGAGAAGCCCTAACTTGAAAGGAGGCCGGATTTCCTTGCAGTGGCTTGAATACAGGCTCGTCTTTCATCTCACAACATGAAGGGATGTCTGAATCCCCTGTGGAGACCTTAGAGAAAGCCCTAGGTCCCCGCCTCATTTTGACGCAATGCCTCACATCCCGCTGACACCTCGAGAGGCACGCGGAGTTCATTGCTCCAGAAGGTGACGATGCCTGACTTCTCTTGAATACTGATAGGAATCCCAAAATCCCTGTGGCTACTGGAAAGGGTCCTTGGGTGCCCTGCCTCACCTCGAGAAGCGTCCCTTTTGCCCTGCCAAGCCTCGAAGAGATTCCTGAGGTGTCCCTCGTTACTAGACAGGAGTCCTGACGTCACTGAAGAAACTCGTGTTTTGAAGGGCCATCCCCGCCGTAAGTCGAGAACATACCCCAAGTCCCCGTCGCAACTCGGAAAAACCATGAGACTTCCCCCTAGAGGCGAGATGAGGCCCCATTCCCCTGCAGTGCATGCAGAGCTATTCCGTGATCCCATTCAAACAAGTCAGGAGCTTCGACTTGCTTAATGGATCTCGAGACAGTCCCCAAGAACACTGTCACCAGTCTAGGCGGACCCAGAGGTCAACCCAGCAACGCAAAGCAGCTCCATGTGCTCCAAATCAACTCGAGGTGAGGCCCGATTCCCCTGCATTGACTCCAGAGCCATTCCCCGTTCCCCATTCAACACGACCGGTGGCTCGACTTCCTTCAGGCAACTCCAGAGATGCCCCGAGAACACTGTCCCAAGTCTAGAGGAACACCAACTTCAGCACAGCATCTCGAGGAATGCTCCGTGTACCCCAAATCGTCTCGAGATGAGAGCTGATTCCCTGGCTTAGGCTCAAGACGTATGCCAATTTCCCAGAAGCACCTCAGGAGGAAGCTTCTCTCAGCAATAGGTATGTGGGAGGGACCCCGAGTTTGCTGCCTCAAGGGGAATATACAGCGAGAAGCCTTAACTTGAAAGGAGGCCGGATTTCCTTGCAGTGGCTTGAATACAGGCTCGTCTTTCATCTCACAACATGAAGGGATGTCTGAATCCCCTGTGGAGACCTTAGAGAAAGCCCTAGGTGCCTGCCTCATTTTGACGGATGCCTCACATCCCGCTGACACCTCGAGCGGCACGCGGAGTTCATTGCTTCAAAAGGTGACGATGCCTGACTCCTCTTGAATACTGATAGGAATCCCAAAATCCCTGTGGCTACTGGAAAGGGTCCTTGGGTGCCCTGCCTCACCTCGAGAAGCGTCCCTTTTGCCCTGCCAAGCCTCGAAGAGATTCCTGAGGTGTCCCTCGTTACTAGACAGGAGTCCTGACGTCACTGAAGAAACTCGTGTTTTGAAGGGCCATCCCCGCCGTAAGTCGAGAACATACCCCAGGTCCCCGCCGCAACTCGAGAAAAACCATGAGACTTCCCCCTAGAGGCGAGATGAGGCCCCATTCCCCTGCAGTGCATGCAGAGCTATTCCGAGATCCCATTCAAACAAGTCAGGAGCTTCGACTTGCTTAATGGATCTCGACACAGTCCCCAAGAACACTGTCACCAGTCTAGACGGACCCTGAGGTCACCCCAGCAACGCAAAGCAGCTCCATGTGCCCCAAATCAACTCGAGATGAGGCCTGATTCCCCTGCATTGACTCCAGAGCCATTCCCCGTTCCCCATTCAACATGACCGGTGGCTTGACTTCCTTCAGGCAACTCCAGAGATGCCCCGAGAACACTGTCCCAAGTCTAGAGGAAAACCAACCTCAGCACAGCAACTCGAGGAATGCTCCGTGTACCCCAAATCGTCTCGAGATGAGAGCTGATTCCCTGGCTTAGGCTCAAGACGTATGCCAACTTCCCAGAAGCACCTCAGGAGGAGGCTTCTCTCAGCAATAGGTATGTGGGAGGGACCCCGAGTTTGCTGCCTCAAGGGGAATATACAGCGAGAAGCCCTAACTTGAAAGGAGGCCGGATTTCCTTGCAGTGGCTTGAATACAGGCTCGTCTTTCATCTCACAACATGAAGGGATGTCTGAATCCCCTGTGGAGACCTTAGAGAAAGCCCTAGGTCCCTGCCTCATTTTGACGGAATGCCTCACATCCCGCTGACACCTCGAGAGGCACGCGGAGTTCATTGCTTCAAAAGGTGACGATGCCTGACTCCTCTTGAATACTGATAGGAATCCCAAAATCCCTGTGGCTACTGGAAAGGGTCCTTGGGTGCCCTGCCTCACCTCGAGGAGCGTCCCTTTTGCCCTGCCAAGCCTCGAAGAGATTCCTGAGGTGTCCCTCGTTACTAGACAGGAGTCCTGACGTCACTGAAGAAACTCGTGTTTTGAAGGGCCATCCCCGCCGTAAGTCGAGAACATACCCCAGGTCCCCGCCGCAACTCGAGAAAAACCATGAGACTTCCCCCTAGAGGCGAGATGAGGCCCCATTCCCCTGCAGTGCATGCAGAGCTATTCCGTGATCCCATTCAAACAAGTCAGGAGCTTCGACTTGCTTAATGGATCTCGAGACAGTCCCCAAGAACACTGTCACCAGTCTAGACGGACCCAGAGGTCACCCCAGCAACGCAAAGCAGCTCCATGTGCCCCAAATCAACTCGAGATGAGGCCTGATTCCCCTGCATTGACTCCAGAGCCATTCCCCGTTCCCAATTCAACACGACCGGTGGCTCGACTTCCTTCAGGCAACTCCAGAGATGCCCCGAGAACACTGTCCCAAGTCTAGAGGAACACCAACTTCAGCACAGCAACTCGAGGAATGCTCCGTGTACCCCAAATCGTCTCGAGATGAGAGCTGATTCCCTGGCTTAGGCTCAAGACGTATGCCAACTTCCCAGAAGCACCTCAGGAGGAGGCTTCTCTCAGCAATAGGTATGTGGGAGGGACCCCGAGTTTGCTGCCTCAAGGGGAATATACAGCGAGAAGCCCTAACTTGAAAGGAGGCCGGATTTCCTTGCAGTGGCTTGAATACAGGCTCGTCTTTCATCTCACAACATGAAGGGATGTCTGAATCCCCTGTGGAGACCTTAGAGAAAGCCCTAGGTCCCTGCCTCATTTTGACGGAATGCCTCACATCCCGCTGACACCTCGAGAGGCACGCGGAGTTCATTGCTTCAAATGGTGACGATGCCTGACTCGTCTTGAATACTGATAGGAATCCCAAAATCCCTGTGGCTACTGGAAAGGGTCCTTGGGTGCCCTGCCTCACCTCGAGAAGCGTCCCTTTTGCCCTGCCAAGCCTCGAAGAGATTCCTGAGGTGTCCCTCGTTACTAGACAGGAGTCCTGACGTCACTGAAGAAACTCGTGTTTTGAAGGGCCATCCCCGCCGTAAGTCGAGAACATACCCCAGGTCCCCGCCGCAACTCGAGAAAAACCATGAGACTTCCCCCTAGAGGCGAGATGAGGCCCCATTCCCCTGCAGTGCATGCAGAGCTATTCCGTGATCCCATTCAAACAAGTCAGGAGCTTCGACTTGCTTAATGGATCTCGAGACAGTCCCCAAGAACACTGTCACCAGTCTAGGCGGACCCAGAAGTCACCCCAGCTACGCAAAGCAGATCCATGTGCCCCAAATCAACTCGAGGTGAGGCCCGATTCCCCTGCATTGACTCCAGAGCCATTCCCCGTTCCCCATTCAACACGACCGGTGGCTCGACTTCCTTCAGGCAACTCCAGAGATGCCCCGAGAACACTGTCCCAAGTCTAGAGGAACACGAACTTCAGCACAGCAACTCGAGGAATGCTCCGTGTACCCCAAATCGTCTCGAGATGAGAGCTGATTCCCTGGCTTAGGCTCAAGACGTATGCCAATTTCCCAGAAGCACCTCAGGAGGAGGCTTCTCTCAGCAATAGGTATGTGGGAGGGACCCCGAGTTTGCTGCCTCAAGGGGAATATACAGCGAGAAGCCCTAACTTGAAAGGAGGCCGGATTTCCTTGCAGTGGCTTGAATACAGGCTCGTCTTTCATCTCACAACATGAAGGGATGTCTGAATCCCCTGTGGAGACCTTAGAGAAAGCCCTAGGTCCCTGCCTCATTTTGACGGAATGCCTCACATCCCGCTGACACCTCGAGAGGCACGCGGAGTTCATTGCTTCAAAAGGTGACGATGCCTGACTCCTCTTGAATACTGATAGGAATCCCAAAATCCCTGTGGCTACTGGAAAGGGTCCTTGGGTGCCCTGCCTCACATCGAGAAGCGTCCCTTTTGCCCTGCCAAGCCTCGAAGAGATTCCTGAGGTGTCCCTCGTTACTAGACAGGAGTCCTGACGTCACTGAAGAAACTCGTGTTTTGAAGGGCCATCCCCGCCGTAAGTCGAGAACATACCCCAGGTCCCCGCCGCAACTCGAGAAAAACCATGAGACTTCCCCCTAGAGGCGACATGAGGCCCCATTCCCCTGCAGTGCATGCAGAGCTATTCCGTGATCCCATTCAAACAAGTCAGGAGCTTCGACTTGCTTAATGGATCTCGAGACAGTCCCCAAGAACACTGTCACCAGTCTAGACGGACCCTGAGGTCACCCCAGCAACGCAAAGCAGCTCCATGTGCCCCAAATCAACTCGAGGTGAGGCCCGATTCCCCTACATTGACTCCAGAGCCATTCCCCGTTCCCTATTCAACACGACCGGTGGCTCGACTTCCTTCAGGCAACTCCAGAGATGCCCCGAGAACACTGTCCCAAGTCTAGAGGAACACCAACTTCAGCACAGCAACTCGAGGAATGCTCCGTGTACCCCAAATCGTCTCGAGATGAGAGCTGATTCCCTGGCTTAGGCTCAAGATGTATGCCAATTTCCCAGAAGCACCTCAGGAGGAGGCTTCTCTCAGCAATAGGTATGTGGGAGGGACCCCGAGTTTGCTGCCTCAAGGGGAATATACAGCGAGAAGCCCTAACTTGAAAGGAGGCCGGATTTCCTTGCAGTGGCTTGAATACAGGCTCGTCTTTCATCTCACAACATGAAGGGATGTCTGAATCCCGTGTGGAGACCTTAGAGAAAGCCCTAGGTCCCTGCCTCATTTTGACGGAATGCCTCACATCCCGCTGACACCTCGAGAGGCACGCGGAGTTCATTGCTTCAAAAGGTGACGATGCCTGACTCCTCTTGAATACTGATAGGAATCCCAAAATCCCTGTGGCTACTGGAAAGGGTCCTTGGGTGCCCTGCCTCACCTCGAGAAGCGTCCCTTTTGCCCTGCCAAGCCTCGAAGAGATTCCTGAGGTGTCCCTCGTTACTAGACAGGAGTCCTGACGTCACTGAAGAAACTCGTGTTTTGAAGGGCCATCCCCGCCGTAAGTCGAGAACATACCCCAGGTCCCCGCCGCAACTCGAGAAAAACCATGAGACTTCCCCCTAGAGGCGAGATGAGGCCCCATTCCCCTGCAGTGCATGCAGAGCTATTCCGTGATCCCATTCAAACAAGTCAGGAGCTTCGACTTGCTTAATGGATCTCCAGACAGTCCCCAAGAACACTGTCACCAGTCTAGACGGACCGTGAGGTCACCCCAGCAATGCAAAGCAGCTCCATGTGCCCCAAATCAACTGGAGATGAGGCCCGATTCCCCTGCATTGACTCCAGAGCCATTCCCCGTTCCCCATTCAACACGACCGGTGGCTCGACTTCCTTCAGGCAACTCCAGAGATGCCCCGAGAACACTCTCCCAAGTCTAGAGGAACACCAACTTCAGCACAGCAACTCGAGGAATGCTCCGTGTACCCCAAATCGTCTCGAGATGAGAGCTGATTCCCTGGCTTACGCTCAAGACGTATGCCAACTTCCCAGAAGCACCTCAGGAGGAGGCTTCTCTCAGCAATAGGTATGTGGGAGGGACCCCGAGTTTGCTGCCTCAAGGGGAATATACAGCGAGAAGCCCTAACTTGAAAGGAGGCCGGATTTCCTTGCAGTGGCTTGAATACAGGCTCGTCTTTCATCTCACAACATGAAGGGATGTCTGAATCCCCTGTGGAGACCTTAGAGAAAGCCCTAGGTCCCCGCCTCATTTTGACGCAATGCCTCACATCCCGCTGACACCTCGAGAGGCACGCGGAGTTCATTGCTTCAGAAGGTGACGATGCCTGACTTCTCTTGAATACTAATAGGAATCCCAAAATCCCTGTGGCTACTGGAAAGGGTCCTTGGGTGCCCTGCCTCACCTCGAGAAGCGTCCCTTTTGCCCTGCCAAGCCTCGAAGAGATTCCTGAGGTGTCCCTCGTTACTAGACAGGAGTCCTGACGTCACTGAAGAAACTCGTGTTTTGAAGGGCCATCCCCGCCGTAAGTCGAGAACATACCCCAGGTCCCCGCCGCAACTCGAGAAAAACCATGAGACTTCCCCCTAGAGGCGAGATGAGGCCCCATTCCCCTGCAGTGCATGCAGAGCTATTCCGTGATCCCATTCAAACAAGTCAGGAGCTTCGACTTGCTTAATGGATCTCGAGACAGTCCCCAAGAACACTGTCACCAGTCTAGACGGACCCTGAGGTCACCCCAGCAACGCAAATCAGCTCCATGTGCCCCAAGTGAACTCGAGATGAGGCCCGATTCCCCTGCATTGACTCCAGAGCCATTCCCCGTTCCCCGTTCAACACGACCGGTGGCTCGACTTCCTTCAGGCAACTCCAGAGATGCCCCGAGAACACTGTACCAAGTCTAGAGGAACACCAACTTCAGCACAGCAACTCGAGGAATGCTCCGTGTACCCCAAATCGTCTCGAGATGAGAGCTGATTCCCTGGCTTAGGCTCAAGACATATGCCAACTTCCCAGAAGCACCTCAGGAGGAGGCTTCTCTCAGCAATAGGTATGTGGGAGGGACCCCGAGTTTGCTGCCTCAAGGGGAATATACAGCGAGAAGGCCTAACTTGAAAGGAGGCCGGATTTCCTTGCAGTGGCTTGAATACAGGCTCGTCTTTCATCTCACAACATGAAGGGAGGTCTGAATCCCCTGTGGAGACCTTAGAGAAAGCCCTAGGTCCCTTCCTCATTTTGACGGAATGCCTCACATCCCGCTGACACCTCGAGAGGCACGCAGAGTTCATTGCTTCAAAAGGTGACGATGCCTGACTCCTCTTGAATACTGATAGGAATCCCAAAATCCCTGTGGCTACTGGAAAGGGTCCTTGGGTGCCCTGCCTCACCTCGAGAAGCGTCCCTTTTGCCCTGCCAAGCCTCGAAGAGATTCCTGAGGTGTCCCTCGTTACTAGACAGGAGTCCTGACGTCACTGAAGAAACTCGTGTTTTGAAGGGCCATCCCCGCCGTAAGTCGAGAACATACCCCAGGTCCCCGCCGCAACTCGAGAAAAACCATGAGACTTCCCCCTAGAGGCGAGATGAGGCCCCATTCCCCTGCAGTGCATGCAGAGCTATTCCGTGATCCCATTCAAACAAGTCAGGAGCTTCGACTTGCTTAATGGATCTCGAGACAGTCCCCAAGAACACTGTCACCAGTCTAGGCGGACCCAGAGGTCACCCCAGCAACGCAAAGCAGCTCCATGTGCTACAAATCAACTCGAGGTGAGGCCCGATTCCCCTGCATTGACTCCAGAGCCATTCCCCGTTCCCCATTCAACACGACCGGTGGCTCGACTTCCTTCAGGCAACTCCAGAGATGCCCCGAGAACACTCTCCCAAGTCTAGAGGAACACCAACTTCAGCACAGCAACTCGAGGAATGCTCCGTGTACCCCAAATCGTCTCGAGATGAGAGCTGATTCCCTGGCTTAGGCTCAAGACGTATGCGAATTTCCCTGAAGCACCTCAGGAGGAAGCTTCTCTCAGCAATAGGTATGTGGGAGGGACCCCGAGTTTGCTGCCTCAAGGGGAATATACAGCGAGAAGCCCTAACTTGAAAGGAGGCCGGATTTCCTCGCAGTGGCTTGAATACAGGCTCGTCTTTCATCTCACAACATGAAGGGATGTCTGAATCCCCTGTGGAGACCTTAGAGAAAGCCCTAGGTGCCTGCCTCATTTTGCCGGAATGCCTCACATCCCGCTGACACCTCGAGAGGCACGCGGAGTTCATTGCTTCAAAAGGTGACGATGCCTGACTCCTCTTGAATACTGATAGGAATCCCAAAATCCCTGTGGCTACTGGAAAGGGTCCTTGGGTGCACTTCCTCACCTCGAGAAGCGTCCCTTTTGCCCTGCCAAGCCTCGAAGAGATTCCTGAAGTGTCCCTCGTTACTAGACAGGAGTCCTGACGTCACTGAAGAAACTCGTGTTTTGAAGGGCCATCCCCGCCGTAAGTCGAGAACATACCCCAGGTCCCCGCCGCAACTCGAGAAAAACCATGAGACTTCCCCATAGAGGCGAGATGAGGCCCCATTCCCCTGCAGTGCATGCAGAGCTATTCCGTGATCCCATTCAAACAAGTCAGGAGCTTCGACTTGCTTAATGGATCTCGAGACAGTCCCCAAGAACACTGTCACCAGTCTAGACGGACCCTGAGGTCACCCCAGCAACGCAAAGCAGCTCCATGTGCCCCAAATCAACTCGAGATGAGGCCTGATTCCCCTGCATTGACTCCAGAGCCATTCCCCGTTCCCCATTCAACATGACCGGTGGCTTGACTTCCTTCAGGCAACTCCAGAGATGCCCCGAGAACACTGTCCCAAGTCTAGAGGAAAACCAACTTCAGCACAGCAACTCGAGGAATGCTCCGTGTACCCCAAATCGTCTCGAGATGAGAGCTGATTCCCTGGCTTAGGCTCAAGACGTATGCCAACTTCCCAGAAGCACATCAGGAGGAGGCTTCTCTCAGCAATAGGTATGTGGGAGGGACCCCGAGTTTGCTGCCTCAAGGGGAATATACAGCGAGAAGCCCTAACTTGAAAGGAGGCCGGATTTCCTTGCAGTGGCTTGAAAACAGGCTCGTCTTTCATCTCACAACCTAAAGGGATGTCTGAATCCCCTGTGGAGACCTTAGAGAAAGTCCTAGGTCCCTGCCTCATTTTGACGGAATGCCTCACATCCCGTTGACACCTCGAGAGGCACGCGGAGTTCATTGCTTCAAAAGGTGACGATGCCTGACTCGTCTTGGATACTGATAGGAATCCCAAAATCCCTGTGGCTACTGGAAAGGGTCCTTGGGTGCCCTGCCTCACCTCGAGAAGCGTTCCTTTTGCCCTCCCAAGCCTCGAAGAGATTCCTGAGGTGTCCCTCGTTACTAGACAGGAGTCCTGACGTCACTGAAGAAACTCGTGTTTTGAAGGGCCATCCCCGCCGTAAGTCGAGAACATACCCCAGGTCCCCGCCGCAACTCGAGAAAAACCATGAGACTTCCCCTTAGAGGCGAGATGAGGCCCCATTCCCCTGCAGTGCATGCAGAGCTATTCCGTGATCCCATTCAAACAAGTCAGGAGCTTCGACTTGCTTAATGGATCTCGAGACAGTCCCCAAGAACACTGTCACCAGTCTAGACGGACCCTGAGGTCACCCCAGCAACGCAAAGCAGCTCCATGTGCCCCAAATCAACTCGAGGTGAGGACCGATTCCCCTGCATTGACTCCAGAGCCATTCCCCGTTCCCCATTCAACACGACCGGTGGCTCGACTTCCTTCAGGCAACTCCAGAGATGCCCCGAGAACACTGTCCCAAGTCTAGAGGAACACCAACTTCAGCACAGCAACTCGAGGAATGCTCCGTGTACCCCAAATCGTCTCGAGATGAGAGCTGATTCCCTGGCTTAGGCTCAAGACGTATGCCAACTTCCCAGAAGCACCTCAGGAGGAGGCTTCTCTCAGCAATAGGTATGTGGGAGGGACCCCGAGTTTGCTGCCTCAAGGGGAATATACAGCGAGAAGCCCTAACTTGAAAGGAGGCCGGATTTCCTTGCAGTGGCTTGAATACAGGCTCGTCTTTCATCTCACAACATGAAGGGATGTCTGAATCCCCTGTGGAGACCTTAGAGAAAGCCCTAGGTCCCTGCCTCATTTTGACGGAATGCCTCACATCCCGCTGACACCTCGAGAGGCACGCGGAGTTCATTGCTTCAAAAGGTGACGATGCCTGACTCGTCTTGGATACTGATAGGAATCCCAAAATCCCTGTGGCTACTGGAAAGGGTCCTTGGGTGCCCTGCCTCACCTCGAGAAGCGTCCCTTTTGCCCTGCCAAGCCTCGAAGAGATTCCTGAGGTGTCCCTCGTTACTAGACAGGAGTCCTGACGTCACTGAAGAAACTCGTGTTTTGAAGGGCCATCCCCGCCGTAAGTCGAGAACATACCCCAGGTCCCCGCCGCAACTCGAGAAAAACCATGAGACTTCCCCCTAGAGGCGAGATGAGGCCCCATTCCCCTGCAGTGCATGCAGAGCTATTCCGTGATCCCATTCAAACAAGTCAGGAGCTTCGACTTGCTTAATGGATCTCGAGACAGTCCCCAAGAACACTGTCACCAGTCTAGGCGGACGCAGAGGTCACCCCAGCAACGCAAATCAGCTCCATGTGCCCCAAATCAACTCGAGGTGAGGCCCGATTCCCCTGCATTGACTCCAGAGCCATTCCCCGTTCCCCATTCAACACGACCGGTGGCTCGACTTCCTTCAGGCAACTCCAGAGATGCCCCGAGAACACTGTCCCAAGTCTAGAGGAACACCAACTTCAGCACAGCAACTCGAGGAATGCTCCGTGTACCCCAAATCGTCTCGAGATGAGAGCTGATTCCCTGGCTTAGGCTCAAGACGTATGCCAACTTCCCAGAAGCACCTCAGGAGGAGGCTTCTCTCAGCAATAGGTATGTGGGAGGGACCCCGAGTTTGCTGCCTCAAGGGGAATATACAGCGAGAAGCCCTAACTTGAAAGGAGGCCGGATTTCCTTGCAGTGGCTTGAATACAGGCTCGTCTTTCATCTCACAACATGAAGGGATGTCTGAATCCCCTGTGGAGACCTTAGAGAAAGCCCTAGGTCCCTGCCTCATTTTGACGGAATGCCTCACATCCCGCTGACACCTCGAGAGGCACGCGGAGTTCATTGCTTCAAATGGTGACGATGCCTGACTCGTCTTGAATACTGATAGGAATCCCAAAATCCCTGTGGCTACTGGAAAGGGTCCTTGGGTGCCCTGCCTCACCTCGAGAAGCGTCCCTTTTGCCCTGCCAAGCCTCGAAGAGATTCCTGAGGTGTCCCTCGTTACTAGACAGGAGTCCTGACGTCACTGAAGAAACTCGTGTTTTGAAGGGCCATCCCCGCCGTAAGTCGAGAACATACCCCAGGTCCCCGCCGCAACTCGAGAAAAACCATGAGACTTCCCCCTAGAGGCGAGATGAGGCCCCATTCCCCTGCAGTGCATGCAGAGCTATTCCGTGATCCCATTCAAACAAGTCAGGAGCTTCGACTTGCTTAATGGATCTCGAGACAGTCCCCAAGAACACTGTCACCAGTCTAGGCGGACCCAGAAGTCACCCCAGCTACGCAAAGCAGATCCATGTGCCCCAAATCAACTCGAGGTGAGGCCCGATTCCCCTGCATTGACTCCAGAGCCATTCCCCGTTCCCCATTCAACACGACCGGTGGCTCGACTTCCTTCAGGCAACTCCAGAGATGCCCCGAGAACACTGTCCCAAGTCTAGAGGAACACGAACTTCAGCACAGCAACTCGAGGAATGCTCCGTGTACCCCAAATCGTCTCGAGATGAGAGCTGATTCCCTGGCTTAGGCTCAAGACGTATGCCAATTTCCCAGAAGCACCTCAGGAGGAGGCTTCTCTCAGCAATAGGTATGTGGGAGGGACCCCGAGTTTGCTGCCTCAAGGGGAATATACAGCGAGAAGCCCTAACTTGAAAGGAGGCCGGATTTCCTTGCAGTGGCTTGAATACAGGCTCGTCTTTCATCTCACAACATGAAGGGATGTCTGAATCCCCTGTGGAGACCTTAGAGAAAGCCCTAGGTCCCTGCCTCATTTTGACGGAATGCCTCACATCCCGCTGACACCTCGAGAGGCACGCGGAGTTCATTGCTTCAAAAGGTGACGATGCCTGACTCCTCTTGAATACTGATAGGAATCCCAAAATCCCTGTGGCTACTGGAAAGGGTCCTTGGGTGCCCTGCCTCACATCGAGAAGCGTCCCTTTTGCCCTGCCAAGCCTCGAAGAGATTCCTGAGGTGTCCCTCGTTACTAGACAGGAGTCCTGACGTCACTGAAGAAACTCGTGTTTTGAAGGGCCATCCCCGCCGTAAGTCGAGAACATACCCCAGGTCCCCGCCGCAACTCGAGAAAAACCATGAGACTTCCCCCTAGAGGCGACATGAGGCCCCATTCCCCTGCAGTGCATGCAGAGCTATTCCGTGATCCCATTCAAACAAGTCAGGAGCTTCGACTTGCTTAATGGATCTCGAGACAGTCCCCAAGAACACTGTCACCAGTCTAGACGGACCCTGAGGTCACCCCAGCAACGCAAAGCAGCTCCATGTGCCCCAAATCAACTCGAGGTGAGGCCCGATTCCCCTACATTGACTCCAGAGCCATTCCCCGTTCCCTATTCAACACGACCGGTGGCTCGACTTCCTTCAGGCAACTCCAGAGATGCCCCGAGAACACTGTCCCAAGTCTAGAGGAACACCAACTTCAGCACAGCAACTCGAGGAATGCTCCGTGTACCCCAAATCGTCTCGAGATGAGAGCTGATTCCCTGGCTTAGGCTCAAGATGTATGCCAATTTCCCAGAAGCACCTCAGGAGGAGGCTTCTCTCAGCAATAGGTATGTGGGAGGGACCCCGAGTTTGCTGCCTCAAGGGGAATATACAGCGAGAAGCCCTAACTTGAAAGGAGGCCGGATTTCCTTGCAGTGGCTTGAATACAGGCTCGTCTTTCATCTCACAACATGAAGGGATGTCTGAATCCCGTGTGGAGACCTTAGAGAAAGCCCTAGGTCCCTGCCTCATTTTGACGGAATGCCTCACATCCCGCTGACACCTCGAGAGGCACGCGGAGTTCATTGCTTCAAAAGGTGACGATGCCTGACTCCTCTTGAATACTGATAGGAATCCCAAAATCCCTGTGGCTACTGGAAAGGGTCCTTGGGTGCCCTGCCTCACCTCGAGAAGCGTCCCTTTTGCCCTGCCAAGCCTCGAAGAGATTCCTGAGGTGTCCCTCGTTACTAGACAGGAGTCCTGACGTCACTGAAGAAACTCGTGTTTTGAAGGGCCATCCCCGCCGTAAGTCGAGAACATACCCCAGGTCCCCGCCGCAACTCGAGAAAAACCATGAGACTTCCCCCTAGAGGCGAGATGAGGCCCCATTCCCCTGCAGTGCATGCAGAGCTATTCCGTGATCCCATTCAAACAAGTCAGGAGCTTCGACTTGCTTAATGGATCTCCAGACAGTCCCCAAGAACACTGTCACCAGTCTAGACGGACCGTGAGGTCACCCCAGCAATGCAAAGCAGCTCCATGTGCCCCAAATCAACTCGAGATGAGGCCCGATTCCCCTGCATTGACTCCAGAGCCATTCCCCGTTCCCCATTCAACACGACCGGTGGCTCGACTTCCTTCAGGCAACTCCAGAGATGCCCCGAGAACACTCTCCCAAGTCTAGAGGAACACCAACTTCAGCACAGCAACTCGAGGAATGCTCCGTGTACCCCAAATCGTCTCGAGATGAGAGCTGATTCCCTGGCTTACGCTCAAGACGTATGCCAACTTCCCAGAAGCACCTCAGGAGGAGGCTTCTCTCAGCAATAGGTATGTGGGAGGGACCCCGAGTTTGCTGCCTCAAGGGGAATATACAGCGAGAAGCCCTAACTTGAAAGGAGGCCGGATTTCCTTGCAGTGGCTTGAATACAGGCTCGTCTTTCATCTCACAACATGAAGGGATGTCTGAATCCCCTGTGGAGACCTTAGAGAAAGCCCTAGGTCCCCGCCTCATTTTGACGCAATGCCTCACATCCCGCTGACACCTCGAGAGGCACGCGGAGTTCATTGCTTCAGAAGGTGACGATGCCTGACTTCTCTTGAATACTAATAGGAATCCCAAAATCCCTGTGGCTACTGGAAAGGGTCCTTGGGTGCCCTGCCTCACCTCGAGAAGCGTCCCTTTTGCCCTGCCAAGCCTCGAAGAGATTCCTGAGGTGTCCCTCGTTACTAGACAGGAGTCCTGACGTCACTGAAGAAACTCGTGTTTTGAAGGGCCATCCCCGCCGTAAGTCGAGAACATACCCCAGGTCCCCGCCGCAACTCGAGAAAAACCATGAGACTTCCCCCTAGAGGCGAGATGAGGCCCCATTCCCCTGCAGTGCATGCAGAGCTATTCCGTGATCCCATTCAAACAAGTCAGGAGCTTCGACTTGCTTAATGGATCTCGAGACAGTCCCCAAGAACACTGTCACCAGTCTAGACGGACCCTGAGGTCACCCCAGCAACGCAAATCAGCTCCATGTGCCCCAAATCAACTCGAGATGAGGCCCGATTCCCCTGCATTGACTCCAGAGCCATTCCCCGTTCCCCGTTCAACACGACCGGTGGCTCGACTTCCTTCAGGCAACTCCAGAGATGCCCCGAGAACACTGTACCAAGTCTAGAGGAACACCAACTTCAGCACAGCAACTCGAGGAATGCTCCGTGTACCCCAAATCGTCTCGAGATGAGAGCTGATTCCCTGGCTTAGGCTCAAGACATATGCCAACTTCCCAGAAGCACCTCAGGAGGAGGCTTCTCTCAGCAATAGGTATGTGGGAGGGACCCCGAGTTTGCTGCCTCAAGGGGAATATACAGCGAGAAGGCCTAACTTGAAAGGAGGCCGGATTTCCTTGCAGTGGCTTGAATACAGGCTCGTCTTTCATCTCACAACATGAAGGGAGGTCTGAATCCCCTGTGGAGACCTTAGAGAAAGCCCTAGGTCCCTTCCTCATTTTGACGGAATGCCTCACATCCCGCTGACAACTCGAGAGGCACGCAGAGTTCATTGCTTCAAAAGGTGACGATGCCTGACTCCTCTTGAATACTGATAGGAATCCCAAAATCCCTGTGGCTACTGGAAAGGGTCCTTGGGTGCCCTGCCTCACCTCGAGAAGCGTCCCTTTTGCCCTGCCAAGCCTCGAAGAGATTCCTGAGGTGTCCCTCGTTACTAGACAGGAGTCCTGACGTCACTGAAGAAACTCGTGTTTTGAAGGGCCATCCCCGCCGTAAGTCGAGAACATACCCCAGGTCCCCGCCGCAACTCGAGAAAAACCATGAGACTTCCCCCTAGAGGCGAGATGAGGCCCCATTCCCCTGCAGTGCATGCAGAGCTATTCCGTGATCCCATTCAAACAAGTCAGGAGCTTCGACTTGCTTAATGGATCTCGAGACAGTCCCCAAGAACACTGTCACCAGTCTAGGCGGACCCAGAGGTCACCCCAGCAACGCAAAGCAGCTCCATGTGCTACAAATCAACTCGAGGTGAGGCCCGATTCCCCTGCATTGACTCCAGAGCCATTCCCCGTTCCCCATTCAACACGACCGGTGGCTCGACTTCCTTCAGGCAACTCCAGAGATGCCCCGAGAACACTCTCCCAAGTCTAGAGGAACACCAACTTCAGCACAGCAACTCGAGGAATGCTCCGTGTACCCCAAATCGTCTCGAGATGAGAGCTGATTCCCTGGCTTAGGCTCAAGACGTATGCGAATTTCCCTGAAGCACCTCAGGAGGAAGCTTCTCTCAGCAATAGGTATGTGGGAGGGACCCCGAGTTTGCTGCCTCAAGGGGAATATACAGCGAGAAGCCCTAACTTGAAAGGAGGCCGGATTTCCTCGCAGTGGCTTGAATACAGGCTCGTCTTTCATCTCACAACATGAAGGGATGTCTGAATCCCCTGTGGAGACCTTAGAGAAAGCCCTAGGTGCCTGCCTCATTTTGCCGGAATGCCTCACATCCCGCTGACACCTCGAGAGGCACGCGGAGTTCATTGCTTCAAAAGGTGACGATGCCTGACTCCTCTTGAATACTGATAGGAATCCCAAAATCCCTGTGGCTACTGGAAAGGGTCCTTGGGTGCACTTCCTCACCTCGAGAAGCGTCCCTTTTGCCCTGCCAAGCCTCGAAGAGATTCCTGAAGTGTCCCTCGTTACTAGACAGGAGTCCTGACGTCACTGAAGAAACTCGTGTTTTGAAGGGCCATCCCCGCCGTAAGTCGAGAACATACCCCAGGTCCCCGCCGCAACTCGAGAAAAACCATGAGACTTCCCCATAGAGGCGAGATGAGGCCCCATTCCCCTGCAGTGCATGCAGAGCTATTCCGTGATCCCATTCAAACAAGTCAGGAGCTTCGACTTGCTTAATGGATCTCGAGACAGTCCCCAAGAACACTGTCACCAGTCTAGACGGACCCTGAGGTCACCCCAGCAACGCAAAGCAGCTCCATGTGCCCCAAATCAACTCGAGATGAGGCCTGATTCCCCTGCATTGACTCCAGAGCCATTCCCCGTTCCCCATTCAACATGACCGGTGGCTTGACTTCCTTCAGGCAACTCCAGAGATGCCCCGAGAACACTGTCCCAAGTCTAGAGGAAAACCAACTTCAGCACAGCAACTCGAGGAATGCTCCGTGTACCCCAAATCGTCTCGAGATGAGAGCTGATTCCCTGGCTTAGGCTCAAGACGTATGCCAACTTCCCAGAAGCACATCAGGAGGAGGCTTCTCTCAGCAATAGGTATGTGGGAGGGACCCCGAGTTTGCTGCCTCAAGGGGAATATACAGCGAGAAGCCCTAACTTGAAAGGAGGCCGGATTTCCTTGCAGTGGCTTGAAAACAGGCTCGTCTTTCATCTCACAACCTAAAGGGATGTCTGAATCCCCTGTGGAGACCTTAGAGAAAGTCCTAGGTCCCTGCCTCATTTTGACGGAATGCCTCACATCCCGTTGACACCTCGAGAGGCACGCGGAGTTCATTGCTTCAAAAGGTGACGATGCCTGACTCGTCTTGGATACTGATAGGAATCCCAAAATCCCTGTGGCTACTGGAAAGGGTCCTTGGGTGCCCTGCCTCACCTCGAGAAGCGTTCCTTTTGCCCTCCCAAGCCTCGAAGAGATTCCTGAGGTGTCCCTCGTTACTAGACAGGAGTCCTGACGTCACTGAAGAAACTCGTGTTTTGAAGGGCCATCCCCGCCGTAAGTCGAGAACATACCCCAGGTCCCCGCCGCAACTCGAGAAAAACCATGAGACTTCCCCTTAGAGGCGAGATGAGGCCCCATTCCCCTGCAGTGCATGCAGAGCTATTCCGTGATCCCATTCAAACAAGTCAGGAGCTTCGACTTGCTTAATGGATCTCGAGACAGTCCCCAAGAACACTGTCACCAGTCTAGACGGACCCTGAGGTCACCCCAGCAACGCAAAGCAGCTCCATGTGCCCCAAATCAACTCGAGGTGAGGACCGATTCCCCTGCATTGACTCCAGAGCCATTCCCCGTTCCCCATTCAACACGACCGGTGGCTCGACTTCCTTCAGGCAACTCCAGAGATGCCCCGAGAACACTGTCCCAAGTCTAGAGGAACACCAACTTCAGCACAGCAACTCGAGGAATGCTCCGTGTACCCCAAATCGTCTCGAGATGAGAGCTGATTCCCTGGCTTAGGCTCAAGACGTATGCCAACTTCCCAGAAGCACCTCAGGAGGAGGCTTCTCTCAGCAATAGGTATGTGGGAGGGACCCCGAGTTTGCTGCCTCAAGGGGAATATACAGCGAGAAGCCCTAACTTGAAAGGAGGCCGGATTTCCTTGCAGTGGCTTGAATACAGGCTCGTCTTTCATCTCACAACATGAAGGGATGTCTGAATCCCCTGTGGAGACCTTAGAGAAAGCCCTAGGTCCCTGCCTCATTTTGACGGAATGCCTCACATCCCGCTGACACCTCGAGAGGCACGCGGAGTTCATTGCTTCAAAAGGTGACGATGCCTGACTCGTCTTGGATACTGATAGGAATCCCAAAATCCCTGTGGCTACTGGAAAGGGTCCTTGGGTGCCTGCCTCACCTCGAGAAGCGTCCCTTTTGCCCTGCCAAGCCTCGAAGAGATTCCTGAGGTGTCCCTCGTTACTAGACAGGAGTCCTGACGTCACTGAAGAAACTCGTGTTTTGAAGGGCCATCCCCGCCGTAAGTCGAGAACATACCCCAGGTCCCCGCCGCAACTCGAGAAAAACCATGAGACTTCCCCCTAGAGGCGAGATGAGGCCCCATTCCCCTGCAGTGCATGCAGAGCTATTCCGTGATCCCATTCAAACAAGTCAGGAGCTTCGACTTGCTTAATGGATCTCGAGACAGTCCCCAAGAACACTGTCACCAGTCTAGGCGGACCCAGAGGTCACCCCAGCAACGCAAATCAGCTCCATGTGCCCCAAATCAACTCGAGGTGAGGCCCGATTCCCCTGCATTGACTCCAGAGCCATTCCCCGTTCCCCATTCAACACGACCGGTGGCTCGACTTCCTTCAGGCAACTCCAGAGATGCCCCGAGAACACTGTCCCAAGTCTAGAGGAACACCAACTTCAGCACAGCAACTCGAGGAATGCTCCGTGTACCCCAAATCGTCTCGACATGAGAGCTGATTCCCTGGCTTAGGCTCAAGACGTATGCCACCTTTCCAGAAGCACATCAGGAGGAGGCTTCTCTCAGCAATAGGTATGTGGGAGGGACCCCGAGTTTGCTGCCTCAAGGGGAATATACAGCGAGAAGCCCTAACTTGAAAGGAGGCCGGATTTCCTTGCAGTGGCTTGAATACAGGCTCGTCTTTCATCTCACAACATGAAGGGATGTCTGAATCCCCTGTGGAGACCTTAGAGAAAGCCCTAGGTCCCTGCCTCATTTTGACGGAATGCCTCACATCCCGTTGACACCTCGAGAGGCACGCGGAGTTCATTGCTTCAAAAGGTGACGATGCCTGGCTCCTCTTGAATACTGATAGGAATCCCAAAATCCCTGTGGCTACTGGAAAGGGTCCTTGGGTGCACTGCCTCACCTCGAGAAGCGTCCCTTTTGCCCTGCCAAGCCTCGAAGAGATTCCTGAGGTGTCCCTCGTTACTAGACAGGAGTCCTGACGTCACTGAAGAAACTCGTGTTTTGAAGGGCCATCCCCGCCGTAAGTCGAGAACATACCCCAGGTCCCCGCCGCAACTCGAGAAAAACCATGAGACTTCCCCTTAGAGGCGAGATGAGGCCCCATTCCCCTGCAGTGCATGCAGAGCTATTCCGTGATCCCATTCAAACAAGTCAGGAGCTTCGACTTGCTTAATGGATCTCGAGACAGTCCCCAAGAACACTGTCACCAGTCTAGACGGACCCAGAGGTCACCCCAGCAACGCAAAGCAGCTCCATGTGCCCCAAATCAACTCGAGGTGAGGACCGATTCCCCTGCATTGACTCCAGAGCCATTCCCCGTTCCCAATTCAACACGACCGGTGGCTCGACTTCCTTCAGGCAACTCCAGAGATGCCCCGAGAACACTGTCCCAAGTCTAGAGGAACACCAACTTCAGCACAGCAACTCGAGGAATGCTCCGTGTACCCCAAATCGTCTCGAGATGAGAGCTGATTCCCTGGCTTAGGCTCAAGACGTATGCCAACTTCCCAGAAGCACCTCAGGAGGAGGCTTCTCTCAGCAATAGGTATGTGGGAGGGACCCCGAGTTTGCTGCCTCAAGGGGAATATACAGCGAGAAGACCTAACTTGAAAGGAGGCCGGATTTCCCTGCAGTGGCTTGAATACAGGCTCGTCTTTCATCTCACAACATGAAGGGTTGTCTGAATCCCCTGTGGAGACCTTAGAGAAAGCCCTAGGTCCCTGCCTCATTTTGACGGAATGCCTCACATCCCGCTGACACCTCGAGAGGCACGCGGAGTTCATTGCTTCAAAAGGTGACGATGCCTGACTCGTCTTGGATACTGATAGGAATCCCAAAATCCCTGTGGCTACTGGAAAGGGTTCTTGGGTGCCCTGCCTCACCTCGAGAAGCGTCCCTTTTGCCCTGCCAAGCCTCGAAGAGATTCCTGAGGTGTCCCTCGTTACTAGACAGGGGTCCTGACGTCACTGAAGAAACTCGTGTTTTGAAGGGCCATCCCCGCCGTAAGTCGAGAACATACCCCAGGTCCCCGCCACAACTCAAGAAAAACCATGAGACTTCCCCCTAGGGCGAGATGAGGCCCCATTCCCCTGCAGTGCATGCAGAGCTATTCCGTGATCCCATTCAAACAAGTCAGGAGCTTCGACTTGCTTAATGGATCTCGAGACAGTCCCCAAGAACACTGTCACCAGTCTAGGCGGACCCAGAGGTCACCCCAGCAACGCAAATCAGCTCCATGTGCCCCAAATCAACTCGAGGTGAGGCCCGATTCCCCTGCATTGACTCCAGAGCCATTCCCCGTTCCCCATTCAACACGACCGGTGGCTCGACTTCCTTCAGGCAACTCCAGAGATGCCCCGAGAACACTGTCCCAAGTCTAGAGGAACACCAACTTCAGCACAGCAACTCGAGGAATGCTCCGTGTACCCCAAATCGTCTCGAGATGAGAGCTGATTCCCTGGCTTAGGCTCAAGACGTATGCCAACTTCCCAGAAGCACCTCAGGAGGAGGCTTCTCTCAGCAATAGGTATGTGGGAGGGACCCCGAGTTTGCTGCCTCAAGGGGAATATACAGCGAGAAGGCCTAACTTGAAAGGAGGCCGGATTTCCTTGCAGTGGCTTGAATACAGGCTCGTCTTTCATCTCACAACATGAAGGGATGTCTGAATCCCCTGTGGAGACCTTAGAGAAAGCCCTAGGTGCCTGCCTCATTTTGACGGAATGCCTCACATCCCGCTGACACCTCGAGAGGCACGCGGAGTTCATTGCTTCAAAAGGTGACGATGCCTGACTCCTCTTGAATACTGATAGGAATCCCAAAATCCCTGTGGCTACTGGAAAGGGTCCTTGGGTGCCCTGCCTCACCTCGAGAAGCGTCCCTTTTGCCCTGCCAAGCCTCGAAGAGATTCCTGAGGTGTCCCTCGTTACTAGACAGGAGTCCTGACGTCACTGAAGAAACTCGTGTTTTGAAGGGCCATCCCCGCCGTAAGTCGAGAACATACCCCAGGTCCCCGCCGCAACTCGAGAAAAACCATGAGACTTCCCCCTAGAGGCGAGATGAGTCCCCATTCCCCTGCAGTGCATGCAGAGCTATTCCGTGATCCCATTCAAACAAGTCAGGAGCTTCGACTTGCTTAATGGATCTCGAGACAGTCCCCAAGAACACTGTCACCAGTCTAGACGGACCCTGAGGTCACCCCAGCAACGCAAAGCAGCTCCATGTGCCCCAAATCAACTCGAGATGAGGCCTGATTCCCCTGCATTGACTCCAGAGCCATTCCCCGTTCCCCATTCAACATGACCGGTGGCTTGACTTCCTTCAGGCAACTCCAGAGATGCCCCGAGAACACTGTCCCAAGTCTAGAGGAACACCAACTTCAGCACAGCAACTCGAGGAATGCTCCGTGTACCCCAAATCGTCTCGAGATGAGAGCTGATTCCCTGGCTTAGGCTCAAGACGTATGCCAACTTCCCAGAAGCACCTCAGGAGGAGTCTTTTCTCAGCAATAGGTATGTGGGAGGGACCCCGAGTTTGCTGCCTCAAGGGGAATATACAGCGAGAAGCCCTAACTTGAAAGGAGGCCGGATTTCCTTGCAGTGGCTTGAATACAGGCTCGTCTTTCTTCTCACAACATGAAGGGATGTCTGAATCCCCTGTGGAGACCTTAGAGAAAGCCCTAGGTGCCTGCCTCATTTTGACGGAATGCCTCACATCCCGCTGACACCTCGAGAGGCACGCGGAGTTCATTGCTTCAAAAGGTGACGATGCCTGACTCCTCTTGAATACTGATAGGAATCCCAAAATCCCTGTGGCTACTAGAAAGGGTCCTTGGGTGCCCTGCCTCACCTCGAGAAGCGTCCCTTTTGCCCTGCCAAGCCTCGAAGAGATTCCTGAGGTGTCCCTCGTTACTAGACAGGAGTCCTGACGTCACTGAAGAAACTCGTGTTTTGAAGGGCCATCCCCGCCGTAAGTCGAGAACATACCCCAGGTCCCCGCCGCAACTCGAGAAAAACCATGAGACTTCCCCATAGAGGCGAGATGAGGCCCCATTCCCCTGCAGTGCATGCAGAGCTATTCCGTGATCCCATTCAAACAAGTCAGGAGCTTCGACTTGCTTAATGGATCTCGAGACAGTCCCCAAGAACACTGTCACCAGTCTAGACGGACCCTGAGGTCACCCCAGCAATGCAAATCAGCTCCATGTGCCCCAAATCAACTCGAGATGAGGCCCGATTCCCCTGCATTGACTCCAGAGCCATTCCCCGTTCCCCGTTCAACACGACCGGTGGCTCGACTTCCTTCAGGCAACTCCAGAGATGCCCCGAGAACACTGTCCCAAGTCTAGAGGAACACCAACTTCAGCACAGCAACTCGAGGAATGCTCCGTGTACCCCAAATCGTCTCGAGATGAGAGCTGATTCCCTGGCTTAGGCTCAAGACGTATGCCAACTTCCCAGAAGCACCTCAGGAGGAGGCTTCTCTCAGCAATAGGTATGTGGGAGGGACCCCGAGTTTGCTGCCTCAAGGGGAATATACAGCGAGAAGCCCTAACTTGAAAGGAGGCCGGATTTCCTTGCAGTGGCTTGAATACAGGCTCGTCTTTCATCTCACAACATGAAGGGATGTCTGAATCCCCTGTGGAGACCTTAGAGAAAGCCCTAGGTCCCTGCCTCATTTTGACTGAATGCCTCACATCCCGCTGACACCTCGAGAGGCACGCGGAGTTCATTGCTTCAAAAGGTGACGATGCCTGGCTCCTCTTGAATACTGATAGGAATCCCAAAATCCCTGTGGCTACTGGAAAGGGTCCTTGGGTGCCCTGCCTCACCTCGAGAAGCGTCCCTTTTGCCCTGCCAAGCCTCGAAGAGATTCCTGAGGTGTCCCTCCTTACTAGACAGGAGTCCTGACGTCACTGAAGAAACTCGTGTTTTGAAGGGCCATCCCCGCCGTAAGTCGAGAACATACCCCAGGTCCCCGCCGCAACTCGAGAAAAACCATGAGACTTCCCCTTAGAGGCGAGATGAGGCCCCATTCCCCTGCAGTGCATGCAGAGCTATTCCGTGATCCCATTCAAACAAGTCAGGAGCTTCGACTTGCTTAATGGATCTCGAGACAGTCCCCAAGAACACTGTCACCAGTCTAGACGGACCCAGAGGTCACCCCAGCAACGCAAAGCAGCTCCATGTGCCCCAAATCAACTCGAGGTGAGGACCGATTCCCCTGCATTGACTCCAGAGCCATTCCCCGTTCCCAATTCAACACGACCGGTGGCTCGACTTCCTTCAGGCAACTCCAGAGATGCCCCGAGAACACTGTCCCAAGTCTAGAGGAACACCAACTTCAGCACAGCAACTCGAGGAATGCTCCGTGTACCCCAAATCGTCTCGAGATGAGAGCTGATTCCCTGGCTTAGGCTCAAGACGTATGCCAACTTCCCAGAAGCACCTCAGGAGGAGGCTTCTCTCAGCAATAGGTATGTGGGAGGGACCCCGAGTTTGCTGCCTCAAGGGGAATATACAGCGAGAAGACCTAACTTGAAAGGAGGCCGGATTTCCTTGCAGTGGCTTGAATACAGGCTCGTCTTTCATCTCACAACATGAAGGGTTGTCTGAATCCCCTGTGGAGACCTTAGAGAAAGCCCTAGGTCCCTGCCTCATTTTGACGGAATGCCTCACATCCCGCTGACACCTCGAGAGGCACGCGGAGTTCATTGCTTCAAAAGGTGACGATGCCTGACTCGTCTTGGATACTGATAGGAATCCCAAAATCCCTGTGGCTACTGGAAAGGGTTCTTGGGTGCCCTGCCTCACGTCGAGAAGCGTCCCTTTTGCCCTGCCAAGCCTCGAAGAGATTCCTGAGGTGTCCCTCGTTACTAGACAGGGGTCCTGACTTCACTGAAGAAACTCGTGTTTTGAAGGGCCATCCCCGCCGTAAGTCGAGAACATACCCCAGGTCCCCGCCGCAACTCAAGAAAAACCATGAGACTTCCCCCTAGAGGCGAGATGAGGCCCCATTCCCCTGCAGTGCATGCAGAGCTATTCCGTGATCCCATTCAAACAAGTCAGGAGCTTCGACTTGCTTAATGGATCTCGAGACAGTCCCCAAGAGCACTGTCACCAGTCTAGGCGGACCCAGAGGTCACCCCAGCAACGCAAATCAGCTCCATGTGCGCCAAATCAACTCGAGGTGAGGCCCGATTCCCCTGCATTGACTCCAGAGCCATTCCCCGTTCCCCATTCAACACGACCGGTGGCTCGACTTCCTTCAGGCAACTCCAGAGATGCCCCGAGAACACTGTCCCAAGTCTAGAGGAACACCAACTTCAGCACAGCAACTCGAGGAATGCTCCGTGTACCCCAAATCGTCTCGAGATGAGAGCTGATTCCCTGGCTTAGGCTCACGACGTATGCCAATTTCCCAGAAGCACATCAGGAGGAGGCTTCTCTCAGCAACACTTATGTGGGAGGGACCCCGAGTTTGCTGCCTCAAGGGGAATATACAGCGAGATGCCCTAACTTGAAAGGAGGCCGGATTTCCTTGCAGTGGCTTGAATACAGGCTCGTCTTTCATCTCACAACATGAAGGGATGTCTGAATCCCCTGTGGAGACCTTAGAGAAAGCCCTAGGTGCCTGCCTCATTTTGACGGAATGCCTCACATCCCGCTGACACCTCGAGAGGCACGCGGAGTTCATTGCTTCAAAAGGTGACGATGCCTGACTCCTCTTGAATACTGATAGGAATCCCAAAATCCCTGTGGCTACTGGAAAGGGTCCTTGGGTGCCCTGCCTCACCTCGAGAAGCGTCCCTTTTGCCCTGCCAAGCCTCGAAGAGATTCCTGAGGTGTCCCTCGTTACTAGACAGGAGTCCTGACGTCACTGAAGAAACTCGTGTTTTGAAGGGCCATCCCTGCCATAAGTCGAGAACATACCCCAGGTCCCCGCCGCAACTCGAGAAAAACCATGAGACTTCCCCCTAGAGGCGAGATGAGGCCCCATTCCCCTGCAGTGCATGCAGAGCTATTCCGTGATCCCATTCAAACAAGTCAGGAGCTTCGACTTGCTTAATGGATCTCGAGACAGTCCCCAAGAACACTGTCACCAGTCTAGACGGACCCTGAGGTCACCCCAGCAACGCAAAGCAGCTCCATGTGCCCCAAATCAACTCGAGATGAGGCCTGATTCCCCTGCATTGACTCCAGAGCCATTCCCCGTTCCCCATTCAACATGACCGGTGGCTTGACTTCCTTCAGGCAACTCCAGAGATGCCCCGAGAACACTGTCCCAAGTCTAGAGGAACACCAACTTCAGCACAGCAACTCGAGGAATGCTCCGTGTACCCCAAATCGTCTCGAGATGAGAGCTGATTCCCTGGCTTAGGCTCAAGACGTATGCCAACTTCCCAGAAGCACCTCAGGAGGAGTCTTCTCTCAGCAATAGGTATGTGGGAGGGACCCCGAGTTTGCTGCCTCAAGGGGAATATACAGCGAGAAGCCCTAACTTGAAAGGAGGCCGGATTTCCTTGCAGTGGCTTGAATACAGGCTCGTCTTTCATCTCACAACATGAAGGGATGTCTGAATCCCCTGTGGAGACCTTAGAGAAAGCCCTAGGTGCCTGCCTCATTTTGACGGAATGCCTCACATCCCGCTGACACCTCGAGAGGCACGCGGAGTTCATTGCTTCAAAAGGTGACGATGCCTGACTCCTCTTGAATACTGATAGGAATCCCAAAATCCCTGTGGCTACTGGAAAGGGTCCTTGGGTGCCCTGCCTCACCTCGAGAAGCGTCCCTTTTGCCCTGCCAAGCCTCGAAGAGATTCCTGAGGTGTCCCTCGTTACTAGACAGGAGTCCTGACGTCACTGAAGAAACTCGTGTTTTGAAGGGCCATCCCCGCCGTAAGTCGAGAACATACCCCAGGTCCCCGCCGCAACTCGAGAAAAACCATGAGACTTCCCCCTAGAGGCGAGATGAGGCCCCATTCCCCTGCAGTGCATGCAGAGCTATTCCGTGATCCCATTCAAACAAGTCAGGAGCTTCGACTTGCTTAATGGATCTCCAGACAGTCCCCAAGAACACTGTCACCAGTCTAGACGGACCCTGAGGTCACCCCAGCAACGCAAAGCAGCTCCATGTGCCCCAAATCAACTCGAGATGAGGCCTGATTCCCCTGCATTGACTCCAGAGCCATTCCCCGTTCCCCATTCAACATGACCGGTGGCTTGACTTCCTTCAGGCAACTCCAGAGATGCCCCGAGAACACTGTCCCAAGTCTAGAGGAAAACCAACTTCAGCACAGCAACTCGAGGAATGCTCCGTGTACCCCAAATCGTCTCGAGATGAGAGCTGATTCCCTGGCTTAGGCTCAAACGTATGCCAACTTCCCAGAAGCACATCAGGAGGAGTCTTCTCTCAGCAATAGGTATGTGGGAGGGACCCCGAGTTTGCTGCCTCAAGGGGAATATACAGCGAGAAGCCCTAACTTGAAAGGAGGCCGGATTTCCTTGCAGTGGCTTGAATACAGGCTCGTCTTTCATCTCACAACATGAAGGGATGTCTGAATCCCCTGTGGAGACCTTAGAGAAAGCCCTAGGTCCCTGCCTCATTTTGACGGAATGCCTCACATCCCGCTGACACCTCGAGAGGCACGCGGAGTTCATTGCTTCAAAAGGTGACGATGCCTGACTCCTCTTGAATACTGATAGGAATCCCAAAATCCCTGTGGCTACTGGAAAGGGTCCTTGGGTGCCCTGCCTCACCTCGAGAAGCGTCCCTTTTGCCCTGCCAAGCCTCGAAGAGATTCCTGAGGTGTCCCTCGTTACTAGACAGGAGTCCTGACGTCACTGAAGAAACTCGTGTTTTGAAGGGCCATCCCCGCCGTAAGTCGAGAACATACCCCAGGTCCCCGCCGCAACTCGAGAAAAACCATGAGACTTCCCCCTAGAGGCGAGATGAGGCCCCATTCCCCTGCAGTGCATGCAGAGCTATTCCGTGATCCCATTCAAACAAGTCAGGAGCTTCGACTTGCTTAATGGATCTCGAGACAGTCCCCAAGAACACTGTCACCAGTCTAGACGGACCCTGAGGTCACCCCAGCAACGCAAAGCAGCTCCATGTGCCCCAAATCAACTCGAGATGAGGCCTGATTCCCCTGCATTGACTCCAGAGCCATTCCTCGTTCCCCATTCAACATGACCAGTGGCTTGACTTCCTTCAGGCAACTCCAGAGATGCCCCGAGAACACTGTCCCAAGTCTAGAGGAAAACCAACTTCAGCACAGCAACTCGAGGAATGCTCCGTGTACCCCAAATCGTCTCGAGATGAGAGCTGATTCCCTGGCTTAGGCTCAAGACGTATGCCAACTTCCCAGAAGCACCTCAGGAGGAGGCTTCTCTCAGCAATAGGTATGTGGGAGGGACCCCGAGTTTGCTGCCTCAAGGGGAATATACAGCGAGAAGCCCTAACTTGAAAGGAGGCCGGATTTCCTTGCAGTGGCTTGAATACAGGCTCGTCTTTCATCTCACAACATGAAGGGATGTCTGAATCCCCTGTGGAGACCTTAGAGAAAGCCCTAGGTCCCTGCCTCATTTTGACGGAATGCCTCACATCCCGCTGACACCTCGAGAGGCACGCGGAGTTCATTGCTTCAAAAGGTGACGATGCCTGACTCCTCTTGAATACTGATAGGAATCCCAAAATCCCTGTGGCTACTGGAAAGGGTCCTTGGGTGCCCTGCCTCACCTCGAGAAGCGTCCCTTTTGCCCTGCCAAGCCTCGAAGAGATTCCTGAGGTGTCCCTCGTTACTAGACAGGAGTCCTGACGTCACTGAAGAAACTCGTGTTTTGAAGGGCCATCCCCGCCGTAAGTCGAGAACATACCCCAGGTCCCCGCCGCAACTCGAGAAAAACCATGAGACTTCCCCCTAGAGGCGAGATGAGGCCCCATTCCCCTGCAGTGCATGCAGAGCTATTCCGTGATCCCATTCAAACAAGTCAGGAGCTTCGACTTGCTTAATGGATCTCGAGACAGTCCCCAAGAACACTGTCACCAGTCTAGACGGACCCTGAGGTCACCCCAGCAACGCAAAGCAGCTCCATGTGCCCCAAATCAACTCGAGATGAGGCCTGATTCCCCTGCATTGACTCCAGAGCCATTCCCCGTTCCCAATTCAACACGACCGGTGGCTCGACTTCCTTCAGGCAACTCCAGAGATGCCCCGAGAACACTGTCCCAAGTCTAGAGGAACACCAACTTCAGCACAGCAACTCGAGGAATGCTCCGTGTACCCCAAATCGTCTCGAGATGAGAGCTGATTCCCTGGCTTAGGCTCAAGACGTATGCCAACTTCCCAGAAGCACCTCAGGAGGAGGCTTCTCTCAGCAATAGGTATGTGGGAGGGACCCCGAGTTTGCTGCCTCAAGGGGAATATACAGCGAGAAGCCCTAACTTGAAAGGAGGCCGGATTTCCTTGCAGTGGCTTGAATACAGGCTCGTCTTTCATCTCACAACATGAAGGGATGTCTGAATCCCCTGTGGAGACCTTAGAGAAAGCCCTAGGTCCCTGCCTCATTTTGACGGAATGCCTCACATCCCGCTGACACCTCGAGAGGCACGCGGAGTTCATTGCTTCAAATGGTGACGATGCCTGACTCGTCTTGAATACTGATAGGAATCCCAAAATCCCTGTGGCTACTGGAAAGGGTCCTTGGGTGCCCTGCCTCACCTCGAGAAGCGTCCCTTTTGCCCTGCCAAGCCTCGAAGAGATTCCTGAGGTGTCCCTCGTTACTAGACAGGAGTCCTGACGTCACTGAAGAAACTCGTGTTTTGAAGGGCCATCCCCGCCGTAAGTCGAGAACATACCCCAGGTCCCCGCCGCAACTCGAGAAAAACCATGAGACTTCCCCCTAGAGGCGAGATGAGGCCCCATTCCCCTGCAGTGCATGCAGAGCTATTCCGTGATCCCATTCAAACAAGTCAGGAGCTTCGACTTGCTTAATGGATCTCGAGACAGTCCCCAAGAACACTGTCACCAGTCTAGGCGGACCCAGAAGTCACCCCAGCTACGCAAAGCAGATCCATGTGCCCCAAATCAACTCGAGGTGAGGCCCGATTCCCCTGCATTGACTCCAGAGCCATTCCCCGTTCCCCATTCAACACGACCGGTGGCTCGACTTCCTTCAGGCAACTCCAGAGATGCCCCGAGAACACTGTCCCAAGTCTAGAGGAACACGAACTTCAGCACAGCAACTCGAGGAATGCTCCGTGTACCCCAAATCGTCTCGAGATGAGAGCTGATTCCCTGGCTTAGGCTCAAGACGTATGCCAATTTCCCAGAAGCACCTCAGGAGGAGGCTTCTCTCAGCAATAGGTATGTGGGAAGGGACCCCGAGTTTGCTGCCTCAAGGGGAATATACAGCGAGAAGCCCTAACTTGAAAGGAGGCCGGATTTCCTTGCAGTGGCTTGAATACAGGCTCGTCTTTCATCTCACAACATGAAGAGATGTCTGAATCCCCTGTGGAGACCTTAGAGAAAGCCCTAGGTCCCTGCCTCATTTTGACGGAATGCCTCACATCCCGTTGACACCTCGAGAGGCACGCGGAGTTCATTTCTTCAAAAGGTGACGATGCCTGACTCCTCTTGAATACTAATAGGAATCCCAAAATCCCTGTGGCTACTGGAAAGGGTCCTTGGGTGCCCTGCCTCACCTCGAGAAGCGTCCCTTTTGCCCTGCCAAGCCTCGAAGAGATTCCTGAGGTGTCCCTCGTTACTAGACAGGAGTCCTGACGTCACTGAAGAAACTCGTGTTTTGAAGGGCCATCCCCGCCGTAAGTCGAGAACATACCCCAGGTCCCCGCCGCAACTCGAGAAAAACCATGAGACTTCCCCTTAGAGGCGAGATGAGGCCCCATTCCCCTGCAGTGCATGCAGATCTATTCCGTGATCCCATTCAAACAAGTCAGGAGCTTCGACTTGCTTAATGGATCTCGAGACAGTCCCCAAGAACACTGTCACCAGTCTAGACGGACCCAGAGGTCACCCCAGCAACGCAAAGCAGCTCCATGTGCCCCAAATCAACTCGAGGTGAGGACCGATTCCCCTGCATTGACTCCAGAGCCATTCCCCGTTCCCAATTCAACACGACCGGTGGCTCGACTTCCTTCAGGCAACTCCAAAGATGCCCCGAGAACACTGTCCCAAGTCTAGAGGAACACCAACTTCAGCACAGCAACTCGAGGAATGCTCCGTGTACCCCAAATCGTCTCGAGATGAGAGCTGATTCCCTGGCTTAGGCTCAAGACGTATGCCAACTTCCCAGAAGCACCTCAGGAGGAGGCTTCTCTCAGCAATAGGTATGTGGGAGGGACCCCGAGTTTGCTGCCTCAAGGGGAATATACAGCGAGAAGCCCTAACTTGAAAGGAGGCCGGATTTCCTTGCAGTGGCTTGAATACGGGCTCGTCTTTCATCTCACAACATGAAGGGATGTCTGAATCCCCTGTGGAGACCTTAGAGAAAGCCCTAGGTCCCTGCCTCATTTTGACGGAATGCCTCACATCCCGCTGACACCTCGAGAGGCACGCGGAGTTCATTGCTTCAAATGGTGACGATGCCTGACTCGTCTTGAATACTGATAGGAATCCCAAAATCCCTGTGGCTACTGGAAAGGGTCCTTGGGTGCCCTGCCTCACCTCGAGAAGCGTCCCTTTTGCCCTGCCAAGCCTCGAAGAGATTCCTGAGGTGTCCCTCGTTACTAGACAGGAGTCCTGACGTCACTGAAGAAACTCGTGTTTTGAAGGGCCATCCCCGCCGTAAGTCGAGAACATACCCCAGGTCCCCGCCGCAACTCGAGAAAAACCATGAGACTTCCCCCTAGAGGCGAGATGAGGCCCCATTCCCCTGCAGTGCATGCAGAGCTATTCCGTGATCCCATTCAAACAAGTCAGGAGCTTCGACTTGCTTAATGGATCTCGAGACAGTCCCCAAGAACACTGTCACCAGTCTAGGCGGACCCAGAAGTCACCCCAGCTACGCAAAGCAGATCCATCTGCCCCAAATCAACTCGAGGTGAGGCCCGATTCCCCTGCATTGACTCCAGAGCCATTCCCCGTTCCCCATTCAACACGACCGGTGGCTCGACTTCCTTCAGGCAACTCCAGAGATGCCCCGAGAACACTGTCCCAAGTCTAGAGGAACACGAACTTCAGCACAGCAACTCGAGGAATGCTCCGTGTACCCCAAATCGTCTCGAGATGAGAGCTGATTCCCTGGCTTAGGCTCAAGACGTATGCCAATTTCCCAGAAGCACCTCAGGAGGAGGCTTCTCTCAGCAATAGGTATGTGGGTGGGACCCCGAGTTTGCTGCCTCAAGGGGAATATACAGCGAGAAGCCCTAACTTGAAAGGAGGCCGGATTTCCTTGCAGTGGCTTGAATACAGGCTCGTCTTTCATCTCACAACATGAAGGGATGTCTGAATCCCCTGTGGAGACCTTAGAGAAAGCCCTAGGTCCCTGCCTCATTTTGACGGAATGCCTCACATCACGCTGACACCTCGAGAGGCACGCGGAGTTCATTGCTTCAAAAGGTGACGATGCCTGACTCGTCTTGAATACTGATAGGAATCCCTAAATCCCTGTGGCTACTGGAAAGGGTCCTTGGGTGCCCTGCCTCACCTCGAGAAGCGTCCCTTTTGCCCTGCCAAGCCTCGAAGAGATTCCTGAGGTGTCCCTCGTTACTAGACAGGAGTCCTGACGTCACTGAAGAAACTCGTGTTTTGAAGGGCCATCCCCGCCGTAAGTCGAGAACATACCCCAGGTCCCCGCCGCAACTCGAGAAAAACCATGAGACTTCCCCCTAGAGGCGACATGAGGCCCCATTCCCCTGCAGTGCATGCAGAGCTATTCCGTGATCCCATTCAAACAAGTCAGGAGCTTCGACTTGCTTAATGGATCTCGAGACAGTCCCCAAGAACACTGTCACCAGTCTAGACGGACCCTGAGGTCACCCCAGCAACGCAAAGCAGCTCCATGTGCCCCAAATCAACTCGAGATGAGGCCCGATTCCCCTGCATTGACTCCAGAGCCATTCCCCGTTCCCCATTCAACACGACCGGTGGCTCGACTTCCTTCAGGCAACTCCAGAGATGCCCCGAGAACACTGTCCCAAGCCTAGAGGAACACCAACTTCAGCACAGCAACTCGAGGAATGCTCCGTGTACCCCAAATCGTCTCGAGATGAGAGCTGATTCCCTGGCTTAGGCTCAAGACGTATGCCAATTTCCCAGAAGCACCTCAGGAGGAGGCTTCTCTCAGCAATAGGTATGTGGGAGGGACCCCGAGTTTGCTGCCTCAAGGGGAATATACAGCGAGAAGCCCTAACTTGAAAGGAGGCCGGATTTCCTTGCAGTGGCTTGAATACAGGCTCGTCTTTCATCTCACAACATGAAGGGATGTCTGAATCCCGTGTGGAGACCTTAGAGAAAGCCCTAGGTCCCCGCCTCATTTTGACGGAATGCCTCACATCCCGCTGACACCTCGAGAGGCACGCGGAGTTCATTGCTTCAGAAGGTGACGATGCCTGACTTCTCTTGAATACTGATAGGAATCCCAAAATCCCTGTGGCTACTGGAAAGGGTCCTTGGGTGCCCTGCCTCACCTCGAGAAGCGTCCCTTTTGCCCTGCCAAGCCTCGAAGAGATTCCTGAGGTGTCCCTCGTTACTAGACAGGAGTCCTGACGTCACTGAAGAAACTCGTGTTTTGAAGGGCCATCCCCGCCGTAAGTCGAGAACATACCCCAGGTCCCCGCCGCAACTCGAGAAAAACCATGAGACTTCCCCCTAGAGGCGAGATGAGGCCCCATTCCCCTGCAGTGCATGCAGAACTATTCCGTGATCCCATTCAAACAAGTCAGGAGCTTCGACTTGCTTAATGGATCTCGAGACAGTCCCCAAGAACACTGTCACCAGTCTAGACGGACCCTGAGGTCACCCCAGCAACGCAAAGCAGCTCCATGTGCCCCAAATCAACTCGAGATGAGGCCCGATTCCCCTGCATTGACTCCAGAGCCATTCCCCGTTCCCCGTTCAACACGACCGGTGGCTAGACTTCCTTCAGGCAACTCCAGAGATGCCCCGAGAACACTGTCCCAAGTCTAGAGGAACACCAACTTCAGCACAGCAACTCGAGGAATGCTCCGTGTACCCCAAATCGTCTCGAGATGAGAGCTGATTCCCTGGCTTAGGCTCAAGACGTATGCCAACTTCCCAGAAGCACCTCAGGAGGAGGCTTCTCTCAGCAATAGGTATGTGGGAGGGACCCCGAGTTTGCTGCCTCAAGGGGAATATACAGCGAGAAGGCCTAACTTGAAAGGAGGCCGGATTTCCTTGCAGTGGCTTGAATACAGGCTCGTCTTTCATCTCACAACATGAAGGGATGTCTGAATCCCCTGTGGAGACCTTAGAGAAAGCCCTAGGTCCCTGCCTCATTTTGACGGAATGCCTCACATCCCGCTGACACCTCGAGAGGCACGCGGAGTTCATTGCTTCAAAAGGTGACGATGCCTGACTCCTCTTGAATACTGATAGGAATCCCAAAATCCCTGTGGATACTGGAAAGGGTCCTTGGGTGCCCTGCCTCACCTCGAGAAGCGTCCCTTTTGCCCTGCCAAGCCTCGAAGAGATTCCTGAGGTGTCCCTCGTTACTAGACAGGAGTCCTGACGTCACTGAAGAAACTCGTGTTTTGAAGGGCCATCCCCGCCGTAAGTCGAGAACATACCCCAGGTCCCCGCCGCAACTCGAGAAAAACCATGAGACTTCCCCCTAGAGGCGAGATGAGGCCCCATTCCCCTGCAGTGCATGCAGAGCTATTCCGTGATCCCATTCAAACAAGTCAGGAGCTTCGACTTGCTTAATGGATCTCGAGACAGTCCCCAAGAACACTGTCACCAGTCTAGGCGGACCCAGAGGTCACCCCAGCAACGCAAAGCAGCTCCATGTGCTCCAAATCAACTCGAGGTGAGGCCCGATTCCCCTGCATTGACTCCAGAGCCATTCCCCGTTCCCCATTCAACACGACCGGTGGCTCGACTTCCTTCAGGCAACTCCAGAGATGCCCCGAGAACACTGTCCCAAGTCTAGAGGAACACCAACTTCAGCACAGCAACTCGAGGAATGCTCCGTGTACCCCAAATCGTCTCGAGATGAGAGCTGATTCCCTGGCTTAGGCTCAAGACGTATGCCAATTTCCCAGAAGCACCTCAGGAGGAAGCTTCTCTCAGCAATAGGTATGTGGGAGGGACCCCGAGTTTGCTGCCTCAAGGGGAATATACAGCGAGAAGCCTTAACTTGAAAGGAGGCCGGATTTCCTCGCAGTGGCTTGAATACAGGCTCGTCTTTCATCTCACAACATGAAGGGATGTCTGAATCCCCTGTGGAGACCTTAGAGAAAGCCCTAGGTGCCTGCCTCATTTTGCCGGAATGCCTCACATCCCGCTGACACCTCGAGAGGCACGCGGAGTTCATTGCTTCAAAAGGTGACGATGCCTGACTCCTCTTGAATACTGATAGGAATCCCAAAATCCCTGTGGCTACTGGAAAGGGTCCTTGGGTGCCCTGCCTCACCTCGAGAAGCGTCCCTTTTGCCCTGCCAAGCCTCGAAGAGATTCCTGAAGTGTCCCTCGTTACTAGACAGGAGTCCTGACGTCACTGAAGAAACTCGTGTTTTGAAGGGCCATCCCCGCCGTAAGTCGAGAACATACCCCAGGTCCCCGCCGCAACTCGAGAAAAACCATGAGACTTCCCCATAGAGGCGAGATGAGGCCCCATTCCCCTGCAGTGCATGCAGAGCTATTCCGTGATCCCATTCAAACAAGTCAGGAGCTTCGACTTGCTTAATGGATCTCGAGACAGTCCCCAAGAACACTGTCACCAGTCTAGACGGACCCTGAGGTCACCCCAGCAACGCAAAGCAGCTCCATGTGCCCCAAATCAACTCGAGATGAGGCCTGATTCCCCTGCATTGACTCCAGAGCCATTCCCCGTTCCCCATTCAACATGACCGGTGGCTTGACTTCCTTCAGGCAACTCCAGAGATGCCCCGAGAACACTGTCCCAAGTCTAGAGGAAAACCAACTTCAGCACAGCAACTCGAGGAATGCTCCGTGTACCCCAAATCGTCTCGAGATGAGAGCTGATTCCCTGGCTTAGGCTCAAGACGTATGCCAACTTCCCAGAAGCATATCAGGAAGAGGCTTCTCTCAGCAATAGGTATGTGAGAGGGACCCCGAGTTTGCTGCCTCAAGGGGAATATACAGCGAGAAGCCCTAACTTGAAAGGAGGCCGGATTTCCTTGCAGTGGCTTGAAAACAGGCTCGTCTTTCATCTCACAACCTGAAGGGATGTCTGAATCCCCTGTGGAGACCTTAGAGAAAGCCCTAGGTCCCTGCCTCATTTTGACGGAATGCCTCACATCCCGTTGACACCTCGAGAGGCACGCGGAGTTCATTGCTTCAAAAGGTGACGATGCCTGACTCCTCTTGAATACTGATAGGAATCCCAAAATCCCTGTGGCTACTGGAAAGGGTCCTTGGGTGCCCTGCCTCACCTCGAGAAGCGTTCCTTTTGCCCTGCCAAGCCTCGAAGAGATTCCTGAGGTGTCCCTCGTTACTAGACAGGAGTCCTGACGTCACTGAAGAAACTCGTGTTTTGAAGGGCCATCCCCGCCGTAAGTCGAGAACATACCCCAGGTCCCCGCCGCAACTCGAGAAAAACAATGAGACTTCCCCTTAGAGGCGAGATGAGGCCCCATTCCCCTGCAGTGCATGCAGAGCTATTCCGTGATCCCATTCAAACAAGTCAGGAGCTTCGACTTGCTTAATGGATCTCGAGACAGTCCCCAAGAACACTGTCACCAGTCTAGACGGACCCAGAGGTCACCCCAGCAACGCAAAGCAGCTCCATGTGCCCCAAATCAACTCGAGGTGAGGACCGATTCCCCTGCATTGACTCCAGAGCCATTCCCCGTTCCCAATTCAACACGACCGGTGGCTCGACTTCCTTCAGGCAACTCCAGAGATGCCCCGAGAACACTGTCCCAAGTCTAGAGGAACACCAACTTCAGCACAGCAACTCGAGGAATGCTCCGTGTACCCCAAATCGTCTCGAGATGAGAGCTGATTCCCTGGCTTAGGCTCAAGACGTATGCCAACTTCCCAGAAGCACCTCAGGAGGAGGCTTCTCTCAGCAATAGGTATGTGGGAGGGACCCCGAGTTTGCTGCCTCAAGGGGAATATACAGCGAGAAGCCCTAACTTGAAAGGAGGCCGGATTTCCTTGCAGTGGCTTGAATACAGGCTCGTCTTTCATCTCACAACATGAAGGGATGTCTGAATCCCCTGTGGAGACCTTAGAGAAAGCCCTAGGTCCCTGCCTCATTTTGACGGAATGCCTCACATCCCGCTGACACCTCGAGAGGCACGCGGAGTTCATTGCTTCAAAAGGTGACGATGCCTGACTCGTCTTGGATACTGATAGGAATCCCAAAATCCCTGTGGCTACTGGAAAGGGTCCTTGGGTGCCCTGCCTCACCTCGAGAAGCGTCCCTTTTGCCCTGCCAAGCCTCGAAGAGATTCCTGAGGTGTCCCTCGTTACTAGACAGGAGTCCTGACGTCACTGAAGAAACTCGTGTTTTGAAGGGCCATCCCCGCCGTAAGTCGAGAACATACCCCAGGTCCCCGCCGCAACTCGAGAAAAACCATGAGACTTCCCCCTAGAGGCGAGATGAGGCCCCATTCCCCTGCAGTGCATGCAGAGCTATTCCGTGATCCCATTCAAACAAGTCAGGAGCTTCGACTTGCTTAATGGATCTCGAGACAGTCCCCAAGAACACTGTCACCAGTCTAGGCGGACCCAGAGGTCACCCCAGCAACGCAAATCAGCTCCATGTGCCCCAAATCAACTCGAGGTGAGGCCCGATTCCCCTGCATTGACTCCAGAGCCATTCCCCGTTCCCCATTCAACACGACCGGTGGCTCGACTTCCTTCAGGCAACTCCAGAGATGCCCTGAGAACACTGTCCCAAGTCTAGAGGAACACCAACTTCAGCACAGCAACTCGAGGAATGCTCCGTGTACCCCAAATCGTCTCGAGATGAGAGCTGATTCCCTGGCTTAGGCTCAAGACGTATGCCAACTTCCCAGAAGCACATCAGGAGGAGGCTTCTCTCAGCAATAGGTATGTGGGAGGGACCCCGAGTTTGCTGCCTCAAGGGGAATATACAGCGAGAAGCCCTAACTTGAAAGGAGGCCGGATTTCCTTGCAGTGGCTTGAATACAGGCTCGTCTTTCATCTCACAACATGAAGGGATGTCTGAATCCCCTGTGGAGACCTTAGAGAAAGCCCTAGGTCCCTGCCTCATTTTGACGGAATGCCTCACATCCCGTTGACACCTCGAGAGGCACGCGGAGTTCATTGCTTCAAAAGGTGACGATGCCTGGCTCCTCTTGAATACTGATAGGAATCCCAAAATCCCTGTGGCTACTGGAAAGGGTCCTTGGGTGCCCTGCCTCACCTCGAGAAGCGTCCCTTTTGCCCTGCCAAGCCTCGAAGAGATTCCTGAGGTGTCCCTCCTTACTAGACAGGAGTCCTGACGTCACTGAAGAAACTCGTGTTTTGAAGGGCCATCCCCGCCGTAAGTCGAGAACATACCCCAGGTCCCCGCCGCAACTCGAGAAAAACCATGAGACTTCCCCTTAGAGGCGAGATGAGGCCCCATTCCCCTGCAGTGCATGCAGAGCTATTCCGTGATCCCATTCAAACAAGTCAGGAGCTTCGACTTGCTTAATGGATCTCGAGACAGTCCCCAAGAACACTGTCACCAGTCTAGACGGACCCAGAGGTCACCCCAGCAACGCAAAGCAGCTCCATGTGCCCCAAATCAACTCGAGGTGAGGACCGATTCCCCTGCATTGACTCCAGAGCCATTCCCCGTTCCCAATTCAACACGACCGGTGGCTCGACTTCCTTCAGGCAACTCCAGAGATGCCCCGAGAACACTGTCCCAAGTCTAGAGGAACACCAACTTCAGCACAGCAACTCGAGGAATGCTCCGTGTACCCCAAATCGTCTCGAGATGAGAGCTGATTCCCTGGCTTAGGCTCAAGACGTATGCCAACTTCCCAGAAGCACCTCAGGAGGAGGCTTCTCTCAGCAATAGGTATGTGGGAGGGACCCCGAGTTTGCTGCCTCAAGGGGAATATACAGCGAGAAGACCTAACTTGAAAGGAGGCCGGATTTCCTTGCAGTGGCTTGAATACAGGCTCGTCTTTCATCTCACAACATGAAGGGTTGTCTGAATCCCCTGTGGAGACCTTAGAGAAAGCCCTAGGTCCCTGCCTCATTTTGACGGAATGCCTCACATCCCGCTGACACCTCGAGAGGCACGCGGAGTTCATTGCTTCAAAAGGTGACGATGCCTGACTCGTCTTGGATACTGATAGGAATCCCAAAATCCCTGTGGCTACTGGAAAGGGTTCTTGGGTGCCCTGCCTCACGTCGAGAAGCGTCCCTTTTGCCCTGCCAAGCCTCGAAGAGATTCCTGAGGTGTCCCTCGTTACTAGACAGGGGTCCTGACTTCACTGAAGAAACTCGTGTTTTGAAGGGCCATCCCCGCCGTAAGTCGAGAACATACCCCAGGTCCCCGCCGCAACTCAAGAAAAACCATGAGACTTCCCCCTAGAGGCGAGATGAGGCCCCATTCCCCTGCAGTGCATGCAGAGCTATTCCGTGATCCCATTCAAACAAGTCAGGAGCTTCGACTTGCTTAATGGATCTCGAGACAGTCCCCAAGAGCACTGTCACCAGTCTAGGCGGACCCAGAGGTCACCCCAGCAACGCAAATCAGCTCCATGTGCGCCAAATCAACTCGAGGTGAGGCCCGATTCCCCTGCATTGACTCCAGAGCCATTCCCCGTTCCCCATTCAACACGACCGGTGGCTCGACTTCCTTCAGGCAACTCCAGAGATGCCCCGAGAACATTGTCCCAAGTCTAGAGGAACACCAACTTCAGCACAGCAACTCGAGGAATGCTCCGTGTACCCCAAATCGTCCTGAGATGAGAGCTGATTCCCTGGCTTAGGCTCACGACGTATGCCAATTTCCCAGAAGCACCTCAGGAGGAGGCTTCTCTCAGCAACACTTATGTGGGAGGGACCCCGAGTTTGCTGCCTCAAGGGGAATATACAGCGAGAAGCCCTAACTTGAAAGGAGGCCGGATTTCCTTGCAGTGGCTTGAATACAGGCTCGTCTTTCATCTCACAACATGAAGGGATGTCTGAATCCCCTGTGGAGACCTTAGAGAAAGCCCTAGGTGCCTGCCTCATTTTGACGGAATGCCTCACATCCCGCTGACACCTCGAGAGGCACGCGGAGTTCATTGCTTCAAAAGGTGACGATGCCTGACTCCTCTTGAATACTGATAGGAATCCCAAAATCCCTGTGGCTACTGGAAAGGGTCCTTGGGTGCCCTGCCTCACCTCGAGAAGCGTCCCTTTTGCCCTGCCAAGCCTCGAAGAGATTCCTGAGGTGTCCCTCGTTACTAGACAGGAGTCCTGACGTCACTGAAGAAACTCGTGTTTTGAAGGGCCATCCCTGCCGTAAGTCGAGAACATACCCCAGGTCCCCGCCGCAACTCGAGAAAAACCATGAGACTTCCCCCTAGAGGCGAGATGAGGCCCCATTCCCCTGCAGTGCATGCAGAGCTATTCCGTGATCCCATTCAAACAAGTCAGGAGCTTCGACTTGCTTAATGGATCTCGAGACAGTCCCCAAGAACACTGTCACCAGTCTAGACGGACCCTGAGGTCACCCCAGCAACGCAAAGCAGCTCCATGTGCCCCAAATCAACTGGAGATGAGGCCTGATTCCCCTGCATTGACTCCAGAGCCATTCCCCGTTCCCCATTCAACATGACCGGTGGCTTGACTTCCTTCAGGCAACTCCAGAGATGCCCCGAGAACACTGTCCCAAGTCTAGAGGAACACCAACTTCAGCACAGCAACTCGAGGAATGCTCCGTGTACCCCAAATCGTCTCGAGATGAGAGCTGATTCCCTGGCTTAGGCTCAAGACGTATGCCAACTTCCCAGAAGCACCTCAGGAGGAGTCTTCTCTCAGCAATAGGTATGTGGGAGGGACCCCGAGTTTGCTGCCTCAAGGGGAATATACAGCGAGAAGCCCTAACTTGAAAGGAGGCCGGATTTCCTTGCAGTGGCTTGAATACAGGCTCGTCTTTCATCTCACAACATGAAGGGATGTCTGAATCCCCTGTGGAGACCTTAGAGAAAGCCCTAGGTGCCTGCCTCATTTTGACGGAATGCCTCACATCCCGCTGACACCTCGAGAGGCACGCGGAGTTCATTGCTTCAAAAGGTGACGATGCCTGACTCCTCTTGAATACTGATAGGAATCCCAAAATCCCTGTGGCTACTGGAAAGGGTCCTTGGGTGCCCTGCCTCACCTCGAGAAGCGTCCCTTTTGCCCTGCCAAGCCTCGAAGAGATTCCTGAGGTGTCCCTCGTTACTAGACAGGAGTCCTGACGTCACTGAAGAAACTCGTGTTTTGAAGGGCCATCCCCGCCGTAAGTCGAGAACATACCCCAGGTCCCCGCCGCAACTCGAGAAAAACCATGAGACTTCCCCCTAGAGGCGAGATGAGGCCCCATTCCCCTGCAGTGCATGCAGAGCTATTCCGTGATCCCATTCAAACAAGTCAGGAGCTTCGACTTGCTTAATGGATCTCCAGACAGTCCCCAAGAACACTGTCACCAGTCTAGACGGACCCTGAGGTCACCCCAGCAACGCAAAGCAGCTCCATGTGCCCCAAATCAACTCGAGATGAGGCCTGATTCCCCTGCATTGACTCCAGAGCCATTCCCCGTTCCCCATTCAACATGACCGGTGGCTTGACTTCCTTCAGGCAACTCCAGAGATGCCCCGAGAACACTGTCCCAAGTCTAGAGGAAAACCAACTTCAGCACAGCAACTCGAGGAATGCTCCGTGTACCCCAAATCGTCTCGAGATGAGAGCTGATTCCCTGGCTTAGGCTCAAACGTATGCCAACTTCCCAGAAGCACATCAGGAGGAGTCTTCTCTCAGCAATAGGTATGTGGGAGGGACCCCGAGTTTGCTGCCTCAAGGGGAATATACAGCGAGAAGCCCTAACTTGAAAGGAGGCCGGATTTCCTTGCAGTGGCTTGAATACAGGCTCGTCTTTCATCTCACAACATGAAGGGATGTCTGAATCCCCTGTGGAGACCTTAGAGAAAGCCCTAGGTCCCTGCCTCATTTTGACGGAATGCCTCACATCCCGCTGACACCTCGAGAGGCACGCGGAGTTCATTGCTTCAAAAGGTGACGATGCCTGACTCCTCTTGAATACTGATAGGAATCCCAAAATCCCTGTGGCTACTGGAAAGGGTCCTTCGGTGCCCTGCCTCACCTCGAGAAGCGTCCCTTTTGCCCTGCCAAGCCTCGAAGAGATTCCTGAGGTGTCCCTCGTTACTAGACAGGAGTCCTGACATCACTGAAGAAACTCGTGTTTTGAAGGGCCATCCCCGCCGTAAGTTGAGAACATACCCCAGGTCCCCGCCGCAACTCGAGAAAAACCATGAGACTTCCCCCTAGAGGCGAGATGAGGCCCCATTCCCCTGCAGGGCATTGCAGAGCTATTCCGTGATCCCATTCAAACAAGTCAGGAGCTTCGACTTGCTTAATGGATCTCGAGACAGTCCCCAAGAACACTGTCACCAGTCTAGACGGACCCTGAGGTCACCCCAGCAACGCAAAGCAGCTCCATGTGCCCCAAATCAACTCGAGATGAGGCCTGATTCCCCTGCATTGACTCCAGAGCCATTCCCCGTTCCCAATTCAACACGACCGGTGGCTCGACTTCCTTCAGGCAACTCCAGAGATGCCCCGAGAACACTGTCCCAAGTCTAGAGGAACACCAACTTCAGCACAGCAACTCGAGGAATGCTCTGTGTACCCCAAATCGTCTCGAGATGAGAGCTGATTCCCTGGCTTAGGCTCAAGACGTATGCCAACTTCCCAGAAGCACCTCAGGAGGAGGCTTCTCTCAGCAATAGGTATGTGGGAGGGACCCCGAGTTTGCTGCCTCAAGGGGAATATACAGCGAGAAGCCCTAACTTGAAAGGAGGCCGGATTTCCTTGCAGTGGCTTGAATACAGGCTCGTCTTTCATCTCACAACATGAAGGGATGTCTGAATCCCCTGTGGAGACCTTAGAGAAAGCCCTAGGTCCCCGCCTCATTTTGACGCAATGCCTCACATCCCGCTGACACCTCGAGAGGCACGTGGAGTTCATTGCTTCAAATGGTGACGATGCCTGACTCGTCTTGAATACTGATAGGAATCCCAAAATCCCTGTGGCTACTGGAAAGGGTCCTTGGGTGCCCTGCCTCACCTCGAGAAGCGTCCCTTTTGCCCTGCCAAGCCTCGAAGAGATTCCTGAGGTGTCCCTCGTTACTACACAGGAGTCCTGACGTCACTGAAGAAACTCGTGTTTTGAAGGGCCATCCCCGCCGTAAGTCGAGAACATACCCCAGGTCCCCGCCGCACCTCGAGAAAAACCATGAGACTTCCCCCTAGAGGCGAGATGAGGCCCCATTCCCCTGCAGTGCATGCAGAGCTATTCCGTGATCCCATTCAAACAAGTCAGGAGCTTCGACTTGCTTAATGGATCTCGAGACAGTCCCCAAGAACACTGTCACCAGTCTAGGCGGACCCAGAAGTCACCCCAGCTACGCAAAGCAGATCCATGTGCCCCAAATCAACTCGAGGTGAGGCCCGATTCCCCTGCATTGACTCCAGAGCCATTCCCCGTTCCCCATTCAACACGACCGGTGGCTCGACTTCCTTCAGGCAACTCCAGAGATGCCCCGAGAACACTGTCCCAAGTCTAGAGGAACACGAACTTCAGCACAGCAACTCGAGGAATGCTCCGTGTACCCCAAATCGTCTCGAGATGAGAGCTGATTCCCTGGCTTAGGCTCAAGACGTATGCCAACTTCCCAGAAGCACCTCAGGAGGAGGCTTCTCTCAGCAATAGGTATGTGGGAGGGACCCCGAGTTTGCTGCCTCAAGGGGAATATACAGCGAGAAGCCCTAACTTGAAAGGAGGCCGGATTTCCTTGCAGTGGCTTGAATACAGGCTCGTCTTTCATCTCACAACATGAAGGGATGTCTGAATCCGCTGTGGAGACCTTAGAGAAAGCCCTAGGTCCCTGCCTCATTTTGACGGAATGCCTCACATCCCGCTGACACCTCGAGAGGCACGCGGAGTTCATTGCTTCAAATGGTGACGATGCCTGACTCGTCTTGAATACTGATAGGAATCCCAAAATCCCTGTGGCTACTGGAAAGGGTCCTTGGGTGCCCTGCCTCACCTCGAGAAGCGTCCCTTTTGCCCTGCCAAGCCTCGAAGAGATTCCTGAGGTGTCCCTCGTTACTACACAGGAGTCCTGACGTCACTGAAGAAACTCGTGTTTTGAAGGGCCATCCCCGCCGTAAGTCGAGAACATACCCCAGGTCCCCGCCGCAACTCGAGAAAAACCATGAGACTTCCCCCTAGAGGCGAGATGAGGCCCCATTCCCCTGCAGTGCATGCAGAGCTATTCCGTGATCCCATTCAAACAAGTCAGGAGCTTCGACTTGCTTAATGGATCTCGAGACAGTCCCCAAGAACACTGTCACCAGTCTAGGCGGACCCAGAAGTCACCCCAGCTACGCAAAGCAGATCCATGTGCCCCAAATCAACTCGAGGTGAGGCCCGATTCCCCTGCATTGACTCCAGAGCCATTCCCCGTTCCCCATTCAACACGACCGGTGGCTCGACTTCCTTCAGGCAACTCCAGAGATGCCCCGAGAACACTGTCCCAAGTCTAGAGGAACACGAACTTCAGCACAGCAACTCGAGGAATGCTCCGTGTACCCCAAATCGTCTCGAGATGAGAGCTGATTCCCTGGCTTAGGCTCAAGACGTATGCCAATTTCCCAGAAGCACCTCAGGAGGAGGCTTCTCTCAGCAATAGGTATGTGGGAAGGGACCCCGAGTTTGCTGCCTCAAGGGGAATATACAGCGAGAAGCCCTAACTTGAAAGGAGGCCGGATTTCCTTGCAGTGGCTTGAATACAGGCTCGTCTTTCATCTCAAAACATGAAGAGATGTCTGAATCCCCTGTGGAGACCTTAGAGAAAGCCCTAGGTCCCTGCCTCATTTTGACGGAATGCCTCACATCCCGCTGACACCTCGAGAGGCACGCAGAGTTCATTGCTTCAAAAGGTGACGATGCCTGACTCCTCTTGAATACTAATAGGAATCCCAAAATCCCTGTGGCTACTAGAAAGGGTCCTTGGGTGCCCTGCCTCACCTCGAGAAGCGTCCCTTTTGCCCTGCCAAGCCTCGAAGAGATTCCTGAGGTGTCCCTCGTTACTAGACAGGAGTCCTGACGTCACTGAAGAAACACGTGTTTTGAAGGGCCATCCCCGCCGTAAGTCGAGAACATACCCCAGGTCCCCGCCGCAACTCGAGAAAAACCATGAGACTTCCCCTTAGAGGCGAGATGAGGCCCCATTCCCCTGCAGTGCATGCAGAGCTATTCCGTGATCCCATTCAAACAAGTCAGGAGCTTCGACTTGCTTAATGGATCTCGAAACAGTCCCCAAGAACACTGTCACCAGTCTAGACGGACCCAGAGGTCACCCCAGCAACGCAAAGCAGCTCCATGTGCCACAAATCAACTCGAGGTGAGGACCGATTCCCCTGCATTGACTCCAGAGCCATTCCCCGTTCCCAATTCAACACGACCGGTGGCTCGACTTCCTTCAGGCAACTCCAAAGATGCCCCGAGAACACTGTCCCAAGTCTAGAGGAACACCAACTTCAGCACAGCAACTCGAGGAATGCTCCGTGTACCCCAAATCGTCTCGAGATGAGAGCTGATTCCCTGGCTTAGGCTCAAGACGTATGCCAACTTCCCAGAAGCACCTCAGGAGGAGGCTTCTCTCAGCAATAGGTATGTGGGAGGGACCCCGAGTTTGCTGCCTCAAGGGGAATATACAGCGAGAAGCCCTAACTTGAAAGGAGGCCGGATTTCCTTGCAGTGGCTTGAATACGGGCTCGTCTTTCATCTCACAACATGAAGGGATGTCTGAATCCCCTGTGGAGACCTTAGAGAAAGCCCTAGGTCCCTGCCTCATTTTGACGGAATGCCTCACATCCCGCTGACACCTCGAGAGGCACGCGGAGTTCATTGCTTCAAATGGTGACGATGCCTGACTCGTCTTGAATACTGATAGGAATCCCAAAATCCCTGTGGCTACTGGAAAGGGTCCTTGGGTGCCCTGCCTCACCTCGAGAAGCGTCCCTTTTGCCCTGCCAAGCCTCGAAGAGATTCCTGAGGTGTCCCTCGTTACTACACAGGAGTCCTGACGTCACTGAAGAAACTCGTGTTTTGAAGGGCCATCCCCGCCGTAAGTCGAGAACATACCCCAGGTCCCCGCCGCAACTCGAGAAAAACCATGAGACTTCCCCCTAGAGGCGAGATGAGGCCCCATTCCCCTGCAGTGCATGCAGAGCTATTCCGTGATCCCATTCAAACAAGTCAGGAGCTTCGACTTGCTTAATGGATCTCGAGACAGTCCCCAAGAACACTGTCACCAGTCTAGGCGGACCCAGAAGTCACCCCAGCTACGCAAAGCAGATCCATCTGCCCCAAATCAACTCGAGGTGAGGCCCGATTCCCCTGCATTGACTCCAGAGCCATTCCCCGTTCCCCATTCAACACGACCGGTGGCTCGACTTCCTTCAGGCAACTCCAGAGATGCCCCGAGAACACTGTCCCAAGTCTAGAGGAACACGAACTTCAGCACAGCAACTCGAGGAATGCTCCGTGTACCCCAAATCGTCTCGAGATGAGAGCTGATTCCCTGGCTTAGGCTCAAGACGTATGCCAATTTCCCAGAAGCACCTCAGGAGGAGGCTTCTCTCAGCAATAGGTATGTGGGAGGGACCCCGAGTTTGCTGCCTCAAGGGGAATATACAGCGAGAAGCCCTAACTTGAAAGGAGGCCGGATTTCCTTGCAGTGGCTTGAATACAGGCTCGTCTTTCATCTCACAACATGAAGGGATGTCTGAATCCCCTGTGGAGACCTTAGAGAAAGCCCTAGGTCCCTGCCTCATTTTGACGGAATGCCTCACATCCCGCTGACACCTCGAGAGGCACGCGGAGTTCATTGCTTCAAAAGGTGACGATGCCTGACTCGTCTTGAATACTGATAGGAATCCCTAAATCCCTGTGGCTACTGGAAAGGGTCCTTGGGTGCCCTGCCTCACCTCGAGAAGCGTCCCTTTTGCCCTGCCAAGCCTCGAAGAGATTCCTGAGGTGTCCCTCGTTACTAGACAGGAGTCCTGACGTCACTGAAGAAACTCGTGTTTTGAAGGGCCATCCCCGCCGTAAGTCGAGAACATACCCCAGGTCCCCGCCGCAACTCGAGAAAAACCATGAGACTTCCCCCTAGAGGCGACATGAGGCCCCATTCCCCTGCAGTGCATGCAGAGCTATTCCGTGATCCCATTCAAACAAGTCAGGAGCTTCGACTTGCTTAATGGATCTCGAGACAGTCCCCAAGAACACTGTCACCAGTCTAGACGGACCCTGAGGTCACCCCAGCAACGCAAAGCAGCTCCATGTGCCCCAAATCAACTCGAGATGAGGCCCGATTCCCCTGCATTGACTCCAGAGCCATTCCCCGTTCCCCATTCAACACGACCGGTGGCTCGACTTCCTTCAGGCAACTCCAGAGATGCCCCGAGAACACTGTCCCAAGCCTAGAGGAACACCAACTTCAGCACAGCAACTCGAGGAATGCTCCGTGTACCCCAAATCGTCTCGAGATGAGAGCTGATTCCCTGGCTTAGGCTCAAGACGTATGCCAATTTCCCAGAAGCACCTCAGGAGGAGGCTTCTCTCAGCAATAGGTATGTGGGAGGGACCCCGAGTTTGCTGCCTCAAGGGGAATATACAGCGAGAAGCCCTAACTTGAAAGGAGGCCGGATTTCCTTGCAGTGGCTTGAATACAGGCTCGTCTTTCATCTCACAACATGAAGGGATGTCTGAATCCCGTGTGGAGACCTTAGAGAAAGCCCTAGGTCCCTGCCTCATTTTGACGAAATGCCTCACATCCCGCTGACACCTCGAGAGGCACGCGGAGTTCATTGCTTCAAAAGGTGACGATGCCTGACTCCTCTTGAATACTGATAGGAATCCCAAAATCCCTGTGGCTACTGGAAAGGGTCCTTGGGTGCCCTGCCTCACCTCGAGAAGCGTCCCTTTTGCCCTGCCAAGCCTCGAAGAGATTCCTGAGGTGTCCCTCGTTACTAGACAGGAGTCCTGACGTCACTGAAGAAACGTGTTTTGAAGGGCCATCCCCGCCGTAAGTCGAGAACATAACCCAGGTCCCCGCCGCAACTCGAGAAAAACCATGAGACTTCCCCCTATAGGCGAGATGAGGCCCCATTCCCCTGCAGTGCATGCAGAGCTATTCCGTGATCCCATTCAAACAATTCAGGAGCTTCGACTTGCTTAATGGATCTCGAGACAGTGCCCAGGAACACTGTCACCAGTCTAGATGGACCCTGAGGTCACCCCAGCAACGCAAAGCAGCTCCATGTGCCCCAAATCAACTCGAGATGAGGCCTGATTCCCCTGCATTGACTCCAGTGCCATTCCCCGTTCCCCATTCAACACGACTGGTGGCTCGACTTCCTTCAGGCAACTCCAGAGATTCCCCGAGAACACTGTCCCAAGTCTAGAAGAACACCAACATCAGCACAGCAACTCGAGGAATGTTCCGTGTACCCCAAATCGTCTCGAGATGAGAGCTGATTCCCTGGCTTAGGCTCAAGACGTATGCCAACTTCCCAGAAGGACCTCAGGAGGAGGCTTCTCTCAGCAATAGGTATGTGGGAGGGACCCCGAGTTTGCTGCCTCAAGGGGAATATACAGCGAGAAGCCCTAAATTGAAAGGAGGCCGCATTTCCTTGCAGTGGCTTGAATACAGGCTCGTCTTTCATCTCACAACATGAAGGGATGTCTGAATCCCCTGTGGAGACCTTAGAGAAAGCCCTAGGTCCCCGCCTCATTTTGACGCAATGCCTCACATCCCGCTGACACCTCGAGAGGCACGCGGAGTTCATTGCTTCAGAAGGTGACGATGCCTGACTTCTCTTGAATACTGATAGGAATCCCAAAATCCCTGTGGCTACTGGAAAGGGTCCTTGGGTGCCCTGCCTCACCTCGAGAAGCGTCCCTTTTGCCCTGCCAAGCCTCGAAGAGATTCCTGAGGTGTCCCTCGTTACTAGACAGGAGTCCTGACGTCACTGAAGAAACTCGTGTTTTGAAGGGCCATCCCCGCCGTAAGTCGAGAACATACCCCAGGTCCCCGCCGCAACTCGAGAAAAACCATGAGACTTCCCCCTAGAGGCGAGATGAGGCCCCATTCCCCTGCAGTGCATGCAGAGCTATTCCGTGATCCCATTCAAACAAGTCAGGAGCTTCGACTTGCTTAATGGATCTCGAGACAGTCCCCAAGAACACTGTCACCAGTCTAGACGGACCCTGAGGTCACCCCAGCAACGCAAATCAGCTCCATGTGCCCCAAATCAACTCGAGATGAGGCCCGATTCCCCTGCATTGACTCCAGAGCCATTCCCCGTTCCCCGTTCAACACGACCGGTGGCTAGACTTCCTTCAGGCAACTCCAGAGATGCCCCGAGAACACTGTCCCAAGTCTAGAGGAACACCAACTTCAGCACAGCAACTCGAGGAATGCTCCGTGTACCCCAAATCGTCTCGAGATGAGAGCTGATTCCCTGGCTTAGGCTCAAGACGTATGCCAACTTCCCAGAAGCACCTCAGGAGGAGGCTTCTCTCAGCAATAGGTATGTGGGAGGGACCCCGAGTTTGCTGCCTCAAGGGGAATATACAGCGAGAAGGCCTAACTTGAAAGGAGGCCGGATTTCCTTGCAGTGGCTTGAATACAGGCTCGTCTTTCATCTCACAACATGAAGGGATGTCTGAATCCCCTGTGGAGACCTTAGAGAAAGCCCTAGGTCCCTGCCTCATTTTGACGGAATGCCTCACATCCCGCTGACACCTCGAGAGGCACGCGGAGTTCATTGCTTCAAAAGGTGACGATGCCTGACTCCTCTTGAATACTGATAGGAATCCCAAAATCCCTGTGGCTACTGGAAAGGGTCCTTGGGTGCCCTGCCTCACCTCGAGAAGCGTCCCTTTTGCCCTGCCAAGCCTCGAAGAGATTCCTGAGGTGTCCCTCGTTACTAGACAGGAGTCCTGACGTCACTGAAGAAACTCGTGTTTTGAAGGGCCATCCCCGCCGTAAGTCGAGAACATACCCCAGGTCCCCGCCGCAACTCGAGAAAAACCATGAGACTTCCCCCTAGAGGCGAGATGAGGCCCCATTCCCCTGCAGTGCATGCAGAGCTATTCCGTGATCCCATTCAAACAAGTCAGGAGCTTCGACTTGCTTAATGGATCTCGAGACAGTCCCCAAGAACACTGTCACCAGTCTAGGCGGACCCAGAGGTCACCCCAGCAACGCAAAGCAGCTCAATGTGCTCCAAATCAACTCGAGGTGAGGCCCGATTCCCCTGCATTGACTCCAGAGCCATTCCCCGTTCCCCATTCAACACGACCGGTGGCTCGACTTCCTTCAGGCAACTCCAGAGATGCCCCGAGAACACTGTCCCAAGTCTAGAGGAACACCAACTTCAGCACAGCAACTCGAGGAATGCTCCGTGTACCCCAAATCGTCTCGAGATGAGAGCTGATTCCCTGGCTTAGGCTCAAGACGTATGCCAATTTCCCAGAAGCACCTCAGGAGGAAGCTTCTCTCAGCAATAGGTATGTGGGAGGGACCCCGAGTTTGCTGCCTCAAGGGGAATATACAGCGAGAAGCCCTAACTTGAAAGGAGGCCGGATTTCCTCGCAGTGGCTTGAATACAGGCTCGTCTTTCATCTCACAACATGAAGGGATGTCTGAATCCCCTGTGGAGACCTTAGAGAAAGCCCTAGGTGCCTGCCTCATTTTGCCGGAATGCCTCACATCCCGCTGACACCTCGAGAGGCACGCGGAGTTCATTGCTTCAAAAGGTGACGATGCCTGACTCCTCTTGAATACTGATAGGAATCCCAAAATCCCTGTGGCTACTGGAAAGGGTCCTTGGGTGCCCTGCCTCACCTCGAGAAGCGTCCCTTTTGCCCTGCCAAGCCTCGAAGAGATTCCTGAAGTGTCCCTCGTTACTAGACAGGAGTCCTGACGTCACTGAAGAAACTCGTGTTTTGAAGGGCCATCCCCGCCGTAAGTCGAGAACATACCCCAGGTCCCCGCCGCAACTCGAGAAAAACCATGAGACTTCCCCATAGAGGCGAGATGAGGCCCCATTCCCCTGCAGTGCATGCAGAGCTATTCCGTGATCCCATTCAAACAAGTCAGGAGCTTCGACTTGCTTAATGGATCTCGAGACAGTCCCCAAGAACACTGTCACCAGTCTAGACGGACCCAGAGGTCACCCCAGCAACGCAAAGCAGCTCCATCTGCCCCAAATCAACTCGAGGTGAGGACCGATTCCCCTGCATTGACTCCAGAGCCATTCCCCGTTCCCAATTCAACACGACCGGTGGCTCGACTTCCTTCAGGCAACTCCAGAGATGCCCCGAGAACACTGTCCCAAGTCTAGAGGAACACCAACTTCAGCACAGCAACTCGAGGAATGCTCCGTGTACCCCAAATCGTCTCGAGATGAGAGCTGATTCCCTGGCTTAGGCTCAAGACGTATGCCAACTTCCCAGAAGCACCTCAGGAGGAGGCTTCTCTCAGCAATAGGTATGTGGGAGGGACCCTGAGTTTGCTGCCTCAAGGGGAATATACAGCGAGAAGCCCTAACTTGAAAGGAGGCCGGATTTCCTTGCAGTGGCTTGAATACAGGCTCGTCTTTCATCTCACAACATGAAGGGATGTCTGAATCCCCTGTGGAGACCTTAGAGAAAGCCCTAGGTCCCTGCCTCATTTTGACGGAATGCCTCACATCCCGCTGACACCTCGAGAGGCACGCGGAGTTCATTGCTTCAAAAGGTGACGATGCCTGACTCGTCTTGGATACTGATAGGAATCCCAAAATCCCTGTGGCTACTGGAAAGGGTCCTTGGGTGCCCTGCCTCACCTCGAGAAGCGTCCCTTTTGCCCTGCCAAGCCTCGAAGAGATTCCTGAGGTGTCCCTCGTTACTAGACAGGAGTCCTGACGTCACTGAAGAAACTCGTGTTTTGAAGGGCCATCCCCGCCGTAAGTCGAGAACATACCCCAGGTCCCCGCCGCAACTCGAGAAAAACCATGAGACTTCCCCTTAGAGGCGAGATGAGGCCCCATTCCCCTGCAGTGCATGCAGAGCTATTCCGTGATCCCATTCAAACAAGTCAGGAGCTTCGACTTGCTTAATGGATCTCGAGACAGTCCCCAAGAACACTGTCACCAGTCTAGGCGGACCCAGAGGTCACCGCAGCAACGCAAATCAGCTCCATGTGCCCCAAATCAACTCGAGGTGAGGCCCGATTCCCCTGCATTGACTCCAGAGCCATTCCCCGTTCCCCATTCAACACGACCGGTGGCTCGACTTCCTTCAGGCAACTCCAGAGATGCCCCGAGAACACTGTCCCAAGTCTAGAGGAACACCAACTTCAGCACAGCAACTCGAGGAATGCTCCGTGTACCCCAAATCGTCTCGAGATGAGAGCTGATTCCCTGGCTTAGGCTCAAGACGTATGCCAATTTCCCAGAAGCACCTCAGGAGGAGGCTTCTCTCAGCAACAGGTATGTGGGAGGGACCCCGAGTTTGCTGCCTCAAGGGGAATATACAGCGAGAAGCCCTAACTTGAAAGGAGGCCGGATTTCCTTGCAGTGGCTTGAATACAGGCTCGTCTTTCATCTCACAACATGAAGGGATGTCTGAATCCCCTGTGGAGACCTTAGAGAAAGCCCTAGGTCCCTGCCTCATTTTGACGGAATGCCTCACATCCCGCTGACACATCGAGAGGCACGCGGAGTTCATTGCTTCAAAAGGTGACGATGCCTGACTCCTCTTGAATACTGATAGGAATCCCAAAATCCCTGTGGCTACTGGAAAGGGTCCTTGGGTGCCCTGCCTCACCTCGAGAAGCGTCCCTTTTGCCCTGCCAAGCCTCGAAGAGATTCCTGAGGTGTCCCTCGTTACTAGACAGGAGTCCTGACCTCACTGAAGAAACTCGTGTTTTGAAGGGCCATCCCCGCCGTAACTCGAGAACATACCCCAGGTCCCCGCCGCAACTCGAGAAAAACCATGAGACTTCCCCCTAGAGGCGAGATGAGGCCCCATTCCCCTGCAGTGCATGCAGAGCTATTCCGTGATCCCATTCAAACAAGTCAGGAGCTTCGACTTGCTTAATGGATCTCGAGACAGTCCCCAAGAACACTGTCACCAGTCTAGGCGGACCCAGAGGTCACCCCAGCAACGCAAAGCAGCTCCATGTGCTCCAAATCAACTCGAGGTGAGGCCCGATTCCCCTGCATTGACTCCAGAGCCATTCCCCGTTCCCCATTCAACACGACCGGTGGCTCGACTTCCTTCAGGCAACTCCAGAGATGCCCCGAGAACACTGTCCCAAGTCTAGAGGAACACCAACTTCAGCACAGCAACTCGAGGAATGCTCCGTGTACCCCAAATCGTCTCGAGATGAGAGCTGATTCCCTGGCTTAGGCTCAAGACGTATGCCAATTTCCCAGAAGCACCTCAGGAGGAAGCTTCTCTCAGCAATAGGTATGTGGGAGGGACCCCGAGTTTGCTGCCTCAAGGGGAATATACAGCGAGAAGCCCTAACTTGAAAGGAGGCCGGATTTCCTTGCAGTGGCTTGAATACAGGCTCGTCTTTCATCTCACAACATGAAGGGATGTCTGAATCCCCTGTGGAGACCTTAGAGAAAGCCCTAGGTGCCTGCCTCATTTTGCCGGAATGCCTCACATCCCGCTGACACCTCGAGAGGCACGCGGAGTTCATTGCTTCAAAAGGTGACGATGCCTGACTCCTCTTGAATACTGATAGGAATCCCAAAATCCCTGTGGCTACTGGAAAGGGTCCTTGGGTGCCCTGCCTCACCTCGAGAAGCGTCCCTTTTGCCCTGCCAAGCCTCGAAGAGATTCCTGAAGTGTCCCTCGTTACTAGACAGGAGTCCTGACGTCACTGAAGAAACTCGTGTTTTGAAGGGCCATCCCCGCCGTAAGTCGAGAACATACCCCAGGTCCCCGCCGCAACTCGAGAAAAACCATGAGACTTCCCCATAGAGGCGAGATGAGGCCCCATTCCCCTGCAGTGCATGCAGAGCTATTCCGTGATCCCATTCAAACAAGTCAGGAGCTTCGACTTGCTTAATGGATCTCGAGACAGTCCCCAAGAACACTGTCACCAGTCTAGACGGACCCTGAGGTCACCCCAGCAACGCAAAGCAGCTCCATGTGCCCCAAATCAACTCGAGATGAGACCTGATTCCCCTGCATTGACTCCAGAGCCATTCCCCGTTCCCCATTCAACATGACCGGTGGCTTGACTTCCTTCAGGCAACTCCAGAGATGCCCCGAGAACACTGTCCCAAGTCTAGAGGAAAACCAACTTCAGCACAGCAACTCGAGGAATGCTCCGTGTACCCCAAATCGTCTCGAGATGAGAGCTGATTCCCTGGCTTAGGCTCAAGACGTATGCCAACTTCCCAGAAGCACATCAGGAGGAGGCTTCTCTCAGCAATAGGTATGTGGGAGGGACCCCGAGTTTGCTGCCTCAAGGGGAATATACAGCGAGAAGCCCTAACTTGAAAGGAGGCCGGATTTCCTTGCAGTGGCTTGAATACAGGCTCGTCTTTCATCTCACAACCTGAAGGGATGTCTGAATCCCCTATGGAGACCTTAGAGAAAGCCCTAGGTCCCTGCCTCATTTTGACGGAATGCCTCACATCCCGTTGACACCTCGAGAGGCACGCGGAGTTCATTGCTTCAAATGTGACGATGCCTGACTCCTCTTGAATACTGATAGGAATCCCAAAATCCCTGTGGCTACTGGAAAGGGTCCTTGGGTGCCCTGCCTCACCTCGAGAAGCGTTCCTTTTGCCCTGCCAAGCCTCGAAGAGATTCCTGAGGTGTCCCTCGTTACTAGACAGGAGTCCTGACGTCACTGAAGAAACTCGTGTTTTGAAGGGCCATCCCCGCCGTAAGTCGAGAACATACCCCAGGTCCCCGCCGCAACTCGAGAAAAACCATGAGACTTCCCCTTAGAGGCGAGATGAGGCCCCATTCCCCTGCAGTGCATGCAGAGCTATTCCGTGATCCCATTCAAACAAGTCAGGAGCTTCGACTTGCTTAATGGATCTCGAGACAGTCCCCAAGAACACTGTCACCAGTCTAGACGGACCCAGAGGTCACCCCAGCAACGCAAAGCAGCTCCATGTGCCCCAAATCAACTCGAGGTGAGGACCGATTCCCCTGCATTGACTCCAGAGCCATAACCCATTCCCCATTCAACACGACCGGTGGCTCGACTTCCTTCAGGCAACTCCAAAGATGCCCCGAGAACACTGTCCCAAGTCTAGAGGAACACCAACTTCAGCACAGCAACTCGAGGAATGCTCCGTGTACCCCAAATCGTCTCGAGATGAGAGCTGATTCCCTGGCTTAGGCTCAAGACGTATGCCAATTTCCCAGAAGCACCTCAGGAGGAAGCTTCTCTCAGCAATAGGTATGTGGGAGGGACCCCGAGTTTGCTGCCTCAAGGGGAATATACAGCGAGAAGCCCTAACTTGAAAGGAGGCCGGATTTCCTCGCAGTGGCTTGAATACAGGCTCGTCTTTCATCTCACAACATGAAGGGATGTCTGAATCCCCTGTGGAGACCTTAGAGAAAGCCCTAGGTGCCTGCCTCATTTTGCCGGAATGCCTCACATCCCGCTGACACCTCGAGAGGCACGCGGAGTTCATTGCTTCAAAAGGTGACGATGCCTGACTCCTCTTGAATACTGATAGGAATCCCAAAATCCCTGTGGCTACTGGAAAGGGTCCTTGGGTGCCCTGCCTCACCTCGAGAAGCGTCCCTTTTGCCCTGCCAAGCCTCGAAGAGATTCCTGAGGTGTCCCTCGTTACTAGACAGGAGTCCTGACGTCACTGAAGAAACTCGTGTTTTGAAGGGCCATCCCCGCCGTAAGTCGAGAACATACCCCAGGTCCCCGCCGCAACTCGAGAAAAACCATGAGACTTCCCCCTAGAGGCGAGATGAGGCCCCATTCCCCTGCAGTGCATGCAGAGCTATTCCGTGATCCCATTCAAACAAGTCAGGAGCTTCGACTTGCTTAATGGATCTCGAGACAGTCCCCTAGAACACTGTCACCAGTCTAGACGGACCCAGAGGTCACCCCAGCAACGCAAAGCAGCTCCATGTGCCCCAAATCAACTCGAGGTGAGGACCGATTCCCCTGCATTGACTCCAGAGCCATTCCCCGTTCCCAATTCAACACGACCGGTGGCTCGACTTCCTTCAGGCAACTCCAGAGATGCCCCGAGAACACTGTCCCAAGTCTAGAGGAACACCAACTTCAGCACAGCAACTCGAGGAATGCTCCGTGTACCCCAAATCGTCTCGAGATGAGAGCTGATTCCCTGGCTTAGGCTCAAGACGTATGCCAACTTCCCAGAAGCACCTCAGGAGGAGGCTTCTCTCAGCAATAGGTATGTGGGAGGGACCCCGAGTTTGCTGCCTCAAGGGGAATATACAGCGAGAAGCCCTAACTTGAAAGGAGGCCGGATTTCCTTGCAGTGGCTTGAATACAGGCTCGTCTTTCATCTCACAACATGAAGGGATGTCTGAATCCCCTGTGGAGACCTTAGAGAAAGCCCTAGGTCCCTGCCTCATTTTGACGGAATGCCTCACATCCCGCTGACACCTCGAGAGGCACGCGGAGTTCATTGCTTCAAAAGGTGACGATGCCTGACTCCTCTTGAATACTGATAGGAATCCCAAAATCCCTGTGGCTACTGGAAAGGGTCCTTGGGTGCCCTGCCTCACCTCGAGAAGCGTCCCTTTTGCCCTGCCAAGCCTCGAAGAGATTCCTGAGGTGTCCCTCGTTACTAGACAGGAGTCCTGACGTCACTGAAGAAACTCGTGTTTTGAAGGGCCATCCCCGCCGTAAGTCGAGAACATACCCCAGGTCCCCGCCGCAACTCGAGAAAAACCATGAGACTTCCCCCTAGAGGCGAGATGAGGCCCCATTCCCCTGCAGTGCATGCAGAGCTATTCCGTGATCCCATTCAAACAAGTCAGGAGCTTCGACTTGCTTAATGGATCTCGAGACAGTCCCCAAGAACACTGTCACCAGTCTAGGCGGACCCAGAGGTCACCCCAGCAACGCAAATCAGCTCCATGTGCCCCAAATCAACTCGAGATGAGGCCTGATTCCCCTGCATTGACTCCAGAGCCATTCCCCGTTCCCCATTCAACATGACCGGTGGCTTGACTTCCTTCAGGCAACTCCAGAGATGCCCCGAGAACACTGTCCCAAGTCTAGAGGAAAACCAACTTCAGCACAGCAACTCGAGGAATGCTCCGTGTACCCCAAATCGTCTCGAGATGAGAGCTGATTCCCTGGCTTAGGCTCAAGACGTATGCCAACTTCCCAGAAGCACATCAGGAGGAGGCTTCTCTCAGCAATAGGTATGTGGGAGGGACCCCGAGTTTGCTGCCTCAAGGGGAATATACAGCGAGAAGCCCTAACTTGAAAGGAGGCCGGATTTCCTTGCAGTGGCTTGAATACAGGCTCGTCTTTCATCTCACAACCTGAAGGGATGTCTGAATCCCCTATGGAGACCTTAGAGAAAGCCCTAGGTCCCTGCCTCATTTTGACGGAATGCCTCACATCCCGTTGACACCTCGAGAGGCACGCGGAGTTCATTGCTTCAAAAGGTGACGATGCCTGACTCCTCTTGAATACTGATAGGAATCCCAAAATCCCTGTGGCTACTGGAAAGGGTCCTTGGGTGCCCTGCCTCACCTCGAGAAGCGTTCCTTTTGCCCTGCCAAGCCTCGAAGAGATTCCTGAGGTGTCCCTCGTTACTAGACAGGAGTCCTGACGTCACTGAAGAAACTCGTGTTTTGAAGGGCCATCCCCGCCGTAAGTCGAGAACATACCCCAGGTCCCCGCCGCAACTCGAGAAAAACCATGAGACTTCCCCTTAGAGGCGAGATGAGGCCCCATTCCCCTGCAGTGCATGCAGAGCTATTCCGTGATCCCATTCAAACAAGTCAGGAGCTTCGACTTGCTTAATGGATCTCGAGACAGTCCCCAAGAACACTGTCACCAGTCTAGACGGACCCAGAGGTCACCCCAGCAACGCAAAGCAGCTCCATGTGCCCCAAATCAACTCGAGGTGAGGACCGATTCCCCTGCATTGACTCCAGAGCCATTCCCCGTTCCCAATTCAACACGACCGGTGGCTCGACTTCCTTCAGGCAACTCCAGAGATGCCCCGAGAACACTGTCCCAAGTCTAGAGGAACACCAACTTCAGCACACCAACTCGAGGAATGCTCCGTGTACCCCAAATCGTCTCGAGATGAGAGCTGATTCCCTGGCTTAGGCTCAAGACGTATGCCAACTTCCAAGAAGCACCTCAGGAGGAGGCTTCTCTCAGCAATAGGTATGTGGGAGGGACCCCGAGTTTGCTGCCTCAAGGGGAATATACAGCGAGAAGGCCTAACTTGAAAGGAGGCCGGATTTCCTTGCAGTGGCTTGAATACAGGCTCGTCTTTCATCTCACAACATGAAGGGATGTCTGAATCCCCTGTGGAGACCTTAGAGAAAGCCCTAGGTCCCTGCCTCATTTTGACGGAATGCCTCACATCCCGCTGACACCTCGAGAGGCACGCGGAGTTCATTGCTTCAAAAGGTGACGATGCCTGACTCGTCTTGGATACTGATAGGAATCCCAAAATCCCTGTGGCTACTGGAAAGGGTCCTTGGGTGCCCTGCCTCACCTCGAGAAGCGTCCCTTTTGCCCTGCCAAGCCTCGAAGAGATTCCTGAGGTGTCCCTCGTTACTAGACAGGAGTCCTGACGTCACTGAAGAAACTCGTGTTTTGAAGGGCCATCCCCGCCGTAAGTCGAGAACATACCCCAGGTCCCCGCCGCAACTCGAGAAAAACCATGAGACTTCCCCCTAGAGGCGAGATGAGGCCCCATTCCCCTGCAGTGCATGCAGAGCTATTCTGTGATCCCATTCAAACAAGTCAGGAGCTTCGACTTGCTTAATGGATCTCGAGACAGTCCCCAAGAACACTGTCACCAGTCTAGGCGGACCCAGAGGTCACCCCAGCAACGCAAATCAGCTCCATGTGCCCCAAATCAACTCGAGGTGAGGCCCGATTCCCCTGCATTGACTCCAGAGCCATTCCCCGTTCCCCATTCAACACGACCGGTGGCTCGACTTCCTTCAGGCAACTCCAGAGATGCCCCGAGAACACTGTCCCAAGTCTAGAGGAACACCAACTTCAGCACAGCAACTCGAGGAATGCTCCGTGTACCCCAAATCGTCTCGAGATGAGAGCTGATTCCCTGGCTTAGGCTCAAGACGTATGCCAATTTCCCAGAAGCACCTCAGGAGGAGGCTTCTCTCAGCAACAGCTATGTGGGAGGGACCCCGAGTTTGCTGCCTCAAGGGGAATATACAGCGAGAAGCCCTAACTTGAAAGGAGGCCGGATTTCCTTGCAGTGGCTTGAATACAGGCTCGTCTTTCATCGCACAACATGAAGGGATGTCTGAATCCCCTGTGGAGACCTTAGAGAAAGCCCTAGGTCCCTGCCTCATTTTGACGGAATGCCTCACATCCCGCTGACACCTCGAGAGGCACGCGGAGTTCATTGCTTCAAAAGGTGACGATGCCTGACTCCTCTTGAATACTGATAGGAATCCCAAAATCCCTGTGGCTACTGGAAAGGGTCCTTGGGTGCCCTGCCTCACCTCGAGAAGCGTCCCTTTTGCCCTGCCAAGCCTCGAAGAGATTCCTGAGGTGTCCCTCGTTACTAGACAGGAGTCCTGACGTCACTGAAGAAACTCTTGTTTGAAGGGCCATCCCCGCCGTAAGTCGAGAACATAACCCAGGTCCCCGCCGCAACTCGAGAAAAACCATTAGACTTCCCCCTAGAGGCGAGATGAGGCCCCATTCCCCTGCAGTGCATGCAGAGCTATTCCGTGATCCCATTCAAACAAGTCAGGAGCTTCGACGTCTCGAGATGAGAGCTGATTCCCTGGCTTACGCTCAAGACGTATGCCAACTTCCCAGAAGCACCTCAGGAGGAGGCTTCTCTCAGCAATAGGTATGTGGGAGGGACCCCGAGTTTGCTGCCTCAAGGGGAATATACAGCGAGAAGCCCTAACTTGAAAGGAGGCCGGATTTCCTTGCAGTGGCTTGAATACAGGCTCGTCTTTCATCTCACAACATGAAGGGATGTCTGAATCCCCTGTGGAGACCTTAGAGAAAGCCCTAGGTCCCCGCCTCATTTTGACGCAATGCCTCACATCCCGCTGACACCTCCAGAGGCACGCGGAGTTCATTGCTTCAGAAGGTGACGATGCCTGACTTCTCTTGAATACTGATAGGAATCCCAAAATCCCTGTGGCTACTGGAAAGGGTCCTTGGGTGCCCTGCCTCACCTCGAGAAGCGTCCCTTTTGCCCTGCCAAGCCTCGAAGAGATTCCTGAGGTGTCCCTCGTTACTAGACAGGAGTCCTGACGTCACTGAAGAAACTCGTGTTTTGAAGGGCCATCCCCGCCGTAAGTCGAGAACATACCCCAGGTCCCCGCCGCAACTCGAGAAAAACCATGAGACTTCCCCCTAGAGGCGAGATGAGGCCCCATTCCCCTGCAGTGCATGCAGAGCTATTCCGTGATCCCATTCAAACAAGTCAGGAGCTTCGACTTGCTTAATGGATCTCGAGACAGTCCCCAAGAACACTGTCACCAGTCTAGACGGACCCTGAGGTCACCCCAGCAACGCAAATCAGCTCCATGTGCCCCAAATCAACTCGAGATGAGGCCCGATTCCCCTGCCTTGACTCCAGAGCCATTCCCCGTTCCCCGTTCAACACAACCGGTGGCTCGACTTCCTTCAGGCAACTCCAGAGATGCCCCGAGAACACTGTCCCAAGTCTAGAGGAACACCAACTTCAGCACAGCAACTCGAGGAATGCTCCGTGTACCCCAAATCGTCTCGAGATGAGAGCTGATTCCCTGGCTTAGGCTCAAGACGTATGCCAACTTCCCAGAAGCACCTCAGGAGGAGGCTTCTCTCAGCAATAGGTATGTGGGAGGGACCCCGAGTTTGCTGCCTCAAGGGGAATATACAGCGAGAAGCCCTAACTTGAAAGGAGGTCGGATTTCCTTGCAGTGGCTTGAATACAGGCTCGTCTTTCATCTCACAACATGAAGGGATGTCTGAATCCCCTGTGGAGACCTTAGAGAAAGCCCTAGGTGCCTGCCTCATTTTGCCGGAATGCCTCACATCCCGCTGACACCTCGAGAGGCACGCGGAGTTCATTGCTTCAAAAGGTGACGATGCCTGACTCCTCTTGAATACTGATAGGAATCCCAAAATCCCTGTGGCTACTGGAAAGGGTCCTTGGGTGCCCTGCCTCACCTCGAGAAGCGTCCCTTTTGCCCTGCCAAGCCTCGAAGAGATTCCTGAGTTGTCCCTCGTTACTAGACAGGAGTCCTGACGTCACTGAAGAAACTCGTGTTTTGAAGGGCCATCCCCGCCGTAAGTCGAGAGCATACCCCAGGTCCCCGCCGCAACTCGAGAAAAACCATGAGACTTCCCCCTAGAGGCGAGATGAGGCCCCTTTCCCCTGCAGTGCATGCAGAGCTATTCCGTGATCCCATTCAAACAAGTCAGGAGCTTCGACTTGCTTAATGGATCTCGAGACAGTCCCCAAGAACACTGTCACCAGTCTAGACGGATCCTGAGGTCACCCCAGCAACACAAAGCAGCTCCATGTGCCCCAAATCAACTCGAGATGAGGCCTGATTCCCCTGCATTGACTCCAGAGCCATTCCCCGTTCCCCATTCAACATGACCGGTGGCTTGGCTTCCTTCAGGCAACTCCAGAGATGCCCCGAGAACACTGTCCCAAGTCTAGAGGAAAACCAACTTCAGCACAGCAACTCGAGGAATGCTCCGTGTACCCCAAATCGTCTCGAGATGTGAGCTGATTCCCTGGCTTAGGCTCAAGACGTATGCCAACTTCCCAGAAGCACCTCAGGAGGAGGCTTCTCTCAGCAATAGGTATGTGGGATTGACCCCGAGTTTGCTGCCTCAAGGGGAATATACAGCGAGAAGCCCTAATTTGAAAGGAGGCCGGATTTCCTTGCAGTGGCTTGAATACAGGCTCGTCTTTCATCTCACAACATGAAGGGATGTCTGAATCCCCTGTGGAGACCTTAGAGAAAGCCCTAGGTCCCTGCCTCATTTTGACGGAATGCCTCACATCCCGTTGACACCTCGAGAGGCACGCGGAGTTCATTGCTTCAAAAGGTGATGATGCCTGACTCCTCTTGAATACTGATAGGAATCCCAAAATCCCTGTGGCTACTGGAAAGGGTCCTTGGGTGCCCTGCCTCACCTCGAGAAGCATCCCTTTTGCCCTGCCAAGCCTCGAAGAGATTCCTGAGTTGTCCCTCGTTACTAGACAGGAGTCCTGACGTCACTGAAGAAACTCGTGTTTTGAAGGGCCATCCCCGCCGTAAGTCGAGAACATACCCCAGGTCCCCGCCGCAACTCGAGAAAAACCATGAGACTTCCCCTTAGAGGCGAGATGAGGCCCCATTCCCCTGCAGTGCATGCAGAGCTATTCCGTGATCCCATTCAAACAAGTCAGGAGCTTCGACTTGCTTAATGGATCTCGAGACAGTCCCAAGAACACTGTCACCAGTCTAGACGGACACAGAGGTCACCCCAGCAACGCAAAGCAGCTCCATGTGCCCCAAATCAACTCGAGGTGAGGACCGATTCCCCTGCATTGACTCCAGAGCCATTCCCCGTTCCCAATTCAACACGACCGGTGGCTCGACTTCCTTCAGGCAACTCCAGAGATGCCCCGAGAACACTGTCCCAAGTCTAGAGGAACACCAACTTCAGCACAGCAACTCGAGGAATGCTCCGTGTACCCCAAATCGTCTCGAGATGAGAGCTGATTCCCTGGCTTAGGCTCAAGACGTATGCCAACTTCCCAGAAGCACCTCAGGAGCAGGCTTCTCTCAGCAATAGGTATGTGGGAGGGACCCCGAGTTTGCTGCCTCAAGGGGAATATACAGCGAGAAGCCCTAACTTGAAAGGAGGCCGGATTTCCTTGCAGTGGCTTGAATACAGGCTCGTCTTTCATCTCACAACATGAAGGGATGTCTGAATCCCCTGTGGAGACCTTAGAGAAAGCCCTAGGTCCCTGCCTCATTTTGACGGAATGCCTCACATCCCGCTGACACCTCGAGAGGCACGCGGAGTTCATTGCTTCAAAAGGTGACGATGCCTGACTCCTCTTGAATACTGATAGGAATCCCAAAATCCCTGTGGCTACTGGAAAGGGTCCTTGGGTGCCCTGCCTCACCTCGAGAAGCGTCCCTTTTGCCCTGCCAAGCCTCGAAGAGATTCCTGAGGTGTCCCTCGTTACTAGACAGGAGTCCTGACGTCACTGAAGAAACTCGTGTTTTGAAGGGCCATCCCCGCCGTAAGTCGAGAACATACCCCAGGTCCCCGCCGCAACTCGAGAAAAACCATGAGACTTCCCCCTAGAGGCGAGATGAGGCCCCATTCCCCTGCAGTGCATGCAGAGCTATTCCGTGATCCCATTCAAACAAGTCAGGAGCTTCGACTTGCTTAATGGATCTCGAGACAGTCCCCAAGAACACTGTCACCAGTCTAGACGGACCCTGAGGTCACCCCAGCAACGCAAAGCAGCTCCATGTGCCCCAAATCAACTCGAGGTGAGGACCGATTCCCCTGCATTGACTCCAGAGCCATTCCCCGTTCCCAATTCAACACGACCGGTGGCTCGACTTCCTTCAGGCAACTCCAGAGATGCCCCGAGAACACTGTCCCAAGTCTAGAGGAACACCAACTTCAGCACAGCAACTCGAGGAATGCTCCGTGTACCCCAAATCGCCTCGAGATGAGAGCTGATTCCCTGGCTTAGGCTCAAGACGTATGCCAACTTCCCAGAAGCACCTCAGGAGGAGGCTTCTCTCAGCAATAGGTATGTGGGAGGGACCCCGAGTTTGCTGCCTCAAGGGGAATATACAGCGAGAAGCCCTAACTTGAAAGGAGGCCGGATTTCCTTGCAGTGGCTTGAATACAGGCTCGTCTTTCATCTCACAACATGAAGGGATGTCTGAATCCCCTGTGGAGACCTTAGAGAAAGCCCTAGGTCCCTGCCTCATTTTGACGGAATGCCTCACATCCCGCTGACACCTCGAGAGGCACGCGGAGTTCATTGCTTCAAAAGGTGACGATGCCTGACTCGTCTTGGATACTGATAGGAATCCCAAAATCCCTGTGGCTACTGGAAAGGGTCCTTGGGTGCCCTGCCTCACCTCGAGAAGCGTCCCTTTTGCCCTGCCAAGCCTCGAAGATATTCCTGAGGTGTCCCTCGTTACTAGACAGGAGTCCTGACGTCACTGAAGAAACTCGTGTTTTGAAGGGCCATCCCCGCCGTAAGTCGAGAACATACCCCAGGTCCCCGCCGCAACTCGAGAAAAACCATGAGACTTCCCCCTAGAGGCGAGATGAGGCCCCATTCCCCTGCAGTGCATGCAGAGCTATTCCGTGATCCCATTCAAACAAGTCAGGAGCTTCGACTTGCTTAATGGATCTCGAGACAGTCCCCAAGAACACTGTCACCAGTCTAGGCGGACCCAGAGGTCACCCCAGCAACGCAAATCAGCTCCATGTGCCCCAAATCAACTCGAGGTGAGGCCCGATTCCCCTGCATTGACTCCAGAGCCATTCCCCGTTCCCCATTCAACACGACCGGTGGCTCGACTTCCTTCAGGCAACTCCAGAGATGCCCCGAGAACACTGTCCCAAGTCTAGAGGAACACGAACTTCAGCACAGCAACTCGAGGAATGCTCCGTGTACCCCAAATCGTCTCGAGATGAGAGCTGATTCCCTGGCTTAGGCTCAAGACGTATGCCAATTTCCCAGAAGCACCTCAGGAGGAGGCTTCTCTCAGCAACAGGTATGTGGGAGGGACCCCGAGTTTGCTGCCTCAAGGGGAATATACAGCGAGAAGCCCTAACTTGAAAGGAGGCCGGATTTCCTTGCAGTGGCTTGAATACAGGCTCGTCTTTCATCTCACAACATGAAGGGATGTCTGAATCCCCTGTGGAGACCTTAGAGAAAGCCCTAGGTGCCTGCCTCATTTTGACGGAATGCCTCACATCCCGCTGACACCTCGAGAGGCACGCGGAGTTCATTGCTTCAAAAGGTGACGATGCCTGACTCCTCTTGAATACTGATAGGAATCCCAAAATCCCTGTGGCTACTGGAAAGGGTCCTTGGGTGCCCTGCCTCACCTCGAGAAGCGTCCCTTTTGCCCTGCCAAGCCTCGAAGAGATTCCTGAGGTGTCCCTCGTTACTAGACAGGGGTCCTGACGTCACTGAAGAAACTCGTGTTTTGAAGGGCCATCCCCGCCGTAAGTCGAGAACATACCCCAGGTCCCCGCCGCAACTCGAGAAAAACCATGAGACTTCCCCTTAGAGGCGAGATGAGGCCCCATTCCCCTGCAGTGCATGCAGAGCTATTCCGTGATCCCATTCAAACAAGTCAGGAGCTTCGACTTGCTTAATGGATCTCGAGACAGTCCCCAAGAACACTGTCACCAGTCTAGACTGACCCAGAGGTCACCCCAGCAACGCAAAGCAGCTCCATGTGCCCCAAATCAACTCGAGGTGAGGACCGATTCCCCTGCATTGACTCCAGAGCCATTCCCCGTTCCCAATTCAACACGACCGGTGGCTCGACTTCCTTCAGGCAACTCCAGAGATGCCCCGAGAACACTGTCCCAAGTCTAGAGGAACACCAACTTCAGCACAGCAACTCGAGGAATGCTCCGTGTACCCCAAATCGTCTCGAGATGAGAGCTGATTCCCTGGCTTAGGCTCAAGACGTATGCCAACTTCCCAGAAGCACCTCAGGAGGAGGCTTCTCTCAGCAATAGGTATGTGGGAGGGACCCCGAGTTTGCTGCCTCAAGGGGAATATACAGCGAGAAGCCCTAACTTGAAAGGAGGCCGGATTTCCTTGCAGTGGCTTGAATACAGGCTCGTCTTTCATCTCACAACATGAAGGGATGTCTGAATCCCCTGTGGACACCTTAGAGAAAGCCCTAGGTCCCTGCCTCATTTTGACGGAATGCCTCACATCCCGCTGACACCTCGAGAGGCACGCGGAGTTCATTGCTTCAAAAGGTGACGATGCCTGACTCCTCTTGAATACTGATAGGAATCCCAAAATCCCTGTGGCTACTGGAAAGGGTCCTTGGGTGCCCTGCCTCACCTCGAGAAGCGTCCCTTTTGCCCTGCCAAGCCTCGAAGAGATTCCTGAGGTGTCCCTCGTTACTAGACAGGGGTCCTGACGTCACTGAAGAAACTCGTGTTTTGAAGGGCCATCCCCGCCGTAAGTCGAGAGCATACCCCAGGTCCCCGCCGCAACTCGAGAAAAACCATGAGACTTCCCCCTAGAGGCGAGATGAGGCCCCATTCCCCTGCAGTGCATGCAGAGCTATTCCGTGATCCCATTCAAACAAGTCAGGAGCTTCGACTTGCTTAATGGATCTCGAGACAGTCCCCAAGAACACTGTCACCAGTCTAGACGGACCCAGAGGTCACCCCAGCAACGCAAAGCAGCTCCATGTGCCCCAAATCAACTCGAGGTGAGGACCGATTCCCCTGCATTGACTCCAGAGCCATTCCCCGTTCCCAATTCAACACGACTGGTGGCTCGACTTCCTTCAGGCAACTCCAGAGATGCCCCGAGAACACTGTCCCAAGTCTAGAGGAACACCAACTTCAGCACAGCAACTCGAGGAATGCTCCGTGTACCCCAAATCGCCTCGAGATGAGAGCTGATTCCCTGGCTTAGGCTCAAGACGTATGCCAACTTCCCAGAAGCACCTCAGGAGGAGGCTTCTCTCAGCAATAGGTATGTGGGAGGGACCCCGAGTTTGCTGCCTCAAGGGGAATATACAGCGAGAAGCCCTAACTTGAAAGGAGGCCGGATTTCCTTGCAGTGGCTTGAATACAGGCTCGTCTTTCATCTCACAACATGAAGGGATGTCTGAATCCCCTGTGGAGACCTTAGAGAAAGCCCTAGGTCCCTGCCTCATTTTGACGGAATGCCTCACATCCCGCTGACACCTCGAGAGGCACGCGGAGTTCATTGCTTCAAAAGGTGACGATGCCTGACTCGTCTTGGATACTGATAGGAATCCCAAAATCCCTGTGGCTACTGGAAAGGGTCCTTGGGTGCCCTGCCTCACCTCGAGAAGCGTCCCTTTTGCCCTGCCAAGCCTCGAAGATATTCCTGAGGTGTCCCTCGTTACTAGACAGGAGTCCTGACGTCACTGAAGAAACTCGTGTTTTGAAGGGCCATCCCCGCCGTAAGTCGAGAACATACCCCAGGTCCCCGCCGCAACTCGAGAAAAACCATGAGACTTCCCCCTAGAGGCGAGATGAGGCCCCATTCCCCTGCAGTGCATGCAGAGCTATTCCGTGATCCCATTCAAACAAGTCAGGAGCTTCGACTTGCTTAATGGATCTCGAGACAGTCCCCAAGAACACTGTCACCAGTCTAGGCGGACCCAGAGGTCACCCCAGCAACGCAAATCAGCTCCATGTGCCCCAAATCAACTCGAGGTGAGGCCCGATTCCCCTGCATTGACTCCAGAGCCATTCCCCGTTCCCCATTCAACACGACCGGTGGCTCGACTTCCTTCAGGCAACTCCAGAGATGCCCCGAGAACACTGTCCCAAGTCTAGAGGAACACGAACTTCAGCACAGCAACTCGAGGAATGCTCCGTGTACCCCAAATCGTCTCGAGATGAGAGCTGATTCCCTGGCTTAGGCTCAAGACGTATGCCAATTTCCCAGAAGCACCTCAGGAGGAGGCTTCTCTCAGCAACAGGTATGTGGGAGGGACCCCGAGTTTGCTGCCTCAAGGGGAATATACAGCGAGAAGCCGAACTTGAAAGGAGGCCGGATTTCCTTGCAGTGGCTTGAATACAGGCTCGTCTTTCATCTCACAACATGAAGGGATGTCTGAATCCCCTGTGGAGACCTTAGAGAAAGCCCTAGGTGCCTGCCTCATTTTGATGGAATGCCTCACATCCCGCTGACACCTCGAGAGGCACGCGGAGTTCATTGCTTCAAAAGGTGACGATGCCTGACTCCTCTTGAATACTGATAGGAATCCCAAAATCCCTGTGGCTACTGGAAAGGGTCCTTGGGTGCCCTGCCTCACCTCGAGAAGCGTCCCTTTTGCCCTGCCAAGCCTCGAAGAGATTCCTGAGGTGTCCCTCGTTACTAGACAGGAGTCCTGACGTCACTGAAGAAACTCTTGTTTGAAGGGCCATCCCCGCCGTAAGTCGAGAACATAACCCAGGTCCCCGCCGCAACTCGAGAAAAACCATGAGACTTCCCCCTAGAGGCGAGATGAGGCCCCATTCCCCTGCAGTGCATGCAGAGCTATTCCGTGATCCCATTCAAACAAGTCAGGAGCTTCGACTTGCTTAATGGATCTCGAGACAGTCCCCAAGAACACTGTCACCAGTCTAGACGGACCGTGAGGTCACCCCAGCAATGCAAAGCAGCTCCATGTGCCCCAAATCAACTCGAGATGAGGCCCGATTCCCCTGCATTGACTCCAGAGCCATTCCTCGTTCCACATTCAACACGACCGGTGGCTCGACTTCCTTCAGGCAACTCCAGAGATGCCCCGAGAACACTCTCCCAAGTCTAGAGGAACACCAACTTCAGCACAGCAACTCGAGGAATGCTCCGTGTACCCCAAATCGTCTCGAGATGAGAGCTGATTCCCTGGCTTACGCTCAAGACGTATGCCAACTTCCCAGAAGCACCTCAGGAGGAGGCTTCTCTCAGCAATAGGTATGTGGGAGGGACCCCGAGTTTGCTGCCTCAAGGGGAATATACAGCGAGAAGCCCTAACTTGAAAGGAGGCCGGATTTCCTTGCAGTGGCTTGAATACAGGCTCGTCTTTCATCTCACAACATTAAGGGATGTCTGAATCCCCTGTGGAGACCTTAGAGAAAGCCCTAGGTCCCCGCCTCATTTTGACGCAATGACTCACATCCCGCTGACACCTCCAGAGGCACGCGGAGTTCATTGCTTCAGAAGGTGACGATGCCTGACTTCTCTTGAATACTGATAGGAATCCCAAAATCCCTGTGGCTACTGGAAAGGGTCCTTGGGTGCCCTGCCTCACCTCGAGAAGCGTCCCTTTTGCCCTGCCAAGCCTCGAAGAGATTCCTGAGGTGTCCCTCGTTACTAGACAGGAGTCCTGACGTCACTGAAGAAACTCGTGTTTTGAAGGGCCATCCCCGCCGTAAGTCGAGAACATACCCCAGGTCCCCGCCGCAACTCGAGAAAAACCATGAGACTTCCCCCTAGAGGCGAGATGAGGCCCCATTCCCCTGCAGTGCATGCAGAGCTATTCCGTGATCCCATTCAAACAAGTCAGGAGCTTCGACTTGCTTAATGGATCTCGAGACAGTCCCCAAGAACACTGTCACCAGTCTAGACGGACCCTGAGGTCACCCCAGCAACGCAAATCAGCTCCATGTGCCCCAAATCAACTCGAGATGAGGCCCGATTCCCCTGCCTTGACTCCAGAGCCATTCCCCGTTCCCCGTTCAACACGACCGGTGGCTCGACTTTCTTCAGGCAACTCCAGAGATGCCCCGAGAACACTGTCCCAAGTCTAGAGGAACACCAACTTCAGCACAGCAACTCGAGGAATGCTCCGTGTACCCCAAATCGTCTCGAGATGAGAGCTGATTCCCTGGCTTAGGCTCAAGACGTATGCCAACTTCCCAGAAGCACCTCAGGAGGAGGCTTCTCTCAGCAATAGGTATGTGGGAGGGACCCCGAGTTTGCTGCCTCAAGGGGAATATACAGCGAGAAGCCCTAACTTGAAAGGAGGCCGGATTTCCTTGCAGTGGCTTGAATACAGGCTCGTCTTTCATCTCACAACATGAAGGGATGTCTGAATCCCCTGTGGAGACCTTAGAGAAAGCCCTAGGTCCCTGCCTCATTTTGACGGAATGCCTCACATCCCGTTGACACCTCGAGAGGCACGCGGAGTCCATTGCTTCAAAAGGTGATGATGCCTGACTCCTCTTGAATACTGATAGGAATCCCAAAATCCCTGTGGCTACTGGAAAGGGTCCTTGGGTGCCCTGCCTCACCTCGAGAAGCGTCCCTTTTGCCCTGCCAAGCCTCGAAGAGATTCCTGAGGTGTCCCTCGTTACTAGACAGGAGTCCTGACGTCACTGAAGAAACTCGTGTTTTGAAGGGCCATCCCCGCCGTAAGTCGAGAACATACCCCAGGTCCCCGCCGCAACTCGAGAAAAACCATGAGACTTCCCCCTAGAGGCGAGATGAGGCCCCATTCCCCTGCAGTGCATGCAGAGCTATTCCGTGATCCCATTCAAACAAGTCAGGAGCTTCGACTTGCTTAATGGATCTCGAGACAGTCCCCAAGAACACTGTCACCAGTCTAGGCGGACCCAGAGGTCACCCCAGCAACGCAAATCAGCTCCATGTGCCCCAAATCAACTCGAGGTGAGACCCGATTCCCCTGCATTGACTCCAGAGCCATTCCCCGTTCCCCATTCAACACGACCGGTGGCTCGACCTCCTTCAGGCAACTCCAGAGATGCCCCGAGAACACTGTCCCAAGTGTAGAGGAACACCAACTTCAGCACAGCAACTCGAGGAATGCTCCGTGTACCCCAAATCGTCTCGAGATGAGAGCTGATTCCCTGGCTTAGGCTCAAGACGTATGCCAATTTCCCAGAAGCACCTCAGGAGGAGGCTTCTCTCAGCAACAGGTATGTGGGAGGGACCCCGAGGTTGCTGCCTCAAGGGGAATATACAGCGAGAAGCCCTAACTTGAAAGGAGGCCGGATTTCCTTGCAGTGGCTTGAATACAGGCTCGTCTTTCATCTCACAACATGAAGGGATGTCTGAATCCCCTGTGGAGACCTTAGAGAAAGCCCTAGGTGCCTGCCTCATTTTGACGGAATGCCTCACATCCCGCTGACACCTCGAGAGGCACGCAGAGTTCATTGCTTCAAAAGGTGACGATGCCTGACTCCTCTTGAATACTGATAGGAATCCCAAAATCCCTGTGGCTACTGGAAAGGGTCCTTGGGTGCCCTGCCTCACCTCGAGAAGCGTCCCTTTTGCCCTGCCAAGCCTCGAAGAGATTCCTGAGGTGTCCCTCGTTACTAGACAGGAGTCCTGACGTCACTGAAGACACTCTTGTTTGAAGGGCCATCCCCGCCGTAAGTCGAGAACATAACCCAGGTCCCCGCCGCAACTCGAGAAAAACCATGAGACTTCCCCCTAGAGGCGAGATGAGGCCCCATTCCCCTGCAGTGCATGCAGAGCTATTCCGTGATCCCATTCAAACAAGTCAGGAGCTTCGACTTGCTTAATGGATCTCGAGACAGTCCCCAAGAACACTGTCACCAGTCTAGACGGACCGTGAGGTCACCCCAGCAATGCAAAGCAGCTCCATGTGCCCCAAATCAACTCGAGATGAGGCCCGATTCCCCTGCATTGACTCCAGAGCCATTCCTCGTTCCAAATTCAACACGACCGGTGGCTCGACTTCCTTCAGGCAACTCCAGAGATGCCCCGAGAACACTCTCCCAAGTCTAGAGGAACACCAAATTCAGCACAGCAACTCGAGGAATGCTCCGTGTACCCCAAATCGTCTCGAGATGAGAGCTGATTCCCTGGCTTACGCTCAAGACGTATGCCAACTTCCCAGAAGCACCTCAGGAGGAGGCTTCTCTCAGCAATAGGTATGTGGGAGGGACCCCGAGTATGCTGCCTCAAGGGGAATATACAGCGAGAAGCCCTAACTTGAAAGGAGGCCGGATTTCCTTGCAGTGGCTTGAATACAGGCTCGTCTTTCATCTCACAACATGAAGGGATGTCTGAATCCCCTGTGGAGACCTTAGAGAAAGCCCTAGGTCCCCGCCTCATTTTGACGCAATGACTCACATCCCGCTGACACCTCCAGAGGCACGCGGAGTTCATTGCTTCAGAAGGTGACGATGCCTGACTTCTCTTGAATACTGATAGGAATCCCAAAATCCCTGTGGCTACTGGAAAGGGTCCTTGGGTGCCCTGCCTCACCTCGAGAAGCGTCCCTTTTGCCCTGCCAAGCCTCGAAGAGATTCCTGAGGTGTCCCTCGTTACTAGACAGGAGTCCTGACGTCACTGAAGAAACTCGTGTTTTGAAGGGCCATCCCCGCCGTAAGTCGAGAACATACCCCAGGTCCCCGCCGCAACTCGAGAAAAACCATGAGACTTCCCCCTAGAGGCGAGATGAGGCCCCATTCCCCTGCAGTGCATGCAGAGCTATTCCGTGATCCCATTCAAACAAGTCAGGAGCTTCGACTTGCTTAATGGATCTCGAGACAGTCCCCAAGAACACTGTCACCAGTCTAGACGGACCCTGAGGTCACCCCAGCAACGCAAATCAGCTCCATGTGCCCCAAATCAACTCGAGATGAGGCCCGATTCCCCTGCCTTGACTCCAGAGCCATTCCCCGTTCCCCGTTCAACACGACCGGTGGCTCGACTTTCTTCAGGCAACTCCAGAGATGCCCCGAGAACACTGTCCCAAGTCTAGAGGAACACCAACTTCAGCACAGCAACTCGAGGAATGCTCCGTGTACCCCAAATCGTCTCGAGATGAGAGCTGATTCCCTGGCTTAGGCTCAAGACGTATGCCAACTTCCCAGAAGCACCTCAGGAGGAGGCTTCTCTCAGCAATAGGTATGTGGGAGGGACCCCGAGTTTGCTGCCTCAAGGGGAATATACAGCGAGAAGCCCTAACTTGAAAGGAGGCCGGATTTCCTTGCAGTGGCTTGAATACAGGCTCGTCTTTCATCTCACAACATGAAGGGATGTCTGAATCCCCTGTGGAGACCTTAGAGAAAGCCCTAGGTGCCTGCCTCATTTTGCCGGAATGCCTCACATCCCGCTGACACCTCGAGAGGCACGCGGAGTTCATTGCTTCAAAAGGTGACGATGCCTGACTCCTCTTGAATACTGATAGGAATCCCAAAATCCCTGTGGCTACTGGAAAGGGTCCTTGGGTGCCCTGCCTCACCTCGAGAAGCGTCCCTTTTGCCCTGCCAAGCCTCGAAGAGATTCCTGAGGTGTCCCTCGTTACTAGACAGGAGTCCTGACGTCACTGAAGAAACTCGTGTTTTGAAGGGCCATCCCCGCCGTAAGTCGAGAGCATACCCCAGGTCCCCGCCGCAACTCGAGAAAAACCATGAGACTTCCCCCTAGAGGCGAGATGAGACCCATTCCCCTGCAGTGCATGCAGAGCTATTCCGTGATCCCATTCAAACAAGTCAGGAGCTTCGACTTGCTTAATGGATCTCGAGACAGTCCCCAAGAACACTGTCACCAATCTAGACGGATCCTGAGGTCATCCCAGCAACACAAAGCAGCTCCATGTGCCCCAAATCAACTCGAGATGAGGCCTGATTCCCCTGCATTGACTCCAGAGCCATTCCCCGTTCCCCATTCAACATGACCGGTGGCTTGACTTCCTTCAGGCAACTCCAGAGATGCCCCGAGAACACTGTCCCAAGTCTAGAGGAAAACCAACTTCAGCACAGCAACTCGAGGAATGCTCCGTGTACCCCAAATCGTCTCGAGATGAGAGCTGATTCCCTGGCTTAGGCTCAAGACGTATGCCAACTTCCCAGAAGCACCTCAGGAGGAGGCTTCTCTCAGCAATAGGTATGTGGGAGGGACCCCGAGTTTGCTGCCTCAAGGGGAATATACAGCGAGAAGCCCTAATTTGAAAGGAGGCCGGATTTCCTTGCAGTGGCTTGAATACAGGCTCGTCTTTCATCTCACAACATGAAGGGATGTCTGAATCCCCTGTGGAGACCTTAGAGAAAGCCCTAGGTCCCTGCCTCATTTTGACGGAATGCCTCACATCCCGTTGACACCTCGAGAGGCACGCGGAGTTCATTGCTTCAAAAGGTGATGATGCCTGACTCCTCTTGAATACTGATAGGAATCCCAAAATCCCTGTGGCTACTGGAAAGGGTCCTTGGGTGCCCTGCCTCACCTCGAGAAGCGTCCCTTTTGCCCTGCCAAGCCTCGAAGAGATTCCTGAGGTGTCCCTCGTTACTAGACAGGAGTCCTGACGTCACTGAAGAAACTCGTGTTTTGAAGGTCCATCCCCGCCGTAAGTCGAGAACATACCCCAGGTCCCCGCCGCAACTCGAGAAAAACCATGAGACTTCCCCTTAGAGGCGAGATGAGGCCCCATTCCCCTGCAGTGCATGCAGAGCTATTCCGTGATCCCATTCAAACAAGTCAGGAGCTTCGACTTGCTTAATGGATCTCGAGACAGTCCCCAAGAACACTGTCACCAGTCTAGACTGACCCAGAGGTCACCCCAGCAACGCAAAGCAGCTCCATGTGCCCCAAATCAACTCGAGGTGAGGACCGATTCCCCTGCATTGACTCCAGAGCCATTCCCTGTTCCCAATTCAACACGACCGGTGGCTCGACTTCCTTCAGGCAACTCCAGAGATGCCCCGAGAACACTGTCTCAAGTCTAGAGGAACACCAACTTCAGCACAGCAACTCGAGGAATGCTCCGTGTACCCCAAATCATCTCGAGATGAGAGCTGATTCCCTGGCTTAGGCTCAAGACGTATGCCAACTTCCCAGAAGCACCTCAGGAGGAGGCTTCTCTCAGCAATAGGTATGTGGGAGGGAACCCGAGTTTGCTGCCTCAAGGGGAATATACAGCGAGAAGCCCTAACTTGAAAGGAGGCCGGATTTCCTTGCAGTGGCTTGAATACAGGCTCGTCTTTCATCTCACAACATGAAGGGATGTCTGAATCCCCTGTGGAGACCTTAGAGAAAGCCCTAGGTCCCTGCCTCATTTTGACGGAATGCCTCACATCCCGCTGACACCTCGAGAGGCACGCGGAGTTCATTGCTTCAAAAGGTGACGATGCCTGACTCCTCTTGAATACTGATAGGAATCCCAAAATCCCTGTGGCTACTGGAAAGGGTCCTTGGGTGCCCTGCCTCACCTCGAGAAGCGTCCCTTTTGCCCTGCCAAGCCTCGAAGAGATTCCTGAGGTGTCCCTCGTTACTAGACAGGAGTCCTGACGTCACTGAAGAAACTCGTGTTTTGAAGGGCCATCCCCGCCGTAAGTCGAGAACATACCCCAGGTCCCCGCCGCAACTCGAGAAAAACCATGAGACTTCCCCCTAGAGGCGAGATGAGGCCCCATTCCCCTGCAGTGCATGCAGAGCTATTCCGTGATCCCATTCAAACAAGTCAGGAGCTTCGACTTGCTTAATGGATCTCGAGACAGTCCCCAAGAACACTGTCACCAGTCTAGACGGACCCTGAGGTCACCCCAGCAATGCAAAGCAGCTCCATGTGCCCCAAATCAACTCGAGGTGAGGCCCGATTCCCCTGCATTGACTCCAGAGCCATTCCCCGTTCCCCATTCAACACGACCGGTGGCTCGACTTCCTTCAGGCAACTCCAGAGATGCCCCGAGAACACTGTCCCAAGTCTAGAGGAACACCAACTTCAGCACAGAAACTCGAGGAATGCTCCGTGTACCCCAAATCTTCTCGAGATGTGAGCTGATTCCCTGGCTTAGGCTCAAGACGTATGCCAACTTCCCAGAAGCACCTCAGGAGGAGGCTTCTCTCAGCAATAGGTATGTGGGAGGGACCCCGAGTTTGCTGCCTCAAGGGGAATATACAACGAGAAGCCCTAACTTGAAAGGAGGCCGGATTTCCTTGCAGAGGCTTGAATACAGGCTCGTCTTTCATCTCACAACATGAAGGGATGTCTGAATCCCCTGTGGAGACCTTAGAGAAAGCCCTAGGTGCCTGCCTCATTTTGACGGAATGCCTCACATCCCGCTGACACCTCGAGAGGCACGCGGAGTTCATTGCTTCAAAAGGTGACGATGCCTGACTCCTCTTGAATACTGATAGGAATCCCAAAATCCCTGTGGCTACTGGAAAGGGTCCTTGGGTGCCCTGCCTCACCTCGAGAAGCGTCCCTTTTGCCCTGCCAAGCCTCGAAGAGATTCCTGAGGTGTCCCTCGTTACTAGACAGTAGTCCTGACGTCACTGAAGAAACTCGTGTTTTGAAGGGCCATCCCCGCCGTAAGTCGAGAACATACCCCAGGTCCCCGCCGCAACTCGAGAAAAACCATGAGACTTCCCCCTAGAGGCGAGATGAGGCCCCATTCCCCTGCAGTGCATGCAGAGCTATTCCGTGATCCCATTCAAACAATTCAGGAGCTTCGACTTGCTTAATGGATCTCGAGACAGTCCCCAGGAACACTGTCACCAGTCTAGATGGACCCTGAGGTCACCCCAGCAACGCAAAGCAGCTCCATGTGCCCCAAATCAACTCGAGATGAGGCCTGATTCCCCTGCATTGACTCCAGTGCCATTCCCCGTTCCCCATTCAACACGACTGGTGGCTCGACTTCCTTCAGGCAACTCCAGAGATTCCCCGAGAACACTGTCCCAAGTCTAGAAGAACACCAACATCAGCACAGCAACTCGAGGAATGTTCCGTGTACCCCAAATCGTCTCGAGATGAGAGCTGATTCCCTGGCTTAGGCTCAAGACGTATGCCAACTTCCCAGAAGCACCTCAGGAGGAGGCTTCTCTCAGCAATAGGTATGTGGGAGGGACCCCGAGTTTGCTGCCTCAAGGGGAATATACAGCGAGAAGCCCTAACTTGAAAGGAGGCCGGATTTCCTTGCAGTGGCTTGAATACAGGCTCGTCTTTCATCTCACAACATGAAGGGATGTCTGAATCCCCTGTGGAGACCTTAGAGAAAGCCCTAGGTCCCTGCCTCATTTTGACGGAATGCCTCACATCCCGCTGACACCTCGAGAGGCACGCGGAGTTCATTGCTTCAAAAGGTGACGATGCCTGACTCGTCTTGGATACTGATAGGAATCCCAAAATCCCTGTGGCTACTGGAAAGGGTCCTTGGGTGCCCTGCCTCACCTCGAGAAGCGTCCCTTTTGCCCTGCCAAGCCTCGGAGATATTCCTGAGGTGTCCCTCGTTACTAGACAGGAGTCCTGACGTCACTGAAGAAACTCGTGTTTTGAAGGGCCATCCCCGCCGTAAGTCGAGAACATACCCCAGGTCCCCGCCGCAACTCGAGAAAAACCATGAGACTTCCCCCTAGAGGCGAGATGAGGCCCCATTCCCCTGCAGTGCATGCAGAGCTATTCCGTGATCCCATTCAAACAAGTCAGGAGCTTCGACTTGCTTAATGGATCTCGAGACAGTCCCCAAAAACACTGTCACCAGTCTAGGCGGACCCAGAGGTCACCCCAGCAACGCAAATCAGCTCCATGTGCCCCAAATCAACTCGAGGTGAGGCCCGATTCCCCTGCATTGACTCCAGAGCCATTCCCCGTTCCCCATTCAACACGACCGGTGGCTCGACTTCCTTCAGGCAACTCCAGAGATGCCCCGAGAACACTGTCCCAAGTCTAGAGGAACACGAACTTCAGCACAGCAACTCGAGGAATGCTCCGTGTACCCCAAATCGTCTCGAGATGAGAGCTGATTCCCTGGCTTAGGCTCAAGACGTATGCCAATTTCCCAGAAGCACCTCAGGAGGAGGCTTCTCTCAGCAACAGGTATGTGGGAGGGACCCCGAGTTTGCTGCCTCAAGGGGAATATACAGCGAGAAGCCCTAACTTGAAAGGAGGCCGGATTTCCTTGCAGTGGCTTGAATACAGGCTCGTCTTTCATCTCACAACATGAAGGGATGTCTGAATCCCCTGTGGAGACCTTAGAGAAAGCCCTAGGTGCCTGCCTCATTTTGATGGAATGCCTCACATCCCGCTGACACCTCGAGAGGCACGCGGAGTTCATTGCTTCAAAAGGTGACGATGCCTGACTCCTCTTGAATACTGATAGGAATCCCAAAATCCCTGTGGCTACTGGAAAGGGTCCTTGGGTGCCCTGCCTCACCTCGAGAAGCGTCCCTTTTGCCCTGCCAAGCCTCGAAGAGATTCCTGAGGTGTCCCTCGTTACTAGACAGGAGTCCTGACGTCACTGAAGAAACTCTTGTTTGAAGGGCCATCCCCGCCGTAAGTCGAGAACATAACCCAGGTCCCCGCCGCAACTCGAGAAAAACCATGAGACTTCCCCCTAGAGGCGAGATGAGGCCCCATTCCCCTGCAGTGCATGCAGAGCTATTCCGTGATCCCATTCAAACAAGTCAGGAGCTTCGACTTGCTTAATGGATCTCGAGACAGTCCCCAAGAACACTGTCACCAGTCTAGACGGACCGTGAGGTCACCCCAGCAATGCAAAGCAGCTCCATGTGCCCCAAATCAACTCGAGATGAGGCCCGATTCCCCTGCATTGACTCCAGAGCCATTCCTCGTTCCACATTCAACACGACCGGTGGCTCGACTTCCTTCAGGCAACTCCAGAGATGCCCCGAGAACACTCTCCCAAGTCTAGAGGAACACCAACTTCAGCACAGCAACTCGAGGAATGCTCCGTGTACCCCAAATCGTCTCGAGATGAGAGCTGATTCCCTGGCTTACGCTCAAGACGTATGCCAACTTCCCAGAAGCACCTCAGGAGGAGGCTTCTCTCAGCAATAGGTATGTGGGAGGGACCCCGAGTTTGCTGCCTCAAGGGGAATATACAGCGAGAAGCCCTAACTTGAAAGGAGGCCGGATTTCCTTGCAGTGGCTTGAATACAGGCTCGTCTTTCATCTCACAACATGAAGGGATGTCTGAATCCCCTGTGGAGACCTTAGAGAAAGCCCTAGGTCCCCGCCTCATTTTGACGCAATGACTCACATCCCGCTGACACCTCCAGAGGCACGCGGAGTTCATTGCTTCAGAAGGTGACGATGCCTGACTTCTCTTGAATACTGATAGGAATCCCAAAATCCCTGTGGCTACTGGAAAGGGTCCTTGGGTGCCCTGCCTCACCTCGAGAAGCGTCCCTTTTGCCCTGCCAAGCCTCGAAGAGATTCCTGAGGTGTCCCTCGTTACTAGACAGGAGTCCTGACGTCACTGAAGAAACTCGTGTTTTGAAGGGCCATCCCCGCCGTAAGTCGAGAACATACCCTAGGTCCCCGCCGCAACTCGAGAAAAACCATGAGACTTCCCCCTAGAGGCGAGATGAGGCCCCATTCCCCTGCAGTGCATGCAGAGCTATTCCGTGATCCCATTCAAACAAGTCAGGAGCTTCGACTTGCTTAATGGATCTCGAGACAGTCCCCAAGAACACTGTCACCAGTCTAGACGGACCCTGAGGTCACCCCAGCAACGCAAATCAGCTCCATGTGCCCCAAATCAACTCGAGATGAGGCCCGATTCCCCTGCCTTGACTCCAGAGCCATTCCCCGTTCCCCGTTCAACACGACCGGTGGCTCGACTTTCTTCAGGCAACTCCAGAGATGCCCCGAGAACACTGTCCCAAGTCTAGAGGAACACCAACTTCAGCACAGCAACTCGAGGAATGCTCCGTGTACCCCAAATCGTCTCGAGATGAGAGCTGATTCCCTGGCTTAGGCTCAAGACGTATGCCAACTTCCCAGAAGCACCTCAGGAGGAGGCTTCTCTCAGCAATAGGTATGTGGGAGGGACCCCGAGTTTGCTGCCTCAAGGGGAATATACAGCGAGAAGCCCTAACTTGAAAGGAGGCCGGATTTCCTTGCAGTGGCTTGAATACAGGCTCGTCTTTCATCTCACAACATGAAGGGATGTCTGAATCCCCTGTGGAGACCTTAGAGAAAGCCCTAGGTCCCCGCCTCATTTTGACGCAATGCCTCACATCCCGCTGAAACCTCGAGAGGCACGCGGAGTTCATTTCTTCAGAGGTGACGATGCCTGACTTCTCTTGAATACTGATAGGAATCCCAAAATCCCTGTGGCTACTGGAAAGGGTCCTTGGGTGCCCTGCCTCACCTCGAGAAGCGTCCCTTTTGCCCTGCCAAGCCTCGAAGAGATTCCTGAGGTGTCCCTCGTTACTAGACAGGAGTCCTGACGTCACTGAAGAAACTCGTGTTTTGAAGGGCCATCCCCGCCGTAAGTCGAGAACATACCCCAGGTCCCCGCCGCAACTCGAGAAAAACCATGAGACTTCCCCCTAGAGGCGAGATGAGGCCCCATTCCCCTGCAGTGCATGCAGAGCTATTCCGTGATCCCATTCAAACAAGTCAGGAGCTTCGACTTGCTTAATGGATCTCGAGACAGTCCCCAAGAACACTGTCACCAGTCTAGACGGACCCTGAGGTCACCCCAGCAACGCAAAGCAGCTCCATGTGCCCCAAATCAACTCGAGATGAGGCCTGATTCCCCTGCATTGACTCCAGAGCCATTCCCCGTTCCCCATTCAACACGACTGGTGGCTCGACTTCCTTCAGGCAACTCCAGAGATTCCCCGAGAACACTGTCCCAAATCTAGAAGAACACCAACATCAGCACAGCAAATCGAGGAATGCTCCGTGTACCCCAAATCGTCTCGAGATGAGAGCTGATTCCCTGGCTTAGGCTCAAGACGTATGCCAACTTCCCAGAAGCACCTCAGGAGGAGGCTTCTCTCAGCAATAGGTATGTGGGTGGGACCCCGAGTTTGCTGCCTCAAGGGGAATATACAGCGAGAAGCCCTAACTTGAAAGGAGGCCGGATTTCCTTGCAGTGGCTTGAATACAGGTTCGTCTTTCATCTCACAACATGAAGGGATGTCTGAATCCCCTGTGGAGACCTTAGAGAAAGCCCTAGGTGCCTGCCTCATTTTGACGGAATGCCTCACATCCCGCTGACACCTCGAGAGGCACGCGGAGTTCATTGCTTCAAAAGGTGACGATGCCTGACTCCTCTTGAATACTGATAGGAATCCCAAAATCCCTGTGGCTACTGGAAAGGGTCCTTGGGTGCCCTGCCTCACCTCGAGAAGCGTCCCTTTTGCCCTGCCAAGCCTCGAAGAGATTCCTGAGGTGTCCCTCGTTACTTGACAGGAGTCCTGACGTCACTGAAGAAACTCGTGTTTTGAAGGGCCATCCCCGCCGTAAGTCGAGAACGTACCCCAGGTCCCCGCCGCAACTCGAGAAAAACCATGAGACTTCCCCTTAGAGGCGAGATGAGGCCCCATTCCCCTGCAGTGCATGCAGAGCTATTCCGTGATCCCATTCAAACAAGTCAGGAGCTTCGACTTGCTTAATGGATCTCGAGACAGTCCCAAAGAACACTGTCACCAGTCTAGACGGACACTGAGGTCACCCCAGCAACGCAAAGCAGCTCCATGTGCCCCAAATCAACTCGAGGTGAGGACCGATTCCCCTGCATTGACTCCAGAGCCATTCCCCGTTCCCCATTCAACACGACCGGTGGCTCGACTTCCTTCAGGCAACTCCAGAGATGCCCCGAGAACCCTGTCCCAAGTCTAGAGGAACACCAACTTCAGCACAGCAACTCGAGGAATGCTCCGTGTACCCCAAATCGTCTCGAGATGAGAGCTGATTCCCTGGCTTAGGCTCAAGACGTATGCCAACTTCAGAGAAGCACCTCAGGAGGAGGCTTCTCTCAGCAATAGGTATGAGGGAGGGACCCCGAATTTGCTGCCTCAAGGGCAATATACAGCGAGAAGCCCTAACTTGAAAGGAGGCCGGATTTCCTTGCAGTGGCTTGAATACAGGCTCGCCTTTCATCTCAAAACATGAAGGGATATCTGAATCCCCTGTGGAGACCTTAGAGAAAGCCCTAGGTGCCTGCCTCATTTTGACGGAATGCCTCACATCCCGCTGACACCTCGAGAGGCACGATAGTTCATTGCTTCAAAAGGTGACGATGCCTGACTCCTCTTGAATACTGATAGGAATCCCAAAATCCCTGTGGCTACTGGAAAGGGTCCTTGGGTGCCCTGCCTCACCTCGAGAAGCGTCCCTTTTGCCCTGCCAAGCCTCGAAGAGATTCCTGAGGTGTCCCTCGTTACTAGACAGGAGTCCTGACGTCACTGAAGAAACTCGTGTTTTGAAGGATCATCCCCGCCGTACGTCGAGAACATACCCCAGGTCCCCGCCGCAACTCGAGAAAAACCATGAGACTTCCCCCTAGAGCCGAGATGAGACCCATTCCCCTGCAGTGCATGCAGAGCTATTCCGTGATCCCATTCAAACAAGTCAGGAGCTTCGAATTGCTTAATGGATCTCGAGAGAGTCCCCAAGAACACTGTCACCAGTCTAGACGGACCCTGAGCTCACCCCAGCAACGCAAAGCAGCTCCATGTGCCCCAAATCAACTCGAGATGAGGCCCGATTCCCCTGCATTGACTCCAGAGCCATTCCCCGTTCCCCATTCAACACGACCGGTGGCTCGACTTCCTTCAGGCAACTCCAGAGATGCCCCGAGAACACTGTCCCAAGTCTAGAGGAACACTAACTTCAGCACAGCAACTCGAGGAATGCTCCGTGTACCCCAAATCGTCTCGAGATGAGAGCTGATTCCCTGGCTTAGGCTCAAGACGTATGCCAACTTCCCAGAAGCACCTCAGGAGGAGGCTTCTCTCAGCAATAGGTATGTGGGTGGGACCCTGAGTTTGCTGCCTAAAGGGGAATATACAGCGAGAAGCCCTAACTTGAAAGGAGGCCGGATTTCCTTGCAGTGGCTTGAATACAGGCTCGTCTTTCATCTCACAACATGAAGGGTGTCTGAATCCCCTGTGGAGACCTTAGAGAAAGCCCTAGGTCCCTGCCTCATTTTGACGGAATGCCTCACATTCCGCTGACACCTCGAGAGGCACGCGGAGTTCATTGCTTCAAAAGGTGACGATGCCTGACTCCTCTTGAATACTGATAGGAATCCCAAAATCCCTGTGGCTACTGGAAAGGGTCCTTGGGTGCCCTGCCTCACCTCGAGAAGCGTCCCTTTTGCCCTGCCAAGCCTCGAAGAGATTCCTGAGGTGTCCCTCGTTACTAGACAGGAGTCCTTACGTCACTGAAGAAACTCGTGTTTTGAAGGGCCATCCCCGCCGTAAGTCGAGAACATACCCCAGGTCCCCGCCGCAACTCGAGAAAAACCATGAGACTTCCCCCTAGAGGCGAGATGAGGCCCCATTCCCCTGCAGTGCATGCAGAGCTATTCCGTGATCCCATTCAAACAAGTCAGGAGCTTCGACTTGCTTAATGGATCTCGAGACAGTCCCCAAGAACACTGTCACCAGTCTAGACGGACCCTGAGGTCACCCCAGCAACGCAAAGCAGCTCCATGTGCCCCAGATCAACTCAAGATGAGGCCCGATTCCCCTGCATTGACTCCAGAGCCATTCCCCGTTCCCCATTCAACAGGACCGGTGGCTCGACTTCCTTCAGGCAACTCCAGAGATGCCCCGAGAACACTGTCCCAAGTCTAGAGGAACACCAACTTCAGCACAGCAACTCGAGGAATGCTCCGTGTACCCCAAATCGTCTCGAGATGAGAGCTGATTCCCTGGCTTAGGCTCAAGACGTATGCCAACTTCCCAGAAGGACCTCAGGAGGAGGCTTCTCTCAGCAATAGGTATGTGGGAGGGACCCCGAGTTTGCTGCCTCAAGGGCAATATACAGTGAGAAGCCCTAACTTGAAAGGAGGCCGGATTTCCTTGCAGGGGCTTGAATACAGGCTCGTCTTTCATCTCACAACATGAAGGGATGTCTGAATCCCCTGTGGAGACCTTAGAGAAAGCCGTAGGTCCCTGCCTCATTTTGACGGAATGCCTCACATCCCGCTGACACCTCGAGAGGCACGCGGAGTTCATTGCTTCAAAAGGTGACGATGCCTGACTCCTCTTGAATACTGATAGGAATCCCAAAATCCCTGTGGCTACTGGAAAGGGTCCTTGGGTGCCCTGCCTCACCTCGAGAAGCGTCCCTTTTGCCCTGCCAAGCCTCGAAGAGATTCCTGAGGTGTCCCTCGTTACTAGACAGGAGTCCTGACGTCACTGAAGAAACTCGTGTTTTGAAGGGCCATCCCCGCCGTAAGTCGAGAACATACCCCAGGTCCCCGCCGCAACTCGAGAAAAACCATGAGACTTCCCCCTAGAGGCGAGATGAGACCCATTCCCCTGCAGTGCATGCAGAGCTATTCCGTGATCATATTCAAACAAGTCAGGAGCTTCGACTTGCTTAATGGATCTCGAGACAGTCCCCAAGAACACTGTCACCAGTCTAGACGGACACTGAGGTCACCCCAGCAAAGCAAAGCAGCTCCGTGTGCCCCAAATCAACTCGAGATGAGGCCCGATTCCCCTGCATTGACTCCAGAGCCATTCCCCGTTCCCCATTCAACACGACCGGTGGCTCAACTTCCTTCAGGCAACTCCAGAGATGCCCCGAGAACACTGTCCCAAGTCTAGAGGAACACCAACTTCAGCACAGGAACTCAAGGAATGCTCCGTGTACCACAAATCGTCTCGAGATGAGAGCTGATTCCCTGGCTTAGGCTCAAGACGTACGCCAACTTCCCAGAAGCACCTCAGGAGGAGGCTTCTCTCAGCAATAGGTATGTGGGAGGGACCCCGAGTTTGCTGCCTCAAGGGGAATATACAGCGAGAAGCCCTAACTTGAAAGGAGGCCGGATTTCCTTGCAGTGGCTTGAATACAGGCTCGTCTTTCATCTCACAACATGAAGGGATGTCTGAATCCCCTGTGGAGAACTAAGAGAAAGCCCTAGGTCCCTGCCTCATTTTGACTGAATGCCTCACATCCCGCTGACACCTCGAGAGGCACGCGGAGTTCATTGCTTCAAAAGGTGACGATGCCTAACTCGTCTTGAATACTGATAGGAATCCCAAAATCCCTGTGGCTACTGGAAAGGGTCCTTGGGTGCCCTGCCTCACCTCGAGAAGCGTCCCTTTTGCCCTGCCAAGCCTCGAAGAGATTCCTGAGGTGTCCCTCGTTACTAGACAGGAGTCCTGACGTCACTGAAGAAACTCGTGTTTTGAAGGGCCATCCCCGCCGTAAGTCGAGAACATACCCCAGGTCCCCGCCGCAACTCGAGAAAAACCATGAGACTTCCCCCTAGAGGCGAGATGAGGCCCCATTCCCCTGCAGTGCATGCAGAGCTATTCCGTGATCCCATTCAAACAAGTCAGGAGCTTCGACTTGCTTAATGGATCTCGAGACAGTCCCCAAGAACACTGTCACCAGTCTAGACGGACCCTGAGGTCACCCCAGCAACGCAAAGCAGCTCCATGTGCCCCAAATCAACTCGAGATGAGGCCCGACTCCCCTGCATTGACTCCAGAGCCATTCCCCGTTCCCCATTCAACACGACCGGTGGCTCGACTTCCTTCAGGCAACTCCAGAGATGCCCCGAGAACACTGTCCCAAGTCTAGAGGAACACCAACTTCAGCACAGCAACTCGAGGAATGCTCCGTGTACCCCAAATCGTCTCGAGATGAGAGCTGATTCCCTGGCTTAGGCTCAAGACGTATGCCAACTTCCCAGAAGGACCTCAGGAGGAGGCTTCTCTCAGCAATAGGTATGTGGGAGGGACCCCGAGTTTGCTGCCTCAAGGGCAATATACAGTGAGAAGCCCTAACTTGAAAGGAGGCCGGATTTCCTTGCAGGGGCTTGAATACAGGCTCGTCTTTCATCTCACAACATGAAGGGATGTCTGAATCCCCTGTGGAGACCTTAGAGAAAGCCCTAGGTCCCTGCCTCATTTTGACGGAATGCCTCACATCCCGCTGACACCTCGAGAGGCACGCGGAGTACATTGCTTCAAAAGGTGACGATGCCTGACTCCTCTTGAATACTGATAGGGATCCCAAAATCCCTGTGGCTACTGGAAAGGGTCCTTGGGTGCCCTGCCTCACCTCGAGAAGCGTCCCTTTTGCCCTGCCAAGACTCGAAGAGATTCCTGAGGTGTCCCTCGTTACTAGACAGGAGTCCTGACGTCACTGAAGAAACTCGTGTTTTGAAGGGCCATCCCCGCCGTAAGTCGAGAACATACCCCAGGTCCCCGCCGCAACTCGAGAAAAACCATGAGACTTCCCCCTAGAGGCGAGATGAGGCCCCATTCCCCTGCAGTGCATGCAGAGCTATTCCGTGATCCCATTCAAACAAGTCAGGAGCTTCGACTTGCTTAATGGATCTCGAGACAGTCCCCAAGAACACTGTCACCAGTCTAGACGGACCCTGAGGTCACCCCAGCAACGCAAAGCAGCTCCATGTGCCCCAAATCAACTCGAGATGAGGCCCGATTCCCCTGCATTGACTCCAGAGCCATTCCCCGTTCCCCATTCAACACGACCGGTGGCTCGACTTCCTTCAGGCAACTCCAGAGATGCCCCGAGAACACTGTCCCAAGTCTAGAGGAACACCAACTTCAGCACAGCAACTCGAGGAATGCTCCGTGTACCCCAAATCGTCTCGAGATGAGAGCTGATTCCCTGGTTTAGGCTCAAGACGTATGCGAACTTCCCAGAAGGACCTCAGGAGGAGGCTTCTCTCAGCAATAGGTATGTGGGAGGGACCCCGAGTTTGCTGCCTCAAGGGCAATATACAGTGAGAAGCCCTAACTTGAAAGGATGCCGGATTTCCTTGCAGGGGCTTGAATACAGGCTCGTCTTTCATCTCGCAACATGAAGGTATGTCTGAATCCCCTGTGGAGACCTTAGAGAAAGCCCTAGGTCCCTGCCTCATTTTGACGGAATGCCTCACATCCCGCTGACACTTCGAGAGGCACGCGGAGTACATTGCTTCAAAAGGTGACGATGCCTGACTCCTCTTGAATACTGATAGGGATCCCAAAATCCTTGTGGCTACTGGAAAGAGTCCTTGGGTGCCCTGCCTCACCTCGAGAAGCGTCCCTTTTGCCCTGCCAAGCCTCGAAGAGATTCCTGAGGTGTCCGTCGTTACTAGACAGGAGTCCTGACGTCACTGAAGAAACTCGTGTTTTGAAGGGCCATCCCCGCCGAAAATCGAGAACATACCCCAGGTCCCCGCCGCAACTCGAGAAAAACCATGAGACTTCCCCCTAGAGGCGAGATGAGGCCCCATTCCCCTGCAGTGCATGCAGAGCTATTCCGTGATCCCATTCAAACAAGTCAGGAGCTTCGACTTGCTTAATGGATCTCGAGACAGTCCCCAAGAACACTGTCACCAGTCTAGACGGACACTGAGGTCACCCCAGCAAAGCAAAGCAGCTCCATGTGCCCCAAATCAACTCAAGATGAGGCCCGATTCCCCTGCATTGACTCCAGAGCCATTCCCCGTTCCCCATTCAACAGGACCGGTGGCTCGACTTCCTTCAGGCAACTCCAGAGATGCCCCGAGAACACTGTCCCAAGTCTAGAGGAACACCAAGTTCAGCACAGCAACTCGAGGAATGCTCCGTGTACCCCAAATCGTCTCGAGATGAGAGCTGATTCCCTGGCTTAGGCTCAAGACGTATGCCAACTTCCCAGAAGCACCTCAGGAGGAGGCTTCTCTCAGCAATAGGTATGTGTGAGGGACCCCGAGGTTGCTGCCTCAAGGGCAATATACAGTAACAAGCCCTAACTTGAAAGGAGGCCGGATTTCCTTGCAGTGGCTTGAATACAGGCTCGTCTTTCATCTCACAACATGAAGGGATGTCTGAATCCCCTGTGGAGACCTTAGAGAAAGCCCTAGGTCCCTGCCTCATTTTGACGGAACGCCTCACATCCCGCTGACACCTCGAGAGGCACGCGGAGTTCATTGCTTCAAAAGGTGACGATGCCTGACTCCTCTTGAATACTGATAGGAATCCCAAAATCCCTGTGGCTACTGGAAAGGGTCCTTGGGTGCCCTGCCTCACCTCGAGAAGCGTCCCTTTTGCCCTGCCAAGCCTCGAAGAGATTCCTGAAGTGTCCCTAGTTACTAGACAGGAGTCCTGACGTCACTGAAGAAACTCGTGTTTTGAAGGGCCATCCCCGCCGTAAGTCGAGAACATACCCCAGGTCCCCGCCGCAACTCGAGAAAAACCATGAGACTTCCCCCTAGAGGCGAGATGAGACCCATTCACCTGCAGTGCATGCAGAGCTATTCCGTGATCCCATTCAAACAAGTCAGGAGCTTCGACTTGCTTAATGGATCTGGAGACAGTCCCCAAGAACACTGTCACCAGTCTAGACGGACCCTGAGGTCACCCCAGCAACGCAAAGCAGCTCCATGTGCTCCAAATCAACTCGAGATGAGGCCCGATTCCACTGCATTGACTCCAGAGCCATTCCCCGTTCCCCATTCAACACGACCGGTGGCTCGACTTCCTTCAGGCAACTCCAGAGATGCCCCGAGAACACTGTCCCAAGTCTAGAGGAACACCAACTTCAGCACAGCAACTCGAGGAATGCTCCGTGTACCCCAAATCGTCTCGAGATGAGAGCTGATTCCCTGGCTTAGGCTCAAGACGTATGCCAACTTCCCAGAAGCACCTCAGGAGGAGGCTTCTCTCAGCAATAGGTATGAGGGAGGGACCCCGAGTTTGCTGCCTCAAGGGCAATATACAGCGAGAAGCCCTAACTTGAAAGGAGGCCGGATTTCCTTGCAGTGGCTTGAATACAGGCTCGTCTTTCATCTCACAACATGAAGGGATGTCTGAATCCCCTGTGGAGACCTTAGAGAAAGCCCTAGGTGCCTGCCTCATTTTGACGGAATGCCTCACATCCCGCTGACACCTCGAGAGACACGCGGAGTTCATTGCTTCAGAAGGTGACGATGCCTGACTCGTCTTGAATACTGATAGGAATCCCAAAATCCCTGTGGCTACTGGAAAGGGTCCTTGGGTGCCCTGCCTCACCTCGAGAAGCGTCCCTTTTGCCCTGCCAAGCCTCGAAGAGATTCCTGAGGTGTCCCTCGTTACTAGACAGGAGTCCTGACGTCACTGAAGAAACTCGTGTTTTGAAGGGCCATCCCCGCCGTAAGTCGAGAACATACCCCAGGTCCCCGCCGCAACTCGAGAAAAACCATGAGACTTCCCCCTAGAGGCGACATGAGGCCCCATTCCCCTGCAGTGCATGCAGAGCTATTCCGTGATCCCATTCAAACAAGTCAGGAGCTTCGACTTGCTTAATGGATCTCGAGACAGTCCCCAAGAACACTGTCACCAGTCTAGACGGACCCTGAGGTCACCCCAGCAACGCAAAGCAGCTCCATGTGCCCCAAATCAACTCGAGATGAGGCCCGATTCCCCTGCATTGACTCCAGAGCCATTCCCCGTTCCCCATTCAACACGACCGGTGGCTCGACTTCCTTCAGGCAACTCCAGAGATGCCCCGAGAACACTGTCCCAAGTCTAGAGGAACACCAACTTCAGCACAGCAACTCGAGGAATGCTCCGTGTACTCCAAATCGTCTCGAGATGAGAGCAGATTCCCTGGTTTAGGCTCAAGACGTATGCCAACTTCCCAGAAGGACCTCAGGAGGAGGCTTCTCTCAGCAATAGGTATGTGGTAGGGACCCCGAGTTTGCTGCCTCAAGGGCAATATACAGTGAGAAGCCCTACCTTGAAAGGAGGCCGGATTTCCTTGCAGGGGCTTGAATACAGGCTCGTCTTTCATCTCACAACATGAAGGGATGTCTGAATCCCCTGTGAAGACCTTAGAGAAAGCCCTAGGTCCCTGCCTCATTTTGACGGAATGCCTCACATCCCGCTGACACCTCGAGAGGCACGCGGAGTTCATTGCTTCAAAAGGTGACGATGCCTGACTCCTCTTGAATACTGATAGGAATCCCAAAATCACTGTGGCTACTGGAAAGGGTCCTTGGGTGCCCTGCCTCACCTCGAGAAGCGTCCCTTTTGCCCTGCCAAGCCTCGAAGAGATTCCTGAGGTGTCCCTCGTTACTAGACAGGAGTCCTGACGTCACTGAAGAAACTCGTGTTTTGAAGGGCCATCCCCACCGTACGTCGAGAACATACCCCAGGTCCCCGCCGCAACTCGAGAAAAACCATGAGACTTCCCCCTAGAGGCGAGATGAGACCCATTCCCCTGCAGTGCATGCAGAGCTATTCCGTGATCCCATTCAAACAAGTCAGGAGCTTCGACTTGCTTAATGGATCTGGAGACAGTCCCCAAGAACACTGTCACCAGTCTAGACGGACCCTGAGGTCACCCCAGCAACGCAAAGCAGCTCCATGTGCTCCAAATCAACTCGAGATGAGGCCCGATTCCACTGCATTGACTCCAGAGCCATTCCCCGTTCCCCATTCAACACGACCGGTGGCTCGACTTCCTTCAGGCAACTCCAGAGATGCCCCGAGAACACTGTCCCAAGTATAGAGGAACACCAACTTCAGCACAGCAACTCGAGGAATGCTCCGTGTACCCCAAATCGTCTCGAGATGAGAGCTGATTCCCTGGCTTAGGCTCAAGACGTATGCCAACTTCCCAGAAGCACCTCAGGAGGAGGCTTCTCTCAGCAATAGGTATGAGGGAGGGACGCCGAGTTTGCTGCCTCAAGGGCAATATACAGCGAGAAGCCCTAACTTGAAAGGAGGCCGGATTTCCTTGCAGTGGCTTGAATACAGGCTCGTCTTTCATCTCACAACATGAAGGGATGTCTGAATCCCCTGTGGAGACCTTAGAGAAAGCCCTAGGTCCCTGCCTCATTTTGACGGAACGCCTCACATCCCGCTGACACCTCGAGAGGCACGCGGAGTTCATTGCTTCAAAAGGTGACGATGCCTGACTCCTCTTGTATACTGATAGGAATCCCAAAATCCCTGTGGCTACTGGAAAGGGTCCTTGGGTGCCCTGCCTCACCTCGAGAAGCGTCCCTTTTGCCCTGCCAAGCCTCGAAGAGATTCCTGAGGTGTCCCTCGTTACTAGACAGGAGTCCTGACGTCACTGAAGAAACTCGTGTTTTGAAGGGCCATCCCCACCGTACGTCGAGAACATACCCCAGGTCCCCGCCGCAACTCGAGAAAAACCATGAGACTTCCCCCTAGAGTCGAGATGAGACCCATTCCCCTGCAGTGCATGCAGAGCTATTCCGTGATCCCATTCAAACAAGTCAGGAGCTTCGACTTGCTTAATGGATCTCGAGACAGTCCCCAAGAACACTGTCACCAGTCTAGACGGACCCTGAGGTCACCCCAGCAACGCAAAGCAGCTCCATGTGCCCCAAATCAACTCGAGATGAGGCCCGATTCCCCTGCATTGACTCCAGAGCCATTCCCCGTTCCCCATTCAACACGACCGGTGGCTCGACTTCCTTCAGGCAACTCCAGAGATGCCCCGAGAACACTGTCCCAAGTCTAGAGGAACACCAACTTCAGCACAGCAACTCGAGGAATGCTCCGTGTACCCCAAATCGTCTCGAGATGAGAGCTGATTCCCTGGTTTAGGCTCAAGACGTATGCCAACTTCCCAGAAGGACCTCAGGAGGAGGCTTCTCTCAGCAATAGGTATGTGGGAGGGACCCCGAGTTTGCTGCCTCAAGGGCAATATACAGTGAGAAGCCCTAACTTGAAAGGATGCCGGATTTCCTTGCAGGGGCTTGAATACAGGCTCGTCTTTCATCTCGCAACATGAAGGTATGTCTGAATCGCCTGTGGAGACCTTAGAGAAAGCCCTAGGTCCCTGCCTCATTTTGACGGAATGCCTCACATCCCGCTGACACTTCGAGAGGCACGCGGAGTACATTGCTTCAAAAGGTGACGATGCCTGACTCCTCTTGAATACTGATAGGGATCCCAAAATCCTTGTGGCTACTGGAAAGAGTCCTTGGGTGCCCTGCCTCACCTCGAGAAGCGTCCCTTTTGCCCTGCCAAGCCTCGAAGAGATTCCTGAGGTGTCCGTCGTTACTAGACAGGAGTCCTGACGTCACTGAAGAAACTCGTGTTTTGAAGGGCCATCCCCGCCGAAAATCGAGAACATACCCCAGGTCCCCGCCGCAACTCGAGAAAAACCATGAGACTTCCCCCTAGAGGCGAGATGAGGCCCCATTCCCCTGCAGTGCATGCAGAGCTATTCCGTGATCCCATTCAAACAAGTCAAGAGCTTCGACTTGCTTAATGGATCTCGAGACAGTCCCCAAGAACACTGTCACCAGTCTAGACGGACACTGAGGTCACCCCAGCAAAGCAAAGCAGCTCCATGTGCCCCAAATCAACTCAAGATGAGGCCCGATTCCCCTGCATTGACTCCAGAGCCATTCCCCGTTCCCCATTCAACAGGACCGGTGGCTCGACTTCCTTCAGGCAACTCCAGAGATGCCCCGAGAACACTGTCCCAAGTCTAGAGGAACACCAAGTTCAGCACAGCAACTCGAGGAATGCTCCGTGTACCCCAAATCGTCTCGAGATGAGAGCTGATTCCCTGGCTTAGGCTCAAGACGTATGCCAACTTCCCAGAAGCACCTCAGGAGGAGGCTTCTCTCAGCAATAGGTATGTGTGAGGGACCCCGAGGTTGCTGCCTCAAGGGCAATATACAGTAACAAGCCCTAACTTGAAAGGAGGCCGGATTTCCTTGCAGGGGCTTGAATACAGGCTCGTCTTTCATCTCACAACATGAAGGGATGTCTGAATCCCCTGTGGAGACCTTAGAGAAAGCCCTAGGTCCCTGCCTCATTTTGACGGAATGCCTCACATCCCGCTGACACCTCGAGAGGCACGCGGAGTTCATTGCTTCAAAAGGTGACGATGCCTGACTCCTCTTGAATACTGATAGGAATCCCAAAATCCCTGTGGCTACTGGAAAGGGTCCTTGGGTGCCCTGCCTCACCTCGAGAAGCGTCCCTTTTGCCCTGCCAAGCCTCGAAGAGATTCCTGAGGTGTCCCTCGTTACTAGACAGGAGTCCTGACGTCACTGAAGAAACTCGTGTTTTGAAGGGCCATCCCCGCCGTAAGTCGAGAACATACCCCAGGTCCCCGCCGCAACTCGAGAAAAACCATGAGACTTCCCCCTAGAGGCGAGATGAGACCCATTCACCTGCAGTGCATGCAGAGCTATTCCGTGATCCCATTCAAACAAGTCAGGAGCTTCGATTTGCTTAATGGATCTGGAGACAGTCCCCAAGAACACTGTCACCAGTCTAGACGGACCCTGAGGTCACCCCAGCAACGCAAAGCAGCTCCATGTGCCCCAAATCAACTCGAGATGAGGCCCGATTCCCCTGCATTGACTCCAGAGCCATTCCCCGTTCCCCATTCAACACGACCGGTGGCTCGACTTCCTTCAGGCAACTCCAGAGATGCCCCGAGAACACTGTCCCAAGTCTAGAGGAACACCAACTTCAGCACAGCAACTCGAGGAATGCTCCGTGTACCACAAATCGTCTCGAGATGAGAGCTGATTCCCTGTCTTAGGCTCAAGACGTATGCCAACTTCCCAGAAGCACCTCAGGAGGAGGCTTCTCTCAGCAATAGGTATGAGGGAGGGACCCCGAGTTTGCTGCCTCAAGGGCAATATACAGCGAGAAGCCCTAACTTGAAAGGAGGCCGGATTTCCTTGCAGTGGCTTGAATACAGGCTCGTCTTTCATCTCACAACATGAAGGGATGTCTGAATCCCCTGTGGAGACCTTAGAGAAAGCCCTAGGTGCCTGCCTCATTTTGACGGAACGCCTCACATTCCGCTGACACCTCGAGAGGCACGCGGAGTTCATTGCTTCAAAAGGTGACGATGCCTGACTCCTCTTGAATACTGATAGGAATCCCAAAATCCCTGTGGCTACTGGAAAGGGTCCTTGGGTGCCCTGCCTCACCTCGAGAAGCGTCCCTTTTGCCCTGCCAATCCTCGAAGAGATTCCTGAGGTGTCCCTCGTTACTAGACAGGAGTCCTGACGTCACTGAAGAAACTCGTGTTTTGAAGGGCCATCCCCGCCGTAAGTCGAGAACATACCCCAGGTCCCCGCCGCAACTCGAGAAAAACCATGAGACTTCCCCCTAGAGGCGAGATGAGGCCCCATTCCCCTGCAGTCCATGCAGAGCTATTCCGTGATCCCATTCAAACAAGTCAGGAGCTTCGACTTGCTTAATGGATCTCGAGACAGTCCCCAAGAACACTGTCACCAGTCTAGACGGACCCTGAGGTCACCCCAGCAACGCAAAGCAGCTCCATGTGCCCCAAATCAACTCGAGATGAGGCCCGATTCCCCTGCATTGACTCCAGAGCCATTCCCCGTTCCCCATTCAACACGACCGGTGGCTCGACTTCCTTCAGGCAACTCCAGAGATGCCCCGAGAACACTGTCCCAAGTCTAGAGGAACACCAACTTCAGCACAGCAACTCGAGTAATGCTCCGTGTACCACAAATCGTCTGGAGATGAGAGCTGATTCCATGGCTTAGGCTCAAGACGTATGCCAACTTCCCAGAAGCACCTCAGGAGGAGGCTTCTCTCAGCAATAGGTATGAGGGAGGGACGCCGAGTTTGCTGCCTCAAGGGCAATATACAGCGAGAAGCCCTAACTTGAAAGGAGGCCGGATTTCCTTGCAGTGGCTTGAATACAGGCTCGTCTTTCATCTCACAACATGAAGGGATGTCTGAATCCCCTGTGGAGACCTTAGAGAAAGCCCTAGGTCCCTGCCTCATTTTGACGGAACGCCTCACATCCCGCTGACACCTCGAGAGGCACGCGGAGTTCATTGCTTCAAAAGGTGACGATGCCTGACTCCTCTTGAATACTGATAGGAATCCCAAAATCCCTGTGGCTACTGGAAAGGGTCCTTGGGTGCCCTGCCTCACCTCGAGAAGCGTCCCTTTTGCCCTGCCAAGCCTCGAAGAGATTCCTGAAGTGTCCCTAGTTACTAGACAGGAGTCCTGACGTCACTGAAGAAACTCGTGTTTTGAAGGGCCATCCCCGCCGTAAGTCGAGAACATACCCCAGGTCCCCGCTGCAACTCGAGAAAAACCATGACACTTCCCCCTAGAGGCGAGATGAGACCCATTCACCTGCAGTGCATGCAGAGCTATTCCGTGATCCCATTCAAACAAGTCAGGAGCTTCGACTTGCTTAATGGATCTGGAGACAGTCCCCAAGAACACTGTCACCAGTCTAGACGGACCCTGAGGTCACCCCAGCAACGCAAAGCAGCTCCATGTGCTCCAAATCAACTCGAGATGAGGCCCGATTCCACTGCATTGACTCCAGAGCCATTCCCCGTTCCCCATTCAACACGACCGGTGGCTCGACTTCCTTCAGGCAACTCCAGAGATGCCCCGAGAACACTGTCCCAAGTCTAGAGGAACACCAACTTGAGCACAGCAACTCGAGGAATGCTCCGTGTACCCCAAATCGTCTCGAGATGAGAGCTGATTCCCTGGCTTAGGCTCAAGACGTATGCCAACTTCCCAGAAGCACCTCAGGAGGAGGCTTCTCTCAGCAATAGGTATGAGGGAGGGACCCCGAGTTTGCTGCCTCAAGGGCAATATACAGCGAGAAGCCCTAACTTGAAAGGAGGCCGGATTTCCTTGCAGTGGCTTGAATACAGGCTCGTCTTTCATCTCACAACATGAAGGGATGTCTGAATCCCCTGTGGAGACCTTAGAGAAAGCCCTAGGTGCCTGCCTCATTTTGACGGAATGCCTCACATCCCGCTGACACCTCGAGAGACACGCGGAGTTCATTGCTTCAAAAGGTGACGATGCCTGACTCGTCTTGAATACTGATAGGAATCCCAAAATCCCTGTGGCTACTGGAAAGGGTCCTTGGGTGCCCTGCCTCACCTCGAGAAGCGTCCCTTTTGCCCTGCCAAGCCTCGAAGAGATTCCTGAGGTGTCCCTCGTTACTAGACAGGAGTCCTGACGTCACTGAAGAAACTCGTGTTTTGAAGGGCCATCCCCGCCGTAAGTCGAGAACATACCCCAGGTCCCCGCCGCAACTCGAGAAAAACCATGAGACTTCCCCCTAGAGGCGACATGAGGCCCCATTCCCCTGCAGTGCATGCAGAGCTATTCCGTGATCCCATTCAAACAAGTCAGGAGCTTCGACTTGCTTAATGGATCTCGAGACAGTCCCCAAGAACACTGTCACCAGTCTAGACGGACCCTGAGGTCACCCCAGCAACGCAAAGCAGCTCCATGTGCCCCAAATCAACTCGAGATGAGGCCCGATTCCCCTGCATTGACTCCAGAGCCATTCCCCGTTCCCCATTCAACACGACCGGTGGCTCGACTTCCTTCAGGCAACTCCAGAGATGCCCCGAGAACACTGTCCCAAGTCTAGAGGAACACCAACTTCAGCACAGCAACTCGAGGAATGCTCCGTGTACTCCAAATCGTCTCGAGATGAGAGCAGATTCCCTGGTTTAGGCTCAAGACGTATGCCAACTTCCCAGAAGGACCTCAGGAGGAGGCTTCTCTCAGCAATAGGTATGTGGTAGGGACCCCGAGTTTGCTGCCTCAAGGGCAATATACAGTGAGAAGCCCTACCTTGAAAGGAGGCCGGATTTCCTTGCAGGGGCTTGAATACAGGCTCGTCTTTCATCTCACAACATGAAGGGATGTCTGAATCCCCTGTGAAGACCTTAGAGAAAGCCCTAGGTCCCTGCCTCATTTTGACGGAATGCCTCACATCCCGCTGACACCTCGAGAGGCACGCGGAGTTCATTGCTTCAAAAGGTGACGATGCCTGACTCCTCTTGAATACTGATAGGAATCCCAAAATCACTGTGGCTACTGGAAAGGGTCCTTGGGTGCCCTGCCTCACCTCGAGAAGCGTCCCTTTTGCCCTGCCAAGCCTCGAAGAGATTCCTGAGGTGTCCCTCGTTACTAGACAGGAGTCCTGACGTCACTGAAGAAACTCGTGTTTTGAAGGGCCATCCCCACCGTACGTCGAGAACATACCCCAGGTCCCCGCCGCAACTCGAGAAAAACCATGAGACTTCCCCCTAGAGGCGAGATGAGACCCATTCCCCTGCAGTGCATGCAGAGCTATTCCGTGATCCCATTCAAACAAGTCAGGAGCTTCGACTTGCTTAATGGATCTGGAGACAGTCCCCAAGAACACTGTCACCAGTCTAGACGGACCCTGAGGTCACCCCAGCAACGCAAAGCAGCTCCATGTGCTCCAAATCAACTCGAGATGAGGCCCGATTCCACTGCATTGACTCCAGAGCCATTCCCCGTTCCCCATTCAACACGACCGGTGGCTCAACTTCCTTCAGGCAACTCCAGAGATGCCCCGAGAACACTGTCCCAAGTCTAGAGGAACACCAACTTCAGCACAGCAACTCGAGGAATGCTCCGTGTACCCCAAATCGTCTCGAGATGAGAGCTGATTCCCTGGCTTAGGCTCAAGACGTATGCCAACTTCCCAGAAGCACCTCAGGAGGAGGCTTCTCTCAGCAATAGGTATGAGGGAGGGACGCCGAGTTTGCTGCCTCAAGGGCAATATACAGCGAGAAGCCCTAACTTGAAAGGAGGCCGGATTTCCTTGCAGTGGCTTGAATACAGGCTCGTCTTTCATCTCACAACATGAAGGGATGTCTGAATCCCCTGTGGAGACCTTAGAGAAAGCCCTAGGTCCCTGCCTCATTTTGACGGAACGCCTCACATCCCGCTGACACCTCGAGAGGCACGCGGAGTTCATTGCTTCAAAAGGTGACGATGCCTGACTCCTCTTGTATACTGATAGGAATCCCAAAATCCCTGTGGCTACTGGAAAGGGTCCTTGGGTGCCCTGCCTCACCTCGAGAAGCGTCCCTTTTGCCCTGCCAAGCCTCGAAGAGATTCCTGAGGTGTCCCTCGTTACTAGACAGGAGTCGTGACGTCACTGAAGAAACTCGTGTTTTGAAGGGCCATCCCCACCGTACGTCGAGAACATACCCCAGGTCCCCGCCGCAACTCGAGAAAAACCATGAGACTTCCCCCTAGAGGCGAGATGAGACCCATTCCCCTGCAGTGCATGCAGAGCTATTCCGTGATCCCATTCAAACAAGTCAGGAGCTTCGACTTGCTTAATGGATCTCGAGACAGTCCCCAAGAACACTGTCACCAGTCTAGACGGACCCTGAGGTCACCCCAGCAACGCAAAGCAGCTCCATGTGCCCCAAATCAACTCAAGATGAGGCCCGATTCCCCTGCATTGACTCCAGAGCCATTCCCCGTTCCCCATTCAACAGGACCGGTGGCTCGACTTCCTTCAGGCAACTCCAGAGATGCCCCGAGAACACTGTCCCAAGTGTAGAGGAACACCAACTTCAGCACAGCAACTCGAGGAATGCTCCGTGTACCCCAAATCGTCTCGAGATGAGAGCTGATTCCCTGGCTTAGGCTCAAGACGTATGCCAACTTCCCAGAAGCACCTCAGGAGGAGGCTTCTCTCAGCAATAGGTATGTGGGAGGGACCCCGAGTTTGCTGCCTCAAGGGCAATATACAGTGAGAAGCCCTAACTTGAAAGGATGCCGGATTTCCTTGCAGGGGATTGAATACAGGCTCGTCTTTCATCTCACAACATGAAGGGATGTCTGAATCCCCTGTGAAGACCTTAGAGAAAGCCCTAGGTCCCTGCCTCATTTTGACGGAATGCCTCACATCCCGCTGACACCTCGAGAGGCACGCGGAGTTCATTGCTTCAAAAGGTGACGATGCCTGACTCCTCTTGAATACTGATAGGAATCCCAAAATCCCTGTGGCTACTGGAAATGGTCCTTGGGTGCCCTGCCTCACCTCGAGAAGGGTCCCTTTTGCCCTGCCAAGCCTCGAAGAGATTCCTGAGGTGTCCCTCGTTACTAGACAGGAGTCCTGACGTCACTGAAGAAACTCGTGTTTTGAAGGGCCATCCCCGCCGTAAGTCGAGAACATACCCCAGGTCCCCGCCGCAACTCGAGAAAAACCATGAGACTTCCCCCTAGAGGCGACATGAGGCCCCATTCCCCTGCAGTGCATGCAGAGCTATTCCGTGATCCCATTCAAACAAGTCAGGAGCTTCGACTTGCTTAATGGATCTGGAGACAGTCCCCAAGAACACTGTCACCAGTCTAGACGGACCCTGAGGTCACCCCAGCAACGCAAAGCAGCTCCATGTGCTCCAAATCAACTCGAGATGAGGCCCGATTCCACTGCATTGACTCCAGAGCCATTCCCCGTTCCCCATTCAACACGACCGGTGGCTCGACTTCCTTCAGGCAACTCCAGAGATGCCCCGAGAACACTGTCCCAAGTCTAGAGGAACACCAACTTCAGCACAGCAACTCGAGGAATGCTCCGTGTACCCCAAATCGTCTCGAGATGAGAGCTGATTCCCTGGCTTAGGCTCAAGACGTATGCCAACTTCCCAGAAGCACCTCAGGAGGAGGCTTCTCTCAGCAATAGGTATGAGGGAGGGACCCCGAGTTTGCTGCCTCAAGGGCAATATACAGCGAGAAGCCCTAACTTGAAAGGAGGCCGGATTTCCTTGCAGTGGCTTGAATACAGGCTCGTCTTTCATCTCACAACATGAAGGGATGTCTGAATCCCCTGTGGAGACCTTAGAGAAAGCCCTAGGTGCCTGCCTATTTTGACGGAATGCCTCACATCCCGCTGACACCTCGAGAGGCACGCGGAGTTCATTGCTTCAAAAGGTGACGATGCCTGACTCCTCTTGAATACTGATAGGAATCCCAAAATCCCTGTGGCTACTGGAAAGGGTCCTTGGGTGCCCTGCCTCACCTCGAGAAGCGTCCCTTTTGCCCTGCCAAGCCTCGAAGAGATTCCTGAGGTGTCCCTCGTTACTAGACAGGAGTCCTGACGTCACTGAAGAAACTCGTGTTTTGAAGGGCCATCCCCGCCGTAAGTCGAGAACATACCCCAGGTCCCCGCCGCAACTCGAGAAAAACCATGAGACTTCCCCCTAGAGGCGAGATGAGACCCATTCCCCTGCAGTGCATGCAGAGCTATTCCGTGATCCCATTCAAACAAGTCAGGAGCTTCGACTTGCTTAATGGATCTCGAGACAGTCCCCAAGAACACTGTCACCAGTCTAGACGGACCCTGAGGTCACCCCAGCAACGCAAAGCAGCTCCATGTGCCCCAAATCAACTCGAGATGAGGCCCGATTCCCCTGCATTGAATCCAGAGATATTCCCCGTTCCCCATTCAACACGACCGGTGGCTCGACTTCCTTCAGGCAACTCCAGAGATGCCCCGAGAACACTGTCCCAAGTCTAGAGGAACACCAACTTCAGCACAGCAACTCGAGGAATGCTCCGTGTACCCCAAATCGTCTCGAGATGAGAGCTGATTCCCTGGCTTAGGCTCAAGACGTATGCCAACTTCCCAGAAGGACCTCAGGAGGAGGCTTCTCTCAGCAATAGTTATGTGGGAGGGACCCCGAGTTTGCTGCCTCAAGGGGAATATACAGCGAGAAGCCCTACCTTGAAAGGAGGCCGGATTTCCTTGCAGTGGCTTGAATACAGGCTCGTCTTTCATCTCACAACATGAAGGGTGTCTGAATCCCCTGTGGAGACCTTAGAGAAAGCCCTAGGTCCCTGCCTCATTTTGACGGAATGCCTCACATTCCGCTGACACCTCGAGAGGCATGCGGAGTTCATTGCTTCAAAAGGTGACGATGCCTGACTCCTCTTGAATACTGATAGGAATCCCAAAATCCCTGTGGCTACTGGAAAGGGTCCTTGGGTGCCCTGCCTCACCTCGAGAAGCGTCCCTTTTGCCCTGCCAAGCCTTGAAGAGATTCCTGAGGTGTCCCTCGTTACTAGACAGGAGTCCTGACGTCACTGAAGAAACTCGTGTTTTGAAGGGCCATCCCCGCCGTAAGTCGAGAACATACCCCAGGTCCCCGCCGCAACTCGAGAAAAACCATGAGACTTCCCCCTAGAGGCGAGATGAGGCCCCATTCCCCTGCAGTGCATGCAGAGCTATTCCGTGATCCCATTCAAACAAGTCAGGAGCTTCGACTTGCTTAATGGATCTCGAGACAGTCCCCAAGAACACTCTCACCAGTCTAGACGGACCCTAAGGTCACCCCAGCAACGCAAAGCAGCTCCATGTGCCCCAAATCAACTCAAGATGAGGCCCGATTCCCCTGCATTGACTCCAGAGCCATTCCCCGTTTCCCATTCAACAGGACCGGTGGCTCGACTTCCTTCAGGCAACTCCAGAGATGCCCCGAGAACACTGTCCCAAGTGTAGAGGAACACCAACTTCAGCACAGCAACTCGAGGAATGCTCCGTGTACCCCAAATCGTCTCGAGATGAGAGCTGATTCCCTGGCTTAGGCTCAAGACGTATGCCAACTTCCCAGAAGGACCTCAGGAGGAGGCTTCTCTCAGCAATAGGTATGTGGGAGGGACCCCGAGTTTGCTGCCTCAAGGGCAATATACAGTGACAAGCCCTAACTTGAAAGGAGGCCGGATTTCCTTGCAGGGGATTGAATACAGGCTCGTCTTTCATCTCACAACATGAAGGGATGTCTGAATCCCCTGTGGAGACCTTAGAGAAAGCCCTAGGTCCCTGCCTCATTTTGACGGAATGCCTCACATCCCGCTGACACCTCGAGAGTCATGCGGAGTTCATTGCTTCAAAAGGTGACGATGCCTGACTCCTCTTGAATACTGATAGGAATCCCAAAATCCCTGTGGCTACTGGAAAGGGTCCTTGGGTGCCCTGCCTCACCTCGAGAAGCGTCCCTTTTGCCCTGCCAAGCCTCGAAGAGATTCCTGAAGTGTCCCTAGTTACTAGACAGGAGTCCTGACGTCACTGAAGAAACTCGTGTTTTGAAGGGCCATCCCCGCTGTAAGTCGAGAACATACCCCAGGTCCCCGCCGCAACTCGAGAAAAACCATGAGACTTCCTCCTAGAGGCGAGATGAGACCCATTCACCTGCAGTGCATGCAGAGCTATTCCGTGATCCCATTCAAACAAGTCAGGAGCTTCGACTTGCTTAATGGATCTCGAGACAGTCCCCAAGAACACTGTCACCAGTCTAGACGGACCCTGAGGTCACCCCAGCAACGCAAAGCAGCTCCATGTGCTCCAAATCAACTCGAGATGAGGCCCGATTCCACTGCATTGACTCCAGAGCCATTCCCCGTTCCCCATTCAACACGACCGGTGGCTCGACTTCCTTCAGGCAACTCCAGAGATGCCCCGAGAACACTGTCCCAAGTCTAGAGGAACACCAACTTCAGCACAGCAACTCGAGGAATGCTCCGTGTACCCCAAATCGTCTCGAGATGAGAGCTGATTCCCTGGCTTAGGCTCAAGACGTATGCCAACTTCCCAGAAGCACCTCAGGAGGAGGCTTCTCTCAGCAATAGGTATGAGGGAGGGACCCCGAGTTTGCTGCCTCAAGGGCAATATACAACGAGAAGCCCTAACTTGAAAGGAGGCCGGATTTCCTTGCAGTGGCTTGAATACAGGCTCGTCTTTCATCTCACAACATGAAGGGATGTCTGAATCCCCTGTGGAGACCTTAGAGAAAGCCCTAGGTGCCTGCCTATTTTGACGGAATGCCTCACATCCCGCTGACACCTCGAGAGGCACGCGGAGTTCATTGCTTCAAAAGGTGACGATGCCTGACTCCTCTTGAATACTGATAGTAATCCCAAAATCCCTGTGGCTACTGGAAAGGGTCCTTGGGTGCCCTGCCTCACCTCGAGAAGCGTCCCTTTTGCCCTGCCAAGCCTCGAAGAGATTCCTGAGGTGTCCCTCGTTACTAGACAGGAGTCCTGACGTCACTGAAGAAACTCGTGTTTTGAAGGGCCATCCCCACCGTACGTCGAGAACATACCCCAGGTCCCCGCCGCAACTCGAGAAAAACCATGAGACTTTCCCCTAGAGGCGAGATGAGACCCATTCCCCTGCAGTGCATGCAGAGCTATTCCGTGATCCCATTCAAACAAGTCAGGAGCTTCGACTTGCTTAATGGATCTCGAGACAGTCCCCAAGAACACTGTCACCAGTCTAGACGGACCCTGAGGTCACCCCAGCAACGCAAAGCAGCTCCATGTGCCCCAAATCAACTCAAGATGAGGCCCGATTCCCCTGCATTGACTCCAGAGCCATTCCCCGTTCCCCATTCAACAGGACCGGTGGCTCGACTTCCTTCAGGCAACTCCAGAGATGCCCCGAGAACACTGTCCCAAGTGTAGAGGAACTCCAACTTCAGCACAGCAACTCGAGGAATGCTCCGTGTACCCCAAATCGTCTCGAGATGAGAGCTGATTCCCTGGCTTAGGCTCAAGACGTATGCCAACTTCCCAGAAGCACCTCAGGAGGAGGCTTCTCTCAGCAATAGGTATGAGGGAGGGACCCCGAGTTTGCTGCCTCAAGGGCAATATACAGCGAGAAGCCCTAACTTGAAAGGAGGCCGGATTTCCTTGCAGTGGCTTGAATACAGGCTCGTCTTTCATCTCACAACATGAAGGGATGTCTGAATCCCCTGTGGAGACCTTAGAGAAAGCCCTAGGTGCCTGCCTATTTTGACGGAATGCCTCACATCCCGCTGACACCTCGAGAGGCACGCGGAGTTCATTGCTTCAAAAGGTGACGATGCCTGACTCCTCTTGAATACTGATAGGAATCCCAAAATCCCTGTGGCTACTGGAAAGGGTCCTTGGGTGCCCTGCCTCACCTCGAGAAGCGTCCCTTTTGCCCTGCCAAGCCTCGAAGAGATTCCTGAGGTGTCCCTCGTTACTAGACAGGAGTCCTGACGTCACTGAAGAAACTCGTGTTTTGAAGGGCCATCCCCGCCGTAAGTCGAGAACATACCCCAGGTCCCCGCCGCAACTCGAGAAAAACCATGAGACTTCCCCCTAGAGGCGAGATGAGACCCATTCCCCTGCAGTGCATGCAGAGCTATTCCGTGATCCCATTCAAACAAGTCAGGAGCTTCGACTTGCTTAATGGATCTCGAGACAGGCCCCAAGAACACTGTCACCAGTCTAGACGGACCCTGAGGTCACCCCAGCAACGCAAAGCAGCTCCATGTGCCCCAAATCAACTCGAGATGAGGCCCGATTCCCCTGCATTGAATCCAGAGCCATTCCCCGTTCCCCATTCAACACGACCGGTGGCTCGACTTCCTTCAGGCAACTCCAGAGATGCCCCGAGAACACTGTCCCAAGTCTAGAGGAACACCAACTTCAGCACAGCAACTCGAGGAATGCTCCGTGTACCCCAAATCGTCTCGAGATGAGAGCTGATTCCCTGGCTTAGGCTCAAGACGTATGCCAACTTCCCAGAAGGACCTCAGGAGGAGGCTTCTCTCAGCAATAGGTATGTGGGAGGGACCCCGAGTTTGCTGCCTCAAGGGGAATATACAGCGAGAAGCCCTACCTTGAAAGGAGGCCGGATTTCCTTGCAGTGGCTTGAATACAGGCTCGTCTTTCATCTCACAACATGAAGGGTGTCTGAATCCCCTGTGGAGACCTTAGAGAAAGCCCTAGGTCCCTGCCTCATTTTGACGGAATGCCTCACATTCCGCTGACACCTCGAGAGGCATGCGGAGTTCATTGCTTCAAAAGGTGACGATGCCTGACTCCTCTTGAATACTGATAGGAATCCCAAAATCCCTGTGGCTACTGGAAAGGGTCCTTGGGTGCCCTGCCTCACCTCGAGAAGCGTCCCTTTTGCCCTGCCAAGCCTTGAAGAGATTCCTGAGGTGTCCCTCGTTACTAGACAGGAGTCCTGACGTCACTGAAGAAACTCGTGTTTTGAAGGGCCATCCCCGCCGTAAGTCGAGAACATACCCCAGGTCCCCGCCGCAACTCGAGAAAAACCATGAGACTTCCCCCTAGAGGCGACATGAGGCCCCATTCCCCTGCAGTGCATGCAGAGCTATTCCGTGATCCCATTCAAACAAGTCAGGAGCTTCGACTTGCTTAATGGATCTGGAGACAGTCCCCAAGAACACTGTCACCAGTCTAGACGGACCCTGAGGTCACCCCAGCAACGCAAAGCAGCTCCATGTGCTCCAAATCAACTCGAGATGAGGCCCGATTCCACTGCATTGACTCCAGAGCCATTCCCCGTTCCCCATTCAACACGACCGGTGGCTCGACTTCCTTCAGGCAACTCCAGAGATGCCCCGAGAACACTGTCCCAAGTCTAGAGGAACACCAACTTCAGCACAGCAACTCGAGGAATGCTCCGTGTACCCCAAATCGTCTCGAGATGAGAGCTGATTCCCTGGCTTAGGCTCAAGACATATGCCAACTTCCCAGAAGCACCTCAGGAGGAGGCTTCTCTCAGCAATAGGTATGAGGGAGGGACCCCGAGTTTGCTGCCTCAAGGGCAATATACAGCGAGAAGCCCTAACTTGAAAGGAGGCCGGATTTCCTTGCAGTGGCTTGAATACAGGCTCGTCTTTCATCTCACAACATGAAGGGATGTCTGAATCCCCTGTGGAGACCTTAGAGAAAGCCCTAGGTGCCTGCCTATTTTGACGGAATGCCTCACATCCCGCTGACACCTCGAGAGGCACGCGGAGTTCATTGCTTCAAAAGGTGACGATGCCTGACTCCTCTTGAATACTGATAGGAATCCCAAAATCCCTGTGGCTACTGGAAAGGGTCCTTGGGTGCCCTGCCTCACCTCGAGAAGCGTCCCTTTTGCCCTGCCAAGCCTCGAAGAGATTCCTGAGGTGTCCCTCGTTACTAGACAGGAGTCCTGACGTCACTGAAGAAACTCGTGTTTTGAAGGGCCATCCCCGCCGTAAGTCGAGAACATACCCCAGGTCCCCGCCGCAACTCGAGAAAAACCATGAGACTTCCCCCTAGAGGCGAGATGAGACCCATTCCCCTGCAGTGCATGCAGAGCTATTCCGTGATCCCATTCAAACAAGTCAGGAGCTTCGACTTGCTTAATGGATCTCGAGACAGTCCCCAAGAACACTGTCACCAGTCTAGACGGACCCTGAGGTCACCCCAGCAACGCAAAGCAGCTCCATGTGCCCCAAATCAACTCGAGATGAGGCCCGATTCCCCTGCATTGAATCCAGAGCCATTCCCCGTTCCCCATTCAACACGACCGGTGGCTCGACTTCCTTCAGGCAACTCCAGAGATGCCCCGAGAACACTGTCCCAAGTCTAGAGGAACACCAACTTCAGCACAGCAACTCGAGGAATGCTCCGTGTACCCCAAATCGTCTCGAGATGAGAGCTGATTCCCTGGCTTAGGCTCAAGACGTATGCCAACTTCCCAGAAGGACCTCAGGAGGAGGCTTCTCTCAGCAATAGGTATGTGGGAGGGACCCCGAGTTTGCTGCCTCAAGGGGAATATACAGCGAGAAGCCCTACCTTGAAAGGAGGCCGGATTTCCTTGCAGTGGCTTGAATACAGGCTCGTCTTTCATCTCACAACATGAAGGGTGTCTGAATCCCCTGTGGAGACCTTAGAGAAAGCCCTAGGTCCCTGCCTCATTTTGACGGAATGCCTCACATTCCGCTGACACCTCGAGAGGCATGCGGAGTTCATTGCTTCAAAAGGTGACGATGCCTGACTCCTCTTGAATACTGATAGGAATCCCAAAATCCCTGTGGCTACTGGAAAGGGTCCTTGGGTGCCCTGCCTCACCTCGAGAAGCGTCCCTTTTGCCCTGCCAAGCCTTGAAGAGATTCCTGAGGTGTCCCTCGTTACTAGACAGGAGTCCTGACGTCACTGAAGAAACTCGTGTTTTGAAGGGCCATCCCCGCCGTAAGTCGAGAACATACCCCAGGTCCCCGCCGCAACTCGAGAAAAACCATGAGACTTCCCCCTAGAGGCGACATGAGGCCCCATTCCCCTGCAGTGCATGCAGAGCTATTCCGTGATCCCATTCAAACAAGTCAGGAGCTTCGACTTGCTTAATGGATCTGGAGACAGTCCCCAAGAACACTGTCACCAGTCTAGACGGACCCTGAGGTCACCCCAGCAACGCAAAGCAGCTCCATGTGCTCCAAATCAACTCGAGATGAGGCCCGATTCCACTGCATTGACTCCAGAGCCATTCCCCGTTCCCCATTCAACACGACCGGTGGCTCGACTTCCTTCAGGCAACTCCAGAGATGCCCCGAGAACACTGTCCCAAGTCTAGAGGAACACCAACTTCAGCACAGCAACTCGAGGAATGCTCCGTGTACCCCAAATCGTCTCGAGATGAGAGCTGATTCCCTGGCTTAGGCTCAAGACATATGCCAACTTCCCAGAAGCACCTCAGGAGGAGGCTTCTCTCAGCAATAGGTATGAGGGAGGGACCCCGAGTTTGCTGCCTCAAGGGCAATATACAGCGAGAAGCCCTAACTTGAAAGGAGGCCGGATTTCCTTGCAGTGGCTTGAATACAGGCTCGTCTTTCATCTCACAACATGAAGGGATGTCTGAATCCCCTGTGGAGACCTTAGAGAAAGCCCTAGGTGCCTGCCTATTTTGACGGAATGCCTCACATCCCGCTGACACCTCGAGAGGCACGCGGAGTTCATTGCTTCAAAAGGTGACGATGCCTGACTCCTCTTGAATACTGATAGGAATCCCAAAATCCCTGTGGCTACTGGAAAGGGTCCTTGGGTGCCCTGCCTCACCTCGAGAAGCGTCCCTTTTGCCCTGCCAAGCCTCGAAGAGATTCCTGAGGTGTCCCTCGTTACTAGACAGGAGTCCTGACGTCACTGAAGAAACTCGTGTTTTGAAGGGCCATCCCCGCCGTAAGTCGAGAACATACCCCAGGTCCCCGCCGCAACTCGAGAAAAACCATGAGACTTCCCCCTAGAGGCGAGATGAGACCCATTCCCCTGCAGTGCATGCAGAGCTATTCCGTGATCCCATTCAAACAAGTCAGGAGCTTCGACTTGCTTAATGGATCTCGAGACAGTCCCCAAGAACACTGTCACCAGTCTAGACGGACCCTGAGGTCACCCCAGCAACGCAAAGCAGCTCCATGTGCCCCAAATCAACTCGAGATGAGGCCCGATTCCCCTGCATTGAATCCAGAGCCATTCCCCGTTCCCCATTCAACACGACCGGTGGCTCGACTTCCTTCAGGCAACTCCAGAGATGCCCCGAGAACACTGTCCCAAGTCTAGAGGAACACCAACTTCAGCACAGCAACTCGAGGAATGCTCCGTGTACCCCAAATCGTCTCGAGATGAGAGCTGATTCCCTGGCTTAGGCTCAAGACGTATGCCAACTTCCCAGAAGGACCTCAGGAGGAGGCTTCTCTCAGCAATAGGTATGTGGGAGGGACCCCGAGTTTGCTGCCTCAAGGGGAATATACAGCGAGAAGCCCTACCTTGAAAGGAGGCCGGATTTCCTTGCAGTGGCTTGAATACAGGCTCGTCTTTCATCTCACAACATGAAGGGTGTCTGAATCCCCTGTGGAGACCTTAGAGAAAGCCCTAGGTCCCTGCCTCATTTTGACGGAATGCCTCACATTCCGCTGACACCTCGAGAGGCATGCGGAGTTCATTGCTTCAAAAGGTGACGATGCCTGACTCCTCTTGAATACTGATAGGAATCCCAAAATCCCTGTGGCTACTGGAAAGGGTCCTTGGGTGCCCTGCCTCACCTCGAGAAGCGTCCCTTTTGCCCTGCCAAGCCTTGAAGAGATTCCTGAGGTGTCCCTCGTTACTAGAGAGGAGTCCTGACGTCACTGAAGAAACTCGTGTTTTGAAGGGCCATCCCCGCCGTAAGTCGAGAACATACCCCAGGTCCCCGCCGCAACTCGAGAAAAACCATGAGACTTCCCCCTAGAGGCGACATGAGGCCCCATTCCCCTGCAGTGCATGCAGAGCTATTCCGTGATCCCATTCAAACAAGTCAGGAGCTTCGACTTGCTTAATGGTCTCGAGACAGTCCCCAAGAACACTCTCACCAGTCTAGACGGACCCTGAGGTCACCCCAGCAACGCAAAGCAGCTCCATGTGCCCCAAATCAACTCAAGATGAGGCCCGATTCCCCTGCATTGACTCCAGAGCCATTCCCCGTTCCCCATTCAACAGGACCGGTGGCTCGACTTCCTTCAGGCAACTCCAGAGATGCCCCGAGAACACTGTCCCAAGTGTAGAGGAACACCAACTTCAGCACAGCAACTCGAGGAATGCTCCGTGTACCCCAAATCGTCTCGAGATGAGAGCTGATTCCCTGGCTTAGGCTCAAGACGTATGCCAACTTCCCGAAGGACCTCAGGAGGAGGCTTCTCTCAGCAATAGGTATGTGGGAGGGACCCCGAGTTTGCTGCCTCAAGGGCAATATACAGTGACAAGCCATAACTTGAAAGGAGGCCGGATTTCCTTGCAGGGGATTGAATACAGGCTCGTCTTTCATCTCACAACATGAAGGGATGTCTGAATCCCCTGTGGAGACCTTAGAGAAAGCCCTAGGTCCCTGCCTCATTTTGACGGAATGCCTCACATCCCGCTGACACCTCGAGAGTCATGCGGAGTTCATTGCTTCAAAAGTGACGATGCCTGACTCCTCTTGAATACTGATAGGAATCCCAAAATCCCTGTGGCTACTGGAAAGGGTCCTTGGGTGCCCTGCCTCACCTCGAGAAGCGTCCCTTTTGCCCTGCCAAGCCTCGAAGAGATTCCTGAAGTGTCCCTAGTTACTAGACAGGAGTCCTGACGTCACTGAAGAAACTCGTGTTTTGAAGGGCCATCCCCGCTGTAAGTCGAGAACATACCCCAGGTCCCCGCCGCAACTCGAGAAAAACCATGAGACTTCCCCCTAGAGGCGAGAAGAGACCCATTCACCTGCAGTGCATGCAGAGCTATTCCGTGATCCCATTCAAACAAGTCAGGAGCTTCGACTTGCTTAATGGATCTCGAGACAGTCCCCAAGAACACTGTCACCAGTCTAGACGGACCCTGAGGTCACCCCAGCAACGCAAAGCAGCTCCATGTGCTCCAAATCAACTCGAGATGAGGCCCGATTCCACTGCATTGACTCCAGAGCCATTCCCCGTTCCCCATTCAACACGACCGGTGGCTCGACTTCCTTCAGGCAACTCCAGAGATGCCCCGAGAACACTGTCCCAAGTCTAGAGGAACACCAACTTCAGCACAGCAACTCGAGGAATGCTCCGTGTACCCCAAATCGTCTCGAGATGAGAGCTGATTCCCTGGCTTAGGCTCAAGACGTATGCCAACTTCCCAGAAGCACCTCAGGAGGAGGCTTCTCTCAGCAATAGGTATGAGGGAGGGACCCCGAGTTTGCTGCCTCAAGGGCAATATACAACGAGAAGCCCTAACTTGAAAGGAGGCCGGATTTCCTTGCAGTGGCTTGAATACAGGCTCGTCTTTCATCTCACAACATGAAGGGATGTCTGAATCCCCTGTGGAGACCTTAGAGAAAGCCCTAGGTGCCTGCCTATTTTGACGGAATGCCTCACATCCCGCTGACACCTCGAGAGGCACGCGGAGTTCATTGCTTCAAAAGGTGACGATGCCTGACTCCTCTTGAATACTGATAGTAATCCCCAAATCCCTGTGGCTACTGGAAAGGGTCCTTGGGTGCCCTGCCTCACCTCGAGAAGCGTCCCTTTTGCCCTGCCAAGCCTCGAAGAGATTCCTGAGGTGTCCCTCGTTACTAGACAGGAGTCCTGACGTCACTGAAGAAACTCGTGTTTTGAAGGGCCATCCCCGCCGTAAGTCGAGAACATACCCCAGGTCCCCGCCGCAACTCGAGAAAAACCATGAGACTTCCCCCTAGAGGCGACATGAGGCCCCATTCCCCTGTAGTGCATGCAGAGCTATTCCGTGATCCCATTCAAACAAGTCAGGAGCTTCGACTTGCTTAATGGATCTCGAGACAGTCCCCAAGAACACTGTCACCAGTCTAGACGGACCCTGAGGTCACCCCAGCAACGCAAAGCAGCTCCATGTGCCCCAAATCAACTCGAGATGAGGCCCGATTCCCCTGCATTGACTCCAGAGCCATTCCCCGTTCCCCATTCAACACGACCGGTGGCTCGACTTCCTTCAGGCAACTCCAGAGATGCCCCGAGAACACTGTCCCAAGTGTAGAGGAACACCAACTTCAGCACAGCAACTCGAGGAATGCTCCGTGTACCCCAAATCGTCTCGAGATGAGAGCTGATTCCCTGGTTTAGGCTCAAGACGTATGCCAACTTCCCAGAAGGACCTCAGGAGGAGGCTTCTCTCAGCAATAGGTATGTGGGAGGGACCCCGAGTTTGCTGCCTCAAGGGCAATATACAGTGAGAAGCCCTACCTTGAAAGGAGGCCGGATTTCCTTGCAGGGGCTTGAATACAGGCTCGTCTTTCATCTCACAACATGAAGGGATGTCTGAATCCCCTGTGAAGACCTTAGAGAAAGCCCTAGGTCCCTGCCTCATTTTGACGGAATGCCTCACATCCCGCTGACACCTCGAGAGGCACGCGGAGTTCATTGCTTCAAAAGGTGACGATGCCTGACTCCTCTTGAATACTGATAGGAATCCCAAAATCCCTGTGGCTACTGGAAAGGGTCCTTGGGTGCCCTGCCTCACCTCGAGAAGCGTCCCTTTTGCCCTGCCAAGCCTCGAAGAGATTCCTGAAGTGTCCCCAGTTACGAGACAGGAGTCCTGACGTCACTGAAGAAACTCGTGTTTTGAAGGGCCATCCCCGCCGTAAGTCGAGAACATACCCCAGGTCCCCGCCGCAACTCGAGAAAAACCATGAGACTTCCCCCTAGAGGCGAGATGAGACCCATTCACCTGCAGTGCATGCAGAGCTATTCCGTGATCCCATTCAAACAAGTCAGGAGCTTCGACTTGCTTAATGGATCTGGAGACAGTCCCCAAGAACACTGTCACCAGTCTAGACGGACCCTGAGGTCACCCCAGCAACGCAAAGCAGCTCCATGTGCTCCAAATCAACTCGAGATGAGGCCCGATTCCACTGCATTGACTCCAGAGCCATTCCCCGTTCCCCATTCAACAGGACCGGTGGCTCGACTTCCTTCAGGCAACTCCAGAGATGCCCCGAGAACACTGTCCCAAGTCTAGAAGAACACCAACTTCAGCACAGCAACTCGAGGAATGCTCCGTGTACCCCAAATCGTCTCGAGATGAGAGCTGATTCCCTGGCTTAGGCTCAAGACGTATGCCAACCTCCCAGAAGCACCTCAGGAGGAGGCTTCTCTCAGCAATAGGTATGAGGGAGGGACCCCGAGTTTGCTGCCTCAAGGGCAATATACAGCGAGAAGCCCTAACTTGAAAGGAGGCCGGATTTCCTTGCAGTGGCTTGAATACAGGCTCGTCTTTCATCTCACAACATAAAGGGATGTCTGAATCCCCTGTGGAGACCTTAGAGAAAGCCCTAGGTGCCTGCCTATTTTGACGGAATGCCTCACATCCCGCTGACACCTCGAGAGGCACGCGGAGTTCATTGCTTCAAAAGGTGACGATGCCTGACTCCTCTTGAATACTGATAGGAATCGAAAATCCCTTTGGCTACTGGAAAGGGTCCTTGGGTGCCCTGCCTCACCTCGAGAAGCGTCCCTTTTGCCCTGCCAAGCCTCGAAGAGATTCCTGAGGTGTCCCTCGTTACTAGACAGGAGTCCTGACGTCACTGAAGAAACTCGTGTTTTGAAGGGCCATCCCCGCCGTAAGTCGAGAACATACCCCAGGTCCCCGCCGCAACTCGAGAAAAACCATGAGACTTCCCCCTAGAGGCGAGATGAGGCCCCATTCCCCTGCAGTGCATGCAGAGCTATTCCGTGATCCCATTCAAACAAGTCAGGAGCTTCGACTTGCTTAATGGATCTCGAGACAGTCCCCAAGAACACTGTCACCAGTCTAGACGGACCCTGAGGTCACCCCAGCAACGCAAAGCAGCTCCATGTGCCCCAAATCAACTCGAGATGAGGGCCGATTCCCCTGCATTGACCCCAGAGCCATTCCCCGTTCCCCATTCAACACGACCGGTGGCTCGACTTCCTTCAGGTAACTCCAGAGATGCCCCGAGAACACTGTCCCAATTCTAGAGGAACACCAACTTCAGCACAGCAACTCGAGGAATGCTCCGTGTACCCCAAATCGTCTCGAGATGAGAGCTGATTCCCTGGTTTAGGTTCAAGACGTATGCCAACTTCCCAGAAGGACCTCAGGAGGAGTATTCTCTCAGCAATAGGTATGTGGTAGGGACCCCGAGTTTGCTGCCTCAAGGGCAATATACAGCGAGAAGCCCTACCTTGAAAGGAGGCCGGATTTCCTTGCAGGGGCTTGAATACAGGCTCGTCTTTCATCTCACAACATGAAGGGATGTCTGAATCCCCTGTGAAGACCTTACAGAAAGCCCTAGGTCCCTGCCTCATTTTGACGGAATGACTCACATCCCGCTGACACCTCGAGAGGCACGCGGAGTTCATTGCTTCAAAAGGTGACGATGCCTGACTCCTCTTGAATACTGATAGGAATCCCAAAATCCCTGTGGCTACTGGAAAGGGTCCTTGGGTGCCCTGCCTCACCTCGAGAAGCGTCCCTTTTGCCCTGCCAAGCCTCGAAGAGATTCCTGAAGTGTCCCTCGTTACTAGACAGGAGTCCTGACGTCACTGAAGAAACTCGTGTTTTGAAGGGCCATCCCCGCCGTAAGTCGAGAACATACCCCAGGTCCCCGCCGCAACTCGAGAAAAACCATGAGACTTCCCCCTAGAGGCGAGATGAGACCCATTCACCTGCAGTGCATGCAGAGCTATTCCGTGATCCCATTCAAACAAGTCAGGAGCTTCGACTTGCTTAATGGATCTGGATACAGTCCCCAAGAACACTGTCACCAGTCTAGACGGACCCTGAGGTCACCCCAGCAACGCAAAGCAGCTCCATGTGCCCCAAATCAACTCGAGATGAGGCCCGATTCCCCTGCATTGACTCCAGAGCCATTCCCCGTTCCCCATTCAACACGACCGGTGGCTCGACTTCCTTCAGGCAACTCCAGAGATGCCCCGAGAACACTGTCCCAAGTCTAGAGGAACACCAACTTCAGCACAGCAACTAGAGGAATGCTCCGTGTACCCCAAATCGTCTCGAGATGAGAGCTGATTCCCTGGCTTAGGCTCAAGACGTATGCCAACTTCCCAGAAGCACCTCAGGAGGAGGCTTCTCTCAGCAATAGGTATGTGGGAGGGACCCCGAGTTTGCTACCTCAAGGCCAATATACAGCGAGAAGCCCTAACTTGAAAGGAGGCCGGATTTCCTTGCAGTGGCTTGAATACAGGCTCGTCTTTCATCTCACAACATGAAGGGATGTCTGAATCCCCTGTGGAGACCTTAGAGAAAGCCCTAGGTCCCTGCCTCATTTTGACGGAATGCCTCACATCCCGCTGACACCTCGAGAGGCACGCGGAGTTCATTGCTTCAAAAGGTGACGATGCCTGACTCCTCTTGAATACTGATAGGAATCCCAAAATCCCTGTGGCTACTGGAAAGGGTCCTTGGGTGCCCTGCCTCACCTCGAGAAGCGTCCCTTTTGCCCTGCCAAGCCTCGAAGAGGTTCCTGAAGTGTCCCTCGTTACTAGACAGGAGTCCTGACGTCACTGAAGAAACTCGTGTTTTGAAGGGCCATCCCCGCCATAGGTCGAGAACATACCCCAGGTCCCTGCCGCAACTCGAGAAAAACCATGAGACTTCCCCCTAGAGGCGAGATGAGACCCATTCACCTGCAGTGCATGCAGAGCTATTCCGTGATCCCATTCAAACAAGTCAGGAGCTTCGACTTGCTTAATGGATCTAGAGACAGTCCCCAAGAACACTGTCACCAGTCTAGACGGACCCTGAGGTCACCCCAGCAACGCAAAGCAGCTCCATGTGCCACAAATCAACTCGAGATGAGGCCCGATTCCCCTGCATTGACTCCAGAGCCATTCCCCGTTCCCCATTCAACACGACCGGTGGCTCGACTTCCTTCAGGCAACTCCAGAGATGCCCCGAGAACACTGTCCCAAGTCTAGAGGAACACCAACTTCAGCACAGCAACTCGAGGAATGCTCCGTGTACCCCAAATCGTCTCGAGATGAGAGCTGATTCTCTGGCTTAGGCTCAAGACGTATGCCAACTTCCCAGAAGCACCTCAGGAGGAGGCTTCTCTCAGCAATAGGTATGAGGGAGGGACCCCGAGTTTGCTGCCTCAAGGGAAATATACAGCGAGAAGCCCTAACTTGAAAGGAGGCCGGATTTCCTTGCAGTGGCTTGAATACAGTCTCGTATTTCATCTCACATCATGAAGGGTGTCTGAATCCCCTGTGGAGACCTTAGAGAAAGCCCTAGGTCCCTGCCTCATTTTGACGGAATGCCTCACATTCCGCTGACACCTCGAGAGGCACGCGGAGTTCATTGCTTCAAAAGGTGACGATGCCTGACTCCTCTTGAATACTGATAGGAATCCCAAAATCCCTGTGGCTACTGGAAAGGGTCCTTGTGTGCCCTGCCTCACCTCGAGAAGCGTCCCTTTTGCCCTGCCAAGCCTCGAAGAGATTCCTGAGGTGTCCCTCGTTACTAGACAGGAGTCCTGACGTCACTGAAGAAACTCGTGTTTTGAAGGGCCTTCCCCGCCGTAAGTCGAGAACATACCCCAGGTCCCCGCCGCAACTCGAGAAAAACCATGAGACTTCCCCCTAGAGGCGAGATGAGGCCCCATTCCCCTGCAGTGCATGCAGAGCTATTCCGTGATCCCATTGAAACAAGTCAGGAGCTTCGACTTGCTTAATGGATCTCGAGACAGTCCCCAAGAACACTGTCACCAGTCTAGACGGACCCTGAGGTCACCCCAGCAACGCAAAGCAGTTCCATGTGCCCCAAATCAACTCGAGATGAGGCCCGATTCCCCTGCATTGACTCCAGAGCCATTCCCCGTTCCCCATTCAACACGACCGGTGGCTCGACTTCCTTCAGGCAACTCCAGAGATGCCCCGAGAACACTGTCCCAAGTCTAGAGGAACACCAACTTCAGCACAGCAACTCGAGGAATGCTCCGTGTACCACAAATCGTCTCGAAATGAGAGCTGATTCCCTGGCTTAGGCTCAAGACGTATGCCAACTTCCCAGAAGCACCTCAGGAGGAGGCTTCTCTCAGCAATAGGTATGAGGGAGGGACCCCGAGTTTGCTGCCTCAAGGGTAATATACAGCGAGAAGCCCTAACTTGAAAGGAGGACGGATTTCCTTGCAGTGGCTTGAATACAGGCTTGTCTTTCATCTCACAACATGAAGGGATGTCTGAATCCCCTGTGGAGACCTTAGATAAAGCCCTAGGTGCCTGCCTCATTTTGACGGAATGCCTCACATCCCGCTGACACCTCGAGAGGCACGCGGAGTTCATTGCTTCAAAAGGTGACGATGCCTGACTCCTCTTGAATACTGATAGGAATCCCAAAATCCCTGTGGCTACTGGAAAGGGTCCTTGGGTGCCCTGCCTCACCTCGAGAAGCGTCCCTTTTGCCCTGCCAAGCCTCGAAGAGATTCCTGAGGTGTCCCTCGTTACTAGACAGGAGTCCTGACGTCACTGAAGAAACTCGTGTTTTGAAGGGCCATCCCCGCCGTACGTCGAGAAAATACCCCAGGTCCCCGCCGCAACTCGAGAAAAACCATGAGACTTCCCCCTAGAGGCGAGATGAGGCCCCATTCCCCTGCAGTGCATGCAGAGCTATTCCGTGATCCCATTCAAACAAGTCAGGAGCTTCGACTTGCTTAATGGATCTCGAGACAGTCCCCAATAACACTGTCACCAGTCTACACGGACCCTGAGGTCACCCCAGCAACGCAAAGCAGCTCCATGTGCCCCAAATCAACTCGAGATGAGGCCCGATTCCCCTGCATTGACTCCAGAGCCATTCCCCGTTCCCCATTCAACACGACCGGTGGCTCGACTTCCTTCAGGTAACTCCAGAGATGCCCCGAGAACACTGTCCCAAGTCTAGAGGAACACCAACTTCAGCACAGCAACTCGAGGAATGCTCCGTGTACCCCAAATCGTCTCGAGATGAGAGCTGATTCCCTGGCTTAGGCTCAAGACGTATGCCAACTTCCCAGAAGCACCTCAGGAGGAGGCTTCTCTCAGCAATAGGTATGAGGGAGGGACGCCGAGTTTGCTGCCTCAAGGGCAATATACAGCGAGAAGCCCTAACTTGAAAGGAGGCCGGATTTCCTTGCAGTGGCTTGAATACAGGCTCGTCTTTCATCTCACAACATGAAGGGATGTCTGAATCCCCTGTGGAGACCTTAGAGAAAGCCCTAGGTCCCTGCCTCATTTTGACGGAATGCCTCACATCCCGCTGACACCTCGAGAGGCACGCGGAGTTCATTGCTTCAAAAGGTGACGATGCCTGACTCCTCTTGAATACTGATAGGAATCCCAAAATCCCTGTGGCTACTGGAAAGGGTCCTTGGGTGCCCTGCCTCACCTCGAGAAGCGTCCCTTTTGCCCTGCCAAGCCTCGAAGAGATTCCTGAGGTGTCCCTCGTTACTAGACAGGAGTCCTGACGTCACTGAAGAAACTCGTGTTTTGAAGGGCCTTCCCCGCCGTAAGTCGAGAACATACCCCAGGTCCCCGCCGCAACTCGAGAAAAACCATGAGACTTCCCCCTAGAGGCGAGATGAGGCCCCATTCCCCTGCAGTGCATGCAGAGCTATTCCGTGATCCCATTGAAACAAGTCAGGAGCTTCGACTTGCTTAATGGATCTCGAGACAGTCCCCAAGAACACTGTCACCAGTCTAGACGGACCCTGAGGTCACCCCAGCAACGCAAAGCAGTTCCATGTGCCCCAAATCAACTCGAGATGAGGCCCGATTCCCCTGCATTGACTCCAGAGCCATTCCCCGTTCCCCATTCAACACGACCGGTGGCTCGACTTCCTTCAGGCAACTCCAGAGATGCCCCGAGAACACTGTCCCAAGTCTAGAGGAACACCAACTTCAGCACAGCAACTCGAGGAATGCTCCGTGTACCACAAATCGTCTCGAAATGAGAGCTGATTCCCTGGCTTAGGCTCAAGACGTATACCAACTTCCCAGAAGCACGTCAGGAGGAGGCTTCTCTCAGCAATAGGTATGAGGGAGGGACCCCGAGTTTGCTGCCTCAAGGGCAATATACAGCGAGAAGCCCTAACTTGAAAGGAGGACGGATTTCCTTGCAGTGGCTTGAATACAGGCTCGTCTTTCATCTCACAACATGAAGGGATGTCTGAATCCCCTGTGGAGACCTTAGATAAAGCCCTAGGTGCCTGCCTCATTTTGACGGAATGCCTCACATCCCGCTGACACCTCGAGAGGCACGCGGAGTTCATTGCTTCAAAAGGTGACGATGCCTGACTCCTCTTGAATACTGATAGGAATCCCAAAATCCCTGTGGCTACTGGAAAGGGTCCTTGGGTGCCCTGCCTCACCTCGAGAAGCGTCCCTTTTGCCCTGCCAAGCCTCGAAGAGATTCCTGAGGTGTCCCTCGTTACTAGACAGGAGTCCTGACGTCACTGAAGAAACTCGTGTTTTGAAGGGCCATCCCCGCCGTACGTCGAGAAAATACCCCAGGTCCCCGCCGCAACTCGAGAAAAACCATGAGACTTCCCCCTAGAGGCGAGATGAGGCCCCATTCCCCTGCAGTGCATGCAGAGCTATTCCGTGATCCCATTCAAACAAGTCAGGAGCTTCGACTTGCTTAATGGATCTCGAGACAGTCCCCAAGAACACTGTCACCAGTCTACACGGACCCTGAGGTCACCCCAGCAACGCAAAGCAGCTCCATGTGCCCCAAATCAACTCGAGATGAGGCCCGATTCCCCTGCATTGACTCCAGAGCCATTCCCCGTTCCCCATTCAACACGACCGGTGGCTCGACTTCCTTCAGGTAACTCCAGAGATGCCCCGAGAACACTGTCCCAAGTCTAGAGGAACACCAACTTCAGCACAGCAACTCGAGGAATGCTCCGTGTACCCCAAATCGTCTCGAGATGAGAGCTGATTCCCTGGCTTAGGCTCAAGACGTATGCCAACTTCCCAGAAGCACCTCAGGAGGAGGCTTCTCTCAGCAATAGGTATGAGGGGGGGACGCCGAGTTTGCTGCCTCAAGGGCAATATACAGCGAGAAGCCCTAACTTGAAAGGAGGCCGGATTTCCTTGCAGTGGCTTGAATACAGGCTCGTCTTTCATCTCACAACATGAAGGGATGTCTGAATCCCCTGTGGAGACCTTAGAGAAAGCCCTAGGTCCCTGCCTCATTTTGACGGAATGCCTCACATCCCGCTGACACCTCGAGAGGCACGCGGAGTTCATTGCTTCAAAAGGTGACGATGCCTGACTCCTCTTGAATACTGATAGGAATCCCAAAATCCCTGTGGCTACTGGAAAGGGTCCTTGGGTGCCCTGCCTCACCTCGAGAAGCGTCCCTTTTGCCCTGCCAAGCCTCGAAGAGATTCCTGAGGTGTCCCTCGTTACTAGACAGGAGTCCTGACGTCACTGAAGAAACTCGTGTTTTGAAGGGCCATCCCCACCGTACGTCGAGAACATACCCCAGGTCCCCGCCGCAACTCGAGAAAAACCATGAGACTTCCCCCTAGAGGCGAGATGAGACCCATTCCCCTGCAGTGCATGCAGAGCTATTCCGTGATCCCATTCAAACAAGTCAGGAGCTTCGACTTGCTTAATGGATCTCGAGACAGTCCCCAAGAACACTGTCACCAGTCTAGACGGACCCTGAGGTCACCCCAGCAACGCAAAGCAGCTCCATGTGCCCCAAATCAACTCGAGATGAGGCCCGATTCCCCTGCATTGAATCCAGAGCCATTCCCCGTTCCCCATTCAACACGACCGGTGGCTCGACTTCCTTCAGGCAACTCCAGAGATGCCCCGAGAACACTGTCCCAAGTCTAGAGGAACACCAACTACAGCACAGCAACTCGAGGAATGCTCCGTGTACCCCAAATCGTCTCGAGATGAGAGCTGATTCCCTGGCTTAGGCTCAAGACGTATGCCAACTTCCCAGAAGGACCTCAGGAGGAGGCTTCTCTCAGCAATAGGTATGTGGGAGGGACCCCGAGTGTGCTGCCTCAAGGGCAATATACAGCGAGAAGCCCTAACTTGGAAGGAGGCCGGATTTCCTTGCAGTGGCTTGAATACAGGCTCGTCTTTCATCTCACAACATGAAGGGTGTCTGAATCCCCTGTGGAGACCATAGAGAAAGCCCTAGGTCCCTGCCTCATTTTGACGGAATGCCTCACATTCCGCTGACACCTCGAGAGGCACGCGGAGTTCATTGCTTCAAAAGGTGACGATGCCTGACTCCTCTTGAATACTGATAGGAATCCCAAAATCCCTGTGGCTACTGGAAAGGGTCCTTGGGTGCCCTGCCTCACCTCGAGAAGCGTCCCTTTTGCCCTGCCAAGCCTCGAAGAGATTCCTGAAGTGTCCCCAGTTACGAGACAGGAGTCCTGACGTCACTGAAGAAACTCGTGTTTTGAAGGGCCATCCCCGCCGTAAGTCGAGAACATACCCCAGGTCCCCGCCGCAACTCGAGAAAAACCATGAGACTTCCCCCTAGAGGCGAGATGAGACCCATTCACCTGCAGTGCATGCAGAGCTATTCCGTGATCCCATTCAAACAAGTCAGGAGCTTCGACTTGCTTAATGGATCTGGAGACAGTCCCCAAGAACACTGTCACCAGTCTAGACGGACCCTGAGGTCACCCCAGCAACGCAAAGCAGCTCCATGTGCTCCAAATCAACTCGAGATGAGGCCCGATTCCACTGCATTGACTCCAGAGCCATTCCCCGTTCCCCATTCAACAGGACCGGTGGCTCGACTTCCTTCAGGCAACTCCAGAGATGCCCCGAGAACACTCTCCCAAGTCTAGAAGAACACCAACTTCAGCACAGCAACTCGAGGAATGCTCCGTGTACCCCAAATCGTCTCGAGATGAGAGCTGATTCCCTGGCTTAGGCTCAAGACGTATGCCAACCTCCCAGAAGCACCTCAGGAGGAGGCTTCTCTCAGCAATAGGTATGAGGGAGGGACCCCGAGTTTGCTGCCTCAAGGGCAATATACAGCGAGAAGCCCTAACTTGAAAGGAGGCCGGATTTCCTTGCAGTGGCTTGAATACAGGCTCGTCTTTCATCTCACAACATGAAGGGATGTCTGAATCCCCTGTGGAGACCTTAGAGAAAGCCCTAGGTGCCTGCCTATTTTGACGGAATGCCTCACATCCCGCTGACACCTCGAGAGGCACGCGGAGTTCATTGCTTCAAAAGGTGACGATGCCTGACTCCTCTTGAATACTGATAGGAATCCCAAAATCCCTGTGGCTACTGGAAAGGGTCCTTGGGTGCCCTGCCTCACCTCGAGAAGCGTCCCTTTTGCCCTGCCAAGCCTCGAAGAGATTCCTGAGGTGTCCCTCGTTACTAGACAGGAGTCCTGACGTCACTGAAGAAACTCGTGTTTTGAAGGGCCATCCCCGCCGTAAGTCGAGAACATACCCCAGGTCCCCGCCGCAACTCGAGAAAAACCATTAGACTTCCCCCTAGAGGCGAGATGAGGCCCCATTCCCCTGCAGTGCATGCAGAGCTATTCCGTGATCCCATTCAAACAAGTCAGGAGCTTCGACTTGCTTAATGGATCTCGAGACAGTCCCCAAGAACACTGTCACCAGTCTAGACGGACCCTGAGGTCACCCCAGCAACGCAAAGCAGCTCCATGTGCCCCAAATCAACTCGAGATGAGGGCCGATTCCCCTGCATTGACCCCAGAGCCATTCCCCGTTCCCCATTCAACACGACCGGTGGCTCGACTTCCTTCAGGCAACTCCAGAGATGCCCCGAGAACACTGTCCCAAGTCTAGAGGAACACCAACTTAAGCACAGCAACTCGAGGAATGCTCCGTGTACCCCAAATCGTCTCGAGATGAGAGCTGATTCCCTGGTTTAGGTTCAAGACGTATGCCAACTTCCCAGAAGGACCTCAGGAGGAGTATTCTCTCAGCAATAGGTATGTGGTAGGGACCCCGAGTTTGCTGCCTCAAGGGCAATATACAGCGAGAAGCCCTACCTTGAAAGGAGGCCGGATTTCCTTGCAGGGGCTTGAATACAGGCTCGTCTTTCATCTCACAATATGAAGGGATGTCTGAATCCCCTGTGAAGACCTTAGAGAAAGCCCTAGGTCCCTGCCTCATTTTGACGGAATGACTCACATCCCGCTGACACCTCGAGAGGCACGCGGAGTTCATTGCTTCAAAAGGTGACGATGCCTGACTCCTCTTGAATACTGATAGGAATCCCAAAATCCCTGTGGCTACTGGAAAGGGTCCTTGGCTGCCCTGCCTCACCTCGAGAAGCGTCCCTTTTGCCCTGCCAAGCCTCGAAGAGATTCCTGAAGTGTCCCTCGTTACTAGACAGGAGTCCTGACGTCACTGAAGAAACTCGTGTTTTGAAGGGCCATCCCCGCCGTAAGTCGAGAACATACCCCAGGTCCCCGCCGCAACTCGAGAAAAACCATGAGACTTCCCCCTAGAGGCGAGATGAGACCCATTCACCTGCAGTGCATGCAGAGCTATTCCGTGATCCCATTCAAACAAGTCAGGAGCTTCGACTTGCTTAATGGATCTGGAGACAGTCCCCAAGAACACTGTCACCAGTCTAGACGGACCCTGAGGTCACCCCAGCAATGCAAAGCAGCTCCATGTGCCCCAAATCAACTCGAGATGAGGCCCGATTCCCCTGCATTGACTCCAGAGCCATTCCCCGTTCCCCATTCAACACGACCGGTGGCTCGACTTCCTTCAGGCAACTCCAGAGATGCCCCGAGAACACTGTCCCAAGTCTAGAGGAACACCAACTTCAGCACAGCAACTAGAGGAATGCTCCGTGTACCCCAAATCGTCTCGAGATGAGAGCTGATTCCCTGGCTTAGGCTCAAGACGTATGCCAACTTCCCAGAAGCACCTCAGGAGGAGGCTTCTCTCAGCAATAGGTATGTGGGAGGGACCCCGAGTTTGCTACCTCAAGGCCAATATACAGCGAGAAGCCCTAACTTGAAAGGAGGCCGGATTTCCTTGCAGTGGCTTGAATACAGGCTCGTCTTTCATCTCACAACATGAAGGGATGTCTGAATCCCCTGTGGAGACCTTAGAGAAAGCCCTAGGTCCCTGCCTCATTTTGACGGAATGCCTCACATCCCGCTGACACCTCGAGAGGCACGCGGAGTTCATTGCTTCAAAAGGTGACGATGCCTGACTCCTCTTGAATACTGATAGGAATCCCAAAATCCCTGTGGCTACTGGAAAGGGTCCTTGGGTGCCCTGCCTCACCTCGAGAAGCGTCCCTTTTGCCCTGCCAAGCCTCGAAGAGATTCCTGAGGTGTCCCTCGTTACTAGAAAGGAGTCCTGACGTCACTGAAGAAACTCGTGTTTTGAAGGGCCATCCCCGCCGTAAGTCGAGAACATACCCCAGGTCCCCGCCGCAACTCGAGAAAAACCATGAGACTTCCCCCTAGAGGCGAGATGAGACCCATTCCCCTGCAGTGCATGCAGAGCTATTCCGTGATCCCATTCAAACAAGTCAGGAGCTTCGACTTGCTTAATGGATCTCGAGACAGTCCCCAAGAACACTGTCACCAGTCTAGACGGACCCTGAGGTCACCCCAGCAACGCAAAGCAGCTCCATGTGCCCCAAATCAACTCGAGATGAGGCCCGATTCCCCTGCATTGAATCCAGAGCCATTCCCCGTTCCCCATTCAACACGACCGGTGGCTCGACTTCCTTCAGGCAACTCCAGAGATGCCCCGAGAACACTGTCCCAAGTCTAGAGGAACACCAACTTCAGCACAGCAACTCGAGGAATGCTCTGTGTACCCCAAATCGTCTCGAGATGAGAGCTGATTCCCTGGCTTAGGCTCAAGCCGTATGCCAACTTCCCAGAAGGACCTCAGGAGGAGGCTTCTCTCAGCAATAGGTATGTGGGAGGGACCCCGAGTTTGCTGCCTCAAGGGGAATATACAGCGAGAAGCCCTAACTTGAAAGGAGGCCGGATTTCCTTGCAGTGGCTTGAATACAGGCTCGTCTTTCATCTCAAAATATGAAGGGTGTCTGAATCCCCTGTGGAGACCTTAGAGAAAGCCCTAGGTCCCTGCCTCATTTTGACGGAATGCCTCACATTCCGCTGACACCTCGAGAGGCACGCGGAGTTCATTGCTTCAAAAGGTGACGATGCCTGACTCCTCTTGAATACTGATAGGAATCCCAAAATCCCTGTGGCTACTGGAAAGGGTCCTTGGGTGCCCTGCCTCACCTCGAGAAGCGTCCCTTTTGCCCTGCCAAGCCTCGAAGAGATTCCTGGGGTGTCCCTCGTTAGTAGACAGGAGTCCTGACGTCACTGAAGAAACTCGTGTTTTGAAGGGCCATCCCCGCCGTAAGTCGAGAACATAACCCAGGTCCCCGCCGCAACTCGAGAAAAACCATGAGACTTCCCCCTAGAGGCGAGATGAGGACCCATTCCCCTGCAGTGCATGCAGAGCTATTCCGTGATCCCATTCAAACAAGTCAGGAGCTTCGACTTGCTTAATGGATCTCGAGACAGTCCCCAAGAACACTGTCACCAGTCTACACGGACCCTGAGGTCACCCCAGCAACGCAAAGCAGCTCCATGTGCCCCAAATCAACTCAAGATGAGGCCCGATTCCCCTGCATTGACTCCAGAGCCATTCCCCGTTCCCCATTCAACACGACCGGTGGCTCGACTTCCTTCACGCAACTCCAGAGATGCCCCGAGAACACTGTCCCAAGTCTAGAGGAACACCAACTTCAGCACAGCAACTCGAGGAATGCTCCGTGTACCCCAAATCGTCTCGAGATGAGAGCTGATTCCCTGGCTTAGGCTCAAGCGGTATGCCAACTTCCCAGAAGCACCTCAGGAGGAGGCTTCTCTCAGCAATAGGTATGAGGGAGGGACCCCGAGTTTGCTGCCTCAAGGGCAATATACAGCGAGAAGCCCTAACTTGAAAGGAGGCCGGATTTCCTTGCAGTGGCTTGAATACAGGCTCGTCTTTCATCTCACAACATGAAGGGATGTCTGAATCCCCTGTGGAGACCTTAGAGAAAGCCCTAGGTGCCTGCCTCATTTTGACGGAATGCCTCACATCCCGCTGACACCTCGAGAGGCACGCGGAGTTCATTGCTTCAAAAGGTGACGATGCCTGACTCCTCTTGAATACTGATAGGAATCTCAAAATCCCTGTGGCTACTGGAAAGGGTCCTTGGGTGCCCTGCCTCACCTCGAGAAGCGTCCCTTTTGCCCTGCCAAGCCTCGAAGAGATTCCTGAGGTGTCCCTCGTTACTAGACAGGAGTCCTGACGTCACTGAAGAAACTCGTGTTTTGAAGGGCCATCCCCGCCGTAAGTCGAGAACATACCCCAGGTCCCCGCCGCAACTCGAGAAAAACCATGAGACTTCCCCCTAGAGGCGAGATGAGACCCATTCCCCTGCAGTGCATGCAGAGCTATTCCGTGATCCCATTCAAACAAGTCAGGAGCTTCGACTTGCTTAATGGATCTCGAGACAGTCCCCAAGAACACTGTCACCAGTCTACACGGACCCTGAGGTCACCCCAGCAACGCAAAGCAGCTCCATGTGCCCCAAATCAACTCGAGATGAGGCCCGATTCCCCTGAATTGAATCCAGAGCCATTCCCCGTTCCCCATTCAACACGACCGGTGGCTCGACTTCCTTCAGGCAACTCCAGAGATGCCCCGAGAACACTGTCCCAAGTCTAGAGGAACACCAACTTCAGCACAGCAACTCGAGGAATGCTCTGTGTACCCCAAATCGTCTCGAGATGAGAGCTGATTCCCTGGCTTAGGCTCAAGCCGTATGCCAACTTCCCAGAAGGACCTCAGGAGGAGGCTTCTCTCAGCAATAGGTATGTGGGAGGGACCCCGAGTTTGCTGCCTCAAGGGGAATATACAGCGAGAAGCCCTAACTTGAAAGGAGGCCGGATTTCCTTGCAGTGGCTTGAATACAGGCTCGTCTTTCATCTCAAAATATGAAGGGTGTCTGAATCCCCTGTGGAGACCTTAGAGAAAGCCCTAGGTCCCTGCCTCATTTTGACGGAATGCCTCACATTCCGCTGACACCTCGAGAGGCACGCGGAGTTCATTGCTTCAAAAGGTGACGATGCCTGACTCCTCTTGAATACTGATAGGAATCCCAAAATCCCTGTGGCTACTGGAAAGGGTCCTTGGGTGCCCTGCCTCACCTCGAGAAGCGTCCCTTTTGCCCTGCCAAGCCTCGAAGAGATTCCTGGGGTGTCCCTCGTTAGTAGACAGGAGTCCTGACGTCACTGAAGAAACTCGTGTTTTGAAGGGCCATCCCCGCCGTAAGTCGAGAACATACCCCAGGTCCCCGCCGCAACTCGAGAAAAACCATGAGACTTCCCCCTAGAGGCGAGATGAGGCCCCATTCCCCTGCAGTGCATGCAGAGCTATTCCGTGATCCCATTCAAACAAGTCAGGAGCTTCGACTTGCTTAATGGATCTCGAGACAGTCCCCAAGAACACTGTCACCAGTCTACACGGACCCTGAGGTCACCCCAGCAACGCAAAGCAGCTCCATGTGCCCCAAATCAACTCGAGATGAGGCCCAATTCCCCTGCATTGACTCCAGAGCCATTCCCCGTTCCCCATTCAACACGACCGGTGGCTCGACTTCCTTCACGCAACTCCAGAGATGCCCCGAGAACACTGTCCCAAGTCTAGAGGAACACCAACTTCAGCACAGCAACTTGAGGAATGCTCCGTGTACCCCAAATCGTATCGAGATGAGAGCTGATTCCCTGGCTTAGGCTCAAGACGTATGCCAACTTCCCAGAAGCACCTCAGGAGGAGGCTTCTCTCAGCAATAGGTATGAGGGAAGGACCCCGAGTTTGCTGCCTCAAGGGCAATATACAGTGAGAAGCCCTAACTTGAAAGGAGGCCGGATTTCCTTGCAGTGGCTTGAATACAGGATCGTCTTTCATCTCACAACATGAAGGGATGTCTGAATCCCCTGTGGAGACCTTAGAGAAAGCCCTTTGTCCCTGCCTCATTTTGACGGAATGCCTCACAACCCGCTGACACCTCGAGAGGCACGCGGAGTTCATTGCTTCAAAAGGTGACGATGCCTGACTCCTCTTGAATACTGATAGGAATCCCAAAATCCCTGTGGCTACTGGAAAGGGTCCTTGGGTGCCCTGCCTCACCTCGAGAAGCGTCCCTTTTGCCCTGCCAAGCCTCGAAGAGATTCCTGAGGTGTCCCTCGTTACTAGACAGGAGTCCTGACGTCACTGAAGAAACTCGTGTTTTGAAGGGCCATCCCCGCCGTAAGTCGAGAACATACCCCAGGTCCCCGCCGCAACTCGAGAAAAACCATGAGACTTCCCCCTAGAGGCGAGATGAGACCCATTCCCCTGCAGTGCATGCAGAGCTATTCCGTGATCCCATTCAAACAAGTCAGGAGCTTCGACTTGCTTAATGGATCTCGAGACAGTCCCCAAGAACACTGTCACCAGTCTACACGGACCCTGAGGTCACCCCAGCAACGCAAAGCAGCTCCATGTGCCCCAAATCAACTCGAGATGAGGCCCGATTCCCCTGCATTGAATCCAGAGCCATTCCCCGTTCCCCATTCAACACGACCGGTGGCTCGACTTCCTTCAGGCAACTCCAGAGATGCCCCGAGAACACTGTCCCAAGTCTAGAGGAACACCAACTTCAGCACAGCAACTCGAGGAATGCTCTGTGTACCCCAAATCGTCTCGAGATGAGAGCTGATTCCCTGGCTTAGGCTCAAGCCGTATGCCAACTTCCCAGAAGGACCTCAGGAGGAGGCTTCTCTCAGCAATAGGTATGTGGGAGGGTCCCCGAGTTTGCTGCCTCAAGGGGAATATACAGCGAGAAGCCCTAACTTGAAAGGAGGCCGGATTTCCTTGCAGTGGCTTGAATACAGGCTCGTCTTTCATCTCAAAATATGAAGGGTGTCTGAATCCCCTGTGGAGACCTTAGAGAAAGCCCTAGGTCCCTGCCTCATTTTGACGGAATGCCTCACATTCCGCTGACACCTCGAGAGGCACGCGGAGTTCATTGCTTCAAAAGGTGACGATGCCTGACTCCTCTTGAATACTGATAGGAATCCCAAAATCCCTGTGGCTACTGGAAAGGGTCCTTGGGTGCCCTGCCTCACCTCGAGAAGCGTCCCTTTTGCCCTGCCAAGCCTCGAAGAGATTCCTGGGGTGTCCCTCGTTAGTAGACAGGAGTCCTGACGTCACTGAAGAAACTCGTGTTTTGAAGGGCCATCCCCGCCGTAAGTCGAGAACATACCCCAGGTCCCCGCCGCAACTCGAGAAAAACCATGAGACTTCCCCCTAGAGGCGAGATGAGGCCCCATTCCCCTGCAGTGCATGCAGAGCTATTCCGTGATCCCATTCAAACAAGTCAGGAGCTTCGACTTGCTTAATGGATCTCGAGACAGTCCCCAAGAACACTGTCACCAGTCTACACGGACCCTGAGGTCACCCCAGCAACGCAAAGCAGCTCCATGTGCCCCAAATCAACTCGAGATGAGGCCCGATTCCCCTGCATTGAATCCAGAGCCATTCCCCGTTCCCCATTCAACACGACCGGTGGCTCGACTTCCTTCAGGCAACTCCAGAGATGCCCCGAGAACACTGTCCCAAGTCTAGAGGAACACCAACTTCAGCACAGCAACTCGAGGAATGCTCCGTGTACCCCAAATCGTCTCGAGATGAGAGCTGATTCCCTGGCTTAGGCTCAAGCCGTATGCCAACTTCCCAGAAGGACCTCAGGAGGAGGCTTCTCTCAGCAATAGGTATGTGGGAGGGACCCCGAGTTTGCTGCCTCAAGGGGAATATACAGCGAGAAGCCCTAACTTGAAAGGAGGCCGGATTTCCTTGCAGTGGCTTGAATACAGGCTCGTCTTTCATCTCAAAATATGAAGGGTGTCTGAATCCCCTGTGGAGACCTTAGAGAAAGCCCTAGGTCCCTGCCTCATTTTGACGGAATGCCTCACATTCCGCTGACACCTCGAGAGGCACGCGGAGTTCATTGCTTCAAAAGGTGACGATGCCTGACTCCTCTTGAATACTGATAGGAATCCCAAAATCCCTGTGGCTACTGGAAAGGGTCCTTGGGTGCCCTGCCTCACTTCGAGAAGCGTCCCTTTTGCCCTGCCAAGCCTCGAAGAGATTCCTGGGGTGTCCCTCGTTAGTAGACAGGAGTCCTGACGTCACTGAAGAAACTCGTGTTTTGAAGGGCCATCCCCGCCGTAAGTCGAGAACATACCCCAGGTCCCCGCCGCAACTCGAGAAAAACCATGAGACTTCCCCCTAGAGGCGAGATGAGGCCCCATTCCCCTGCAGTGCATGCAGAGCTATTCCGTGATCCCATTCAAACAAGTCAGGAGCTTCGACTTGCTTAATGGATCTCGAGACAGTCCCCAAGAACACTGTCACCAGTCTAGACGGACCCTGAGGTCACCCCAGCAACGCAAAGCAGCTCCATGTGCCCCAAATCAACTCGAGATGAGGCCCGATTCCCCTGCATTGACTCCAGAGCCATTCCCCGTTCCCCATTCAACACGACCGGTGGCTCGACTTCCTTCACGCAACTCCAGAGATGCCCCGAGAACACTGTCCCAAGTCTAGAGGAACACCAACTTCAGCACAGCAACTCGAGGAATGCTCCGTGTACCCCAAATCGTCTCGAGATGAGAGCTGATTCCCTGGCTTAGGCTCAAGACGTATGCCAACTTCCCAGAAGCACCTCAGGAGGAGGCTTCTCTCAGCAATAGGTATGAGGGAAGGACCCCGAGTTTGCTGCCTCAAGGGCAATATACAGCGAGAAGCCCTAACTTGAAAGGAGGCCGGATTTCCTTGCAGTGGCTTGAATACAGGCTCGTCTTTCATCTCACAACATGAAGGGATGTCTGAATCCCCTGTGGAGACCTTAGAGAAAGCCCTTTGTCCCTGCCTCATTTTGACGGAATGCCTCACAACCCGCTGACACCTCGAGAGGCACGCGGAGTTCATTGCTTCAAAAGGTGACGATGCCTGACTCCTCTTGAATACTGATAGGAATCCCAAAATCCCTGTGGCTACTGGAAAGGGTCCTTGGGTGCCCTGCCTCACCTCGAGAAGCGTCCCTTTTGCCCTGCCAAGCCTCGAAGAGATTCCTGAGGTGTCCCTCGTTACTAGACAGGAGTCCTGACGTCACTGAAGAAACTCGTGTTTTGAAGGGCCATCCCCGCCGTAAGTCGAGAACATACCCCAGGTCCCCGCCGCAACTCGAGAAAAACCATGAGACTTCCCCCTAGAGGCGAGATGAGACCCATTCCCCTGCAGTGCATGCAGAGCTATTCCGTGATCCCATTCAAACAAGTCAGGAGCTTCGACTTGCTTAATGGATCTCGAGACAGTCCCCAAGAACACTGTCACCAGTCTACACGGACCCTGAGGTCACCCCAGCAACGCAAAGCAGCTCCATGTGCCCCAAATCAACTCGAGATGAGGCCCGATTCCCCTGCATTGAATCCAGAGCCATTCCCCGTTCCCCATTCAACACGACCGGTGGCTCGACTTCCTTCAGGCAACTCCAGAGATGCCCCGAGAACACTGTCCCAAGTCTAGAGGAACACCAACTTCAGCACAGCAACTCGAGGAATGCTCTGTGTACCCCAAATCGTCTCGAGATGAGAGCTGATTCCCTGGCTTAGGCTCAAGCCGTATGCCAACTTCCCAGAAGGACCTCAGGAGGAGGCTTCTCTCAGCAATAGGTATGTGGGAGGGACCCCGAGTTTGCTGCCTCAAGGGGAATATACAGCGAGAAGCCCTAACTTGAAAGGAGGCCGGATTTCCTTGCAGTGGCTTGAATACAGGCTCGTCTTTCATCTCAAAATATGAAGGGTGTCTGAATCCCCTGTGGAGACCTTAGAGAAAGCACTAGGTCCCTGCCTCATTTTGACGGAATGCCTCACATTCCGCTGACACCTCGAGAGGCACGCGGAGTTCATTGCTTCAAAAGGTGACGATGCCTGACTCCTCTTGAATACTGATAGGAATCCCAAAATCCCTGTGGCTACTGGAAAGGGTCCTTGGGTGCCCTGCCTCACCTCGAGAAGCGTCCCTTTTGCCCTGCCAAGCCTCGAAGAGATTCCTGGGGTGTCCCTCGTTAGTAGACAGGAGTCCTGACGTCACTGAAGAAACTCGTGTTTTGAAGGGCCATCCCCGCCGTAAGTCGAGAACATACCCCAGGTCCCCGCCGCAACTCGAGAAAAACCATGAGACTTCCCCCTAGAGGCGAGATGAGGCCCCATTCCCCTGCAGTGCATGCAGAGCTATTCCGTGATCCCATTCAAACAAGTCAGGAGCTTCGACTTGCTTAATGGATCTCGAGACAGTCCCCAAGAACACTGTCACCAGTCTACACGGACCCTGAGGTCACCCCAGCAACGCAAAGCAGCTCCATGTGCCCCAAATCAACTCGAGATGAGGCCCGATTCCCCTGCATTGACTCCAGAGCCATTCCCCGTTCCCCATTCAACACGACCGGTGGCTCGACTTCCTTCACGCAACTCCAGAGATGCCCCGAGAACACTGTCCCAAGTCTAGAGGAACACCAACTTCAGCACAGCAACTCGAGGAATGCTCCGTGTACCCCAAATCGTATCGAGATGAGAGCTGATTCCCTGGCTTAGGCTCAAGACGTATGCCAACTTCCCAGAAGCACCTCAGGAGGAGGCTTCTCTCAGCAATAGGTATGAGGGAAGGACCCCGAGTTTGCTGCCTCAAGGGCAATATACAGTGAGAAGCCCTAACTTGAAAGGAGGCCGGATTTCCTTGCAGTGGCTTGAATACAGGCTCGTCTTTCATCTCACAACATGAAGGGATGTCTGAATCCCCTGTGGAGACCTTAGAGAAAGCCCTTTGTCCCTGCCTCATTTTGACGGAATGCCTCACAACCCGCTGACACCTCGAGAGGCACGCGGAGTTCATTGCTTCAAAAGGTGACGATGCCTGACTCCTCTTGAATACTGATAGGAATCCCAAAATCCCTGTGGCTACTGGAAAGGGTCCTTGGGTGCCCTGCCTCACCTCGAGAAGCGTCCCTTTTGCCCTGCCAAGCCTCGAAGAGATTCCTGAGGTGTCCCTCGTTACTAGACAGGAGTCCTGACGTCACTGAAGAAACTCGTGTTTTGAAGGGCCATCCCCGCCGTAAGTCGAGAACATACCCCAGGTCCCCGCCGCAACTCGAGAAAAACCATGAGACTTCCCCCTAGAGGCGAGATGAGACCCATTCCCCTGCAGTGCATGCAGAGCTATTCCGTGATCCCATTCAAACAAGTCAGGAGCTTCGACTTGCTTAATGGATCTCGAGACAGTCCCCAAGAACACTGTCACCAGTCTACACGGACCCTGAGGTCACCCCAGCAACGCAAAGCAGCTCCATGTGCCCCAAATCAACTCGAGATGAGGCCCGATTCCCCTGCATTGAATCCAGAGCCATTCCCCGTTCCCCATTCAACACGACCGGTGGCTCGACTTCCTTCAGGCAACTCCAGAGATGCCCCGAGAACACTGTCCCAAGTCTAGAGGAACACCAACTTCAGCACAGCAACTCGAGGAATGCTCTGTGTACCCCAAATCGTCTCGAGATGAGAGCTGATTCCCTGGCTTAGGCTCAAGCCGTATGCCAACTTCCCAGAAGGACCTCAGGAGGAGGCTTCTCTCAGCAATAGGTATGTGGGAGGGTCCCCGAGTTTGCTGCCTCAAGGGGAATATACAGCGAGAAGCCCTAACTTGAATGGAGGCCGGATTTCCTTGCAGTGGCTTGAATACAGGCTCGTCTTTCATCTCAAAATATGAAGGGTGTCTGAATCCCCTGTGGAGACCTTAGAGAAAGCCCTAGGTCCCTGCCTCATTTTGACGGAATGCCTCACATTCCGCTGACACCTCGAGAGGCACGCGGAGTTCATTGCTTCAAAAGGTGACGATGCCTGACTCCTCTTGAATACTGATAGGAATCCCAAAATCCCTGTGGCTACTGGAAAGGGTCCTTGGGTGCCCTGCCTCACCTCGAGAAGCGTCCCTTTTGCCCTGCCAAGCCTCGAAGAGATTCCTGGGGTGTCCCTCGTTAGTAGACAGGAGTCCTGACGTCACTGAAGAAACTCGTGTTTTGAAGGGCCATCCCCGCCGTAAGTCGAGAACATACCCCAGGTCCCCGCCGCAACTCGAGAAAAACCATGAGACTTCCCCCTAGAGGCGAGATGAGGCCCCATTCCCCTGCAGTGCATGCAGAGCTATTCCGTGATCCCATTCAAACAAGTCAGGAGCTTCGACTTGCTTAATGGATCTCGAGACAGTCCCCAAGAACACTGTCACCAGTCTACACGGACCCTGAGGTCACCCCAGCAAGGCAAAGCAGCTCCATGTGCCCCAAATCAACTCGAGATGAGGCCCGATTCCCCTGCATTGAATCCAGAGCCATTCCCCGTTCCCCATTCAACACGACCGGTGGCTCGACTTCCTTCAGGCAACTCCAGAGATGCCCCGAGAACACTGTCCCAAGTCTAGAGGAACACCAACTTCAGCACAGCAACTCGAGGAATGCTCCGTGTACCCCAAATCGTCTCGAGATGAGAGCTGATTCCCTGGCTTAGGCTCAAGCCGTATGCCAACTTCCCAGAAGGACCTCAGGAGGAGGCTTCTCTCAGCAATAGGTATGTGGGAGGGACCCCGAGTTTGCTGCCTCAAGGGGAATATACAGCGAGAAGCCCTAACTTGAAAGGAGGCCGGATTTCCTTGCAGTGGCTTGAATACAGGCTCGTCTTTCATCTCAAAATATGAAGGGTGTCTGAATCCCCTGTGGAGACCTTAGAGAAAGCCCTAGGTCCCTGCCTCATTTTGACGGAATGCCTCACATTCCGCTGACACCTCGAGAGGCACGCGGAGTTCATTGCTTCAAAAGGTGACGATGCCTGACTCCTCTTGAATACTGATAGGAATCCCAAAATCCCTGTGGCTACTGGAAAGGGTCCTTGGGTGCCCTGCCTCACTTCGAGAAGCGTCCCTTTTGCCCTGCCAAGCCTCGAAGAGATTCCTGGGGTGTCCCTCGTTAGTAGACAGGAGTCCTGACGTCACTGAAGAAACTCGTGTTTTGAAGGGCCATCCCCGCCGTAAGTCGAGAACATACCCCAGGTCCCCGCCGCAACTCGAGAAAAACCATGAGACTTCCCCCTAGAGGCGAGATGAGGCCCCATTCCCCTGCAGTGCATGCAGAGCTATTCCGTGATCCCATTCAAACAAGTCAGGAGCTTCGACTTGCTTAATGGATCTCGAGACAGTCCCCAAGAACACTGTCACCAGTCTACACGGACCCTGAGGTCACCCCAGCAACGCAAAGCAGCTCCATGTGCCCCAAATCAACTCGAGATGAGGCCCGATTCCCCTGCATTGACTCCAGAGCCATTCCCCGTTCCCCATTCAACACGACCGGTGGCTCGACTTCCTTCACGCAACTCCAGAGATGCCCCGAGAACACTGTCCCAAGTCTAGAGGAACACCAACTTCAGCACAGCAACTCGAGGAATGCTCCGTGTACCCCAAATCGTCTCGAGATGAGAGCTGATTCCCTGGCTTAGGCTCAAGACGTATGCCAACTTCCCAGAAGCACCTCAGGAGGAGGCTTCTCTCAGCAATAGGTATGAGGGAAGGACCCCGAGTTTGCTGCCTCAAGGGCAATATACAGCGAGAAGCCCTAACTTGAAAGGAGGCCGGATTTCCTTGCAGTGGCTTGAATACAGGCTCGTCTTTCATCTCACAACATGAAGGGATGTCTGAATCCCCTGTGGAGACCTTAGAGAAAGCCCTTTGTCCCTGCCTCATTTTGACGGAATGCCTCACAACCCGCTGACACCTCGAGAGGCACGCGGAGTTCATTGCTTCAAAAGGTGACGATGCCTGACTCCTCTTGAATACTGATAGGAATCCCAAAATCCCTGTGGCTACTGGAAAGGGTCCTTGGGTGCCCTGCCTCACCTCGAGAAGCGTCCCTTTTGCCCTGCCAAGCCTCGAAGAGATTCCTGAGGTGTCCCTCGTTACTAGACAGGAGTCCTGACGTCACTGAAGAAACTCGTGTTTTGAAGGGCCATCCCCGCCGTAAGTCGAGAACATACCCCAGGTCCCCGCCGCAACTCGAGAAAAACCATGAGACTTCCCCCTAGAGGCGAGATGAGACCCATTCCCCTGCAGTGCATGCAGAGCTATTCCGTGATCCCATTCAAACAAGTCAGGAGCTTCGACTTGCTTAATGGATCTCGAGACAGTCCCCAAGAACACTGTCACCAGTCTAGACGGACCCTGAGGTCACCCCAGCAACGCAAAGCAGCTCCATGTGCCCCAAATCAACTCGAGATGAGGCCCGATTCCCCTGCATTGACTCCAGAGCCATTCCCCGTTCCCCATTCAACACGACCGGTGGCTCGACTTCCTTCACGCAACTCCAGAGATGCCCCGAGAACACTGTCCCAAGTCTAGAGGAACACCAACTTCAGCACAGCAACTCGAGGAATGCTCCGTGTACCCCAAATCGTCTCGAGATGAGAGCTGATTCCCTGGCTTAGGCTCAAGACGTATGCCAACTTCCCAGAAGCACCTCAGGAGGAGGCTTCTCTCAGCAATAGGTATGAGGGAAGGACCCCGAGTTTGCTGCCTCAAGGGCAATATACAGCGAGAAGCCCTAACTTGAAAGGAGGCCGGATTTCCTTGCAGTGGCTTGAATACAGGCTCGTCTTTCATCTCACAACATGAAGGGATGTCTGAATCCCCTGTGGAGACCTTAGAGAAAGCCCTTTGTCCCTGCCTCATTTTGACGGAATGCCTCACAACCCGCTGACACCTCGAGAGGCACGCGGAGTTCATTGCTTCAAAAGGTGACGATGCCTGACTCCTCTTGAATACTGATAGGAATCCCAAAATCCCTGTGGCTACTGGAAAGGGTCCTTGGGTGCCCTGCCTCACCTCGAGAAGCGTCCCTTTTGCCCTGCCAAGCCTCGAAGAGATTCCTGAGGTGTCCCTCGTTACTAGACAGGAGTCCTGACGTCACTGAAGAAACTCGTGTTTTGAAGGGCCATCCCCGCCGTAAGTCGAGAACATACCCCAGGTCCCCGCCGCGACTCGAGAAAAACCATGAGACTTCCCCCTAGAGGCGAGATGAGACCCATTCCCCTGCAGTGCATGCAGAGCTATTCCGTGATCCCATTCAAACAAGTCAGGAGCTTCGACTTGCTTAATGGATCTCGAGACAGTCCCCAAGAACACTGTCACCAGTCTACACGGACCCTGAGGTCACCCCAGCAACGCAAAGCAGCTCCATGTGCCCCAAATCAACTCGAGATGAGGCCCGATTCCCCTGCATTGAATCCAGAGCCATTCCCCGTTCCCCATTCAACACGACCGGTGGCTCGACTTCCTTCAGGCAACTCCAGAGATGCCCCGAGAACACTGTCCCAAGTCTAGAGGAACACCAACTTCAGCACAGCAACTCGAGGAATGCTCTGTGTACCCCAAATCGTCTCGAGATGAGAGCTGATTCCCTGGCTTAGGCTCAAGCCGTATGCCAACTTCCCAGAAGGACCTCAGGAGGAGGCTTCTCTCAGCAATAGGTATGTGGGAGGGACCCCGAGTTTGCTGCCTCAAGGGGAATATACAGCGAGAAGCCCTAACTTGAAAGGAGGCCGGATTTCCTTGCAGTGGCTTGAATACAGGCTCGTCTTTCATCTCAAAATATGAAGGGTGTCTGAATCCCCTGTGGAGACCTTAGAGAAAGCCCTAGGTCCCTGCCTCATTTTGACGGAATGCCTCACATTCCGCTGACACCTCGAGAGGCACGCGGAGTTCATTGCTTCAAAAGGTGACGATGCCTGACTCCTCTTGAATACTGATAGGAATCCCAAAATCCCTGTGGCTACTGGAAAGGGTCCTTGGGTGCCCTGCCTCACCTCGAGAAGCGTCCCTTTTGCCCTGCCAAGCCTCGAAGAGATTCCTGGGGTGTCCCTCGTTAGTAGACAGGAGTCCTGACGTCACTGAAGAAACTCGTGTTTTGAAGGGCCATCCCCGCCGTAAGTCGAGAACATACCCCAGGTCCCCGCCGCAACTCGAGAAAAACCATGAGACTTCCCCCTAGAGGCGAGATGAGACCCATTCCCCTGCAGTGCATGCAGAGCTATTCCGTGATCCCATTCAAACAAGTCAGGAGCTTCGACTTGCTTAATGGATCTCGAGACAGTCCCCAAGAACACTGTCACCAGTCTAGACGGACCCTGAGGTCACCCCAGCAACGCAAAGCAGCTCCATGTGCCCCAAATCAACTCGAGATGAGGCCCGATTCCCCTGCATTGAATCCAGAGCCATTCCCCGTTCCCCATTCAACACGACCGGTGGCTCGACTTCCTTCAGGCAACTCCAGAGATGCCCCGAGAACACTGTCCCAAGTCTAGAGGAACACCAACTTCAGCACAGCAACTCGAGGAATGCTCTGTGTACCCCAAATCGTCTCGAGATGAGAGCTGATTCCCTGGCTTAGGCTCAAGCCGTATGCCAACTTCCCAGAAGGACCTCAGGAGGAGGCTTCTCTCAGCAATAGGTATGTGGGAGGGACCCCGAGTTTGCTGCCTCAAGGGGAATATACAGCGAGAAGCCCTAATTTGAAAGGAGGCCGGATTTCCTTGCAGTGGCTTGAATACAGGCTCGTCTTTCATCTCAAAATATGAAGGGTGTCTGAATCCCCTGTGGAGACCTTAGAGAAAGCCCTAGGTCCCTGCCTCATTTTGACGGAATGCCTCACATTCCGCTGACACCTCGAGAGGCACGCGGAGTTCATTGCTTCAAAAGGTGACGATGCCTGACTCCTCTTGAATACTGATAGGAATCCCAAAATCCCTGTGGCTACTGGAAAGGGTCCTTGGGTGCCCTGCCTCACCTCGAGAAGCGTCCCTTTTGCCCTGCCAAGCCTCGAAGAGATTCCTGGGGTGTCCCTCGTTAGTAGACAGGAGTCCTGACGTCACTGAAGAAACTCGTGTTTTGAAGGGCCATCCCCGCCGTAAGTCGAGAACATACCCCAGGTCCCCGCCGCAACTCGAGAAAAACCATGAGACTTCCCCCTAGAGGCGAGATGAGGCCCCATTCTCCTGCAGTGCATGCAGAGCTATTCCGTGATCCCATTCAAACAAGTCAGGAGCTTCGACTTGCTTAATGGATCTCGAGACAGTCCCCAAGAACACTGTCACCAGTCTACACGGACCCTGAGGTCACCCCAGCAACGCAAAGCAGCTCCATGTGCCCCAAATCAACTCGAGATGAGGCCCGATTCCCCTCCATTGAATCCAGAGCCATTCCCCGTTCCCCATTCAACACGACCGGTGGCTCGACTTCCTTCACGCAACTCCAGAGATGCCCCGAGAACACTGTCCCAAGTCTAGAGGAACACCAACTTCAGCACAGCAACTCGAGGAATGCTCCGTGTACCCCAAATCGTCTCGAGATGAGAGCTGATTCCCTGGCTTAGGCTCAAGACGTATGCCAACTTCCCAGAAGCACCTCAGGAGGAGGCTTCTCTCAGCAATAGGTATGAGGGAGGGACCCCGAGTTTGCTGCCTCAAGGGCAATATACAGCGAGAAGCCCTAACTTGAAAGGAGGCCGGATTTCCTTGCAGTGGCTTGAATACAGGCTCGTCTTTCATCTCACAACATCAAGAGATGTCTGAATCCCCTGTGGAGACCTTAGAGAAAGCCCTTTGTCCCTGCCTCATTTTGACGGAATGCCTCACAACCCGCTGACACCTCGAGAGGCACGCGGAGTTCATTGCTTCAAAAGGTGACGATGCCTGACTCCTCTTGAATACTGATAGGAATCCCAAAATCCCTGTGGCTACTGGAAAGGGTCCTTGGGTGCCCTGCCTCACCTCGAGAAGCGTCCCTTTTGCCCTGCCAAGCCTCGAAGAGATTCCTGAGGTGTCCCTCGTTACTAGACAGGAGTCCTGACGTCACTGAAGAAACTCGTGTTTTGAAGGGCCATCCCCGCCGTAAGTCGAGAACATACCCCAGGTCCCCGCCGCAACTCGAGAAAAACCATGAGACTTCCCCCTAGAGGCGAGTTGAGGCCCCATTCCCCTGCAGTGCATGCAGAGCTATTCCGTGATCCCATTCAAACAAGTCAGGAGCTTCGACTTGCTTAATGGATCTCGAGACAGTCCCCAAGAACACTGTCACCAGTCTAGACGGACCCTGAGGTCACCCCAGCAACGCAAAGCAGCTCCATGTGCCCCATATCAACTCGAAGTGAGGCCCGATTCCCCTGCATTGACTCCAGAGCCATTCCCCGTTCCCCACTCAACACGACCGGTGGCTCGACTTCCTTCAGGCAACTCCAGAGATGCCCCGAGAACACTGTCCCAAGTCTAGAGGAACACCAACTTCAGCACAGCAACTCGAGGAATGCTCCGTGTACCCCAAATCGTCTCGAGATGAGAGCTGATTCCCTGGCTTAGGTTCAAGACGTATGCCAACTTCCCAGAAGCACCTCAGGAGGAGGCATCTCTCAGCAATAGGTATGTGGGAGGGACCCCGAGTTTGCTGCCTCAAGGGGAATATACAGCGAGAAGCCCTAACTTGAAAGGAGGCCGGATTTCCTTGCAGTGGCTTGAATACAGGCTCGTCTTTCATCTCACAACATGAAGGGGTGTCTGAATCCCCTGTGGAGACCTTAGAGAAAGCTCTAGGTCCCTGCCTCATTTTGACGGAATGCCTCACATTCCGCTGACACCTCGAGAGGCACGCGGAGTTCATTGCTTCAAAAGGTGACGATGCCTGACTCCTCTTGAATACTGAGAGGAATCCCAAAATCCCTGTGGCTACTGGAAAGGGTCCTTGGGTGCCCTGCCTCACCTCAAGAAGCGTCCCTTTTGCCCTGCCAAGCCTCGACGAGATTCCTGAGGTGTCCCTCGTTACTAGACAGGAGTCCTGACGTCACTGAAGAAACTCGTGTTTTGAAGGGCCATCCCCGCCGTAAGTCGAGAACATACCCCAGGTCCCCGCCGCAACTCGAGAAAAACCATGAGACTTCCCCCTAGAGGCGAGATGAGGCCCCATTCCCCTGCAGTGCATGCAGAGCTATTCCGTGATCCCATTCAAACAAGTCAGGAGCTTCGACTTGCTTAATGGATCTCGAGACAGTCCCCAAGAACACTGTCACCAGTCTAGACGGACCCTGAGGTCACCCCAGCAACGCAAAGCAGCTCCATGTGCCCCAAATCAACTCGAGATGAGGCCCGATTCCCCTGCATTGACTCCAGAGCCATTCCCCGTTCCCCATTCAACACGACCGGTGGCTCGACTTCCTTCAGGCAACTCCAGAGATGCCCCGAGAACACTGTCCCAAGTCTAGAGGAACACCAACTTCAGCACAGCAACTCGAGGAATGCTCCGTGTACCACAAATCGTCTCGAGATGAGAGCTGATTCCCTGGCTTAGGCTCAAGACGTACGCCAACTTCCCAGAAGGACCTCAGGAGGAGGCTTCTCTCAGCAATAGGTATGTGGGAGGGACCCCGAGTTTGCTGCCTCAATGGGAATATACAGTGAGAAGCCGTAACTTGAAAGGAGGCCGGATTTCCTTGCAGGGGCTTGAATATAGGCTCGTCTTTCATCTCACAACATGAAGGGATGTCTGAATCCCCTGTGGAGACCTTAGAGAAAGCCCTAGGTGCCTGCCTCATTTTGACGGAATGCCTCACATCCCGCTGACACCTCGAGAGGCACGCGGAGTTCATTGCTTCAAAAGGTGACAATGCCTGACTCCTCTTGAATACTGATAGGAATCCCAAAATCCCTGTGGCTACTGGAAGGGTCCTTGGGTGCTCTGCCTCACCTCGAGAAGCATCCCTTTTGCCCTGCCAAGCCTCGAAGAGATTCCTGAGTTGTCCCTCGTTAGTAGACAGGAGTCCTGACGTCACTGAAGAAACTCGTGTTTTGAAGGGCCATCCCCGCCGTAAGTCGAGAACATACCCCAGGTCCCCACCGCTACTCGAGAAAAACCATGAGACTTCCCCCTAGAGGCGAGATGAGGCCCCATTCCCCTGCAGTGCATGCAGAGCTATTCCGTGATCCCATTCAAACAAGTCAGGAGCTTCGACTTGCTTAATGGATCTCGAGACAGTCCCCAAGAACACTGTCACCAGTCTAGACGGACCCTGAGGTCACCCCAGCAACGCAAAGCAGCTCCATGTGCCCCAAATCAACTCGAGATGAGGCCCGATTCCCCTGCATTGACTCCAGAGCCATTCCCCGTTCCCCATTCAACACGACCGGTGGCTCGACTTCCTTCAGGCAACTCCAGAGATGCCCCGAGAACACTTTCCCAAGTCTAGAGGAACACCAACTTCAGCACAGCAACTCGAGGAATGCTCCGTGTACCCCAAATCGTCTCGAGATGAGAGCTGATTCCCTGGCTTAGGCTCAAGACGTATGCCAACTTCCCAGAAGCACCTCAGGAGGAGGCTTCTCTCAGCAATAGGTATGTGGGAGGGACCCCGAGTTTGCTGCCTCAAGGGGAATATACAGCGAGAAGCCCTAACTTGAAAGGAGGCCGGATTTCCTTGCAGTGGCTTGAATACAGGCTCGTCTTTCATCTCACAACATGAAGGGATGTCTGAATCCCCTGTGGAGACCTTAGAGAAAGACCTAGGTCCCTGCCTCATTTTGACGGAATGCCTCACATCCCGCTGACACCTCGAGAGGCACGCGGAGTTCATTGCTTCAAAAGGTGACGATGCCTGATTCCTCTTGAATACTGATAGGAATCCCAAAATCCCTGTGGCTACTGGAAAGGGTCCTTGGGTGCCCTGCCTCACTTCGAGAAGCGTCCCTTTTGCCCTGCCAAGCCTCGAAGAGATTCCTGAGGTGTCCCTCGTTACTAGACAGGAGTCCTGACGTCACTGAAGAAACTCGTGTTTTGAAGGGCCATCCCCGCCGTAAGTCGAGAACATACCCCAGGTCCCCGCCGCAACTCGAGAAAAACCATGAGACTTCCCCCTAGAGGCGAGATGAGGCCCCATTCCCCTGCAGTGCATGCAGAGCTATTCCGTGATCCCATTCAAACAAGTCAGGAGCTTCGATTTGCTTAATGGATCTCGAGACAGTCCCCAAGAACACTGTCACCAGTCTAGACGGACCCTGAGGTCACCCCAGCAACGCAAAGCAGCTCCATGTGCCCCAACTCAACTCGAGATGAGGCCCGATTCCCCTGCATTGACTCCAGAGCCATTCCCCGTTCCCCACTCAACACGACCGGTGGCTCGACTTCCTTCAGGCAACTCCAGAGATGTCCCGAGAACACTGTCCCAAGTCTAGAGGAACACCAACTTCAGCACAGCAACTCGAGGAATGCTCCGTGTACCCCAAATCGTCTCGAGATGAGAGCTGATTCCCTGGCTTAGGCTCAAGACGTATGCCAACTTCCCAGAAGCACCTCAGGAGGAGGCTTATCTCAGCAATAGGTATGTGGGAGGGACCCCGAGTTTGCTGCCTCAAGGGCAATATACAGCGAGAAGCCCTAACTTGAAAGGAGGCCGGATTTCCTTGCAGTGGCTTGAATACAGGCTCGTCTTTCATCTCACAACATGAAGGGATGTCTTAATCCCCTGTGGAGACCTTAGAGAAAGCCCTAGGTCCCTGCCTCATTTTGACGGAATGCCTCACATCCCGCTGACACCTCGAGAGGCACGTGGAGTTCATTGCTTCAAAAGGTGACGATGCCTGACTCCTCTTGAATACTGATAGGAATCCCAAAATCCCTGTGGCTACTGGAAAGGGTCCTTGGGTGCCCTGCCTCACCTCGAGAAGCGTCCCTTTTGCCCTGCCAAGCCACGAAGAGATTCCTGAGGTGTCCCTCGTTACTAGACAGCAGTCCTGACGTCACTGAAGAAACTCGTGTTTTGAAGGGCCATCCCCGCCGTAAGTCGAGAACATACCCCAGGTCCCCGCCGCAACTCGAGAAAAACCATGAGACTTCCCCCTAGAGGCGAGATGAGGCCCCATTCCCCTGCAGTGCATGCAGAGCTATTCCGTGATCCCATTCAAACAAGTCAGGAGCTTCGACTTGCTTAATGGATCTCGAGACAGTCCCCAAGAACACTGTCACCAGTCTAGACGGACCCTGAGGTCACCCCAGCAACGCAAAGCAGCTCCATGTGCCCCAAATCAACTCGAGATGAGGCCCGATTCCCCTGCATTGACTCCAGAGCCATTCCCCGTTCCCCATTCAACATGACCGGTGGCTCGACTTCCTTCAGGCAACTCCAGAGATGCCCCGAGAACACTGTCCCAAGTCTAGAGGAACACCAACTTCAGCACAGAAACTCGAGGACTGCTCCGTGTACCCCAAATCGTCTCGAGATGAGAGCTGATTCCCTGGCTTAGGCTCAAGACGTACGCCAACTTCCCAGAAGGACCTCAGGAGGAGGCTTCTCTCAGCAATAGGTATGTGGGAGGGACCCCGAGTTTGCTGCCTCAAGGGGAATATACAGCGAGAAGCCCTAACTTGAAAGGAGGCCGGATTTCCTTGCAGTGGCTTGAATACAGGCTCGTCTTTCATCTCACAACATGAAGGGATGTCTGAATCCCCTGTGGAGACCTTAGAGAAAGCCCTAGGTCCCTGCCTCATTTTGACGGAATGCCTCACATCCCGCTGACACCTCGAGAGGCACGCGGAGTTCATTGCTTCAAAAGGTGACGATGCCTGACTCCTCTTGAATACTGATAGGAATCCCAAAATCCCTGTGGCTACTGGAAAGGGTCCTTGGGTGCCCTGCCTCACCTCGAGAAGCTTCCCTTTTGCCCTGCCAAGCCTCGAAGAGATTCCTGAGGTGTCCCTCGTTACTAGACAGGAGTCCTGACGTCACTGAAGAAACTCGTGTTTTGAAGGGCCATCCCCGCTGTAAGTCGAGAACATACCCCAGGTCCCCACCGCAACTCGAGAAAAACCATGAGACTTCCCCCTAGAGGCGAGATGAGGCCCCATTCCCCTGCAGTGCATGCAGAGCTATTCCGTGATCCCATTCAAACAAGTCAGGAGCTTCGACTTGCTTAATGGATCTCGAGACAGTCCCCAAGAACACTGTCACCAGTCTAGACGGACCCTGAGGTCACCCCAGCAACGCAAAGCAGCTCCATGTGCCCCAAATCAACTCGAGATGAGGCCCGATTCCCCTGCATTGACTCCAGAGCCATTCCCCGTTCCCCATTCAACACGACCGGTGGCTCGACTTCCTTCAGGCAACTCCAGAGATGCCCCGAGAACACTCTCCCAAGTCTAGAGGAACACCAACTTCAGCACAGCAACTCGAGGAATGCTCCGTGTACCCCAAATCGTCTCGAGATGAGAGCTGATTCCCTGGCTTAGGCTCAAGACATATGCCAACTTTCCAGAAGCACCTCAGGAGGAGGCTTCTCTCAGCATTAGGTGTGTGGGAGGGACCCCGAGTTTGCTGCCTCAAGGGGAATATACAGCGAGAAGCCCTAACTTGAAAGGAGGCCAGATTTCCTTGCAGTGGCTTGAATACAGGCTCGTCTTTCATCTCAAAACATGAAGGGATGTCTGAATCCCCTGTGGAGACCTTAGAGAAAGCCCTAGGTCCCTGCCTCATTTTGACGGAATGCCTCACATCCCGCTGACACCTCGAGAGTCACGCGGAGTTCATTGCTTCAAAAGGTGACGAGGCCTGACTCCTCTTGAATGCTGATAGGAATCCCAAAATCCCTGTGGCTACTGGAAAGGGTCCTTGGGTGCCCTGCCTCACCTCGAGAAGCGTCCCTTTTGCCCTGCCAAGCCTCGAAGAGATTCCTGAGGTGTCCCTCGTTACTAGAGAGGAGTCCTGACGTCACTGAAGAAACTCGTGTTTTGAAGGGCCATCCCCGCCGTAAGTCGAGAACATACCCCAGTTCCCCGCCGCAACTCGAGAAAAACCATGAGACTTCCCCCTAGAGGCGAGATGAGGCCCCATTCCCCTGCAGTGCATGCAGAGCTATTCCGTGATCCCATTCAAACAAGTCAGGAGCTTCGACTTGCTTAATGGATCTCGAGACAGTCCCCAAGAACACTGTCACCAGTCTAGACGGACCCTGAGGTCACCCCAGCAACGCAAAGCAGCTCCATGTGCCCCAAATCAACTCGAGATGAGGCCCGATTCCCCTGCATTGACGCCAGAGCCATTCCCCGTTCCCCATTCAACACGACCGGTGGCTCGACTTCCTTCAGGCAACTCCAGAGATGCCCCGAGAACACTCTCCCAAGTCTAGAGGAACACCAACTTCAGCACAGCAACTCGAGGAATGCTCCGTGTACCCCAAATCGTCTCGAGATGAGAGCTGATTCCCTGGCTTAGGCTCAAGACATATGCCAACTTCCCAGAAGCACCTCAGGAGGAGGCTTCTCTCAGCATTAGGTGTGTGGGAGGGACCCCGAGTTTGCTGCCTCAAGGGGAATATACAGCGAGAAGCCCTAACTTGAAAGGAGGCCAGATTTCCTTGCAGTGGCTTGAATACAGGCTCGTCTTTCATCTCAAAACATGAAGGGATGTCTGAATCCCCTGTGGAGACCTTAGAGAAAGCCCTAGTTCCCTGCCTCATTTTGACGGAATGCCTCACATCCCGCTGACACCTCGAGAGTCACGCGGAGTTCATTGCTTCAAAAGGTGACGAGGCCTGACTCCTCTTGAATGCTGATAGGAATCCCAAAATCCCTGTGGCTACTGGAAAGGGTCCTTGGGTGCCCTGCCTCACCTCGAGAAGCGTCCCTTTTGCCCTGCCAAGCCTCGAAGAGATTCCTGAGGTGTCCCTCGTTACTAGAGAGGAGTCCTGACGTCACTGAAGAAACTCGTGTTTTGAAGGGCCATCCCCGCCGTAAGTCGAGAACATACCCCAGTTCCCCGCCGCAACTCGAGAAAAACCATGAGACTTCCCCCTAGAGGCGAGATGAGGCCCCATTCCCCTGCAGTGCATGCAGAGCTATTCCGTGATCCCATTCAAACAAGTCAGGAGCTTCGACTTGCTTAATGGATCTCGAGACAGTCCCCAAGAACACTGTCAACAGTCTAGACGGACCCTGAGGTCACCCCAGCAACGCAAAGCAGCTCCATGTGCCCCAAATCAACTCGAGATGAGGCCCGATGCCCCTGCATTGACTCCAGAGCCATTCCCCGTTCCCCATTCAACACGACGGGTGGCTCGACTTCCTTCAGGCAACTCCAGAGATGCCCCGAGAACACTGTCCCAAGTCTAGAGGAACACCAACTTCAGCACAGCAAATCGAGGAATGCTCCGTGTACCCCAAATCGTCTCGAGATGAGAGCTGATTCCCTGGCTTAGGTTCAAGACGTATGCCAGCTTCCCAGAAGCACCTCAGGAGGAGGCTTCTCTCAGCAATAGGTATGTGGGAGGGACCCCGAGTTTGCTGCCTCAAGGGGAATATACAGCGAGAAGCCCTAACTTGAAAGGAGGCCGGATTTCCTTGCAGTGGCTTGAATACAGGCTCGTCTTTCATCTCACAACATGAAGGGATGTCTGAATCCCCTGTGGAGACCTTAGAGAAAGCCCTAGGTCCCTGCCTCATTTTGACGGAATGCCTCACATCCCGCTGACACCTCGAGAGGCACGCGGAGTTCATTGCTTCAAAAGGTGACGATGCCTGACTCCTCTTGAATACTTATAGGAATCCCAAAATCCCTGTGGCTACTGGAAAGGGTCCTTGGGTGCCCTGCCTCACCTCGAGAAGCGTCCCTTTTGCCCTGCCAAGCCTCGAAGAGAATCCTGAGGTGTCCCTCGTTACTAGACAGGAGTCCTGACGTCACTGAAGAAACTCGTGTTTTGAAGGGCCATCCCCGCCGTAAGTCGAGAACTTATCCCAGGTCCCCGCCGCAACTCGAGAAAAACCATGAGACTTCCCCCTAGAGGCGAGATGAGGCCCCATTCCCCTGCAGTGCATGCAGAGCTATTCCGTGATCCCATTCAAACAAGTCAGGAGCTTCGACTTGCTTAATGGATCTCGAGACAGTCCCCAAGAACACTGTCACCAGTCTAGACGGACCCTGAGGTCACCCCAGCAACGCAAAGCAGCTCCATGTGCCCCATATCAACTCGAAGTGAGGCCCGATTCCCCTGCATTGACTCCAGAGCCATTCCTCGTTCCCCACTCAACACGACCGGTGGATCGACTTCCTTCAGGCAACTCCAGAGATGCCCCGAGAACACTGTCCCAAGTCTAGAGGAACACCAACTTCAGCACAGCAACTCGAGGAATGCTCCGTGTATCCCAAATAGTCTCGAGATGAGAGCTGATTCCCTGGCTTAGGTTCAAGACGTATGCCAACTTCCCAGAAGCACCTCAGGAGGAGGCTTCTCTCAGCAATAGGTATGTGGGAGGGACCCCGAGTTTGCTGCCTCAAGGGGAATATACAGCGAGAAGCCCTAACTTGAAAGGAGGCCGGATTTCCTTGCAGTGGCTTGAATACAGGCTCGTCTTTCATCTCACAACATGAAGGGGTGTCTGAATCCCCTGTGGAGACCTTAGAGAAAGCTCTAGGTCCCTGCCTCATTTTGACGGAATGCCTCACATCCCGCTGACACCTCGAGAGGCACGCGGAGTTCATTGCTTCAAAAGGTGACGATGCCTGACTCCTCTTGAATACTGATAGGAATCCCAAAATCCCTGTGGCTACTGGAAAGGGTCCTTGGGTGCCCTGCCTCACCTCGAGAAGCGTCCCTTTTGCCCTGCCAAGCCTCGAAGAGATTCCTGAGGTGTCCCTCGTTACTAGACAGGAGTCCTGACGTCACTGAAGAAACTCGTGTTTTGAAGGGCCATCCCCGCCGTAAGTCGAGAACATACCCCAGGTCCCCGCCGCAACTCGAGAAAAACCATGAGACTTCCCCCTAGAGGCGAGATGAGGCCCCATTCCCCTGCAGTGCATGCAGAGCTATTCCGTGATCCCATTCAAACAAGTCAGGAGCTTCGACTTGCTTAATGGATCTGGAGACAGTCCCCAAGAACACTGTCACCAGTCTAGACGGACCCTGAGGTCACCCCAGCAACGCAAAGCAGCTCCATGTGCCCCAAATCAACTCGAGATGAGGCCCGATTCCCCTGCATTGACTCCAGAGCCATTCCCCGTTCCCCACTCAACACGACCGGTGGCTCGACTTCCTTCAGGCAACTCCAGAGATGCCCCGAGAACACTGTCCCAAGTCTAGAGGAACACCAACTTCAGCACAGCAACTCGAGGAATGCTCCGTGTACCCCAAATCGTCTCGAGATGAGAGCTGATTCCCTGGCTTAGGCTCAAGACGTATGCCAACTTCCCAGAAGCACCTCAGGAGGAGGCTTCTCTCAGCAATAGGTATGTGGGAGGGACCCCGAGTTTGCTGCCTCAATGGGAATATACAGCGAGAAGCCCTAACTTGAAAGGAGGCCGGATTTCCTTGCAGTGGCTTGAATACAGGCTCGTCTTTCATCTCACAACATGAAGGGATGTCTGAATCCCCTGTGGAGACCTTAGAGAAAGCCCTAGGTCCCTGCCTCATTTTGACGGAATGCCTCACATCCCGCTGACACCTCGAGAGGCACGCGGAGTTCATTGCTTCAAAAGGTGACGATGCCTGACTCCTCTTGAATACTGATAGGAATCCCAAAATCCCTGTGGCTACTGGAAAGGGTCCTTGGGTGCCCTGCCTCACCTCGAGAAGCGTCCCTTTTGCCCTGCCAAGCCTCGAAGAGATTCCTGAGGTGTCCCTCGTTACTAGACAGGAGTCCTGACGTCACTGAAGAAACTCGTGTTTTGAAGGGCCATCCCGGCCGTAAGTCGAGAACATACCCCAGGTCCCCGCCGCAACTCGAGAAAAACCATGAGACTTCCCCCTAGAGGCGAGATGAGGCCCCATTCCCCTGCAGTGCATGCAGAGCTATTCCGTGATCCCATTCAAACAAGTCAGGAGCTTCGACTTGCTTAATGGATCTGGAGACAGTCCCCAAGAACACTGTCACCAGTCTAGACGGACCCTGAGGTCACCCCAGCAACGCAAAGCAGCTCCATGTGCCCCAAATCAACTCGAGATGAGGCCCGATTCCCCTGCATTGACTCCGGAGCCATTCCCCGTTCCCCACTCAACACGACCGGTGGCTCGACTTCCTTCAGGCAACTCCAGAGATGCACCGAGAACACTGTCCCAAGTCTAGAGGAACACCAACTTCAGCACAGCAACTCGAGGAATGCTCCGTGTACCCCAAATCGTCTCGAGATGAGAGCTGATTCCCTGGCTTAGGCTCAAGACGTATGCCAACTTCCCAGAAGCACCTCAGGAGGAGGCTTCTCTCAGCAATAGGTATGTGGGAGGGACCCCGAGTTTGCTGCCTCAAGGGGAATATACAGCGAGAAGCCCTAACTTGAAAGGAGGCCGGATTTCCTTGCAGTGGCTTGAATACAGGCTCGTCTTTCATCTCACAACATGAAGGGATGTCTGAATCCCCTGTGGAGACCTTAGAGAAAGCCCTAGGTCCCTGCCTCATTTTGACGGAATGCCTCACATCCCGCTGACACCTCGAGAGGCACGCGGAGTTCATTGCTTCAAAAGGTGACGATGCCTGACTCCTCTTCAATACTGATAGGAATCCCAAAATCCCTGTGGCTACTGGAAAGGGTCCTTGGGTGCCCTGCCTCACTTCGAGAAGCGTCCCTTTTGCCCTGCGAAGCCTCGAAGAGATTCCTGAGGTGTCCCTCGTTACTAGACAGGAGTCCTGACGTCACTGAAGAAACTCGTGTTTTGAAGGGCCATCCCCGCCGTAAGTCGAGAACATACCCAAGGTCCCCGCCGCAACTCGAGAAAACCCATGAGACTTCCCCCTAGAGGCGAGATGAGGCCCCATTCCCCTGCAGTGCATGCAGAGCTATTCCGTGATCCCATTCAAACAAGTCAGGAGCTTCGACTTGCTTAATGGATCTCGAGACAGTCCCCAAGAACACTGTCACCAGTCTAGACGGACCCTGAGGTCACCCCAGCAACGCAAAGCAGCTCCATGTGCCCCAAATCAACTCGAGATGCGGCCCGATTCCCCTGCATTGACTCCAGAGCCATTCCCCGTTCCCCGTTCAACACGACGGGTGGCTCGACTTCCTTCAGGCAACTCCAGAGATGCCCCGAGAACACTGTCCCAAGTCTAGAGGAACACCAACTTCAGCACAGCAAATCGAGGAATGCTCCGTGTACCCCAAATCGTCTCGAGATGAGAGCTGATTCCCTGGCTTAGGCTCAAGACGTACGCCAACTTCCCAGAAGGACCTCAGGAGGAGGCTTCTCTCAGCAATAGGTATGTTGGAGGGACCCCGAGTTTGCTGCCTCAAGGGGAATATACAGCGAGAAGCCCTCACTTGAAAGGAGGCCGGATTTCCTTGCAGTGGCTTGAATACAGGCTCGTCTTTCATCTCACAACATGAAGGGATGTCTGAATCCCCTGTGGAGACCTTAGAGAAAGCCCTAGGTCCCTGCCTCATTTTGACGGAATGCCTCACATCCCGCTGACACCTCGAGAGGCACGCAGAGTTCATTGCTTCAAAAGGTGACGATGCCTGACTCCTCTTGAATACTGATAGGAATCCCAAAATCCCTGTGGCTACTGAAACGGGTCCTTGGGTGCCCTGCCTCACCTCGAGAAGCGTCCCTTTTGCCCTGCCAAGCCTCGAAGAGATTCCTGAGGTGTCCCTCGTTACTAGACAGGAGTCCTGACGTCACTGAAGAAACTCGTGTTTTGAAGGGCCATCCCCGCCGTAAGTCGAGAACATACCCCAGGTCCCCACCGCAACTCGAGAAAAACCATGAGACTTCCCCCTAGAGGCGAGATGAGGCCCCATTCCCCTACAGTGCATGCAGAGCTATTCCGTGATCCCATTCAAACAGGTCAGGAGCTTCGACTTGCTTAATGGATCTCGAGACAGTCCCCAAGAACACTGTCACCAGTCTAGACGGACCCTGAGGTCAACCCAGCAACGCAAAGCAGCTCCATGTGCCCCAACTCAACTCGAGGTGAGGCCCGATTCCCCTGCATTGACTCCAGAGCCATTCCCCGTTCCCCAGTCAACACGACCGGTGGCTCGACTTCCTTCAGGCAACTCCAGAGATGCCCCGAGAACACTGTCCCAAGTCTAGAGGAACACCAACTTCAGCACAACAACTCGAGGAATGCTCCGTGTACCCCAAATCGTCTCGAGATGAGAGCTGATTCCCTGGCTTACGCTCAAGACGTACGCCAACTTCCCAGAAGGATCTCAGGAGGAGGCTTCTCTCAGCAATAGGTATGTGGGAGGGACCCCGAGTTTGCTGCCTCAAAGAGAATATAAAGTGAGAAGCCCTAACTTGAAAGGAGGCCGGATTTCCTTGCAGTGGCTTGAATACAGGCTCGTCTTTCATCTCACAACATGAAGGGATGTCTGAATCCCCTGTGGAGACCTTAGAGAAAGCCCTAGGTGCCTGCCTCATTTTGACGGAATGCCTCACATCCCGCTGACACATCGAGAGGCACGCGGAGTTCATTGCTTCAAAAGGTGACGATGCCTGACTCCTCTTGAATACTGATAGGAATCCCAAAATCCCTGTGGCTACTGGAAAGGGTCCTTGGGTGCCCTGCCTCACCTCGAGAAGCGTCCCTTTTGCCCTGCCAAGCCTCGAAGAGATTCCTGAGGTGTCCCTCGTTACTAGACAGGAGTCCTGACGTCACTGAAGAAACTCGTGTTTTGAAGGGCCATCCCCGCCGTAAGTCGAGAACATACCCCAGGTCCCCGCCGCAACTCGAGAAAAACCATGAGACTTCCCCCTAGAGGCGAGATGAGGCCCCATTCCCCTGCAGTGCATGCAGAGCTATTCCGTGATCCCATTCAAACAAGTCAGGAGCTTCGACTTGCTTAATGGATCTGGAGACAGTCCCCAAGAACACTGTCACCAGTCTAGACGGACCCTGAGGTCACCCCAGCAACGCAAAGCAGCTCCATGTGCCCCAAATCAACTCGAGATGAGGCCCGATTCCCCTGCATTGACTCCAGAGCCATTCCCCGTTCCCCACTCAACACGACCGGTGGCTCGACTTCCTTCAGGCAACTCCAGAGATGCCCCGAGAACACTGTCCCAAGTCTAGAGGAACACCAACTTCAGCACAGCAACTCGAGGAATGCTCCGTGTACCCCAAATCGTCTCGAGATGAGAGCTGATTCCCTGGCTTAGGCTCAAGACGTATGCGAACTTCCCAGAAGCACCTCAGGAGGAGGCTTCTCTCAGCAATAGGTATGTGGGAGGGACCCCGAGTTTGCTGCCTCAATGGGAATATACAGCGAGAAGCCCTAACTTGAAAGGAGGCCGGATTTCCTTGCAGTGGCTTGAATACAGGCTCGTCTTTCATCTCACAACATGAAGGGATGTCTGAATCCCCTGTGGAGACCTTAGAGAAAGCCCTAGGTCCCTGCCTCATTTTGACGGAATGCCTCACATCCCGCTGACACCTCGAGAGGCACGCGGAGTTCATTGCTTCAAAAGGTGACGATGCCTGACTCCTCTTCAATACTGATAGGAATCCCAAAATCCCTGTGGCTACTGGAAAGGGTCCTTGGGTGCCCTGCCTCACTTCGAGAAGCGTCCCTTTTGCCCTGCGAAGCCTCGAAGAGATTCCTGAGGTGTCCCTCGTTACTAGACAGGAGTCCTGACGTCACTGAAGAAACTCGTGTTTTGAAGGGCCATCCCCGCCGTAAGTCGAGAACATACCCAAGGTCCCCGCCGCAACTCGAGAAAACCCATGAGACTTCCCCCTAGAGGCGAGATGAGGCCCCATTCCCCTGCAGTGCATGCAGAGCTATTCCGTGATCCCATTCAAACAAGTCAGGAGCTTCGACTTGCTTAATGGATCTCGAGACAGTCCCCAAGAACACTGTCACCAGTCTAGACGGACCCTGAGGTCACCCCAGCAACGCAAAGCAGCTCCATGTGCCCCAAATCAACTCGAGATGCGGCCCGATTCCCCTGCATTGACTCCAGAGCCATTCCCCGTTCCCCGTTCAACACGACGGGTGGCTCGACTTCCTTCAGGCAACTCCAGAGATGCCCCGAGAACACTGTCCCAAGTCTAGAGGAACACCAACTTCAGCACAGCAAATCGAGGAATGCTCCGTGTACCCCAAATCGTCTCGAGATGAGAGCTGATTCCCTGGCTTAGGCTCAAGACGTACGCCAACTTCCCAGAAGGACCTCAGGAGGAGGCTTCTCTCAGCAATAGGTATGTTGGAGGGACCCCGAGTTTGCTGCCTCAAGGGGAATATACAGCGAGAAGCCCTCACTTGAAAGGAGGCCGGATTTCCTTGCAGTGGCTTGAATACAGGCTCGTCTTTCATCTCACAACATGAAGGGATGTCTGAATCCCCTGTGGAGACCTTAGAGAAAGCCCTAGGTCCCTGCCTCATTTTGACGGAATGCCTCACATCCCGCTGACACCTCGAGAGGCACGCAGAGTTCATTGCTTCAAAAGGTGACGATGCCTGACTCCTCTTGAATACTGATAGGAATCCCAAAATCCCTGTGGCTACTGAAACGGGTCCTTGGGTGCCCTGCCTCACCTCGAGAAGCGTCCCTTTTGCCCTGCCAAGCCTCGAAGAGATTCCTGAGGTGTCCCTCGTTACTAGACAGGAGTCCTGACGTCACTGAAGAAACTCGTGTTTTGAAGGGCCATCCCCGCCGTAAGTCGAGAACATACCCCAGGTCCCCACCGCAACTCGAGAAAAACCATGAGACTTCCCCCTAGAGGCGAGATGAGGCCCCATTCCCCTACAGTGCATGCAGAGCTATTCCGTGATCCCATTCAAACAGGTCAGGAGCTTCGACTTGCTTAATGGATCTCGAGACAGTCCCCAAGAACACTGTCACCAGTCTAGACGGACCCTGAGGTCAACCCAGCAACGCAAAGCAGCTCCATGTGCCCCAACTCAACTCGAGGTGAGGCCCGATTCCCCTGCATTGACTCCAGAGCCATTCCCCGTTCCCCAGTCAACACGACCGGTGGCTCGACTTCCTTCAGGCAACTCCAGAGATGCCCCGAGAACACTGTCCCAAGTCTAGAGGAACACCAACTTCAGCACAACAACTCGAGGAATGCTCCGTGTACCCCAAATCGTCTCGAGATGAGAGCTGATTCCCTGGCTTACGCTCAAGACGTACGCCAACTTCCCAGAAGGATCTCAGGAGGAGGCTTCTCTCAGCAATAGGTATGTGGGAGGGACCCCGAGTTTGCTGCCTCAAAGAGAATATAAAGTGAGAAGCCCTAACTTGAAAGGAGGCCGGATTTCCTTGCAGTGGCTTGAATACAGGCTCGTCTTTCATCTCACAACATGAAGGGATGTCTGAATCCCCTGTGGAGACCTTAGAGAAAGCCCTAGGTGCCTGCCTCATTTTGACGGAATGCCTCACATCCCGCTGACACATCGAGAGGCACGCGGAGTTCATTGCTTCAAAAGGTGACGATGCCTGACTCCTCTTGAATACTGATAGGAATCCCAAAATCCCTGTGGCTACTGGAAAGGGTCCTTGGGTGCCCTGCCTCACCTCGAGAAGCGTCCCTTTTGCCCTGCCAAGCCTCGAAGAGATTCCTGAGGTGTCCCTCGTTACTAGACAGGAGTCCTGACGTCACTGAAGAAACTCGTGTTTTGAAGGGCCATCCCCGCCGTAAGTCGAGAACATACCCCAGGTCCCCGCCGCAACTCGAGAAAAACCATGAGACTTCCCCCTAGAGGCGAGATGAGGCCCCATTCCCCTGCAGTGCATGCAGAGCTATTCCGTGATCCCATTCAAACAAGTCAGGAGCTTCGACTTGCTTAATGGATCTGGAGACAGTCCCCAAGAACACTGTCACCAGTCTAGACGGACCCTGAGGTCACCCCAGCAACGCAAAGCAGCTCCATGTGCCCCAAATCAACTCGAGATGAGGCCCGATTCCCCTGCATTGACTCCAGAGCCATTCCCCGTTCCCCACTCAACACGACCGGTGGCTCGACTTCCTTCAGGCAACTCCAGAGATGCCCCGAGAACACTGTCCCAAGTCTAGAGGAACACCAACTTCAGCACAGCAACTCGAGGAATGCTCCGTGTACCCCAAATCGTCTCGAGATGAGAGCTGATTCCCTGGCTTAGGCTCAAGACGTATGCGAACTTCCCAGAAGCACCTCAGGAGGAGGCTTCTCTCAGCAATAGGTATGTGGGAGGGACCCCGAGTTTGCTGCCTCAATGGGAATATACAGCGAGAAGCCCTAACTTGAAAGGAGGCCGGATTTCCTTGCAGTGGCTTGAATACAGGCTCGTCTTTCATCTCACAACATGAAGGGATGTCTGAATCCCCTGTGGAGACCTTAGAGAAAGCCCTAGGTCCCTGCCTCATTTTGACGGAATGCCTCACATCCCGCTGACACCTCGAGAGGCACGCGGAGTTCATTGCTTCAAAAGGTGACGATGCCTGACTCCTCTTCAATACTGATAGGAATCCCAAAATCCCTGTGGCTACTGGAAAGGGTCCTTGGGTGCCCTGCCTCACTTCGAGAAGCGTCCCTTTTGCCCTGCGAAGCCTCGAAGAGATTCCTGAGGTGTCCCTCGTTACTAGACAGGAGTCCTGACGTCACTGAAGAAACTCGTGTTTTGAAGGGCCATCCCCGCCGTAAGTCGAGAACATACCCAAGGTCCCCGCCGCAACTCGAGAAAACCCATGAGACTTCCCCCTAGAGGCGAGATGAGGCCCCATTCCCCTGCAGTGCATGCAGAGCTATTCCGTGATCCCATTCAAACAAGTCAGGAGCTTCGACTTGCTTAATGGATCTCGAGACAGTCCCCAAGAACACTGTCACCAGTCTAGACGGACCCTGAGGTCACCCCAGCAACGCAAAGCAGCTCCATGTGCCCCAAATCAACTCGAGATGCGGCCCGATTCCCCTGCATTGACTCCAGAGCCATTCCCCGTTCCCCGTTCAACACGACGGGTGGCTCGACTTCCTTCAGGCAACTCCAGAGATGCCCCGAGAACACTGTCCCAAGTCTAGAGGAACACCAACTTCAGCACAGCAAATCGAGGAATGCTCCGTGTACCCCAAATCGTCTCGAGATGAGAGCTGATTCCCTGGCTTAGGCTCAAGACGTACGCCAACTTCCCAGAAGGACCTCAGGAGGAGGCTTCTCTCAGCAATAGGTATGTTGGAGGGACCCCGAGTTTGCTGCCTCAAGGGGAATATACAGCGAGAAGCCCTCACTTGAAAGGAGGCCGGATTTCCTTGCAGTGGCTTGAATACAGGCTCGTCTTTCATCTCACAACATGAAGGGATGTCTGAATCCCCTGTGGAGACCTTAGAGAAAGCCCTAGGTCCCTGCCTCATTTTGACGGAATGCCTCACATCCCGCTGACACCTCGAGAGGCACGCGGAGTTCATTGCTTCAAAAGGTGACGATGCCTGACTCCTCTTGAATACTGATAGGAATCCCAAAATCCCTGTGGCTACTGAAACGGGTCCTTGGGTGCCCTGCCTCACCTCGAGAAGCGTCCCTTTTGCCCTGCCAAGCCTCGAAGAGATTCCTGAGGTGTCCCTCGTTACTAGACAGGAGTCCTGACGTCACTGAAGAAACTCGTGTTTTGAAGGGCCATCCCCGCCGTAAGTCGAGAACATACCCCAGGTCCCCACCGCAACTCGAGAAAAACCATGAGACTTCCCCCTAGAGGCGAGATGAGGCCCCATTCCCCTGCAGTGCATGCAGAGCTATTCCGTGATCCCATTCAAACAGGTCAGGAGCTTCGACTTGCTTAATGGATCTCGAGACAGTCCCCAAGAACACTGTCACCAGTCTAGACGGACCCTGAGGTCAACCCAGCAACGCAAAGCAGCTCCATGTGCCCCAACTCAACTCGAGGTGAGGCCCGATTCCCCTGCATTGACTCCAGAGCCATTCCCCGTTCCCCAGTCAACACGACCGGTGGCTCGACTTCCTTCAGGCAACTCCAGAGATGCCCCGAGAACACTGTCCCAAGTCTAGAGGAACACCAACTTCAGCACAACAACTCGAGGAATGCTCCGTGTACCCCAAATCGTCTCGAGATGAGAGCTGATTCCCTGGCTTAGGCTCAAGACGTACGCCAACTTCCCAGAAGGATCTCAGGAGGAGGCTTCTCTCAGCAATAGGTATGTGGGAGGGACCCCGAGTTTGCTGCCTCAAAGAGAATATAAAGTGAGAAGCCCTAACTTGAAAGGAGGCCGGATTTCCTTGCAGTGGCTTGAATACAGGCTCGTCTTTCATCTCACAACATGAAGGGATGTCTGAATCCCCTGTGGAGACCTTAGAGAAAGCCCTAGGTGCCTGCCTCATTTTGACGGAATGCCTCACATCCCGCTGACACATCGAGAGGCACGCGGAGTTCATTGCTTCAAAAGGTGACGATGCCTGACTCCTCTTGAATACTGATAGGAATCCCAAAATCCCTGTGGCTACTGGAAAGGGTCCTTGGGTGCCCTGCCTCACCTCGAGAAGCGTCCCTTTTGCCCTGCCAAGCCTCGAAGAGATTCCTGAGGTGTCCCTCGTTACTAGACAGGAGTCCTGACGTCACTGAAGAAACTCGTGTTTTGAAGGGCCATCCCCGCCGTAAGTCGAGAACATACCCCAGGTCCCTGCCGCAACTCGAGAAAAACCATGAGACTTCCCCCTAGAGGCGAGATGAGGCCCCATTCCCCTGCAGTGCATGCAGAGCTATTCCGTGATCCCATTCAAACAAGTCAGGAGCTTCAACTTGCTTAATGGATCTTGAGACAGTCCCCAAGAACACTGTCACCAGTCTAGACGGACCCTGAAGTCACCCCAGCAACGCAAAGCAGCTCCATGTGCCCAAAATCAACTCGAGATGAGGCCCGATTCCCCTGCATTGACTCCAGAGCCATTCCCCGTTCCCCACTCAACACGACCGGTGGCTCGACTTCCTTCAGGCAACTCCAGAGATGCCCCGAGAACACTGTCCCAAGTCTAGAGGAACACCAACTTCAGCACAGCAACTCGAGGAATGCTCCGTGTACCCCAAATCGTCTCGAGATGAGAGCTGATTCCCTGGCTTAGGCTCAAGACGTATGCCAACTTCCCAGAAGCACCTCAGGAGGAGGCTTCTCTCAGCAATAGGTATGTGGGAGGGACCCCGAGTTTGCTGCCTCAAGGGGAATATACAGCGAGAAGCCCTAACTTGAAAGGAGGCCAGATTTCCTTGCAGTGGCGTGAATACAGGCTCGTCTTTCATCTCACAACATGAAGGGATGTCTGAATCCCCTGTGGAGACCTTAGAGAAAGCCCTAGGTCCCTGCCTCATTTTGACGGAATGCCTCACATCCCGCTGACACCTCGAGAGTCACGCGGAGTTCATTGCTTCAAAAGGTGACGAGGCCTGACTCCTCCTGAATGCTGATAGGAATCCCAAAATCCCTGTGGCTACTGGAATGGGTCCTTGGGTGCCCTGCCTCACCTCGAGAAGCGTCCCTTTTGCCCTGCCAAGCCTCGAAGAGATTCCTGAGGTGTCCCTCGTTACTAGACAGGAGTCCTGACGTCACTGAAGAAACTCGTGTTTTGAAGGGCCATCCCCGCCGTAAGTCGAGAACATAACCCAGGTCCCCGCCGCAACTCGAGAAAAACCATGAGACTTCCCCCTAGAGGCGAGATGAGGCCCCATTCCCCTGCAGTGCATGCAGAGCTATTCCGTGATCCCATTCAAACAAGTCAGGAGCTTCGACTTGCTTAATGGATCTCGAGACAGTCCCCAAGAACACTGTCACCAGTCTAGACGGTCCCTGAGTTCACCCCAGCAACGCAAAGCAGCTCCATGTGCCCCAAATCAACTCGAGATGAGGCCCGATTCCCCTGCATTGACTCCAGAGCCATTCCCCGTTCCCCACTCAACACGACCGGTGGCTCGACTTCCTTCAGGCAACTCCAGAGATGCCCCGAGAACACTGTCCCAAGTCTAGAGGAACACCAACTTCAGCACAGCAACTCGAGGAATGCTCCGTGTACCCCAAATCGTCTCGAGATGAGAGCTGATTCCCTGGCTTAGGCTCAAGACGTATGCCAACTTCCCAGAAGCACCTCAGGAGGAGGCTTCTCTCAGCAATAGGTATGTGGGAGGGACCCCGAGTTTGCTGCCTCAAGGGGAATATACAGCGAGAAGCCCTAACTTGAAAGGAGGCCAGATTTCCTTGCAGTGGCGTGAATACAGGCTCGTCTTTCATCTCACAACATGAAGGGATGTCTGAATCCCCTGTGGAGACCTTAGAGAAAGCCCTAGGTCCCTGCCTCATTTTGACGGAATGCCTCACATCCCGCTGACACCTCGAGAGTCACGCGGAGTTCATTGCTTCAAAAGGTGACGAGGCCTGACTCCTCCTGAATGCTGATAGGAATCCCAAAATCCCTGTGGCTACTGGAATGGGTCCTTGGGTGCCCTGCCTCACCTCGAGAAGCGTCCCTTTTGCCCTGCCAAGCCTCGAAGAGATTCCTGAGGTGTCCCTCGTTACTAGACAGGAGTCCTGACGTCACTGAAGAAACTCGTGTTTTGAAGGGCCATCCCCGCCGTAAGTCGAGAACATAACCCAGGTCCCCGCCGCAACTCGAGAAAAACCATGAGACTTCCCCCTAGAGGCGAGATGAGGCCCCATTCCCCTGCAGTGCATGCAGAGCTATTCCGTGATCCCATTCAAACAAGTCAGGAGCTTCGACTTGCTTAATGGATTTCGAGACAGTCCCCAAGAACACTGTCACCAGTCTAGACGGTCCCTGAGTTCACCCCAGCAACGCAAAGCAGCTCCATGTGCCCCAAATCAACTCGAGATGAGGCCCGATTCCCCTGCATTGACTCCAGAGCCATTCCCCGTTCCCCACTCAACACGACCGGTGGCTCGACTTCCTTCAGGCAACTCCAGAGATGCCCCGAGAACACTGTCCCAAGTCTAGAGGAACACCAACTTCAGCACAGCAACTCGAGGAATGCTCCGTGTACCCCAAATCGTCTCGAGATGAGAGCTGATTCCCTGGCTTAGGCTCAAGACGTATGCCAACTTCCCAGAAGCACCTCAGGAGGAGGCTTCTCTCAGCAATAGGTATGTGGGAGGGACCCCGAGTTTGCTGCCTCAAGGGGAATATACAGCGAGAAGCCCTAACTTGAAAGGAGGCCGGATTTCCTTGCAGTGGCTTGAATACAGGCTCGTCTTTCATCTCACAACATGAAGGGATGTCTGAATCCCCTGTGGAGACCTTAGAGAAAGCCCTAGGTCCCTGCCTCATTTTGACGGAATGCCTCACATCCCGCTGACACCTCGAGAGTCACACGGAGTTCATTGCTTCAAAAGGTGACGAGGCCTGACTCCTCTTGAATGCTGATAGGAATCCCAAAATCCCTGTGGCTACTGGAAAGGGTCCTTGGGTGCCCTGCCTCACCTCGAGAAGCGTCCCTTTTGCCCTGCCAAGCCTCGAAGAGATTCCTGAGGTGTCCCTCGTTACTAGACAGGAGTCCTGACGTCACTGAAGAAACTCGTGTTTTGAAGGGCCATCCCCGCCGTAAGTCGAGAACATACCCCAGGTCCCCGCCGCAACTCGAGAAAAACCATGAGACTTCCCCCTAGAGGCGAGATGAGGCAACATTCCCCTGCAGTGCATGCAGAGCTATTCCGTGATCCCTTTCAAACAAGTCAGGAGCTTCGACTTGCTTAATGGATCTGGAGACAGTCCCCAAGAACACTGTCACCAGTCTAGACGGACCCTGAGGTCACCCCAGCAACGCAAAGCAGCTCCATGTGCCCAAAATCAGCTCGAGATGAGGCCCGATTCCCCTGCATTGACTCCAGAGCCATTCCCCGTTCCCCATTCAACACGACCGGTGGCTCGACTTCCTTCAGGCAACTCCAGAGATGCCCCGAGAACACTGTCCCAAGTCTAGAGGAACACCAACTTCAGCACAGCAACTCGAGGAATGCTCCGTGTACCACAAATTGTCTCGAGATGAGAGATGATTCCCTGGCTTAGGCTCAAGACGTATGCCAACTTCCCAGAAGCACCTCAGGAGGAGGCTTCTCTCAGCAATAGGTATGTGGGAGGGACCCCGAGTTTGCTGCCTCAAGGGGAATATACAGCGAGAAGCCCTAACTTGAAAGGAGGCCGGATTTCCTTGCAGTGGCTTGAATACAGGCTCGTCTTTCATCTCACAACATGAAGGGATGTCTGAATCCCCTGTGGAGACCTTAGAGAAAGCCCTAGGTCCCTGCCTCATTTTGACGGAATGCCTCACATCCCGCTGACACCTCGAGAGTCACGCGGAGTTCATTGCTTCAAAAGGTGACGAGGCCTGACTCCTCCTGAATGCTGATAGGAATCCCAAAATCCCTGTGGCTACTGGAAAGGGTCCTTGGGTGCCCTGCCTCACCTCGAGAAGCGTCCCTTTTGCCCTGCCAAGCCTCGAAGAGATTGCTGAGGTGTCCCTCGTTACTAGACAGGAGTCCTGACGTCACTGAAGAAACTCGTGTTTTGAAGGGCCATCCCTGCCGTAAGTCGAGAACATACCCCAGGTCCCCGCCGCAACTCGAGAAAAACCATGAGACTTCCCCCTAGAGGCGAGATGAGGCCCCATTCCCCTGCAGTGCATGCAGAGCTATTCCGTGATCCCATTCTAACAAGTCAGGAGCTTCGACTTGCTTAATGGATCTCGAGACAGTCCCCAAGAACACTGTCACCAGTCTAGACGGACCCTGAGGTAACCCCAGCAACGCAAAGCAGCTCCATGTGCCCCATATCAATTCGAGGTGAGGCCCGATTCCCATGCATTGACTCCAGAGCCATTCCCCGTTCCCCACTCAACACGACCGGTGGCTCTACTTCCTTCAGGCAACTCCAGAGATGCCCCGAGAACACTGTCCCAAGTCTAGAGGAACACCAACTTCAGCACAGCAACTCGAGGAATGCTCCGTGTACCCCAAATCGTCTCGAGATGAGAGCTGATTCCCTGGCTTAGGCTCAAGACGTATGCCAACTTCCCAGAAGCACCTCAGGAGGAGGCTTCTCTCAGCAATAGGTATGTGGGTTGGACCCCGAGTTTGCTGCCTCAAGGGGAATATACAGCGAGAAGCCCTAACTTGAAAGGAGGCCAGATTTCCTTGCAGTGGCTTGAATACAGGCTCGTCTTTCATCTCACAACATGAAGGGATGTCTGAATCCCCTGTGGAGACCTTAGAGAAAGCCCTAGGTCCCTGCCTCATTTTGACGGAATGCCTCACATCCCGCTGACACCTCGAGAGTCACGCGGAGTTCATTGCTTCAAAAGGTGACGAGGCCTGACTCCTCCTGAATGCTGATAGGAATCCCAAAATCCCTGTGGCTACTGGAAAGGGTCCTTGGGTGCCCTGCCTCACCTCGAGAAGCGTCCCTTTTGCCCTGCCAATCCTCGAAGAGATTCCTGAGGTGTCCCTCGTTACTAGACAGGAGTCATGACGTCACTGAAGAAACTCGTGTTTTGAAGGGCCATCCCCGCCGTAAGTCGAGAACATACCCCAGGTCCCCGCCGCAACTCGAGAAAAACCATGAGACTTCCCCCTAGAGGCGAGATGAGGCCCCATTCCCCTGCAGTGCATGCAGAGCTATTCCGTGATCCCATTCAAACAAGTCAGGAGCTTCGACTTGCTTAATGGATCTCGAGACAGTCCCCAAGAACACTGTCACCAGTCTAGACGGTCCCTGAGTTCACCCCAGCAACGCAAAGCAGCTCCATGTGCCCCAAATCAACTCGAGATGAGGCCCGATTCCCCTGCATTGACTCCAGAGCCATTCCCCGTTCCCCACTCAACACGACCGGTGGCTCGACTTCCTTCAGGCAACTCCAGAGATGCCCCGAGAACACTGTCCCAAGTCTAGAGGAACACCAACTTCAGCACAGCAACTCGAGGAATGCTCCGTGTACCCCAAATCGTCTCGAGATGAGAGCTGATTCCCTGGCTTAGGCTCAAGACGTATGCCAACTTCCCAGAAGCACCTCAGGAGGAGGCTTCTCTCAGCAATAGGTATGTGGGAGGGACCCCGAGTTTGCTGCCTCAAGGGGAATATACAGCGAGAAGCCCTAACTTGAAAGGAGGCCAGATTTCCTTGCAGTGGCGTGAATACAGGCTCGTCTTTCATCTCACAACATGAAGGGATGTCTGAATCCCCTGTGGAGACCTTAGAGAAAGCCCTAGGTCCCTGCCTCATTTTGACGGAATGCCTCACATCCCGCTGACACCTCGAGAGTCACGCGGAGTTCATTGCTTCAAAAGGTGACGAGGCCTGACTCCTCCTGAATGCTGATAGGAATCCCAAAATCCCTGTGGCTACTGGAATGGGTCCTTGGGTGCCCTGCCTCACCTCGAGAAGCGTCCCTTTTGCCCTGCCAAGCCTCGAAGAGATTCCTGAGGTGTCCCTCGTTACTAGACAGGAGTCCTGACGTCACTGAAGAAACTCGTGTTTTGAAGGGCCATCCCCGCCGTAAGTCGAGAACATAACCCAGGTCCCCGCCGCAACTCGAGAAAAACCATGAGACTTCCCCCTAGAGGCGAGATGAGGCCCCATTCCCCTGCAGTGCATGCAGAGCTATTCCGTGATCCCATTCAAACAAGTCAGGAGCTTCGACTTGCTTAATGGATCTCGAGACAGTCCCCAAGAACACTGTCACCAGTCTAGACGGTCCCTGAGTTCACCCCAGCAACGCAAAGCAGCTCCATGTGCCCCAAATCAACTCGAGATGAGGCCCGATTCCCCTGCATTGACTCCAGAGCCATTTCCCGTTCCCCACTCAACACGACCGGTGGCTCGACTTCCTTCAGGCAACTCCAGAGATGCCCCGAGAACACTGTCCCAAGTCTAGAGGAACACCAACTTCAGCACAGCAACTCGAGGAATGCTCCGTGTACCCCAAATCGTCTCGAGATGAGAGCTGATTCCCTGGCTTAGGCTCAAGACGTATGCCAACTTCCCAGAAGCACCTCAGGAGGAGGCTTCTCTCAGCAATAGGTATGTGGGAGGGACCCCGAGTTTGCTGCCTCAAGGGGAATATACAGCGAGAAGCCCTAACTTGAAAGGAGGCCGGATTTCCTTGCAGTGGCTTGAATACAGGCTCGTCTTTCATCTCACAACATGAAGGGATGTCTGAATCCCCTGTGGAGACCTTAGAGAAAGCCCTAGGTCCCTGCCTCATTTTGACGGAATGCCTCACATCCCGCTGACACCTCGAGAGTCACACGGAGTTCATTGCTTCAAAAGGTGACGAGGCCTGACTCCTCTTGAATGCTGATAGGAATCCCAAAATCCCTGTGGCTACTGGAAAGGGTCCTTGGGTGCCCTGCCTCACCTCGAGAAGCGTCCCTTTTGCCCTGCCAAGCCTCGAAGAGATTCCTGAGGTGTCCCTCGTTACTAGACAGGAGTCCTGACGTCACTGAAGAAACTCGTGTTTTGAAGGGCCATCCCCGCCGTAAGTCGAGAACATACCCCAGGTCCCCGCCGCAACTCGAGAAAAACCATGAGACTTCCCCCTAGAGGCGAGATGAGGCCCCATTCCCCTGCAGTGCATGCAGAGCTATTCCGTGATCCCATTCAAACAAGTCAGGAGCTTCGACTTGCTTAATGGATCTGGAGACAGTCCCCAAGAACACTGTCACCAGTCTAGACGGACCCTGAGGTCACCCCAGCAACGCAAAGCAGCTCCATGTGCTCCAAATCAACTCGAGATGAGGCCCGATTCCACTGCATTGACTCCAGAGCCATTCCCCGTTCCCCATTCAACACGACCGGTGGCTCAACTTCCTTCAGGCAACTCCAGAGATGCCCCGAGAACACTGTCCCAAGTCTAGAGGAACACCAACTTCAGCACAGCAACTCGAGGAATGCTCCGTGTACCCCAAATCGTCTCGAGATGAGAGCTGATTCCCTGGCTTAGGCTCAAGACGTATGCCAACTTCCCAGAAGCACCTCAGGAGGAGGCTTCTCTCAGCAATAGGTATGAGGGAGGGACGCCGAGTTTGCTGCCTCAAGGGCAATATACAGCGAGAAGCCCTAACTTGAAAGGAGGCCGGATTTCCTTGCAGTGGCTTGAATACAGGCTCGTCTTTCATCTCACAACATGAAGGGATGTCTGAATCCCCTGTGGAGACCTTAGAGAAAGCCCTAGGTCCCTGCCTCATTTTGACGGAACGCCTCACATCCCGCTGACACCTCGAGAGGCACGCGGAGTTCATTGCTTCAAAAGGTGACGATGCCTGACTCCTCTTGTATACTGATAGGAATCCCAAAATCCCTGTGGCTACTGGAAAGGGTCCTTGGGTGCCCTGCCTCACCTCGAGAAGCGTCCCTTTTGCCCTGCCAAGCCTCGAAGAGATTCCTGAGGTGTCCCTCGTTACTAGACAGGAGTCCTGACGTCACTGAAGAAACTCGTGTTTTGAAGGGCCATCCCCACCGTACGTCGAGAACATACCCCAGGTCCCCGCCGCAACTCGAGAAAAACCATGAGACTTCCCCCTAGAGGCGAGATGAGACCCATTCCCCTGCAGTGCATGCAGAGCTATTCCGTGATCCCATTCAAACAAGTCAGGAGCTTCGACTTGCTTAATGGATCTCGAGACAGTCCCCAAGAACACTGTCACCAGTCTAGACGGACCCTGAGGTCACCCCAGCAACGCAAAGCAGCTCCATGTGCCCCAAATCAACTCAAGATGAGGCCCGATTCCCCTGCATTGACTCCAGAGCCATTCCCCGTTCCCCATTCAACAGGACCGGTGGCTCGACTTCCTTCAGGCAACTCCAGAGATGCCCCGAGAACACTGTCCCAAGTGTAGAGGAACACCAACTTCAGCACAGCAACTCGAGGAATGCTCCGTGTACCCCAAATCGTCTCGAGATGAGAGCTGATTCCCTGGCTTAGGCTCAAGACGTATGCCAACTTCCCAGAAGCACCTCAGGAGGAGGCTTCTCTCAGCAATAGGTATGTGGGAGGGACCCCGAGTTTGCTGCCTCAAGGGCAATATACAGTGAGAAGCCCTAACTTGAAAGGAGGCCGGATTTCCTTGCAGGGGATTGAATACAGGCTCGTCTTTCATCTCACAACATGAAGGGATGTCTGAATCCCCTGTGAAGACCTTAGAGAAAGCCCTAGGTCCCTGCCTCATTTTGACGGAATGCCTCACATCCCGCTGACACCTCGAGAGGCACGCGGAGTTCATTGCTTCAAAAGGTGACGATGCCTGACTCCTCTTGAATACTGATAGGAATCCCAAAATCCCTGTGGCTACTGGAAATGGTCCTTGGGTGCCCTGCCTCACCTCGAGAAGCGTCCCTTTTGCCCTGCCAAGCCTCGAAGAGATTCCTGAGGTGTCCCTCGTTACTAGACAGGAGTCCTGACGTCACTGAAGAAACTCGTGTTTTGAAGGGCCATCCCCGCCGTAAGTCAAGAACATACCCCAGGTCCCCGCCGCAACTCGAGAAAAACCATGAGACTTCCCCCTAGAGGCGACATGAGGCCCCATTCCCCTGCAGTGCATGCAGAGCTATTCCGTGATCCCATTCAAACAAGTCAGGAGCTTCGACTTGCTTAATGGATCTGGAGACAGTCCCCAAGAACACTGTCACCAGTCTAGACGGACCCTGAAGTCACCCCAGCAACGCAAAGCAGCTCCATGTGCTCCAAATCAACTCGAGATGAGGCCCGATTCCACTGCATTGACTCCAGAGCCATTCCCCGTTCCCCATTCAACACGACCGGTGGCTCGACTTCCTTCAGGCAACTCCAGAGATGCCCCGAGAACACTGTCCCAAGTCTAGAGGAACACCAACTTCAGCACAGCAACTCGAGGAATGCTCCGTGTACCCCAAATCGTCTCGAGATGAGAGCTGATTCCCTGGCTTAGGCTCAAGACGTATGCCAACTTCCCAGAAGCACCTCAGGAGGAGGCTTCTCTCAGCAATAGGTATGAGGGAGGGACCCCGAGTTTGCTGCCTCAAGGGCAATATACAGCGAGAAGCCCTAACTTGAAAGGAGGCCGGATTTCCTTGCAGTGGCTTGAATACAGGCTCGTCTTTCATCTCACAACATGAAGGGATGTCTGAATCCCCTGTGGAGACCTTAGAGAAAGCCCTAGGTGCCTGCCTATTTTGACGGAATGCCTCACATCCCGCTGACACCTCGAGAGGCACGCGGAGTTCATTGCTTCAAAAGGTGACGATGCCTGACTCCTCTTGAATACTGATAGGAATCCCAAAATCCCTGTGGCTACTGGAAAGGGTCCTTGGGTGCCCTGCCTCACCTCGAGAAGCGTCCCTTTTGCCCTGCCAAGCCTCGAAGAGATTCCTGAGGTGTCCCTCGTTACTAGACAGGAGTCCTGACGTCACTGAAGAAACTCGTGTTTTGAAGGGCCATCCCCGCCGTAAGTCGAGAACATACCCCAGGTCCCCGCCGCAACTCGAGAAAAACCATGAGACTTCCCCCTAGAGGCGAGATGAGACCCATTCCCCTGCAGTGCATGCAGAGCTATTCCGTGATCCCATTCAAACAAGTCAGGAGCTTCGACTTGCTTAATGGATCTCGAGACAGTCCCCAAGAACACTGTCACCAGTCTAGACGGACCCTGAGGTCACCCCAGCAACGCAAAGCAGCTCCATGTGCCCCAAATCAACTCGAGATGAGGCCCGATTCCCCTGCATTGAATCCAGAGATATTCCCCGTTCCCCATTCAACACGACCGGTGGCTCGACTTCCTTCAGGCAACTCCAGAGATGCCCCGAGAACACTGTCCCAAGTCTAGAGGAACACCAACTTCAGCACAGCAACTCGAGGAATGCTCCGTGTACCCCAAATCGTCTCGAGATGAGAGCTGATTCCCTGGCTTAGGCTCAAGACGTATGCCAACTTCCCAGAAGGACCTCAGGAGGAGGCTTCTCTCAGCAATAGGTATGTGGGAGGGACCCCGAGTTTGCTGCCTCAAGGGGAATATACAGCGAGAAGCCCTACCTTGAAAGGAGGCCGGATTTCCTTGCAGTGGCTTGAATACAGGCTCGTCTTTCATCTCACAACATGAAGGGTGTCTGAATCCCCTGTGGAGACCTTAGAGAAAGCCCTAGGTCCCTGCCTCATTTTGACGGAATGCCTCACATTCCGCTGACACCTTGAGAGGCATGCGGAGTTCATTGCTTCAAAAGGTGACGATGCCTGACTCCTCTTGAATACTGATAGGAATCCCAAAATCCCTGTGGCTACTGGAAAGGGTCCTTGGGTGCCCTGCCTCACCTCGAGAAGCGTCCCTTTTGCCCTGCCAAGCCTTGAAGAGATTCCTGAGGTGTCCCTCGTTACTAGACAGGAGTCCTGACGTCACTGAAGAAACTCGTGTTTTGAAGGGCCATCCCCGCCGTAAGTCGAGAACATACCCCAGGTCCCCGCCGCAACTCGAGAAAAACCATGAGACTTCCCCCTAGAGGCGAGATGAGGCCCCATTCCCCTGCAGTGCATGCAGAGCTATTCCGTGATCCCATTCAAACAAGTCAGGAGCTTCGACTTGCTTAATGGATCTCGAGACAGTCCCCAAGAACACTCTCACCAGTCTAGACGGACCCTAAGGTCACCCCAGCAACGCAAAGCAGCTCCATGTGCCCCAAATCAACTCAAGATGAGGCCCGATTCCCCTGCATTGACTCCAGAGCCATTCCCCGTTCCCCATTCAACAGGACCGGTGGCTCGACTTCCTTCAGGCAACTCCAGAGATGCCCCGAGAACACTGTCCCAAGTGTAGAGGAACACCAACTTCAGCACAGCAACTCGAGGAATGCTCCGTGTACCCCAAATCGTCTCGAGATGAGAGCTGATTCCCTGGCTTAGGCTCAAGACGTATGCCAACTTCCCAGAAGGACCTCAGGAGGAGGCTTCTCTCAGCAATAGGTATGTGGGAGGGACCCCGAGTTTGCTGCCTCAAGGGCAATATACAGTGACAAGCCCTAACTTGAAAGGAGGCCGGATTTCCTTGCAGGGGATTGAATACAGGCTCGTCTTTCATCTCACAACATGAAGGGATGTCTGAATCCCCTGTGGAGACCTTAGAGAAAGCCCTAGGTCCCTGCCTCATTTTGACGGAATGCCTCACATCCCGCTGACACCTCGAGAGTCATGCGGAGTTCATTGCTTCAAAAGGTGACGATGCCTGACTCCTCTTGAATACTGATAGGAATCCCAAAATCCCTGTGGCTACTGGAAAGGGTCCTTGGGTGCCCTGCCTCACCTCGAGAAGCGTCCCTTTTGCCCTGCCAAGCCTCGAAGAGATTCCTGAAGTGTCCCTAGTTACTAGACAGGAGTCCTGACGTCACTGAAGAAACTCGTGTTTTGAAGGGCCATCCCCGCTGTAAGTCGAGAACATACCCCAGGTCCCCGCCGCAACTCGAGAAAAACCATGAGACTTCCCCCTAGAGGCGAGATGAGACCCATTCACCTGCAGTGCATGCAGAGCTATTCCGTGATCCCATTCAAACAAGTCAGGAGCTTCGACTTGCTTAATGGATCTCGAGACAGTCCCCAAGAACACTGTCACCAGTCTAGACGGACCCTGAGGTCACCCCAGCAACGCAAAGCAGCTCCATGTGCTCCAAATCAACTCGAGATGAGGCCCGATTCCACTGCATTGACTCCAGAGCCATTCCCCGTTCCCCATTCAACACGACCGGTGGCTCGACTTCCTTCAGGCAACTCCAGAGATGCCCCGAGAACACTGTCCCAAGTCTAGAGGAACACCAACTTCAGCACAGCAACTCGAGGAATGCTCCGTGTACCCCAAATCGTCTCGAGATGAGAGCTGATTCCCTGGCTTAGGCTCAAGACGTATGCCAACTTCCCAGAAGCACCTCAGGAGGAGGCTTCTCTCAGCAATAGGTATGAGGGAGGGACCCCGAGTTTGCTGCCTCAAGGGCAATATACAACGAGAAGCCCTAACTTGAAAGGAGGCCGGATTTCCTTGCAGTGGCTTGAATACAGGCTCGTCTTTCATCTCACAACATGAAGGGATGTCTGAATCCCCTGTGGAGACCTTAGAGAAAGCCCTAGGTGCCTGCCTATTTTGACGGAATGCCTCACATCCCGCTGACACCTCGAGAGGCACGCGGAGTTCATTGCTTCAAAAGGTGACGATGCCTGACTCCTCTTGAATACTGATAGTAATCCCAAAATCCCTGTGGCTACTGGAAAGGGTCCTTGGGTGCCCTGCCTCACCTCGAGAAGCGTCCCTTTTGCCCTGCCAAGCCTCGAAGAGATTCCTGAGGTGTCCCTCGTTACTAGACAGGAGTCCTGACGTCACTGAAGAAACTCGTGTTTTGAAGGGCCATCCCCACCGTACGTCGAGAACATACCCCAGGTCCCCGCCGCAACTCGAGAAAAACCATGAGACTTTCCCCTAGAGGCGAGATGAGACCCATTCCCCTGCAGTGCATGCAGAGCTATTCCGTGATCCCATTCAAACAAGTCAGGAGCTTCGACTTGCTTAATGGATCTCGAGACAGTCCCCAAGAACACTGTCACCAGTCTAGACGGACCCTGAGGTCACCCCAGCAACGCAAAGCAGCTCCATGTGCCCCAAATCAACTCAAGATGAGGCCCGATTCCCCTGCATTGACTCCAGAGCCATTCCCCGTTCCCCATTCAACAGGACCGGTGGCTCGACTTCCTTCAGGCAACTCCAGAGATGCCCCGAGAACACTGTCCCAAGTGTAGAGGAACTCCAACTTCAGCACAGCAACTCGAGGAATGCTCCGTGTACCCCAAATCGTCTCGAGATGAGAGCTGATTCCCTGGCTTAGGCTCAAGACGTATGCCAACTTCCCAGAAGCACCTCAGGAAGAGGCTTCTCTCAGCAATAGGTATGAGGGAGGGACCCCGAGTTTGCTGCCTCAAGGGCAATATACAGCGAGAAGCCCTAACTTGAAAGGAGGCCGGATTTCCTTGCAGTGGCTTGAATACAGGCTCGTCTTTCATCTCACAACATGAAGGGATGTCTGAATCCCCTGTGGAGACCTTAGAGAAAGCCCTAGGTGCCTGCCTATTTTGACGGAATGCCTCACATCCCGCTGACACCTCGAGAGGCACGCGGAGTTCATTGCTTCAAAAGGTGACGATGCCTGACTCCTCTTGAATACTGATAGGAATCCCAAAATCCCTGTGGCTACTGGAAAGGGTCCTTGGGTGCCCTGCCTCACCTCGAGAAGCGTCCCTTTTGCCCTGCCAAGCCTCGAAGAGATTCCTGAGGTGTCCCTCGTTACTAGACAGGAGTCCTGACGTCACTGAAGAAACTCGTGTTTTGAAGGGCCATCCCCGCCGTAAGTCGAGAACATACCCCAGGTCCCCGCCGCAACTCGAGAAAAACCATGAGACTTCCCCCTAGAGGCGAGATGAGACCCATTCCCCTGCAGTGCATGCAGAGCTATTCCGTGATCCCATTCAAACAAGTCAGGAGCTTCGACTTGCTTAATGGATCTCGAGACAGTCCCCAAGAACACTGTCACCAGTCTAGACGGACCCTGAGGTCACCCCAGCAACGCAAAGCAGCTCCATGTGCCCCAAATCAACTCGAGATGAGGCCCGATTCCCCTGCATTGAATCCAGAGCCATTCCCCGTTCCCCATTCAACACGACCGGTGGCTCGACTTCCTTCAGGCAACTCCAGAGATGCCCCGAGAACACTGTCCCAAGTCTAGAGGAACACCAACTTCAGCACAGCAACTCGAGGAATGCTCCGTGTACCCCAAATCGTCTCGAGATGAGAGCTGATTCCCTGGCTTAGGCTCAAGACGTATGCCAACTTCCCAGAAGGACCTCAGGAGGAGGCTTCTCTCAGCAATAGGTATGTGGGAGGGACCCCGAGTTTGCTGCCTCAAGGGGAATATACAGCGAGAAGCCCTACCTTGAAAGGAGGCCGGATTTCCTTGCAGTGGCTTGAATACAGGCTCGTCTTTCATCTCACAACATGAAGGGTGTCTGAATCCCCTGTGGAGACCTTAGAGAAAGCCCTAGGTCCCTGCCTCATTTTGACGGAATGCCTCACATTCCGCTGACACCTCGAGAGGCATGCGGAGTTCATTGCTTCAAAAGGTGACGATGCCTGACTCCTCTTGAATACTGATAGGAATCCCAAAATCCCTGTGGCTACTGGAAAGGGTCCTTGGGTGCCCTGCCTCACCTCGAGAAGCGTCCCTTTTGCCCTGCCAAGCCTTGAAGAGATTCCTGAGGTGTCCCTCGTTACTAGAGAGGAGTCCTGACGTCACTGAAGAAACTCGTGTTTTGAAGGGCCATCCCCGCCGTAAGTCGAGAACATACCCCAGGTCCCCGCCGCAACTCGAGAAAAACCATGAGACTTCCCCCTAGAGGCGAGATGAGGCCCCATTCCCCTGCAGTGCATGCAGAGCTATTCCGTGATCCCATTCAAACAAGTCAGGAGCTTCGACTTGCTTAATGGTCTCGAGACAGTCCCCAAGAACACTCTCACCAGTCTAGACGGACCCTGAGGTCACCCCAGCAACGCAAAGCAGCTCCATGTGCCCCAAATCAACTCAAGATGAGGCCCGATTCCCCTGCATTGACTCCAGAGCCATTCCCCGTTCCCCATTCAACAGGACCGGTGGCTCGACTTCCTTCAGGCAACTCCAGAGATGCCCCGAGAACACTGTCCCAAGTGTAGAGGAACACCAACTTCAGCACAGCAACTCGAGGAATGCTCCGTGTACCCCAAATCGTCTCGAGATGAGAGCTGATTCCCTGGCTTAGGCTCAAGACGTATGCCAACTTCCCAGAAGGACCTCAGGAGGAGGCTTCTCTCAGCAATAGGTATGTGGGAGGGACCCCGAGTTTGCTGCCTCAAGGGCAATATACAGTGACAAGCCATAACTTGAAAGGAGGCCGGATTTCCTTGCAGGGGATTGAATACAGGCTCGTCTTTCATCTCACAACATGAAGGGATGTCTGAATCCCCTGTGGAGACCTTAGAGAAAGCCCTAGGTCCCTGCCTCATTTTGACGGAATGCCTCACATCCCGCTGACACCTCGAGAGTCATGCGGAGTTCATTGCTTCAAAAGTGACGATGCCTGACTCCTCTTGAATACTGATAGGAATCCCAAAATCCCTGTGGCTACTGGAAAGGGTCCTTGGGTGCCCTGCCTCACCTCGAGAAGCGTCCCTTTTGCCCTGCCAAGCCTCGAAGAGATTCCTGAAGTGTCCCTAGTTACTAGACAGGAGTCCTGACGTCACTGAAGAAACTCGTGTTTTGAAGGGCCATCCCCGCTGTAAGTCGAGAACATACCCCAGGTCCCCGCCGCAACTCGAGAAAAACCATGAGACTTCCCCCTAGAGGCGAGAAGAGACCCATTCACCTGCAGTGCATGCAGAGCTATTCCGTGATCCCATTCAAACAAGTCAGGAGCTTCGACTTGCTTAATGGATCTCGAGACAGTCCCCAAGAACACTGTCACCAGTCTAGACGGACCCTGAGGTCACCCCAGCAACGCAAAGCAGCTCCATGTGCTCCAAATCAACTCGAGATGAGGCCCGATTCCACTGCATTGACTCCAGAGCCATTCCCCGTTCCCCATTCAACACGACCGGTGGCTCGACTTCCTTCAGGCAACTCCAGAGATGCCCCGAGAACACTGTCCCAAGTCTAGAGGAACACCAACTTCAGCACAGCAACTCGAGGAATGCTCCGTGTACCCCAAATCGTCTCGAGATGAGAGCTGATTCCCTGGCTTAGGCTCAAGACGTATGCCAACTTCCCAGAAGCACCTCAGGAGGAGGCTTCTCTCAGCAATAGGTATGAGGGAGGGACCCCGAGTTTGCTGCCTCAAGGGCAATATACAACGAGAAGCCCTAACTTGAAAGGAGGCCGGATTTCCTTGCAGTGGCTTGAATACAGGCTCGTCTTTCATCTCACAACATGAAGGGATGTCTGAATCCCCTGTGGAGACCTTAGAGAAAGCCCTAGGTGCCTGCCTATTTTGACGGAATGCCTCACATCCCGCTGACACCTCGAGAGGCACGCGGAGTTCATTGCTTCAAAAGGTGACGATGCCTGACTCCTCTTGAATACTGATAGTAATCCCCAAATCCCTGTGGCTACTGGAAAGGGTCCTTGGGTGCCCTGCCTCACCTCGAGAAGCGTCCCTTTTGCCCTGCCAAGCCTCGAAGAGATTCCTGAGGTGTCCCTCGTTACTAGACAGGAGTCCTGACGTCACTGAAGAAACTCGTGTTTTGAAGGGCCATCCCCGCCGTAAGTCGAGAACATACCCCAGGTCCCCGCCGCAACTCGAGAAAAACCATGAGACTTCCCCCTAGAGGCGACATGAGGCCCCATTCCCCTGTAGTGCATGCAGAGCTATTCCGTGATCCCATTCAAACAAGTCAGGAGCTTCGACTTGCTTAATGGATCTCGAGACAGTCCCCAAGAACACTGTCACCAGTCTAGACGGACCCTGAGGTCACCCCAGCAACGCAAAGCAGCTCCATGTGCCCCAAATCAACTCGAGATGAGGCCCGATTCCCCTGCATTGACTCCAGAGCCATTCCCCGTTCCCCATTCAACACGACCGGTGGCTCGACTTCCTTCAGGCAACTCCAGAGATGCCCCGAGAACACTGTCCCAAGTGTAGAGGAACACCAACTTCAGCACAGCAACTCGAGGAATGCTCCGTGTACCCCAAATCGTCTCGAGATGAGAGCTGATTCCCTGGTTTAGGCTCAAGACGTATGCCAACTTCCCAGAAGGACCTCAGGAGGAGGCTTCTCTCAGCAATAGGTATGTGGTAGGGACCCCGAGTTTGCTGCCTCAAGGGCAATATACAGTGAGAAGCCCTACCTTGAAAGGAGGCCGGATTTCCTTGCAGGGGCTTGAATACAGGCTCGTCTTTCATCTCACAACATGAAGGGATGTCTGAATCCCCTGTGAAGACCTTAGAGAAAGCCCTAGGTCCCTGCCTCATTTTGACGGAATGCCTCACATCCCGCTGACACCTCGAGAGGCACGCGGAGTTCATTGCTTCAAAAGGTGACGATGCCTGACTCCTCTTGAATACTGATAGGAATCCCAAAATCCCTGTGGCTACTGGAAAGGGTCCTTGGGTGCCCTGCCTCACCTCGAGAAGCGTCCCTTTTGCCCTGCCAAGCCTCGAAGAGATTCCTGAAGTGTCCCCAGTTACGAGACAGGAGTCCTGACGTCACTGAAGAAACTCGTGTTTTGAAGGGCCATCCCCGCCGTAAGTCGAGAACATACCCCAGGTCCCCGCCGCAACTCGAGAAAAACCATGAGACTTCCCCCTAGAGGCGAGATGAGACCCATTCACCTGCAGTGCATGCAGAGCTATTCCGTGATCCCATTCAAACAAGTCAGGAGCTTCGACTTGCTTAATGGATCTGGAGACAGTCCCCAAGAACACTGTCACCAGTCTAGACGGACCCTGAGGTCACCCCAGCAACGCAAAGCAGCTCCATGTGCTCCAAATCAACTCGAGATGAGGCCCGATTCCACTGCATTGACTCCAGAGCCATTCCCCGTTCCCCATTCAACAGGACCGGTGGCTCGACTTCCTTCAGGCAACTCCAGAGATGCCCCGAGAACACTGTCCCAAGTCTAGAAGAACACCAACTTCAGCACAGCAACTCGAGGAATGCTCCGTGTACCCCAAATCGTCTCGAGATGAGAGCTGATTCCCTGGCTTAGGCTCAAGACGTATGCCAACCTCCCAGAAGCACCTCAGGAGGAGGCTTCTCTCAGCAATAGGTATGAGGGAGGGACCCCGAGTTTGCTGCCTCAAGGGCAATATACAGCGAGAAGCCCTAACTTGAAAGGAGGCCGGATTTCCTTGCAGTGGCTTGAATACAGGCTCGTCTTTCATCTCACAACATAAAGGGATGTCTGAATCCCCTGTGGAGACCTTAGAGAAAGCCCTAGGTGCCTGCCTATTTTGACGGAATGCCTCACATCCCGCTGACACCTCGAGAGGCACGCGGAGTTCATTGCTTCAAAAGGTGACGATGCCTGACTCCTCTTGAATACTGATAGGAATCCCAAAATCCCTTTGGCTACTGGAAAGGGTCCTTGGGTGCCCTGCCTCACCTCGAGAAGCGTCCCTTTTGCCCTGCCAAGCCTCGAAGAGATTCCTGAGGTGTCCCTCGTTACTAGACAGGAGTCCTGACGTCACTGAAGAAACTCGTGTTTTGAAGGGCCATCCCCGCCGTAAGTCGAGAACATACCCCAGGTCCCCGCCGCAACTCGAGAAAAACCATGAGACTTCCCCCTAGAGGCGAGATGAGGCCCCATTCCCCTGCAGTGCATGCAGAGCTATTCCGTGATCCCATTCAAACAAGTCAGGAGCTTCGACTTGCTTAATGGATCTCGAGACAGTCCCCAAGAACACTGTCACCAGTCTAGACGGACCCTGAGGTCACCCCAGCAACGCAAAGCAGCTCCATGTGCCCCAAATCAACTCGAGATGAGGGCCGATTCCCCTGCATTGACCCCAGAGCCATTCCCCGTTCCCCATTCAACACGACCGGTGGCTCGACTTCCTTCAGGTAACTCCAGAGATGCCCCGAGAACACTGTCCCAATTCTAGAGGAACACCAACTTCAGCACAGCAACTCGAGGAATGCTCCGTGTACCCCAAATCGTCTCGAGATGAGAGCTGATTCCCTGGTTTAGGTTCAAGACGTATGCCAACTTCCCAGAAGGACCTCAGGAGGAGTATTCTCTCAGCAATAGGTATGTGGTAGGGACCCCGAGTTTGCTGCCTCAAGGGCAATATACAGCGAGAAGCCCTACCTTGAAAGGAGGCCGGATTTCCTTGCAGGGGCTTGAATACAGGCTCGTCTTTCATCTCACAACATGAAGGGATGTCTGAATCCCCTGTGAAGACCTTACAGAAAGCCCTAGGTCCCTGCCTCATTTTGACGGAATGACTCACATCCCGCTGACACCTCGAGAGGCACGCGGAGTTCATTGCTTCAAAAGGTGACGATGCCTGACTCCTCTTGAATACTGATAGGAATCCCAAAATCCCTGTGGCTACTGGAAAGGGTCCTTGGGTGCCCTGCCTCACCTCGAGAAGCGTCCCTTTTGCCCTGCCAAGCCTCGAAGAGATTCCTGAAGTGTCCCTCGTTACTAGACAGGAGTCCTGACGTCACTGAAGAAACTCGTGTTTTGAAGGGCCATCCCCGCCGTAAGTCGAGAATATACCCCAGGTCCCCGCCGCAACTCGAGAAAAACCATGAGACTTCCCCCTAGAGGCGAGATGAGACCCATTCACCTGCAGTGCATGCAGAGCTATTCCGTGATCCCATTCAAACAAGTCAGGAGCTTCGACTTGCTTAATGGATCTGGATACAGTCCCCAAGAACACTGTCACCAGTCTAGACGGACCCTGAGGTCACCCCAGCAACGCAAAGCAGCTCCATGTGCCCCAAATCAACTCGAGATGAGGCCCGATTCCCCTGCATTGACTCCAGAGCCATTCCCCGTTCCCCATTCAACACGACCGGTGGCTCGACTTCCTTCAGGCAACTCCAGAGATGCCCCGAGAACACTGTCCCAAGTCTAGAGGAACACCAACTTCAGCACAGCAACTAGAGGAATGCTCCGTGTACCCCAAATCGTCTCGAGATGAGAGCTGATTCCCTGGCTTAGGCTCAAGACGTATGCCAACTTCCCAGAAGCACCTCAGGAGGAGGCTTCTCTCAGCAATAGGTATGTGGGAGGGACCCCGAGTTTGCTACCTCAAGGCCAATATACAGCGAGAAGCCCTAACTTGAAAGGAGGCCGGATTTCCTTGCAGTGGCTTGAATACAGGCTCGTCTTTCATCTCACAACATGAAGGGATGTCTGAATCCCCTGTGGAGACCTTAGAGAAAGCCCTAGGTCCCTGCCTCATTTTGACGGAATGCCTCACATCCCGCTGACACCTCGAGAGGCACGCGGAGTTCATTGCTTCAAAAGGTGACGATGCCTGACTCCTCTTGAATACTGATAGGAATCCCAAAATCCCTGTGGCTACTGGAAAGGGTCCTTGGGTGCCCTGCCTCACCTCGAGAAGCGTCCCTTTTGCCCTGCCAAGCCTCGAAGAGGTTCCTGAAGTGTCCCTCGTTACTAGACAGGAGTCCTGACGTCACTGAAGAAACTCGTGTTTTGAAGGGCCATCCCCGCCATACGTCGAGAACATACCCCAGGTCCCCGCCGCAACTCGAGAAAAACCATGAGACTTCCCCCTAGAGGCGAGATGAGACCCATTCACCTGCAGTGCATGCAGAGCTATTCCGTGATCCCATTCAAACAAGTCAGGAGCTTCGACTTGCTTAATGGATCTAGAGACAGTCCCCAAGAACACTGTCACCAGTCTAGACGGACCCTGAGGTCACCCCAGCAACGCAAAGCAGCTCCATGTGCCACAAATCAACTCGAGATGAGGCCCGATTCCCCTGCATTGACTCCAGAGCCATTCCCCGTTCCCCATTCAACACGACCGGTGGCTCGACTTCCTTCAGGCAACTCCAGAGGTGCCCCGAGAACACTGTCCCAAGTCTAGAGGAACACCAACTTCAGCACAGCAACTCGAGGAATGCTCCGTGTACCCCAAATCGTCTCGAGATGAGAGCTGATTCTCTGGCTTAGGCTCAAGACGTATGCCAACTTCCCAGAAGCACCTCAGGAGGAGGCTTCTCTCAGCAATAGGTATGAGGGAGGGACCCCGAGTTTGCTGCCTCAAGGGAAATATACAGCGAGAAGCCCTAACTTGAAAGGAGGCCGGATTTCCTTGCAGTGGCTTGAATACAGTCTCGTATTTCATCTCACATCATGAAGGGTGTCTGAATCCCCTGTGGAGACCTTAGAGAAAGCCCTAGGTCCCTGCCTCATTTTGACGGAATGCCTCACATTCCGCTGACACCTCGAGAGGCACGCGGAGTTCATTGCTTCAAATGGTGACGATGCCTGACTCCTCTTGAATACTGATAGGAATCCCAAAATCCCTGTGGCTACTGGAAAGGGTCCTTGTGTGCCCTGCCTCACCTCGAGAAGCGTCCCTTTTGCCCTGCCAAGCCTCGAAGAGATTCCTGAGGTGTCCCTCGTTACTAGACAGGAGTCCTGACGTCACTGAAGAAACTCGTGTTTTGAAGGGCCTTCCCCGCCGTAAGTCGAGAACATACCCCAGGTCCCCGCCGCAACTCGAGAAAAACCATGAGACTTCCCCCTAGAGGCGAGATGAGGCCCCATTCCCCTGCAGTGCATGCAGAGCTATTCCGTGATCCCATTGAAACAAGTCAGGAGCTTGGACTTGCTTAATGGATCTCGAGACAGTCCCCAAGAACACTGTCACCAGTCTAGACGGACCCTGAGGTCACCCCAGCAACGCAAAGCAGTTCCATGTGCCCCAAATCAACTCGAGATGAGGCCCGATTCCCCTGCATTGACTCCAGAGCCATTCCCCGTTCCCCATTCAACACGACCGGTGGCTCGACTTCCTTCAGGCAACTCCAGAGATGCCCCGAGAACACTGTCCCAAGTCTAGAGGAACACCAACTTCAGCACAGCAACTCGAGGAATGCTCCGTGTACCACAAATCGTCTCGAAATGAGAGCTGATTCCCTGGCTTAGGCTCAAGACGTATGCCAACTTCCCAGAAGCACCTCAGGAGGAGGCTTCTCTCAGCAATAGGTATGAGGGAGGGACCCCGAGTTTGCTGCCTCAAGGGCAATATACAGCGAGAAGCCCTAACTTGAAAGGAGGCCGGATTTCCTTGCAGTGGCTTGAATACAGGCTTGTCTTTCATCTCACAACATGAAGGGATGTCTGAATCCCCTGTGGAGACCTTAGATAAAGCCCTAGGTGCCTGCCTCATTTTGACGGAATGCCTCACATCCCGCTGACACCTCGAGAGGCACGCGGAGTTCATTGCTTCAAAAGGTGACGATGCCTGACTCCTCTTGAATACTGATAGGAATCCCAAAATCCCTGTGGCTACTGGAAAGGGTCCTTGGGTGCCCTGCCTCACCTCGAGAAGCGTCCCTTTTGCCCTGCCAAGCCTCGAAGAGATTCCTGAGGTGTCCCTCGTTACTAGACAGGAGTCCTGACGTCACTGAAGAAACTCGTGTTTTGAAGGGCCATCCCCGCCGTACGTCGAGAAAATACCCCAGGTCCCCGCCGCAACTCGAGAAAAACCATGAGACTTCCCCCTAGAGGCGAGATGAGGCCCCATTCCCCTGCAGTGCATGCAGAGCTATTCCGTGATCCCATTCAAACAAGTCAGGAGCTTCGACTTGCTTAATGGATCTCGAGACAGTCCCCAATAACACTGTCACCAGTCTACACGGACCCTGAGGTCACCCCAGCAACGCAAAGCAGCTCCATGTGCCCCAAATCAACTCGAGATGAGGCCCGATTCCCCTGCATTGACTCCAGAGCCATTCCCCGTTCCCCATTCAACACGACCGGTGGCTCGACTTCCTTCAGGTAACTCCAGAGATGCCCCGAGAACACTGTCCCAAGTCTAGAGGAACACCAACTTCAGCACAGCAACTCGAGGAATGCTCCGTGTACCCCAAATCGTCTCGAGATGAGAGCTGATTCCCTGGCTTAGGCTCAAGACGTATGCCAACTTCCCAGAAGCACCTCAGGAGGAGGCTTCTCTCAGCAATAGGTATGAGGGAGGGACGCCGAGTTTGCTGCCTCAAGGGCAATATACAGCGAGAAGCCCTAACTTGAAAGGAGGCCGGATTTCCTTGCAGTGGCTTGAATACAGGCTCGTCTTTCATCTCACAACATGAAGGGATGTCTGAATCCCCTGTGGAGACCTTAGAGAAAGCCCTAGGTCCCTGCCTCATTTTGACGGAATGCCTCACATCCCGCTGACACCTCGAGAGGCACGCGGAGTTCATTGCTTCAAAAGGTGACGATGCCTGACTCCTCTTGAATACTGATAGGAATCCCAAAATCCCTGTGGCTACTGGAAAGGGTCCTTGGGTGCCCTGCCTCACCTCGAGAAGCGTCCCTTTTGCCCTGCCAAGCCTCGAAGAGATTCCTGAGGTGTCCCTCGTTACTAGACAGGAGTCCTGACGTCACTGAAGAAACTCGTGTTTTGAAGGGCCTTCCCCGCCGTAAGTCGAGAACATACCCCAGGTCCCCGCCGCAACTCGAGAAAAACCATGAGACTTCCCCCTAGAGGCGAGATGAGGCCCCATTCCCCTGCAGTGCATGCAGAGCTATTCCGTGATCCCATTGAAACAAGTCAGGAGCTTCGACTTGCTTAATGGATCTCGAGACAGTCCCCAAGAACACTGTCACCAGTCTAGACGGACCCTGAGGTCACCCCAGCAACGCAAAGCAGTTCCATGTGCCCCAAATCAACTCGAGATGAGGCCCGATTCCCCTGCATTGACTCCAGAGCCATTCCCCGTTCCCCATTCAACACGACCGGTGGCTCGACTTCCTTCAGGCAACTCCAGAGATGCCCCGAGAACACTGTCCCAAGTCTAGAGGAACACCAACTTCAGCACAGCAACTCGAGGAATGCTCCGTGTACCACAAATCGTCTCGAAATGAGAGCTGATTCCCTGGCTTAGGTTCAAGACGTATACCAACTTCCCAGAAGCACCTCAGGAGGAGGCTTCTCTCAGCAATAGGTATGAGGGAGGGACCCCGAGTTTGCTGCCTCAAGGGCAATATACAGCGAGAAGCCCTAACTTGAAAGGAGGACGGATTTCCTTGCAGTGGCTTGAATACAGGCTCGTCTTTCATCTCACAACATGAAGGGATGTCTGAATCCCCTGTGGAGACCTTAGATAAAGCCCTAGGTGCCTGCCTCATTTTGACGGAATGCCTCACATCCCGCTGACACCTCGAGAGGCACGCGGAGTTCATTGCTTCAAAAGGTGACGATGCCTGACTCCTCTTGAATACTGATAGGAATCCCAAAATCCCTGTGGCTACTGGAAAGGGTCCTTGGGTGCCCTGCCTCACCTCGAGAAGCGTCCCTTTTGCCCTGCCAAGCCTCGAAGAGATTCCTGAGGTGTCCCTCGTTACTAGACAGGAGTCCTGACGTCACTGAAGAAACTCGTGTTTTGAAGGGCCATCCCCGCCGTACGTCGAGAAAATACCCCAGGTCCCCGCCGCAACTCGAGAAAAACCATGAGACTTCCCCCTAGAGGCGAGATGAGGCCCCATTCCCCTGCAGTGCATGCAGAGCTATTCCGTGATCCCATTCAAACAAGTCAGGAGCTTCGACTTGCTTAATGGATCTCGAGACAGTCCCCAAGAACACTGTCACCAGTCTACACGGACCCTGAGGTCACCCCAGCAACGCAAAGCAGCTCCATGTGCCCCAAATCAACTCGAGATGAGGCCCGATTCCCCTGCATTGACTCCAGAGCCATTCCCCGTTCCCCATTCAACACGACCGGTGGCTCGACTTCCTTCAGGTAACTCCAGAGATGCCCCGAGAACACTGTCCCAAGTCTAGAGGAACACCAACTTCAGCACAGCAACTCGAGGAATGCTCCGTGTACCCCAAATCGTCTCGAGATGAGAGCTGATTCCCTGGCTTAGGCTCAAGACGTATGCCAACTTCCCAGAAGCACCTCAGGAGGAGGCTTCTCTCAGCAATAGGTATGAGGGGGGGACGCCGAGTTTGCTGCCTCAAGGGCAATATACAGCGAGAAGCCCTAACTTGAAAGGAGGCCGGATTTCCTTGCAGTGGCTTGAATACAGGCTCGTCTTTCATCTCACAACATGAAGGGATGTCTGAATCCCCTGTGGAGACCTTAGAGAAAGCCCTAGGTCCCTGCCTCATTTTGACGGAATGCCTCACATCCCGCTGACACCTCGAGAGGCACGCGGAGTTCATTGCTTCAAAAGGTGACGATGCCTGACTCCTCTTGAATACTGATAGGAATCCCAAAATCCCTGTGGCTACTGGAAAGGGTCCTTGGGTGCCCTGCCTCACCTCGAGAAGCGTCCCTTTTGCCCTGCCAAGCCTCGAAGAGATTCCTGAGGTGTCCCTCGTTACTAGACAGGAGTCCTGACGTCACTGAAGAAACTCGTGTTTTGAAGGGCCATCCCCACCGTACGTCGAGAACATACCCCAGGTCCCCGCCGCAACTCGAGAAAAACCATGAGACTTCCCCCTAGAGGCGAGATGAGACCCATTCCCCTGCAGTGCATGCAGAGCTATTCCGTGATCCCATTCAAACAAGTCAGGAGCTTCGACTTGCTTAATGGATCTCGAGACAGTCCCCAAGAACACTGTCACCAGTCTAGACGGACCCTGAGGTCACCCCAGCAACGCAAAGCAGCTCCATGTGCCCCAAATCAACTCGAGATGAGGCCCGATTCCCCTGCATTGAATCCAGAGCCATTCCCCGTTCCCCATTCAACACGACCGGTGGCTCGACTTCCTTCAGGCAACTCCAGAGATGCCCCGAGAACACTGTCCCAAGTCTAGAGGAACACCAACTACAGCACAGCAACTCGAGGAATGCTCCGTGTACCCCAAATCGTCTCGAGATGAGAGCTGATTCCCTGGCTTAGGCTCAAGACGTATGCCAACTTCCCAGAAGGACCTCAGGAGGAGGCTTCTCTCAGCAATAGGTATGTGGGAGGGACCCCGAGTGTGCTGCCTCAAGGGCAATATACAGCGAGAAGCCCTAACTTGGAAGGAGGCCGGATTTCCTTGCAGTGGCTTGAATACAGGCTCGTCTTTCATCTCACAACATGAAGGGTGTCTGAATCCCCTGTGGAGACCATAGAGAAAGCCCTAGGTCCCTGCCTCATTTCGACGGAATGCCTCACATTCCGCTGACACCTCGAGAGGCACGCGGAGTTCATTGCTTCAAAAGGTGACGATGCCTGACTCCTCTTGAATACTGATAGGAATCCCAAAATCCCTGTGGCTACTGGAAAGGGTCCTTGGGTGCCCTGCCTCACCTCGAGAAGCGTCCCTTTTGCCCTGCCAAGCCTCGAAGAGATTCCTGAAGTGTCCCCAGTTACGAGACAGGAGTCCTGACGTCACTGAAGAAACTCGTGTTTTGAAGGGCCATCCCCGCCGTAAGTCGAGAACATACCCCAGGTCCCCGCCGCAACTCGAGAAAAACCATGAGACTTCCCCCTAGAGGCGAGATGAGACCCATTCACCTGCAGTGCATGCAGAGCTATTCCGTGATCCCATTCAAACAAGTCAGGAGCTTCGACTTGCTTAATGGATCTGGAGACAGTCCCCAAGAACACTGTCACCAGTCTAGACGGACCCTGAGGTCACCCCAGCAACGCAAAGCAGCTCCATGTGCTCCAAATCAACTCGAGATAGGCCCGATTCCACTGCATTGACTCCAGAGCCATTCCCCGTTCCCCATTCAACAGGACCGGTGGCTCGACTTCCTTCAGGCAACTCCAGAGATGCCCCGAGAACACTCTCCCAAGTCTAGAAGAACACCAACTTCAGCACAGCAACTCGAGGAATGCTCCGTGTACCCCAAATCGTCTCGAGATGAGAGCTGATTCCCTGGCTTAGGCTCAAGACGTATGCCAACCTCCCAGAAGCACCTCAGGAGGAGGCTTCTCTCAGCAATAGGTATGAGGGAGGGACCCCGAGTTTGCTGCCTCAAGGGCAATATACAGCGAGAAGCCCTAACTTGAAAGGAGGCCGGATTTCCTTGCAGTGGCTTGAATACAGGCTCGTCTTTCATCTCACAACATGAAGGGATGTCTGAATCCCCTGTGGAGACCTTAGAGAAAGCCCTAGGTGCCTGCCTATTTTGACGGAATGCCTCACATCCCGCTGACACCTCGAGAGGCACGCGGAGTTCATTGCTTCAAAAGGTGACGATGCCTGACTCCTCTTGAATACTGATAGGAATCCCAAAATCCCTGTGGCTACTGGAAAGGGTCCTTGGGTGCCCTGCCTCACCTCGAGAAGCGTCCCTTTTGCCCTGCCAAGCCTCGAAGAGATTCCTGAGGTGTCCCTCGTTACTAGACAGGAGTCCTGACGTCACTGAAGAAACTCGTGTTTTGAAGGGCCATCCCCGCCGTAAGTCGAGAACATACCCCAGGTCCCCGCCGCAACTCGAGAAAAACCATTAGACTTCCCCCTAGAGGCGAGATGAGGCCCCATTCCCCTGCAGTGCATGCAGAGCTATTCCGTGATCCCATTCAAACAAGTCAGGAGCTTCGACTTGCTTAATGGATCTCGAGACAGTCCCCAAGAACACTGTCACCAGTCTAGACGGACCCTGAGGTCACCCCAGCAACGCAAAGCAGCTCCATGTGCCCCAAATCAACTCGAGATGAGGGCCGATTCCCCTGCATTGACCCCAGAGCCATTCCCCGTTCCCCATTCAACACGACCGGTGGCTCGACTTCCTTCAGGCAACTCCAGAGATGCCCCGAGAACACTGTCCCAAGTCTAGAGGAACACCAACTTCAGCACAGCAACTAGAGGAATGCTCCGTGTACCCCAAATCGTCTCGAGATGAGAGCTGATTCCCTGGCTTAGGCTCAAGACGTATGCCAACTTCCCAGAAGCACCTCAGGAGGAGGCTTCTCTCAGCAATAGGTATGTGGGAGGGACCCCGAGTTTGCTACCTCAAGGCCAATATACAGCGAGAAGCCCTAACTTGAAAGGAGGCCGGATTTCCTTGCAGTGGCTTGAATACAGGCTCGTCTTTCATCTCACAACATGAAGGGATGTCTGAATCCCCTGTGGAGACCTTAGAGAAAGCCCTAGGTCCCTGCCTCATTTTGACGGAATGCCTCACATCCCGCTGACACCTCGAGAGGCACGCGGAGTTCATTGCTTCAAAAGGTGACGATGCCTGACTCCTCTTGAATACTGATAGGAATCCCAAAATCCCTGTGGCTACTGGAAAGGGTCCTTGGGTGCCCTGCCTCACCTCGAGAAGCGTCCCTTTTGCCCTGCCAAGCCTCGAAGAGATTCCTGAGGTGTCCCTCGTTACTAGAAAGGAGTCCTGACGTCACTGAAGAAACTCGTGTTTTGAAGGGCCATCCCCGCCGTAAGTCGAGAACATACCCCAGGTCCCCGCCGCAACTCGAGAAAAACCATGAGACTTCCCCCTAGAGGCGAGATGAGACCCATTCCCCTGCAGTGCATGCAGAGCTATTCCGTGATCCCATTCAAACAAGTCAGGAGCTTCGACTTGCTTAATGGATCTCGAGACAGTCCCCAAGAACACTGTCACCAGTCTACACGGACCCTGAGGTCACCCCAGCAACGCAAAGCAGCTCCATGTGCCCCAAATCAACTCGAGATGAGGCCCGATTCCCCTGCATTGAATCCAGAGCCATTCCCCGTTCCCCATTCAACACGACCGGTGGCTCGACTTCCTTCAGGCAACTCCAGAGATGCCCCGAGAACACTGTCCCAAGTCTAGAGGAACACCAACTTCAGCACAGCAACTCGAGGAATGCTCTGTGTACCCCAAATCGTCTCGAGATGAGAGCTGATTCCCTGGCTTAGGCTCAAGCCGTATGCCAACTTCCCAGAAGGACCTCAGGAGGAGGCTTCTCTCAGCAATAGGTATGTGGGAGGGACCCCGAGTTTGCTGCCTCAAGGGGAATATACAGCGAGAAGCCCTAACTTGAAAGGAGGCCGGATTTCCTTGCAGTGGCTTGAATACAGGCTCGTCTTTCATCTCAAAATATGAAGGGTGTCTGAATCCCCTGTGGAGACCTTAGAGAAAGCCCTAGGTCCCTGCCTCATTTTGACGGAATGCCTCACATTCCGCTGACACCTCGAGAGGCACGCGGAGTTCATTGCTTCAAAAGGTGACGATGCCTGACTCCTCTTGAATACTGATAGGAATCCCAAAATCCCTGTGGCTACTGGAAAGGGTCCTTGGGTGCCCTGCCTCACCTCGAGAAGCGTCCCTTTTGCCCTGCCAAGCCTCGAAGAGATTCCTGGGGTGTCCCTCGTTAGTAGACAGGAGTCCTGACGTCACTGAAGAAACTCGTGTTTTGAAGGGCCATCCCCGCCGTAAGTCGAGAACATAACCCAGGTCCCCGCCGCAACTCGAGAAAAACCATGAGACTTCCCCCTAGAGGCGAGATGAGGACCCATTCCCCTGCAGTGCATGCAGAGCTATTCCGTGATCCCATTCAAACAAGTCAGGAGCTTCGACTTGCTTAATGGATCTCGAGACAGTCCCCAAGAACACTGTCACCAGTCTACACGGACCCTGAGGTCACCCCAGCAACGCAAAGCAGCTCCATGTGCCCCAAATCAACTCAAGATGAGGCCCGATTCCCCTGCATTGACTCCAGAGCCATTCCCCGTTCCCCATTCAACACGACCGGTGGCTCGACTTCCTTCACGCAACTCCAGAGATGCCCCGAGAACACTGTCCCAAGTCTAGAGGAACACCAACTTCAGCACAGCAACTCGAGGAATGCTCCGTGTACCCCAAATCGTCTCGAGATGAGAGCTGATTCCCTGGCTTAGGCTCAAGACGTATGCCAACTTCCCAGAAGCACCTCAGGAGGAGGCTTCTCTCAGCAATAGGTATGAGGGAGGGACCCCGAGTTTGCTGCCTCAGGGGCAATATACAGCGAGAAGCCCTAACTTGAAAGGAGGCCGGATTTCCTTGCAGTGGCTTGAATACAGGCTCGTCTTTCATCTCACAACATGAAGGGATGTCTGAATCCCCTGTGGAGACCTTAGAGAAAGCCCTAGGTGCCTGCCTCATTTTGACGGAATGCCTCACATCCCGCTGACACCTCGAGAGGCACGCGGAGTTCATTGCTTCAAAAGGTGACGATGCCTGACTCCTCTTGAATACTGATAGGAATCCCAAAATCCCTGTGGCTACTGGAAAGGGTCCTTGGGTGCCCTGCCTCACCTCGAGAAGCGTCCCTTTTGCCCTGCCAAGCCTCGAAGAGATTCCTGAGGTGTCCCTCGTTACTAGACAGGAGTCCTGACGTCACTGAAGAAACTCGTGTTTTGAAGGGCCATCCCCGCCGTAAGTCGAGAACATACCCCAGGTCCCCGCCGCAACTCGAGAAAAACCATGAGACTTCCCCCTAGAGGCGAGATGAGACCCATTCCCCTGCAGTGCATGCAGAGCTATTCCGTGATCCCATTCAAACAAGTCAGGAGCTTCGACTTGCTTAATGGATCTCGAGACAGTCCCCAAGAACACTGTCACCAGTCTACACGGACCCTGAGGTCACCCCAGCAACGCAAAGCAGCTCCATGTGCCCCAAATCAACTCGAGATGAGGCCCGATTCCCCTGAATTGAATCCAGAGCCATTCCCCGTTCCCCATTCAACACGACCGGTGGCTCGACTTCCTTCAGGCAACTCCAGAGATGCCCCGAGAACACTGTCCCAAGTCTAGAGGAACACCAACTTCAGCACAGCAACTCGAGGAATGCTCTGTGTACCCCAAATCGTCTCGAGATGAGAGCTGATTCCCTGGCTTAGGCTCAAGCCGTATGCCAACTTCCCAGAAGGACCTCAGGAGGAGGCTTCTCTCAGCAATAGGTATGTGGGAGGGTCCCCGAGTTTGCTGCCTCAAGGGGAATATACAGCGAGAAGCCCTAACTTGAAAGGAGGCCGGATTTCCTTGCAGTGGCTTGAATACAGGCTCGTCTTTCATCTCAAAATATGAAGGGTGTCTGAATCCCCTGTGGAGACCTTAGAGAAAGCCCTAGGTCCCTGCCTCATTTTGACGGAATGCCTCACATTCCGCTGACACCTCGAGAGGCACGCGGAGTTCATTGCTTCAAAAGGTGACGATGCCTGACTCCTCTTGAATACTGATAGGAATCCCAAAATCCCTGTGGCTACTGGAAAGGGTCCTTGGGTGCCCTGCCTCACCTCGAGAAGCGTCCCTTTTGCCCTGCCAAGCCTCGAAGAGATTCCTGGGGTGTCCCTCGTTAGTAGACAGGAGTCCTGACGTCACTGAAGAAACTCGTGTTTTGAAGGGCCATCCCCGCCGTAAGTCGAGAACATACCCCAGGTCCCCGCCGCAACTCGAGAAAAACCATGAGACTTCCCCCTAGAGGCGAGATGAGGCCCCATTCCCCTGCAGTGCATGCAGAGCTATTCCGTGATCCCATTCAAACAAGTCAGGAGCTTCGACTTGCTTAATGGATCTCGAGACAGTCCCCAAGAACACTGTCACCAGTCTACACGGACCCTGAGGTCACCCCAGCAACGCAAAGCAGCTCCATGTGCCCCAAATCAACTCGAGATGAGGCCCGATTCCCCTGCATTGAATCCAGAGCCATTCCCCGTTCCCCATTCAACACGACCGGTGGCTCGACTTCCTTCAGGCAACTCCAGAGATGCCCCGAGAACACTGTCCCAAGTCTAGAGGAACACCAACTTCAGCACAGCAACTCGAGGAATGCTCCGTGTACCCCAAATCGTCTCGAGATGAGAGCTGATTCCCTGGCTTAGGCTCAAGCCGTATGCCAACTTCCCAGAAGGACCTCAGGAGGAGGCTTCTCTCAGCAATAGGTATGTGGGAGGGACCCCGAGTTTGCTGCCTCAAGGGGAATATACAGCGAGAAGCCCTAACTTGAAAGGAGGCCGGATTTCCTTGCAGTGGCTTGAATACAGGCTCGTCTTTCATCTCAAAATATGAAGGGTGTCTGAATCCCCTGTGGAGACCTTAGAGAAAGCCCTAGGTCCCTGCCTCATTTTGACGGAATGCCTCACATTCCGCTGACACCTCGAGAGGCACGCGGAGTTCATTGCTTCAAAAGGTGACGATGCCTGACTCCTCTTGAATACTGATAGGAATCCCAAAATCCCTGTGGCTACTGGAAAGGGTCCTTGGGTGCCCTGCCTCACTTCGAGAAGCGTCCCTTTTGCCCTGCCAAGCCTCGAAGAGATTCCTGGGGTGTCCCTCGTTAGTAGACAGGAGTCCTGACGTCACTGAAGAAACTCGTGTTTTGAAGGGCCATCCCCGCCGTAAGTCGAGAACATACCCCAGGTCCCCGCCGCAACTTGAGAAAAACCATGAGACTTCCCCCTAGAGGCGAGATGAGGCCCCATTCCCCTGCAGTGCATGCAGAGCTATTCCGTGATCCCATTCAAACAAGTCAGGAGCTTCGACTTGCTTAATGGATCTCGAGACAGTCCCCAAGAACACTGTCACCAGTCTAGACGGACCCTGAGGTCACCCCAGCAACGCAAAGCAGCTCCATGTGCCCCAAATCAACTCGAGATGAGGCCCGATTCCCCTGCATTGACTCCAGAGCCATTCCCCGTTCCCCATTCAACACGACCGGTGGCTCGACTTCCTTCACGCAACTCCAGAGATGCCCCGAGAACACTGTCCCAAGTCTAGAGGAACACCAACTTCAGCACAGCAACTCGAGGAATGCTCCGTGTACCCCAAATCGTCTCGAGATGAGAGCTGATTCCCTGGCTTAGGCTCAAGACGTATGCCAACTTCCCAGAAGCACCTCAGGAGGAGGCTTCTCTCAGCAATAGGTATGAGGGAAGGACCCCGAGTTTGCTGCCTCAAGGGCAATATACAGCGAGAAGCCCTAACTTGAAAGGAGGCCGGATTTCCTTGCAGTGGCTTGAATACAGGCTCGTCTTTCATCTCACAACATGAAGGGATGTCTGAATCCCCTGTGGAGACCTTAGAGAAAGCCCTTTGTCCCTGCCTCATTTTGACGGAATGCCTCACAACCCGCTGACACCTCGAGAGGCACGCGGAGTTCATTGCTTCAAAAGGTGACGATGCCTGACTCCTCTTGAATACTGATAGGAATCCCAAAATCCCTGTGGCTACTGGAAAGGGTCCTTGGGTGCCCTGCCTCACCTCGAGAAGCGTCCCTTTTGCCCTGCCAAGCCTCGAAGAGATTCCTGAGGTGTCCCTCGTTACTAGACAGGAGTCCTGACGTCACTGAAGAAACTCGTGTTTTGAAGGGCCATCCCCGCCGTAAGTCGAGAACATACCCCAGGTCCCCGCCGCAACTCGAGAAAAACCATGAGACTTCCCCCTAGAGGCGAGATGAGACCCATTCCCCTGCAGTGCATGCAGAGCTATTCCGTGATCCCATTCAAACAAGTCAGGAGCTTCGACTTGCTTAATGGATCTCGAGACAGTCCCCAAGAACACTGTCACCAGTCTAGACGGACCCTGAGGTCACCCCAGCAACGCAAAGCAGCTCCATGTGCCCCAAATCAACTCGAGATGAGGCCCGATTCCCCTGCATTGAATCCAGAGCCATTCCCCGTTCCCCATTCAACACGACCGGTGGCTCGACTTCCTTCAGGCAACTCCAGAGATGCCCCGAGAACACTGTCCCAAGTCTAGAGGAACACCAACTTCAGCACAGCAACTCGAGGAATGCTCTGTGTACCCCAAATCGTCTCGAGATGAGAGCTGATTCCCTGGCTTAGGCTCAAGCCGTATGCCAACTTCCCAGAAGGACCTCAGGAGGAGGCTTCTCTCAGCAATAGGTATGTGGGAGGGACCCCGAGTTTGCTGCCTCAAGGGGAATATACAGCGAGAAGCCCTAACTTGAAAGGAGGCCGGATTTCCTTGCAGTGGCTTGAATACAGGCTCGTCTTTCATCTCAAAATATGAAGGGTGTCTGAATCCCCTGTGGAGACCTTAGAGAAAGCCCTAGGTCCCTGCCTCATTTTGACGGAATGCCTCACATTCCGCTGACACCTCGAGAGGCACGCGGAGTTCATTGCTTCAAAAGGTGACGATGCCTGACTCCTCTTGAATACTGATAGGAATCCCAAAATCCCTGTGGCTACTGGAAAGGGTCCTTGGGTGCCCTGCCTCACCTCGAGAAGCGTCCCTTTTGCCCTGCCAAGCCTCGAAGAGATTCCTGGGGTGTCCCTCGTTAGTAGACAGGAGTCCTGACGTCACTGAAGAAACTCGTGTTTTGAAGGGCCATCCCCGCCGTAAGTCGAGAACATACCCCAGGTCCCCGCCGCAACTCGAGAAAAACCATGAGACTTCCCCCTAGAGGCGAGATGAGGCCCCATTCCCCTGCAGTGCATGCAGAGCTATTCCGTGATCCCATTCAAACAAGTCAGGAGCTTCGACTTGCTTAATGGATCTCGAGACAGTCCCCAAGAACACTGTCACCAGTCTACACGGACCCTGAGGTCACCCCAGCAACGCAAAGCAGCTCCATGTGCCCCAAATCAACTCGAGATGAGGCCCGATTCCCCTGCATTGACTCCAGAGCCATTCCCCGTTCCCCATTCAACACGACCGGTGGCTCGACTTCCTTCACGCAACTCCAGAGATGCCCCGAGAACACTGTCCCAAGTCTAGAGGAACACCAACTTCAGCACAGCAACTCGAGGAATGCTCCGTGTACCCCAAATCGTATCGAGATGAGAGCTGATTCCCTGGCTTAGGCTCAAGACGTATGCCAACTTCCCAGAAGCACCTCAGGAGGAGGCTTCTCTCAGCAATAGGTATGAGGGAAGGACCCCGAGTTTGCTGCCTCAAGGGCAATATACAGTGAGAAGCCCTAACTTGAAAGGAGGCCGGATTTCCTTGCAGTGGCTTGAATACAGGCTCGTCTTTCATCTCACAACATGAAGGGATGTCTGAATCCCCTGTGGAGACCTTAGAGAAAGCCCTTTGTCCCTGCCTCATTTTGACGGAATGCCTCACAACCCGCTGACACCTCGAGAGGCACGCGGAGTTCATTGCTTCAAAAGGTGACGATGCCTGACTCCTCTTGAATACTGATAGGAATCCCAAAATCCCTGTGGCTACTGGAAAGGGTCCTTGGGTGCCCTGCCTCACCTCGAGAAGCGTCCCTTTTGCCCTGCCAAGCCTCGAAGAGATTCCTGAGGTGTCCCTCGTTACTAGACAGGAGTCCTGACGTCACTGAAGAAACTCGTGTTTTGAAGGGCCATCCCCGCCGTAAGTCGAGAACATACCCCAGGTCCCCGCCGCAACTCGAGAAAAACCATGAGACTTCCCCCTAGAGGCGAGATGAGACCCATTCCCCTGCAGTGCATGCAGAGCTATTCCGTGATCCCATTCAAACAAGTCAGGAGCTTCGACTTGCTTAATGGATCTCGAGACAGTCCCCAAGAACACTGTCACCAGTCTAGACGGACCCTGAGGTCACCCCAGCAACGCAAAGCAGCTCCATGTGCCCCAAATCAACTCGAGATGAGGCCCGATTCCCCTGCATTGAATCCAGAGCCATTCCCCGTTCCCCATTCAACACGACCGGTGGCTCGACTTCCTTCAGGCAACTCCAGAGATGCCCCGAGAACACTGTCCCAAGTCTAGAGGAACACCAACTTCAGCACAGCAACTCGAGGAATGCTCTGTGTACCCCAAATCGTCTCGAGATGAGAGCTGATTCCCTGGCTTAGGCTCAAGCCGTATGCCAACTTCCCAGAAGGACCTCAGGAGGAGGCTTCTCTCAGCAATAGGTATGTGGGAGGGTCCCCGAGTTTGCTGCCTCAAGGGGAATATACAGCGAGAAGCCCTAACTTGAAAGGAGGCCGGATTTCCTTGCAGTGGCTTGAATACAGGCTCGTCTTTCATCTCAAAATATGAAGGGTGTCTGAATCCCCTGTGGAGACCTTAGAGAAAGCCCTAGGTCCCTGCCTCATTTTGACGGAATGCCTCACATTCCGCTGACACCTCGAGAGGCACGCGGAGTTCATTGCTTCAAAAGGTGACGATGCCTGACTCCTCTTGAATACTGATAGGAATCCCAAAATCCCTGTGGCTACTGGAAAGGGTCCTTGGGTGCCCTGCCTCACCTCGAGAAGCGTCCCTTTTGCCCTGCCAAGCCTCGAAGAGATTCCTGGGGTGTCCCTCGTTAGTAGACAGGAGTCCTGACGTCACTGAAGAAACTCGTGTTTTGAAGGGCCATCCCCGCCGTAAGTCGAGAACATACCCCAGGTCCCCGCCGCAACTCGAGAAAAACCATGAGACTTCCCCCTAGAGGCGAGATGAGGCCCCATTCCCCTGCAGTGCATGCAGAGCTATTCCGTGATCCCATTCAAACAAGTCAGGAGCTTCGACTTGCTTAATGGATCTCGAGACAGTCCCCAAGAACACTGTCACCAGTCTACACGGACCCTGAGGTCACCCCAGCAACGCAAAGCAGCTCCATGTGCCCCAAATCAACTCGAGATGAGGCCCGATTCCCCTGCATTGACTCCAGAGCCATTCCCCGTTCCCCATTCAACACGACCGGTGGCTCGACTTCCTTCACGCAACTCCAGAGATGCCCCGAGAACACTGTCCCAAGTCTAGAGGAACACCAACTTCAGCACAGCAACTCGAGGAATGCTCCGTGTACCCCAAATCGTCTCGAGATGAGAGCTGATTCCCTGGCTTAGGCTCAAGACGTATGCCAACTTCCCAGAAGCACCTCAGGAGGAGGCTTCTCTCAGCAATAGGTATGAGGGAAGGACCCCGAGTTTGCTGCCTCAAGGGCAATATACAGCGAGAAGCCCTAACTTGAAAGGAGGCCGGATTTCCTTGCAGTGGCTTGAATACAGGCTCGTCTTTCATCTCACAACATGAAGGGATGTCTGAATCCCCTGTGGAGACCTTAGAGAAAGCCCTTTGTCCCTGCCTCATTTTGACGGAATGCCTCACAACCCGCTGACACCTCGAGAGGCACGCGGAGTTCATTGCTTCAAAAGGTGACGATGCCTGACTCCTCTTGAATACTGATAGGAATCCCAAAATCCCTGTGGCTACTGGAAAGGGTCCTTGGGTGCCCTGCCTCACCTCGAGAAGCGTCCCTTTTGCCCTGCCAAGCCTCGAAGAGATTCCTGAGGTGTCCCTCGTTACTAGACAGGAGTCCTGACGTCACTGAAGAAACTCGTGTTTTGAAGGGCCATCCCCGCCGTAAGTCGAGAACATACCCCAGGTCCCCGCCGCAACTCGAGAAAAACCATGAGACTTCCCCCTAGAGGCGAGATGAGACCCATTCCCCTGCAGTGCATGCAGAGCTATTCCGTGATCCCATTCAAACAAGTCAGGAGCTTCGACTTGCTTAATGGATCTCGAGACAGTCCCCAAGAACACTGTCACCAGTCTAGACGGACCCTGAGGTCACCCCAGCAACGCAAAGCAGCTCCATGTGCCCCAAATCAACTCGAGATGAGGCCCGATTCCCCTGCATTGAATCCAGAGCCATTCCCCGTTCCCCATTCAACACGACCGGTGGCTCGACTTCCTTCAGGCAACTCCAGAGATGCCCCGAGAACACTGTCCCAAGTCTAGAGGAACACCAACTTCAGCACAGCAACTCGAGGAATGCTCTGTGTACCCCAAATCGTCTCGAGATGAGAGCTGATTCCCTGGCTTAGGCTCAAGCCGTATGCCAACTTCCCAGAAGGACCTCAGGAGGAGGCTTCTCTCAGCAATAGGTATGTGGGAGGGACCCCGAGTTTGCTGCCTCAAGGGGAATATACAGCGAGAAGCCCTAACTTGAAAGGAGGCCGGATTTCCTTGCAGTGGCTTGAATACAGGCTCGTCTTTCATCTCAAAATATGAAGGGTGTCTGAATCCCCTGTGGAGACCTTAGAGAAAGCCCTAGGTCCCTGCCTCATTTTGACGGAATGCCTCACATTCCGCTGACACCTCGAGAGGCACGCGGAGTTCATTGCTTCAAAAGGTGACGATGCCTGACTCCTCTTGAATACTGATAGGAATCCCAAAATCCCTGTGGCTACTGGAAAGGGTCCTTGGGTGCCCTGCCTCACCTCGAGAAGCGTCCCTTTTGCCCTGCCAAGCCTCGAAGAGATTCCTGGGGTGTCCCTCGTTAGTAGACAGGAGTCCTGACGTCACTGAAGAAACTCGTGTTTTGAAGGGCCATCCCCGCCGTAAGTCGAGAACATACCCCAGGTCCCCGCCGCAACTCGAGAAAAACCATGAGACTTCCCCCTAGAGGCGAGATGAGGCCCCATTCCCCTGCAGTGCATGCAGAGCTATTCCGTGATCCCATTCAAACAAGTCAGGAGCTTCGACTTGCTTAATGGATCTCGAGACAGTCCCCAAGAACACTGTCACCAGTCTACACGGACCCTGAGGTCACCCCAGCAACGCAAAGCAGCTCCATGTGCCCCAAATCAACTCGAGATGAGGCCCGATTCCCCTGCATTGAATCCAGAGCCATTCCCCGTTCCCCATTCAACACGACCGGTGGCTCGACTTCCTTCAGGCAACTCCAGAGATGCCCCGAGAACACTGTCCCAAGTCTAGAGGAACACCAACTTCAGCACAGCAACTCGAGGAATGCTCCGTGTACCCCAAATCGTCTCGAGATGAGAGCTGATTCCCTGGCTTAGGCTCAAGCCGTATGCCAACTTCCCAGAAGGACCTCAGGAGGAGGCTTCTCTCAGCAATAGGTATGTGGGAGGGACCCCGAGTTTGCTGCCTCAAGGGGAATATACAGCGAGAAGCCCTAACTTGAAAGGAGGCCGGATTTCCTTGCAGTGGCTTGAATACAGGCTCGTCTTTCATCTCAAAATATGAAGGGTGTCTGAATCCCCTGTGGAGACCTTAGAGAAAGCCCTAGGTCCCTGCCTCATTTTGACGGAATGCCTCACATTCCGCTGACACCTCGAGAGGCACGCGGAGTTCATTGCTTCAAAAGGTGACGATGCCTGACTCCTCTTGAATACTGATAGGAATCCCAAAATCCCTGTGGCTACTGGAAAGGGTCCTTGGGTGCCCTGCCTCACTTCGAGAAGCGTCCCTTTTGCCCTGCCAAGCCTCGAAGAGATTCCTGGGGTGTCCCTCGTTAGTAGACAGGAGTCCTGACGTCACTGAAGAAACTCGTGTTTTGAAGGGCCATCCCCGCCGTAAGTCGAGAACATACCCCAGGTCCCCGCCGCAACTCGAGAAAAACCATGAGACTTCCCCCTAGAGGCGAGATGAGGCCCCATTCCCCTGCAGTGCATGCAGAGCTATTCCGTGATCCCATTCAAACAAGTCAGGAGCTTCGACTTGCTTAATGGATCTCGAGACAGTCCCCAAGAACACTGTCACCAGTCTACACGGACCCTGAGGTCACCCCAGCAACGCAAAGCAGCTCCATGTGCCCCAAATCAACTCGAGATGAGGCCCGATTCCCCTGCATTGACTCCAGAGCCATTCCCCGTTCCCCATTCAACACGACCGGTGGCTCGACTTCCTTCACGCAACTCCAGAGATGCCCCGAGAACACTGTCCCAAGTCTAGAGGAACACCAACTTCAGCACAGCAACTCGAGGAATGCTCCGTGTACCCCAAATCGTCCCGAGATGAGAGCTGATTCCCTGGCTTAGGCTCAAGACGTATGCCAACTTCCCAGAAGCACCTCAGGAGGAGGCTTCTCTCAGCAATAGGTATGAGGGAGGGACCCCGAGTTTGCTGCCTCAAGGGCAATATACAGCGAGAAGCCCTAACTTGAAAGGAGGCCGGATTTCCTTGCAGTGGCTTGAATACAGGCTCGTCTTTCATCTCACAACATGAAGGGATGTCTGAATCCCCTGTGGAGACCTTAGAGAAAGCCCTTTGTCCCTGCCTCATTTTGACGGAATGCCTCACAACCCGCTGACACCTCGAGAGGCACGCGGAGTTCATTGCTTCAAAAGGTGACGATGCCTGACTCCTCTTGAATACTGATAGGAATCCCAAAATCCCTGTGGCTACTGGAAAGGGTCCTTGGGTGCCCTGCCTCACCTCGAGAAGCGTCCCTTTTGCCCTGCCAAGCCTCGAAGAGATTCCTGAGGTGTCCCTCGTTACTAGACAGGAGTCCTGACGTCACTGAAGAAACTCGTGTTTTGAAGGGCCATCCCCGCCGTAAGTCGAGAACATACCCCAGGTCCCCGCCGCAACTCGAGAAAAACCATGAGACTTCCCCCTAGAGGCGAGATGAGACCCATTCCCCTGCAGTGCATGCAGAGCTATTCCGTGATCCCATTCAAACAAGTCAGGAGCTTCGACTTGCTTAATGGATCTCGAGACAGTCCCCAAGAACACTGTCACCAGTCTAGACGGACCCTGAGGTCACCCCAGCAACGCAAAGCAGCTCCATGTGCCCCAAATCAACTCGAGATGAGGCCCGATTCCCCTGCATTGAATCCAGAGCCATTCCCCGTTCCCCATTCAACACGACCGGTGGCTCGACTTCCTTCAGGCAACTCCAGAGATGCCCCGAGAACACTGTCCCAAGTCTAGAGGAACACCAACTTCAGCACAGCAACTCGAGGAATGCTCTGTGTACCCCAAATCGTCTCGAGATGAGAGCTGATTCCCTGGCTTAGGCTCAAGCCGTATGCCAACTTCCCAGAAGGACCTCAGGAGGAGGCTTCTCTCAGCAATAGGTATGTGGGAGGGACCCCGAGTTTGCTGCCTCAAGGGGAATATACAGCGAGAAGCCCTAATTTGAAAGGAGGCCGGATTTCCTTGCAGTGGCTTGAATACAGGCTCGTCTTTCATCTCAAAATATGAAGGGTGTCTGAATCCCCTGTGGAGACCTTAGAGAAAGCCCTAGGTCCCTGCCTCATTTTGACGGAATGCCTCACATTCCGCTGACACCTCGAGAGGCACGCGGAGTTCATTGCTTCAAAAGGTGACGATGCCTGACTCCTCTTGAATACTGATAGGAATCCCAAAATCCCTGTGGCTACTGGAAAGGGTCCTTGGGTGCCCTGCCTCACCTCGAGAAGCGTCCCTTTTGCCCTGCCAAGCCTCGAAGAGATTCCTGGGGTGTCCCTCGTTAGTAGACAGGAGTCCTGACGTCACTGAAGAAACTCGTGTTTTGAAGGGCCATCCCCGCTGTAAGTCGAGAACATACCCCAGGTCCCCGCCGCAACTCGAGAAAAACCATGAGACTTCCCCCTAGAGGCGAGATGAGGCCCCATTCTCCTGCAGTGCATGCAGAGCTATTCCGTGATCCCATTCAAACAAGTCAGGAGCTTCGACTTGCTTAATGGATCTCGAGACAGTCCCCAAGAACACTGTCACCAGTCTACACGGACCCTGAGGTCACCCCAGCAACGCAAAGCAGCTCCATGTGCCCCAAATCAACTCGAGATGAGGCCCGATTCCCCTGCATTGAATCCAGAGCCATTCCCCGTTCCCCATTCAACACGACCGGTGGCTCGACTTCCTTCACGCAACTCCAGAGATGCCCCGAGAACACTGTCCCAAGTCTAGAGGAACACCAACTTCAGCACAGCAACTCGAGGAATGCTCCGTGTACCCCAAATCGTCTCGAGATGAGAGCTGATTCCCTGGCTTAGGCTCAAGACGTATGCCAACTTCCCAGAAGCACCTCAGGAGGAGGCTTCTCTCAGCAATAGGTATGAGGGAGGGACCCCGAGTTTGCTGCCTCAAGGGCAATATACAGCGAGAAGCCCTAACTTGAAAGGAGGCCGGATTTCCTTGCAGTGGCTTGAATACAGGCTCGTCTTTCATCTCACAACATCAAGAGATGTCTGAATCCCCTGTGGAGACCTTAGAGAAAGCCCTTTGTCCCTGCCTCATTTTGACGGAATGCCTCACAACCCGCTGACACCTCGAGAGGCACGCGGAGTTCATTGCTTCAAAAGGTGACGATGCCTGACTCCTCTTGAATACTGATAGGAATCCCAAAATCCCTGTGGCTACTGGAAAGGGTCCTTGGGTGCCCTGCCTCACCTCGAGAAGCGTCCCTTTTGCCCTGCCAAGCCTCGAAGAGATTCCTGAGGTGTCCCTCGTTACTAGACAGGAGTCCTGACGTCACTGAAGAAACTCGTGTTTTGAAGGGCCATCCCCGCCGTAAGTCGAGAACATACCCCAGGTCCCCGCCGCAACTCGAGAAAAACCATGAGACTTCCCCCTAGAGGCGAGTTGAGGCCCCATTCCCCTGCAGTGCATGCAGAGCTATTCCGTGATCCCATTCAAACAAGTCAGGAGCTTCGACTTGCTTAATGGATCTCGAGACAGTCCCCAAGAACACTGTCACCAGTCTAGACGGACCCTGAGGTCACCCCAGCAACGCAAAGCAGCTCCATGTGCCCCATATCAACTCGAAGTGAGGCCCGATTCCCCTGCATTGACTCCAGAGCCATTCCCCGTTCCCCACTCAACACGACCGGTGGCTCGACTTCCTTCAGGCAACTCCAGAGATGCCCCGAGAACACTGTCCCAAGTCTAGAGGAACACCAACTTCAGCACAGCAACTCGAGGAATGCTCCGTGTACCCCAAATCGTCTCGAGATGAGAGCTGATTCCCTGGCTTAGGTTCAAGACGTATGCCAACTTCCCAGAAGCACCTCAGGAGGAGGCATCTCTCAGCAATAGGTATGTGGGAGGGACCCCGAGTTTGCTGCCTCAAGGGGAATATACAGCGAGAAGCCCTAACTTGAAAGGAGGCCGGATTTCCTTGCAGTGGCTTGAATACAGGCTCGTCTTTCATCTCACAACATGAAGGGGTGTCTGAATCCCCTGTGGAGACCTTAGAGAAAGTTCTAGGTCCCTGCCTCATTTTGACGGAATGCCTCACATTCCGCTGACACCTCGAGAGGCACGCGGAGTTCATTGCTTCAAAAGGTGACGATGCCTGACTCCTCTTGAATACTGAGAGGAATCCCAAAATCCCTGTGGCTACTGGAAAGGGTCCTTGGGTGCCCTGCCTCACCTCAAGAAGCGTCCCTTTTGCCCTGCCAAGCCTCGAAGAGATTCCTGAGGTGTCCCTCGTTACTAGACAGGAGTCCTGACGTCACTGAAGAAACTCGTGTTTTGAAGGGCCATCCCCGCCGTAAGTCGAGAACATACCCCAGGTCCCCGCCGCAACTCGAGAAAAACCATGAGACTTCCCCCTAGAGGCGAGATGAGGCCCCATTCCCCTGCAGTGCATGCAGAGCTATTCCGTGATCCCATTCAAACAAGTCAGGAGCTTCGACTTGCTTAATGGATCTCGAGACAGTCCCCAAGAACACTGTCACCAGTCTAGACGGACCCTGAGGTCACCCCAGCAACGCAAAGCAGCTCCATGTGCCCCAAATCAACTCGAGATGAGGCCCGATTCCCCTGCATTGACTCCAGAGCCATTCCCCGTTCCCCATTCAACACGACCGGTGGCTCGACTTCCTTCAGGCAACTCCAGAGATGCCCCGAGAACACTGTCCCAAGTCTAGAGGAACACCAACTTCAGCACAGCAACTCGAGGAATGCTCCGTGTACCACAAATCGTCTCGAGATGAGAGCTGATTCCCTGGCTTAGGCTCAAGACGTACGCCAACTTCCCAGAAGGACCTCAGGAGGAGGCTTCTCTCAGCAATAGGTATGTGGGAGGGACCCCGAGTTTGCTGCCTCAATGGGAATATACAGTGAGAAGCCGTAACTTGAAAGGAGGCCGGATTTCCTTGCAGGGGCTTGAATATAGGCTCGTCTTTCATCTCACAACATGAAGGGATGTCTGAATCCCCTGTGGAGACCTTAGAGAAAGCCCTAGGTGCCTGCCTCATTTTGACGGAATGCCTCACATCCCGCTGACACCTCGAGAGGCACGCGGAGTTCATTGCTTCAAAAGGTGACAATGCCTGACTCCTCTTGAATACTGATAGGAATCCCAAAATCCCTGTGGCTACTGGAAGGGTCCTTGGGTGCTCTGCCTCACCTCGAGAAGCATCCCTTTTGCCCTGCCAAGCCTCGAAGAGATTCCTGAGTTGTCCCTCGTTAGTAGACAGGAGTCCTGACGTCACTGAAGAAACTCGTGTTTTGAAGGGCCATCCCCGCCGTAAGTCGAGAACATACCCCAGGTCCCCACCGCTACTCGAGAAAAACCATGAGACTTCCCCCTAGAGGCGAGATGAGGCCCCATTCCCCTGCAGTGCATGCAGAGCTATTCCGTGATCCCATTCAAACAAGTCAGGAGCTTCGACTTGCTTAATGGATCTCGAGACAGTCCCCAAGAACACTGTCACCAGTCTAGACGGACCCTGAGGTCACCCCAGCAACGCAAAGCAGCTCCATGTGCCCCAAATCAACTCGAGATGAGGCCCGATTCCCCTGCATTGACTCCAGAGCCATTCCCCGTTCCCCATTCAACACGACCGGTGGCTCGACTTCCTTCAGGCAACTCCAGAGATGCCCCGAGAACACTGTCCCAAGTCTAGAGGAACACCAACTTCAGCACAGCAACTCGAGGAATGCTCCGTGTACCCCAAATCGTCTCGAGATGAGAGCTGATTCCCTGGCTTAGGCTCAAGACGTATGCCAACTTCCCAGAAGCACCTCAGGAGGAGGCTTCTCTCAGCAATAGGTATGTGGGAGGGACCCCGAGTTTGCTGCCTCAAGGGGAATATACAGCGAGAAGCCCTAACTTGAAAGGAGGCCGGATTTCCTTGCAGTGGCTTGAATACAGGCTCGTCTTTCATCTCACAACATGAAGGGATGTCTGAATCCCCTGTGGAGACCTTAGAGAAAGCCCTAGGTCCCTGCCTCATTTTGACGGAATGCCTCACATCCCGCTGACACCTCGAGAGGCACGCGGAGTTCATTGCTTCAAAAGGTGACGATGCCTGATTCCTCTTGAATACTGATAGGAATCCCAAAATCCCTGTGGCTACTGGAAAGGGTCCTTGGGTGCCCTGCCTCACTTCGAGAAGCGTCCCTTTTGCCCTGCCAAGCCTCGAAGAGATTCCTGAGGTGTCCCTCGTTACTAGACAGGAGTCCTGACGTCACTGAAGAAACTCGTGTTTTGAAGGGCCATCCCCGCCGTAAGTCGAGAACATACCCCAGGTCCCCGCCGCAACTCGAGAAAAACCATGAGACTTCCCCCTAGAGGCGAGATGAGGCCCCATTCCCCTGCAGTGCATGCAGAGCTATTCCGTGATCCCATTCAAACAAGTCAGGAGCTTCGATTTGCTTAATGGATCTCGAGACAGTCCCCAAGAACACTGTCACCAGTCTAGACGGACCCTGAGGTCACCCCAGCAACGCAAAGCAGCTCCATGTGCCCCAACTCAACTCGAGATGAGGCCCGATTCCCCTGCATTGACTCCAGAGCCATTCCCCGTTCCCCACTCAACACGACCGGTGGCTCGACTTCCTTCAGGCAACTCCAGAGATGTCCCGAGAACACTGTCCCAAGTCTAGAGGAACACCAACTTCAGCACAGCAACTCGAGGAATGCTCCGTGTACCCCAAATCGTCTCGAGATGAGAGCTGATTCCCTGGCTTAGGCTCAAGACGTATGCCAACTTCCCAGAAGCACCTCAGGAGGAGGCTTATCTCAGCAATAGGTATGTGGGAGGGACCCCGAGTTTGCTGCCTCAAGGGCAATATACAGCGAGAAGCCCTAACTTGAAAGGAGGCCGGATTTCCTTGCAGTGGCTTGAATACAGGCTCGTCTTTCATCTCACAACATGAAGGGATGTCTTAATCCCCTGTGGAGACCTTAGAGAAAGCCCTAGGTCCCTGCCTCATTTTGACGGAATGCCTCACATCCCGCTGACACCTCGAGAGGCACGTGGAGTTCATTGCTTCAAAAGGTGACGATGCCTGACTCCTCTTGAATACTGATAGGAATCCCAAAATCCCTGTGGCTACTGGAAAGGGTCCTTGGGTGCCCTGCCTCACCTCGAGAAGCGTCCCTTTTGCCCTGCCAAGCCACGAAGAGATTCCTGAGGTGTCCCTCGTTACTAGACAGCAGTCCTGACGTCACTGAAGAAACTCGTGTTTTGAAGGGCCATCCCCGCCGTAAGTCGAGAACATACCCCAGGTCCCCGCCGCAACTCGAGAAAAACCATGAGACTTCCCCCTAGAGGCGAGATGAGGCCCCATTCCCCTGCAGTGCATGCAGAGCTATTCCGTGATCCCATTCAAACAAGTCAGGAGCTTCGACTTGCTTAATGGATCTCGAGACAGTCCCCAAGAACACTGTCACCAGTCTAGACGGACCCTGAGGTCACCCCAGCAACGCAAAGCAGCTCCATGTGCCCCAAATCAACTCGAGATGAGGCCCGATTCCCCTGCATTGACTCCAGAGCCATTCCCCGTTCCCCATTCAACATGACCGGTGGCTCGACTTCCTTCAGGCAACTCCAGAGATGCCCCGAGAACACTGTCCCAAGTCTAGAGGAACACCAACTTCAGCACAGAAACTCGAGGACTGCTCCGTGTACCCCAAATCGTCTCGAGATGAGAGCTGATTCCCTGGCTTAGGCTCAAGACGTACGCCAACTTCCCAGAAGGACCTCAGGAGGAGGCTTCTCTCAGCAATAGGTATGTGGGAGGGACCCCGAGTTTGCTGCCTCAAGGGGAATATACAGCGAGAAGCCCTAACTTGAAAGGAGGCCGGATTTCCTTGCAGTGGCTTGAATACAGGCTCGTCTTTCATCTCACAACATGAAGGGATGTCTGAATCCCCTGTGGAGACCTTAGAGAAAGCCCTAGGTCCCTGCCTCATTTTGACGGAATGCCTCACATCCCGCTGACACCTCGAGAGGCACGCGGAGTTCATTGCTTCAAAAGGTGACGATGCCTGACTCCTCTTGAATACTGATAGGAATCCCAAAATCCCTGTGGCTACTGGAAAGGGTCCTTGGGTGCCCTGCCTCACCTCGAGAAGCTTCCCTTTTGCCCTGCCAAGCCTCGAAGAGATTCCTGAGGTGTCCCTCGTTACTAGACAGGAGTCCTGACGTCACTGAAGAAACTCGTGTTTTGAAGGGCCATCCCCGCTGTAAGTCGAGAACATACCCCAGGTCCCCACCGCAACTCGAGAAAAACCATGAGACTTCCCCCTAGAGGCGAGATGAGGCCCCATTCCCCTGCAGTGCATGCAGAGCTATTCCGTGATCCCATTCAAACAAGTCAGGAGCTTCGACTTGCTTAATGGATCTCGAGACAGTCCCCAAGAACACTGTCACCAGTCTAGACGGACCCTGAGGTCACCCCAGCAACGCAAAGCAGCTCCATGTGCCCCAAATCAACTCGAGATGAGGCCCGATTCCCCTGCATTGACTCCAGAGCCATTCCCCGTTCCCCATTCAACACGACCGGTGGCTCGACTTCCTTCAGGCAACTCCAGAGATGCCCCGAGAACACTCTCCCAAGTCTAGAGGAACACCAACTTCAGCACAGCAACTCGAGGAATGCTCCGTGTACCCCAAATCGTCTCGAGATGAGAGCTGATTCCCTGGCTTAGGCTCAAGACATATGCCAACTTTCCAGAAGCACCTCAGGAGGAGGCTTCTCTCAGCATTAGGTGTGTGGGAGGGACCCCGAGTTTGCTGCCTCAAGGGGAATATACAGCGAGAAGCCCTAACTTGAAAGGAGGCCAGATTTCCTTGCAGTGGCTTGAATACAGGCTCGTCTTTCATCTCAAAACATGAAGGGATGTCTGAATCCCCTGTGGAGACCTTAGAGAAAGCCCTAGGTCCCTGCCTCATTTTGACGGAATGCCTCACATCCCGCTGACACCTCGAGAGTCACGCGGAGTTCATTGCTTCAAAAGGTGACGAGGCCTGACTCCTCTTGAATGCTGATAGGAATCCCAAAATCCCTGTGGCTACTGGAAAGGGTCCTTGGGTGCCCTGCCTCACCTCGAGAAGCGTCCCTTTTGCCCTGCCAAGCCTCGAAGAGATTCCTGAGGTGTCCCTCGTTACTAGAGAGGAGTCCTGACGTCACTGAAGAAACTCGTGTTTTGAAGGGCCATCCCCGCCGTAAGTCGAGAACATACCCCAGTTCCCCGCCGCAACTCGAGAAAAACCATGAGACTTCCCCCTAGAGGCGAGATGAGGCCCCATTCCCCTGCAGTGCATGCAGAGCTATTCCGTGATCCCATTCAAACAAGTCAGGAGCTTCGACTTGCTTAATGGATCTCGAGACAGTCCCCAAGAACACTGTCACCAGTCTAGACGGACCCTGAGGTCACCCCAGCAACGCAAAGCAGCTCCATGTGCCCCAAATCAACTCGAGATGAGGCCCGATTCCCCTGCATTGACGCCAGAGCCATTCCCCGTTCCCCATTCAACACGACCGGTGGCTCGACTTCCTTCAGGCAACTCCAGAGATGCCCCGAGAACACTCTCCCAAGTCTAGAGGAACACCAACTTCAGCACAGCAACTCGAGGAATGCTCCGTGTACCCCAAATCGTCTCGAGATGAGAGCTGATTCCCTGGCTTAGGCTCAAGACATATGCCAACTTCCCAGAAGCACCTCAGGAGGAGGCTTCTCTCAGCATTAGGTGTGTGGGAGGGACCCCGAGTTTGCTGCCTCAAGGGGAATATACAGCGAGAAGCCCTAACTTGAAAGGAGGCCAGATTTCCTTGCAGTGGCTTGAATACAGGCTCGTCTTTCATCTCAAAACATGAAGGGATGTCTGAATCCCCTGTGGAGACCTTAGAGAAAGCCCTAGTTCCCTGCCTCATTTTGACGGAATGCCTCACATCCCGCTGACACCTCGAGAGTCACGCGGAGTTCATTGCTTCAAAAGGTGACGAGGCCTGACTCCTCTTGAATGCTGATAGGAATCCCAAAATCCCTGTGGCTACTGGAAAGGGTCCTTGGGTGCCCTGCCTCACCTCGAGAAGCGTCCCTTTTGCCCTGCCAAGCCTCGAAGAGATTCCTGAGGTGTCCCTCGTTACTAGAGAGGAGTCCGGACGTCACTGAAGAAACTCGTGTTTTGAAGGGCCATCCCCGCCGTAAGTCGAGAACATACCCCAGTTCCCCGCCGCAACTCGAGAAAAACCATGAGACTTCCCCCTAGAGGCGAGATGAGGCCCCATTCCCCTGCAGTGCATGCAGAGCTATTCCGTGATCCCATTCAAACAAGTCAGGAGCTTCGACTTGCTTAATGGATCTCGAGACAGTCCCCAAGAACACTGTCAACAGTCTAGACGGACCCTGAGGTCACCCCAGCAACGCAAAGCAGCTCCATGTGCCCCAAATCAACTCGAGATGAGGCCCGATGCCCCTGCATTGACTCCAGAGCCATTCCCCGTTCCCCATTCAACACGACGGGTGGCTCGACTTCCTTCAGGCAACTCCAGAGATGCCCCGAGAACACTGTCCCAAGTCTAGAGGAACACCAACTTCAGCACAGCAACTCGAGGAATGCTCCGTGTACCCCAAATCGTCTCGAGATGAGAGCTGATTCCCTGGCTTAGGTTCAAGACGTATGCCAGCTTCCCAGAAGCACCTCAGGAGGAGGCTTCTCTCAGCAATAGGTATGTGGGAGGGACCCCGAGTTTGCTGCCTCAAGGGGAATATACAGCGAGAAGCCCTAACTTGAAAGGAGGCCGGATTTCCTTGCAGTGGCTTGAATACAGGCTCGTCTTTCATCTCACAACATGAAGGGATGTCTGAATCCCCTGTGGAGACCTTAGAGAAAGCCCTAGGTCCCTGCCTCATTTTGACGGAATGCCTCACATCCCGCTAACACCTCGAGAGGCACGCGGAGTTCATTGCTTCAAAAGGTGACGATGCCTGACTCCTCTTGAATACTTATAGGAATCCCAAAATCCCTGTGGCTACTGGAAAGGGTCCTTGGGTGCCCTGCCTCACCTCGAGAAGCGTCCCTTTTGCCCTGCCAAGCCTCGAAGAGAATCCTGAGGTGTCCCTCGTTACTAGACAGGAGTCCTGACGTCACTGAAGAAACTCGTGTTTTGAAGGGCCATCACCGCCGTAAGTCGAGAACTTATCCCAGGTCCCCGCCGCAACTCGAGAAAAACCATGAGACTTCCCCCTAGAGGCGAGATGAGGCCCCATTCCCCTGCAGTGCATGCAGAGCTATTCCGTGATCCCATTCAAACAAGTCAGGAGCTTCGACTTGCTTAATGGATCTCGAGACAGTCCCCAAGAACACTGTCACCAGTCTAGACGGACCCTGAGGTCACCCCAGCAACGCAAAGCAGCTCCATGTGCCCCATATCAACTCGAAGTGAGGCCCGATTCCCCTGCATTGACTCCAGAGCCATTCCTCGTTCCCCACTCAACACGACCGGTGGATCGACTTCCTTCAGGCAACTCCAGAGATGCCCCGAGAACACTGTCCCAAGTCTAGAGGAACACCAACTTCAGCACAGCAACTCGAGGAATGCTCCGTGTATCCCAAATAGTCTCGAGATGAGAGCTGATTCCCTGGCTTAGGTTCAAGACGTATGCCAACTTCCCAGAAGCACCTCAGGAGGAGGCTTCTCTCAGCAATAGGTATGTGGGAGGGACCCCGAGTTTGCTGCCTCAAGGGGAATATACAGCGAGAAGCCCTAACTTGAAAGGAGGCCGGATTTCCTTGCAGTGGCTTGAATACAGGCTCGTCGTTCATCTCACAACATGAAGGGGTGTCTGAATCCCCTGTGGAGACCTTAGAGAAAGCTCTAGGTCCCTGCCTCATTTTGACGGAATGCCTCACATCCCGCTGACACCTCGAGAGGCACGCGGAGTTCATTGCTTCAAAAGGTGACGATGCCTGACTCCTCTTGAATACTGATAGGAATCCCAAAATCCCTGTGGCTACTGGAAAGGGTCCTTGGGTGCCCTGCCTCACCTCGAGAAGCGTCCCTTTTGCCCTGCCAAGCCTCGAAGAGATTCCTGAGGTGTCCCTCGTTACTAGACAGGAGTCCTGACGTCACTGAAGAAACTCGTGTTTTGAAGGGCCATCCCCGCCGTAAGTCGAGAACATACCCCAGGTCCCCGCCGCAACTCGAGAAAAACCATGAGACTTCCCCCTAGAGGCGAGATGAGGCCCCATTCCCCTGCAGTGCATGCAGAGCTATTCCGTGATCCCATTCAAACAAGTCAGGAGCTTCGACTTGCTTAATGGATCTGGAGACAGTCCCCAAGAACACTGTCACCAGTCTAGACGGACCCTGAGGTCACCCCAGCAACGCAAAGCAGCTCCATGTGCCCCAAATCAACTCGAGATGAGGCCCGATTCCCCTGCATTGACTCCAGAGCCATTCCCCGTTCCCCACTCAACACGACCGGTGGCTCGACTTCCTTCAGGCAACTCCAGAGATGCCCCGAGAACACTGTCCCAAGTCTAGAGGAACACCAACTTCAGCACAGCAACTCGAGGAATGCTCCGTGTACCCCAAATCGTCTCGAGATGAGAGCTGATTCCCTGGCTTAGGCTCAAGACGTATGCCAACTTCCCAGAAGCACCTCAGGAGGAGGCTTCTCTCAGCAATAGGTATGTGGGAGGGACCCCGAGTTTGCTGCCTCAATGGGAATATACAGCGAGAAGCCCTAACTTGAAAGGAGGCCGGATTTCCTTGCAGTGGCTTGAATACAGGCTCGTCTTTCATCTCACAACATGAAGGGATGTCTGAATCCCCTGTGGAGACCTTAGAGAAAGCCCTAGGTCCCTGCCTCATTTTGACGGAATGCCTCACATCCCGCTGACACCTCGAGAGGCACGCGGAGTTCATTGCTTCAAAAGGTGACGATGCCTGACTCCTCTTGAATACTGATAGGAATCCCAAAATCCCTGTGGCTACTGGAAAGGGTCCTTGGGTGCCCTGCCTCACCTCGAGAAGCGTCCCTTTTGCCCTGCCAAGCCTCGAAGAGATTCCTGAGGTGTCCCTCGTTACTAGACAGGAGTCCTGACGTCACTGAAGAAACTCGTGTTTTGAAGGGCCATCCCCGCCGTAAGTCGAGAACATACCCCAGGTCCCCGCCGCAACTCGAGAAAAACCATGAGACTTCCCCCTAGAGGCGAGATGAGGCCCCATTCCCCTGCAGTGCATGCAGAGCTATTCCGTGATCCCATTCAAACAAGTCAGGAGCTTCGACTTGCTTAATGGATCTCGAGACAGTCCCCAAGAACACTGTCACCAGTCTACACGGACCCTGAGGTCACCCCAGCAACGCAAAGCAGCTCCATGTGCCCCAAATCAACTCGAGATGAGGCCCGATTCCCCTGCATTGACTCCGGAGCCATTCCCCGTTCCCCACTCAACACGACCGGTGGCTCGACTTCCTTCAGGCAACTCCAGAGATGCCCCGAGAACACTGTCCCAAGTCTAGAGGAACACCAACTTCAGCACAGCAACTCGAGGAATGCTCCGTGTACCCCAAATCGTCTCGAGATGAGAGCTGATTCCCTGGCTTAGGCTCAAGACGTATGCCAACTTCCCAGAAGCACCTCAGGAGGAGGCTTCTCTCAGCAATAGGTATGTGGGAGGGACCCCGAGTTTGCTGCCTCAAGGGGAATATACAGCGAGAAGCCATAACTTGAAAGGAGGCCGGATTTCCTTGCAGTGGCTTGAATACAGGCTCGTCTTTCATCTCACAACATGAAGGGATGTCTGAATCCCCTGTGGAGACCTTAGAGAAAGCCCTAGGTCCCTGCCTCATTTTGACGGAATGCCTCACATCCCGCTGACACCTCGAGAGGCACGCGGAGTTCATTGCTTCAAAAGGTGACGATGCCTGACTCCTCTTCAATACTGATAGGAATCCCAAAATCCCTGTGGCTACTGGAAAGGGTCCTTGGGTGCCCTGCCTCACTTCGAGAAGCGTCCCTTTTGCCCTGCGAAGCCTCGAAGAGATTCCTGAGGTGTCCCTCGTTACTAGACAGGAGTCCTGACGTCACTGAAGAAACTCGTGTTTTGAAGGGCCATCCCCGCCGTAAGTCGAGAACATACCCAAGGTCCCCGCCGCAACTCGAGAAAACCCATGAGACTTCCCCCTAGAGGCGAGATGAGGCCCCATTCCCCTGCAGTGCATGCAGAGCTATTCCGTGATCCCATTCAAACAAGTCAGGAGCTTCGACTTGCTTAATGGATCTCGAGACAGTCCCCAAGAACACTGTCACCAGTCTAGACGGACCCTGAGGTCACCCCAGCAACGCAAAGCAGCTCCATGTGCCCCAAATCAACTCGAGATGCGGCCCGATTCCCCTGCATTGACTCCAGAGCCATTCCCCGTTCCCCGTTCAACACGACGGGTGGCTCGACTTCCTTCAGGCAACTCCAGAGATGCCCCGAGAACACTGTCCCAAGTCTAGAGGAACACCAACTTCAGCACAGCAAATCGAGGAATGCTCCGTGTACCCCAAATCGTCTCGAGATGAGAGCTGATTCCCTGGCTTAGGCTCAAGACGTACGCCAACTTCCCAGAAGGACCTCAGGAGGAGGCTTCTCTCAGCAATAGGTATGTTGGAGGGACCCCGAGTTTGCTGCCTCAAGGGGAATATACAGCGAGAAGCCCTCACTTGAAAGGAGGCCGGATTTCCTTGCAGTGGCTTGAATACAGGCTCGTCTTTCATCTCACAACATGAAGGGATGTCTGAATCCCCTGTGGAGACCTTAGAGAAAGCCCTAGGTCCCTGCCTCATTTTGACGGAATGCCTCACATCCCGCTGACACCTCGAGAGGCACGCAGAGTTCATTGCTTCAAAAGGTGACGATGCCTGACTCCTCTTGAATACTGATAGGAATCCCAAAATCCCTGTGGCTACTGAAACGGGTCCTTGGGTGCCCTGCCTCACCTCGAGAAGCGTCCCTTTTGCCCTGCCAAGCCTCGAAGAGATTCCTGAGGTGTCCCTCGTTACTAGACAGGAGTCCTGACGTCACTGAAGAAACTCGTGTTTTGAAGGGCCATCCCCGCCGTAAGTCGAGAACATACCCCAGGTCCCCACCGCAACTCGAGAAAAACCATGAGACTTCCCCCTAGAGGCGAGATGAGGCCCCATTCCCCTGCAGTGCATGCAGAGCTATTCCGTGATCCCATTCAAACAGGTCAGGAGCTTCGACTTGCTTAATGGATCTCGAGACAGTCCCCAAGAACACTGTCACCAGTCTAGACGGACCCTGAGGTCAACCCAGCAACGCAAAGCAGCTCCATGTGCCCCAACTCAACTCGAGGTGAGGCCCGTTTCCCCTGCATTGACTCCAGAGCCATTCCCCGTTCCCCAGTCAACACGACCGGTGGCTCGACTTCCTTCAGGCAACTCCAGAGATGCCCCGAGAACACTGTCCCAAGTCTAGAGGAACACCAACTTCAGCACAACAACTCGAGGAATGCTCCGTGTACCCCAAATCGTCTCGAGATGAGAGCTGATTCCCTGGCTTACGCTCAAGACGTACGCCAACTTCCCAGAAGGATCTCAGGAGGAGGCTTCTCTGAGCAATAGGTATGTGGGAGGGACCCCGAGTTTGCTGCCTCAAAGAGAATATAAAGTGAGAAGCCCTAACTTGAAAGGAGGCCGGATTTCCTTGCAGTGGCTTGAATACAGGCTCGTCTTTCATCTCACAACATGAAGGGATGTCTGAATCCCCTGTGGAGACCTTAGAGAAAGCCCTAGGTGCCTGCCTCATTTTGACGGAATGCCTCACATCCCGCTGACACATCGAGAGGCACGCGGAGTTCATTGCTTCAAAAGGTGACGATGCCTGACTCCTCTTGAATACTGATAGGAATCCCAAAATCCCTGTGGCTACTGGAAAGGGTCCTTGGGTGCCCTGCCTCACCTCGAGAAGCGTCCCTTTTGCCCTGCCAAGCCTCGAAGAGATTCCTGAGGTGTCCCTCGTTACTAGACAGGAGTCCTGACGTCACTGAAGAAACTCGTGTTTTGAAGGGCCATCCCCGCCGTAAGTCGAGAACATACCCCAGGTCCCCGCCGCAACTCGAGAAAAACCATGAGACTTCCCCCTAGAGGCGAGATGAGGCCCCATTCCCCTGCAGTGCATGCAGAGCTATTCCGTGATCCCATTCAAACAAGTCAGGAGCTTCGACTTGCTTAATGGATCTCGAGACAGTCCCCAAGAACACTGTCACCAGTCTAGACGGACCCTGAGGTCACCCCAGCAACGCAAAGCAGCTCCATGTGCCCCAAATCAACTCGAGATGAGGCCCGATTCCCCTGCATTGACTCCAGAGCCATTCCCCGTTCCCCACTCAACACGACCGGTGGCTCGACTTCCTTCAGGCAACTCCAGAGATGCCCCGAGAACACTGTCCCAAGTCTAGAGGAACACCAACTTCAGCACAGCAACTCGAGGAATGCTCCGTGTACCCCAAATCGTCTCGAGATGAGAGCTGATTCCCTGGCTTAGGCTCAAGACGTATGCCAACTTCCCAGAAGCACCTCAGGAGGAGGCTTCTCTCAGCAATAGGTATGTGGGAGGGACCCCGAGTTTGCTGCCTCAATGGGAATATACAGCGAGAAGCCCTAACTTGAAAGGAGGCCGGATTTCCTTGCAGTGGCTTGAATACAGGCTCGTCTTTCATCTCACAACATGAAGGGATGTCTGAATCCCCTGTGGAGACCTTAGAGAAAGCCCTAGGTCCCTGCCTCATTTTGACGGAATGCCTCACATCCCGCTGACACCTCGAGAGGCACGCGGAGTTCATTGCTTCAAAAGGTGACGATGCCTGACTCCTCTTCAATACTGATAGGAATCCCAAAATCCCTGTGGCTACTGGAAAGGGTCCTTGGGTGCCCTGCCTCACTTCGAGAAGCGTCCCTTTTGCCCTGCGAAGCCTCGAAGAGATTCCTGAGGTGTCCCTCGTTACTAGACAGGAGTCCTGACGTCACTGAAGAAACTCGTGTTTTGAAGGGCCATCCCCGCCGTAAGTCGAGAACATACCCAAGGTCCCCGCCGCAACTCGAGAAAACCCATGAGACTTCCCCCTAGAGGCGAGATGAGGCCCCATTCCCCTGCAGTGCATGCAGAGCTATTCCGTGATCCCATTCAAACAAGTCAGGAGCTTCGACTTGCTTAATGGATCTCGAGACAGTCCCCAAGAACACTGTCACCAGTCTAGACGGACCCTGAGGTCACCCCAGCAACGCAAAGCAGCTCCATGTGCCCCAAATCAACTCGAGATGCGGCCCGATTCCCCTGCATTGACTCCAGAGCCATTCCCCGTTCCCCGTTCAACACGACGGGTGGCTCGACTTCCTTCAGGCAACTCCAGAGATGCCCCGAGAACACTGTCCCAAGTCTAGAGGAACACCAACTTCAGCACAGCAAATCGAGGAATGCTCCGTGTACCCCAAATCGTCTCGAGATGAGAGCTGATTCCCTGGCTTAGGCTCAAGACGTACGCCAACTTCCCAGAAGGACCTCAGGAGGAGGCTTCTCTCAGCAATAGGTATGTTGGAGGGACCCCGAGTTTGCTGCCTCAAGGGGAATATACAGCGAGAAGCCCTCACTTGAAAGGAGGCCGGATTTCCTTGCAGTGGCTTGAATACAGGCTCGTCTTTCATCTCACAACATGAAGGGGTGTCTGAATCCCCTGTGGAGACCTTAGAGAAAGCTCTAGGTCCCTGCCTCATTTTGACGGAATGCCTCACATTCCGCTGACACCTCGAGAGTCACGCGGAGTTCATTGCTTCAAAAGGTGACGAGGCCTGACTCCTCCTGAATGCTGATAGGAATCCCAAAATCCCTGTGGCTACTGGAAAGGGTCCTTGGGTGCCCTGCCTCACCTCGAGAAGCGTCCCTTTTGCCCTGCCAAGCCTCGAAGAGATTCCTGAGGTGTCCCTCGTTACTAGACAGGAGTCCTGACGTCACTGAAGAAACTCGTGTTTTGAAGGGCCATCCCCGCCGTAAGTCGAGAACATACCCCAGGTCCCCACCGCAACTCGAGAAAAACCATGAGACTTCCCCCTAGAGGCGAGATGAGGCCCCATTCCCCTGCAGTGCATGCAGAGCTATTCCGTGATCCCATTCAAACAGGTCAGGAGCTTCGACTTGCTTAATGGATCTCGAGACAGTCCCCAAGAACACTGTCACCAGTCTAGACGGACCCTGAGGTCAACCCAGCAACGCGAAGCAGCTCCATGTGCCCCAACTCAACTCGAGGTGAGGCCCGATTCCCCTGCATTGACTCCAGAGCCATTCCCCGTTCCCCAGTCAACACGACCGGTGGCTCGACTTCCTTCAGGCAACTCCAGAGATGCCCCGAGAACACTGTCCCAAGTCTAGAGGAACACCAACTTCAGCACAACAACTCGAGGAATGCTCCGTGTACCCCAAATCGTCTCGAGATGAGAGCTGATTCCCTGGCTTAGGCTCAAGACGTACGCCAACTTCCCAGAAGGATCTCAGGAGGAGGCTTCTCTCAGCAATAGGTATGTGGGAGGGACCCCGAGTTTGCTGCCTCAAAGAGAATATAAAGTGAGAAGCCCTAACTTGAAAGGAGGCCGGATTTCCTTGCAGTGGCTTGAATACAGGCTCGTCTTTCATCTCACAACATGAAGGGATGTCTGAATCCCCTGTGGAGACCTTAGAGAAAGCCCTAGGTGCCTGCCTCATTTTGACGGAATGCCTCACATCCCGCTGACACATCGAGAGGCACGCGGAGTTCATTGCTTCAAAAGGTGACGATGCCTGACTCCTCTTGAATACTGATAGGAATCCCAAAATCCCTGTGGCTACTGGAAAGGGTCCTTGGGTGCCCTGCCTCACCTCGAGAAGCGTCCCTTTTGCCCTGCCAAGCCTCGAAGAGATTCCTGAGGTGTCCCTCGTTACTAGACAGGAGTCCTGACGTCACTGAAGAAACTCGTGTTTTGAAGGGCCATCCCCGCCGTAAGTCGAGAACATACCCCAGGTCCCTGCCGCAACTCGAGAAAAACCATGAGACTTCCCCCTAGAGGCGAGATGAGGCCCCATTCCCCTGCAGTGCATGCAGAGCTATTCCGTGATCCCATTCAAACAAGTCAGGAGCTTCAACTTGCTTAATGGATCTTGAGACAGTCCCCAAGAACACTGTCACCAGTCTAGACGGACCCTGAAGTCACCCCAGCAACGCAAAGCAGCTCCATGTGCCCAAAATCAACTCGAGATGAGGCCCGATTCCCCTGCATTGACTCCAGAGCCATTCCCCGTTCCCCATTCAACATGAATGGTGGCTCGACTTCCTTCAGGCAACTCCAGAGATGCCCCGAGAACACTGTCCCAAGTCTAGAGGAACACCAACTTCAGCACAGAAACTCGAGGACTGCTCCGTGTACCCCAAATCGTCTCGAGATGAGAGCTGATTCCCTGGCGTAGGCTCAAGACGTATGCCAACTTCCCAGAAGCACCTCAGGAGGAGGCTTCTCTCAGCAATAGGTATGTGGGAGGGACCCCGAGTTTGCTGCCTCAAGGGGAATATACAGCGAGAAGCCCTAACTTGAAAGGAGGCCGGATTTCCTTGCAGTGGCTGGAATATAGGCTCGTCTTTCATCTCACAACATGAAGGGATGTCTGAATCCCCTGTGGAGACCTTAGAGAAAGCCCTAGGTCCCTGCCTCATTTTGACGGAATGCCTCACATCCCGCTGACACCTCGAGAGTCACGCGGAGTTCATTGCTTCAAAAGGTGACGAGGCCTGACTCCTCCTGAATGCTGATAGGAATCCCAAAATCCCTGTGGCTACTGGAATGGGTCCTTGGGTGCCCTGCCTCACCTCGAGAAGCGTCCCTTTTGCCCTGCCAAGCCTCGAAGAGATTCCTGAGGTGTCCCTCGTTACTAGACAGGAGTCCTGACGTCACTGAAGAAACTCGTGTTTTGAAGGGCCATCCCCGCCGTAAGTCGAGAACATAACCCAGGTCCCCGCCGCAACTCGAGAAAAACCATGAGACTTCCCCCTAGAGGCGAGATGAGGCCCCATTCCCCTGCAGTGCATGCAGAGCTATTCCGTGATCCCATTCAAACAAGTCAGGAGCTTCGACTTGCTTAATGGATCTCGAGACAGTCCCCAAGAACACTGTCACCAGTCTAGACGGTCCCTGAGTTCACCCCAGCAACGCAAAGCAGCTCCATGTGCCCCAAATCAACTCGAGATGAGGCCCGATTCCCCTGCATTGACTCCAGAGCCATTCCCCGTTCCCCACTCAACACGACCGGTGGCTCGACTTCCTTCAGGCAACTCCAGAGATGCCCCGAGAACACTGTCCCAAGTCTAGAGGAACACCAACTTCAGCACAGCAACTCGAGGAATGCTCCGTGTACCCCAAATCGTCTCGAGATGAGAGCTGATTCCCTGGCTTAGGCTCAAGACGTATGCCAACTTCCCAGAAGCACCTCAGGAGGAGGCTTCTCTCAGCAATAGGTATGTGGGAGGGACCCCGAGTTTGCTGCCTCAAGGGGAATATACAGCGAGAAGCCCTAACTTGAAAGGAGGCCAGATTTCCTTGCAGTGGCGTGAATACAGGCTCGTCTTTCATCTCACAACATGAAGGGATGTCTGAATCCCCTGTGGAGACCTTAGAGAAAGCCCTAGGTCCCTGCCTCATTTTGACGGAATGCCTCACATCCCGCTGACACCTCGAGAGTCACGCGGAGTTCATTGCTTCAAAAGGTGACGAGGCCTGACTCCTCCTGAATGCTGATAGGAATCCCAAAATCCCTGTGGCTACTGGAATGGGTCCTTGGGTGCCCTGCCTCACCTCGAGAAGCGTCCCTTTTGCCCTGCCAAGCCTCGAAGAGATTCCTGAGGTGTCCCTCGTTACTAGACAGGAGTCCTGACGTCACTGAAGAAACTCGTGTTTTGAAGGGCCATCCCCGCCGTAAGTCGAGAACATAACCCAGGTCCCCGCCGCAACTCGAGAAAAACCATGAGACTTCCCCCTAGAGGCGAGATGAGGCCCCATTCCCCTGCAGTGCATGCAGAGCTATTCCGTGATCCCATTCAAACAAGTCAGGAGCTTCGACTTGCTTAATGGATTTCGAGACAGTCCCCAAGAACACTGTCACCAGTCTAGACGGTCCCTGAGTTCACCCCAGCAACGCAAAGCAGCTCCATGTGCCCCAAATCAACTCGAGATGAGGCCCGATTCCCCTGCATTGACTCCAGAGCCATTCCCCGTTCCCCACTCAACACGACCGGTGGCTCGACTTCCTTCAGGCAACTCCAGAGATGCCCCGAGAACACTGTCCCAAGTCTAGAGGAACACCAACTTCAGCACAGCAACTCGAGGAATGCTCCGTGTACCCCAAATCGTCTCGAGATGAGAGCTGATTCCCTGGCTTAGGCTCAAGACGTATGCCAACTTCCCAGAAGCACCTCAGGAGGAGGCTTCTCTCAGCAATAGGTATGTGGGAGGGACCCCGAGTTTGCTGCCTCAAGGGGAATATACAGCGAGAAGCCCTAACTTGAAAGGAGGCCGGATTTCCTTGCAGTGGCTTGAATACAGGCTCGTCTTTCATCTCACAACATGAAGGGATGTCTGAATCCCCTGTGGAGACCTTAGAGAAAGCCCTAGGTCCCTGCCTCATTTTGACGGAATGCCTCACATCCCGCTGACACCTCGAGAGTCACACGGAGTTCATTGCTTCAAAAGGTGACGAGGCCTGACTCCTCTTGAATGCTGATAGGAATCCCAAAATCCCTGTGGCTACTGGAAAGGGTCCTTGGGTGCCCTGCCTCACCTCGAGAAGCGTCCCTTTTGCCCTGCCAAGCCTCGAAGAGATTCCTGAGGTGTCCCTCGTTACTAGACAGGAGTCCTGACGTCACTGAAGAAACTCGTGTTTTGAAGGGCCATCCCCGCCGTAAGTCGAGAACATACCCCAGGTCCCCGCCGCAACTCGAGAAAAACCATGAGACTTCCCCCTAGAGGCGAGATGAGGCCCCATTCCCCTGCAGTGCATGCAGAGCTATTCCGTGATCCCTTTCAAACAAGTCAGGAGCTTCGACTTGCTTAATGGATCTGGAGACAGTCCCCAAGAACACTGTCACCAGTCTAGACGGACCCTGAGGTCACCCCAGCAACGCAAAGCAGCTCCATGTGCCCAAAATCAGCTCGAGATGAGGCCCGATTCCCCTGCATTGACTCCAGAGCCATTCCCCGTTCCCCATTCAACACGACCGGTGGCTCGACTTCCTTCAGGCAACTCCAGAGATGCCCCGAGAACACTGTCCCAAGTCTAGAGGAACACCAACTTAAGCACAGCAACTCGAGGAATGCTCCGTGTACCACAAATTGTCTCGAGATGAGAGATGATTCCCTGGCTTAGGCTCAAGACGTATGCCAACTTCCCAGAAGCACCTCAGGAGGAGGCTTCTCTCAGCAATAGGTATGTGGGAGGGACCCCGAGTTTGCTGCCTCAAGGGGAATATACAGCGAGAAGCCCTAACTTGAAAGGAGGCCGGATTTCCTTGCAGTGGCTTGAATACAGGCTCGTCTTTCATCTCACAACATGAAGGGATGTCTGAATCCCCTGTGGAGACCTTAGAGAAAGCCCTAGGTCCCTGCCTCATTTTGACGGAATGCCTCACATCCCGCTGACACCTCGAGAGTCACGCGGAGTTCATTGCTTCAAAAGGTGACGAGGCCTGACTCCTCCTGAATGCTGATAGGAATCCCAAAATCCCTGTGGCTACTGGAAAGGGTCCTTGGGTGCCCTGCCTCACCTCGAGAAGCGTCCCTTTTGCCCTGCCAAGCCTCGAAGAGATTCCTGAGGTGTCCCTCGTTACTAGACAGGAGTCCTGACGTCACTGAAGAAACTCGTGTTTTGAAGGGCCATCCCTGCCGTAAGTCGAGAACATACCCCAGGTCCCCGCCGCAACTCGAGAAAAACCATGAGACTTCCCCCTAGAGGCGAGATGAGGCCCCATTCCCCTGCAGTGCATGCAGAGCTATTCCGTGATCCCATTCAAACAAGTCAGGAGCTTCGACTTGCTTAATGGATCTCGAGACAGTCCCCAAGAACACTGTCACCAGTCTAGACGGACCCTGAGGTAACCCCAGCAACGCAAAGCAGCTCCATGTGCCCCATATCAATTCGAGGTGAGGCCCGATTCCCATGCATTGACTCCAGAGCCATTCCCCGTTCCCCACTCAACACGACCGGTGGCTCTACTTCCTTCAGGCAACTCCAGAGATGCCCCGAGAACACTGTCCCAAGTCTAGAGGAACACCAACTTCAGCACAGCAACTCGAGGAATGCTCCGTGTACCCCAAATCGTCTCGAGATGAGAGCTGATTCCCTGGCTTAGGCTCAAGACGTATGCCAACTTCCCAGAAGCACCTCAGGAGGAGGCTTCTCTCAGCAATAGGTATGTGGGTGGGACCCCGAGTTTGCTGCCTCAAGGGGAATATACAGCGAGAAGCCCTAACTTGAAAGGAGGCCAGATTTCCTTGCAGTGGCTTGAATACAGGCTCGTCTTTCATCTCACAACATGAAGGGATGTCTGAATCCCCTGTGGAGACCTTAGAGAAAGCCCTAGGTCCCTGCCTCATTTTGACGGAATGCCTCACATCCCGCTGACACCTCGAGAGTCACGCGGAGTTCATTGCTTCAAAAGGTGACGAGGCCTGACTCCTCCTGAATGCTGATAGGAATCCCAAAATCCCTGTGGCTACTGGAAAGGGTCCTTGGGTGCCCTGCCTCACCTCGAGAAGCGTCCCTTTTGCCCTGCCAATCCTCGAAGAGATTCCTGAGGTGTCCCTCGTTACTAGACAGGAGTCATGACGTCACTGAAGAAACTCGTGTTTTGAAGGGCCATCCCCGCCGTAAGTCGAGAACATACCCCAGGTCCCCGCCGCAACTCGAGAAAAACCATGAGACTTCCCCCTAGAGGCGAGATGAGGCCCCATTCCCCTGCAGTGCATGCAGAGCTATTCCGTGATCCCATTCAAACAAGTCAGGAGCTTCGACTTGCTTAATGGATCTCGAGACAGTCCCCAAGAACACTGTCACCAGTCTAGACGGTCCCTGAGTTCACCCCAGCAACGCAAAGCAGCTCCATGTGCCCCAAATCAACTCGAGATGAGGCCCGATTCCCCTGCATTGACTCCAGAGCCATTCCCCGTTCCCCACTCAACACGACCGGTGGCTCGACTTCCTTCAGGCAACTCCAGAGATGCCCCGAGAACACTGTCCCAAGTCTAGAGGAACACCAACTTCAGCACAGCAACTAGAGGAATGCTCCGTGTACCCCAAATCGTCTCGAGATGAGAGCTGATTCCCTGGCTTAGGCTCAAGACGTATGCCAACTTCCCAGAAGCACCTCAGGAGGAGGCTTCTCTCAGCAATAGGTATGAGGGAGGGACCCCGAGTTTGCTGCCTCAAGGGGAATATACAGCGAGAAGCCCTAACTTGAAAGGAGGCCAGATTTCCTTGCAGTGGCGTGAATACAGGCTCGTCTTTCATCTCACAACATGAAGGGATGTCTGAATCCCCTGTGGAGACCTTAGAGAAAGCCCTAGGTCCCTGCCTCATTTTGACGGAATGCCTCACATCCCGCTGACACCTCGAGAGTCACGCGGAGTTCATTGCTTCAAAAGGTGACGAGGCCTGACTCCTCCTGAATGCTGATAGGAATCCCAAAATCCCTGTGGCTACTGGAATGGGTCCTTGGGTGCCCTGCCTCACCTCGAGAAGCGTCCCTTTTGCCCTGCCAAGCCTCGAAGAGATTCCTGAGGTGTCCCTCGTTACTAGACAGGAGTCCTGACGTCACTGAAGAAACTCGTGTTTTGAAGGGCCATCCCCGCCGTAAGTCGAGAACATACCCCAGGTCCCCGCCGCAACTCGAGAAAAACCATGAGACTTCCCCCTAGAGGCGAGATGAGGCCCCATTCCCCTGCAGTGCATGCAGAGCTATTCCGTGATCCCATTCAAACAAGTCAGGAGCTTCGACTTGCTTAATGGATCTCGAGACAGTCCCCAAGAACACTGTCACCAGTCTAGACGGTCCCTGAGTTCACCCCAGCAACGCAAAGCAGCTCCATGTGCCCCAAATCAACTCGAGATGAGGCCCGATTCCCCTGCATTGACTCCAGAGCCATTCCCCGTTCCCCACTCAACACGACCGGTGGCTCGACTTCCTTCAGGCAACTCCAGAGATGCCCCGAGAACACTGTCCCAAGTCTAGAGGAACACCAACTTCAGCACAGCAACTCGAGGAATGCTCCGTGTACCCCAAATCGTCTCGAGATGAGAGCTGATTCCCTGGCTTAGGCTCAAGACGTATGCCAACTTCCCAGAAGCACCTCAGGAGGAGGCTTCTCTCAGCAATAGGTATGTGGGAGGGACCCCGAGTTTGCTGCCTCAAGGGGAATATACAGCGAGAAGCCCTAACTTGAAAGGAGGCCGGATTTCCTTGCAGTGGCTTGAATACAGGCTCGTCTTTCATCTCACAACATGAAGGGATGTCTGAATCCCCTGTGGAGACCTTAGAGAAAGCCCTAGGTCCCTGCCTCATTTTGACGGAATGCCTCACATCCCGCTGACACCTCGAGAGTCACACGGAGTTCATTGCTTCAAAAGGTGACGAGGCCTGACTCCTCTTGAATGCTGATAGGAATCCCAAAATCCCTGTGGCTACTGGAAAGGGTCCTTGGGTGCCCTGCCTCACCTCGAGAAGCGTCCCTTTTGCCCTGCCAAGCCTCGAAGAGATTCCTGAGGTGTCCCTCGTTACTAGACAGGAGTCCTGACGTCACTGAAGAAACTCGTGTTTTGAAGGGCCATCCCCGCCGTAAGTCGAGAACATACCCCAGGTCCCCGCCGCAACTCGAGAAAAACCATGAGACTTCCCCCTAGAGGCGAGATGAGGCCCCATTCCCCTGCAGTGCATGCAGAGCTATTCCGTGATCCCTTTCAAACAAGTCAGGAGCTTCGACTTGCTTAATGGATCTGGAGACAGTCCCCAAGAACACTGTCACCAGTCTAGACGGACCCTGAGGTCACCCCAGCAACGCAAAGCAGCTCCATGTGCCCAAAATCAGCTCGAGATGAGGCCCGATTCCCCTGCATTGACTCCAGAGCCATTCCCCGTTCCCCATTCAACACGACCGGTGGCTCGACTTCCTTCAGGCAACTCCAGAGATGCCCCGAGAACACTGTCCCAAGTCTAGAGGAACACCAACTTCAGCACAGCAACTCGAGGAATGCTCCGTGTACCACAAATTGTCTCGAGATGAGAGATGATTCCCTGGCTTAGGCTCAAGACGTATGCCAACTTCCCAGAAGCACCTCAGGAGGAGGCTTCTCTCAGCAATAGGTATGTGGGAGGGACCCCGAGTTTGCTGCCTCAAGGGGAATATACAGCGAGAAGCCCTAACTTGAAAGGAGGCCGGATTTCCTTGCAGTGGCTTGAATACAGGCTCGTCTTTCATCTCACAACATGAAGGGATGTCTGAATCCCCTGTGGAGACCTTAGAGAAAGCCCTAGGTCCCTGCCTCATTTTGACGGAATGCCTCACATCCCGCTGACACCTCGAGAGTCACGCGGAGTTCATTGCTTCAAAAGGTGACGAGGCCTGACTCCTCCTGAATGCTGATAGGAAACCCAAAATCCCTGTGGCTACTGGAAAGGGTCCTTGGGTGCCCTGCCTCACCTCGAGAAGCGTCCCTTTTGCCCTGCCAAGCCTCGAAGAGATTCCTGAGGTGTCCCTCGTTACTAGACAGGAGTCCTGACGTCACTGAAGAAACTCGTGTTTTGAAGGGCCATCCCTGCCGTAAGTCGAGAACATACCCCAGGTCCCCGCCGCAACTCGAGAAAAACCATGAGACTTCCCCCTAGAGGCGAGATGAGGCCCCATTCCCCTGCAGTGCATGCAGAGCTATTCCGTGATCCCATTCAAACAAGTCAGGAGCTTCGACTTGCTTAATGGATCTCGAGACAGTCCCCAAGAACACTGTCACCAGTCTAGACGGACCCTGAGGTAACCCCAGCAACGCAAAGCAGCTCCATGTGCCCCATATCAATTCGAGGTGAGGCCCAATTCCCATGCATTGACTCCAGAGCCATTCCCCGTTCCCCACTCAACACGACCGGTGGCTCTACTTCCTTCAGGCAACTCCAGAGATGCCCCGAGAACACTGTCCCAAGTCTAGAGGAACACCAACTTCAGCACAGCAACTCGAGGAATGCTCCGTGTACCCCAAATCGTCTCGAGATGAGAGCTGATTCCCTGGCTTAGGCTCAAGACGTATGCCAACTTCCCAGAAGCACCTCAGGAGGAGGCTTCTCTCAGCAATAGGTATGTGGGTGGGACCCCGAGTTTGCTGCCTCAAGGGGAATATACAGCGAGAAGCCCTAACTTGAAAGGAGGCCAGATTTCCTTGCAATGGCTTGAATACAGGCTCGTCTTTCATCTCACAACATGAAGCGATGTCTGAATCCCCTGTGGAGACCTTAGAGAAAGCCCTAGGTCCCTGCCTCATTTTGACGGAATGCCTCACATCCCGCTGACACCTCGAGAGTCACGCGGAGTTCATTGCTTCAAAAGGTGACGAGGCCTGACTCCTCCTGAATGCTGATAGGAATCCCAAAATCCCTGTGGCTACTGGAAAGGGTCCTTGGGTGCCCTGCCTCACCTCGAGAAGCGTCCCTTTTGCCCTGCCAATCCTCGAAGAGATTCCTGAGGTGTCCCTCGTTACTAGACAGGAGTCATGACGTCACTGAAGAAACTCGTGTTTTGAAGGGCCATCCCCGCCGTAAGTCGAGAACATACCCCAGGTCCCCGCCGCAACTCGAGAAAAACCATGAGACTTCCCCCTAGAGGCGAGATGAGGCCCCGTTCCCCTGCAGTGCATGCAGAGCTATTCCGTGATCCCATTCAAACAAGTCAGGAGCTTCGACTTGCTTAATAGATCTCGAGACAGTCCCCAAGAACACTGTCACAAGTCTAGACGGACCCTGAGGTCACGCCAGCAACGCAAAGCAGCTCCATGTGCCCCAAATCAACTCGAGATGAGGCCCGATTCCCCTGCATTGACTCCAGAGCCATTCCCCGTTCCCCATTCAACACGACCGGTGGCTCGACTTCCTTCAGGCAACTCCAGAGATGCCCCGAGAACACTGTCCCAAGTCTAGAGGAACACCAACTTCACCACAGCAACTCGAGGTATGCTCCGTGTACCACAAATCGTCTCGAGATGAGAGCTGATTCCCTGGCTTAGGCTCAAGACGTATGCCAACTTCCCAGAAGCACCTCAGGAGGAGGCTTCTCTCAGCAATAGGTATGTGGGAGGGACCCCGAGTGTGCTGCCTCAAGGGGAATATACAGCGAGAAGCCCTAACTTGAAAGGAGGCCGGATTTCCTTGCAGTGGCTTGAATACAGGCTCGTCTTTCATCTCACAACATGAAGGGATGTCTGAATCCAATGTGGAGACCTTAGAGAAAGCCCTAGGTCCCTGCCTCATTTTGCCGGAATGCCTCACATCCCGCTGACACCTCGAGAGTCACGCGGAGTTCATTGCTTCAAAAGTTGACGAGGCCTGACTCCTCTTGAATGCTGATAGGAATCCCAAAATCCCTGTGGCTACTGGAAAGGGTCCTTGGGTGCCCTGCCTCACCTCGAGAAGCGTCCCTTTTGCCCTGCCAAGCCTCGAAGAGATTCCTGAGGTGTCCCTCGTTACTAGACAGGAGTCCTGACGTTACTGAAGAAACTCGTGTTTTGAAGGGCCATCCCCGCCGTAAGTCGAGAACATACCCCAGGTCCCCGCCGCAACTCGAGAAAAACCATGAGACTTCCCCCTAGAGGCGAGATGAGGCCCCATTCCCCTGCAGTGCATGCAGAGCTATTCCTTGATCCCATTCAAACAAGTCAGGAGCTTCGACTTGCTTAATGGATCTCGAGACAGTCCCCAAGAACACTGTCACCAGTCTAGACGGACCCTGAGGTCACCCCAGCAACGCAAAGCAGCTCCATGTCCCCCAAATCAACTCGAGATGAGGCCCGATTCCCCTGCATTGACTCCAGAGCCATTCCCCGTTCCCCATTCAACACGACCGGTGGCTCGACTTCATTCAGGCAACTCCAGAGATGCCCCGAGAACACTGTCCCAAGTCTAGAGGAACACAAACTTCAGCACAGCAACTCGAGGAATGCTCCGTGTACCCCAAATCGTCTCGAGATGAGAGCTGATTCCCTGGCTTAGGCTCAAGACGTATGCCAACTTCCCAGAAGCACCTCAGGAGGAGGCTTCTCTCAGCAATAGGTATGTGGGAGGGACCCCGAGTTTGCTGCCTCAAGGGCAATATACAGCGAGAAGCCTTAAATTGAAAGGAGGCCGGATTTCCTTGCAGTGGCTTGAATACAGGCTCGTCTTTCATCTCACAACATGAAGGGATGTCTGAATCCCCTGTGGAGACCTTAGAGAAAGCCCTAGGTCCTTTCCTCATTTTGACGGAATGCCTCACATCCCGCTGACACCTCGAGAGGCACGCGGAGTTCATTGCTTCAAAAGGTGACGATGCCTGACTCCTCTTGAATACTGATAGGAATCCCAAAATCCCTGTGGCTACTGGAAAGGGTCCTTGGGTCCCATGCCTCACCTCGAGAAGCGTCCCTTTTGCCCTGCCAAGCCTCGAAGAGATTCCTGAGGTGTCCCTCGTTACTAGACAGGAGTCCTGACGTCACTGAAGAAACTCGTGTTTTGAAGGGCCATCCCCGCCGTAAGTCGAGAACATACCCCAGGTAACCGCCGCAACTCGAGAAAAACCATGAGACTTCCCCCTAGAGGCGAGATGAGGCCCCATTCCCCTGCAGTGCATGCAGAGCTATTCCGTGATCCCATTCAAACAAGTCAGGAGCTTCGACTTGCTTAATGGATCTCGAGACAGTCCCCAAGAACACTGTCACAAGTCTAGACGGACCCTGAGGTCACGCCAGCAACGCAAAGCAGCTCCATGTGCCCCAAATCAACTCGAGATGAGGCCCGATTCCCCTGCATTGACTCCAGAGCCATTCCCCGTTCCCCATTCAACACGACCGGTGGCTCGACTTCCTTCAGGCAACTCCAGAGATGCCCCGAGAACACTGTCCCAAGTCTAGAGGAACACCAACTTCACCACAGCAACACGAGGTATGCTCCGTGTACCACAAATCGTCTCGAGATGAGAGCTGATTCCCTGGCTTAGGCTCAAGACGTATGCCAACTTCCCAGAAGCACCTCAGGAGGAGGCTTCTCTCAGCAATAGGTATGTGGGAGGGACCCCGAGTTTGCTGCCTCAAGGGGAATATACAGCGAGAAGCCCTAACTTGAAAGGAGGCCGGATTTCCTTGCAGTGGCTTGAATACAGGCTCGTCTTTCATCTCACAACATGAAGGGATGTCTGAATCCAATGTGGAGACCTTAGAGAAAGCCCTAGGTCCCTGCCTCATTTTGCCGGAATGCCTCACATCCCGCTGACACCTCGAGAGTCACGCGGAGTTCATTGCTTCAAAAGGTGACGAGGCCTGACTCCTCTTGAATGCTGATAGGAATCCCAAAATCCCTGTGGCTACTGGAAAGGGTCCTTGGGTGCCCTTGCTCACCTCGAGAAGCGACCCTTTTGCCCTGCCAAGCCTCGAAGAGATTCCTGAGGTGTCCCTCGTTACTAGACAGGAGTCCTGACGTTAATGAGGAAACTCGTGTTTTGAAGGGCCATCCCCGCCGTAAGTCGAGAACATACCCCAGGTCCCCGCCGCAACTCGAGAAAAACCATGAGACTTCCCCCTAGAGGCGAGATGAGGCCCCATTCCCCTGCAGTGCATGCAGAGCTATTCCTTGATCCCATTCAAACAAGTCAGGAGCTTCGACTTGCTTAATGGATCTCGAGACAGTCCCCAAGAACACTGTCACCAGTCTAGAGGGACCCTGAGGTCACCCCAGCAACGCAAAGCAGCTCCATGTGCCCCAAATCAACTCGAGATGAGGCCCGATTCCCCTGCATTGACTCCAGAGCCATTCCCCGTTCCCCACTCAACACGACCGGTGGCTCGACTTCCTTCAGGCAACTCCAGAGATGCCCCGAGAACACTGTCCCAAGTCTAGAGGAACACCAACTTCAGCACAGCAACTCGAGGAATGCTCCGTGTACCCCAAATCGTCTCGAGATGAGAGCTGATTCCCTGGCTTAGGCTCAAGACGTATGCCAACTTCCCAGAAGCACCTCAGGAGGAGGCTTCTCTCAGCAATAGGTATGTGGGAGGGACCCCGAATTTGCTGCCTCAAGGGGAATATACAGCGAGAAGCCCTAACTTGAAAGGAGGCCGGATTTCCTTGCAGTGGCTTGAATACAGGCTCGTCTTTCATCTCACAACATGAAGTGATGTCTGAATCCCCTGTGGAGACCTTAGCGAAAGCCCTAGGTCCCTGCCTCATTTTGACGGAATGCCTCACATCCCGCTGACACATCGAGAGGCACGCGGAGTTCATTGCTTCAAAAGGTGACGAGGCCTGACTCCTCTTGAATACTGATAGGAATCCCAAAATCCCTGTGGCTACTGGAAAGGGTCCTTGGGTGCCCTGCCTCACCTCGAGAAGCGTCCCTTTTGCCCTGCCAAGCCTCGAAGAGATTCCTGAGGTGTCCCTCGTTACTAGACAGGAGTCCTGACGTCACTGAAGAAACTCGTGTTTTGAAGGGCCATCCCCGCCGTAAGTCGAGAACATACCCCAGGTCCCCGCCGCACCTCAAGAAAAACCATGAGACTTCCCCCTAGAGGCGAGATGAGGCCCCATTCCCCTGCAGTGCATGCAGAGCTATTCCGTGATCCCATTCAAACAAGTCAGGAGCTTCGACTTGCTTAATGGATCTCGAGACAGTCCCCAAGAACACTGTCACCAGTCTAGACGGACCCTGAGGTCACCCCAGCAACGCAAAGCAGCTCCATGTGCCCCAAATCAACTCGAGATGAGGCCCTATTCCCCTGCATTGACTCCAGAGCCATTCCCCGTTCCCCATTCAACACGACCGGTGGCTCGACTTCATTCAGGCAACTCCAGAGATGCCCCGAGAACACTGTCCCAAGTCTAGAGGAACACAAACTTCAGCACAGCAACTCGAGGAATGCTCCGTGTACCCCAAATCGTCTCGAGATGAGAGCTGATTCCCTGGCTTAGGCTCAAGACGTATGCCAACTACCCAGAAGCACCTCAGGAGGAGGCTTCTCTCAGCAATAGGTATGTGGGAGGGACCCCGAGTTTGCTGCCTCAAGGGCAATATACAGCGAGAAGCCCTAAATTGAAAGGAGGCCGGATTTCCTTGCAGTGGCTTGAATACAGGCTCGTCTTTCATCTCACAACATGAAGGGATGTCTGAATCCCCTGTGGAGACCTTAGAGAAAGCCCTAGGTCCCTGCCTCATTTTGACGGAATGCCTCACATCCCGCTGACACCTCGAGAGGCACGCGGAGTTCATTGCTTCAAAAGGTGACGATGCCTGACTCCTCTTGAATACTGATAGGAATCCCAAAATCCCTGTGGCTACTGGAAAGGGTCCTTGGGTCCCCTGCCTCACCTCGAGAAGCGTCCCTTTTGCCCTGCCAAGCCTCGAAGAGATTCCTGAGGTGTCCCTCGTTACTAGACAGGAGTCCTGACGTCACTGAAGAAACTCGTGTTTTGAAGGGCCATCCCCGCCGTAAGTCGAGAACATACCCCAGGTCCCCGCCGCAACTCGAGAAAAACCATGAGACTTCCCCCTAGAGGCGAGATGAGGCCCCATTCCCCTGCAGTGCATGCAGAGCTATTCCGTGATCCCATTCAAACAAGTCAGGAGCTTCGACTTGCTTAATGGATCTCGAGACAGTCCCCAAGAACACTGTCACCAGTCTAGACGGTCCCTGAGTTCACCCCAGCAACGCAAAGCAGCTCCATGTGCCCCAAATCAACTCGAGATGAGGCCCGATTCCCCTGCATTGACTCCAGAGCCATTCCCCGTTCCCCACTCAACACGACCGGTGGCTCGACTTCCTTCAGGCAACTCCAGAGATGCCCCGAGAACACTGTCCCAAGTTTAGAGGAACACCAACTTCAGCACAGCAACTCGAGGAATGCTCCGTGTACCCCAAATCGTCTCGAGATGAGAGCTGATTCCCTGGCTTAGGCTCAAGACGTATGCCAACTTCCCAGAAGCACCTCAGTAGGAGGCTTCTCTCAGCAATAGGTATGTGGGAGGGACCCCGAGTTTGCTGCCTCAAGGGGAATATACAGCGAGAAGCCCTAACTTGAAAGGAGGCCGGATTTCCTTGCAGTGGCTTGAATACAGGCTCGTCTTTCATCTCACAACATGAAGGGATGTCTGAATCCCCTGTGGAGACCTTAGAGAAAGCCCTAGGTCCCTGGCTCATTTTGACGGAATGCCTCACATCCCGCTGACACCTCGAGAGTCACACGGAGTTCATTGCTTCAAAAGGTGACGAGGCCTGACTCCTCTTGAATGCTGATAGGAATCCCAAAATCCCTGTGGCTACTGGAAAGGGTCCTTGGGTGCCCTGCCTCACCTCGAGAAGCGTCCCTTTTGCCCTGCCAAGCCTCGAAGAGATTCCTGAGGTGTCCCTCGTTACTAGACAGGAGTCCTGACGTCACTGAAGAAACTCGTGTTTTGAAGGGCCATCCCCGCCGTAAGTCGAGAACATACCCCAGGTCCCCGCCGCAACTCGAGAAAAACCATGAGACTTCCCCCTAGAGGCGAGATGAGGCCCCATTCCCCTGCAGTGCATGCAGAGCTATTCCGTGATCCCATTCAAACAAGTCAGGAGCTTCGACTTGCTTAATGGATCTGGAGACAGTCCCCAAGAACACTGTCACCAGTCTAGACGGACCCTGAGGTCACCCCAGCAACGCAAAGCAGCTCCATGTGCCCAAAATCAACTCGAGATGAGGCCCGATTCCCCTGCATTGACTCCAGAGCCATTCCCCGTTCCCCATTCAACACGACCGGTGGCTCGACTTCCTTCAGGCAACTCCAGAGATGCCCCGAGAACACTGTCCCAAGTCTAGAGGAACACCAACTTCAGCACAGCAACTCGAGGAATGCTCCGTGTACCCCAAATTGTCTCGAGATGAGAGATGATTCCCTGGCTTAGGCTCAAGACGTATGCCAACTTCCCAGAAGCACCTCAGGAGGAGTCTTCTCTCAGCAATAGGTATGTGGGAGGGACCCCGAGTTTGCTGCCTCAAGGGGAATATACAGCGAGAAGCCCTAACTTGAAAGGAGGCCGGATTTCCTTGCAGTGGCTTGAATACAGGCTCGTCTTTCATCTCACAACATGAAGGGATGTCTGAATCCCCTGTGGAGACCTTAGAGAAAGCCCTAGGTCCCTGCCTCATTTTGACGGAATGCCTCACATCCCGCTGACACCTCGAGAGTCACGCGGAGTTCATTGCTTCAAAAGGTGACGAGGCCTGACTCCTCCTGAATGCTGATAGGAATCCCAAAATCCCTGTGGCTACTGGAAAGGGTCCTTGGGTGCCCTGCCTCACCTCGAGAAGCGTCCCTTTTGCCCTGCCAAGCCTCGAAGAGATTCCTGAGGTGTCCCTCGTTACTAGACAGGAGTCCTGACGTCACTGAAGAAACTCGTGTTTTGAAGGGCCATCCCCGCCGTAAGTCGAGAACATACCCCAGGTCCCCGCCGCACCTCAAGAAAAACCATGAGACTTCCCCCTAGAGGCGAGATGAGGCCCCATTCCCCTGCAGTGCATGCAGAGCTATTCCGTGATCCCATTCAAACAAGTCAGGAGCTTCGACTTGCTTAATGGATCTCGAGACAGTCCCCAAGAACACTGTCACCAGTCTAGACGGACCCTGAGGTCACCCCAGCAACGCAAAGCAGCTCCATGTGCCCCAAATCAACTCGAGATGAGGCCCTATTCCCCTGCATTGACTCCAGAGCCATTCCCCGTTCCCCATTCAACACGACCGGTGGCTCGACTTCATTCAGGCAACTCCAGAGATGCCCCGAGAACACTGTCCCAAGTCTAGAGGAACACAAACTTCAGCACAGCAACTCGAGGAATGCTCCGTGTACCCCAAATCGTCTCGAGATGAGAGCTGATTCCCTGGCTTAGGCTCAAGACGTATGCCAACTACCCAGAAGCACCTCAGGAGGAGGCTTCTCTCAGCAATAGGTATGTGGGAGGGACCCCGAGTTTGCTGCCTCAAGGGCAATATACAGCGAGAAGCCCTAAATTGAAAGGAGGCCGGATTTCCTTGCAGTGGCTTGAATACAGGCTCGTCTTTCATCTCACAACATGAAGGGATGTCTGAATCCCCTGTGGAGACCTTAGAGAAAGCCCTAGGTCCCTGGCTCATTTTGACGGAATGCCTCACATCCCGCTGACACCTCGAGAGTCACACGGAGTTCATTGCTTCAAAAGGTGACGAGGCCTGACTCCTCTTGAATGCTGATAGGAATCCCAAAATCCCTGTGGCTACTGGAAAGGGTCCTTGGGTGCCCTGCCTCACCTCGAGAAGCGTCCCTTTTGCCCTGCCAAGCCTCGAAGAGATTCCTGAGGTGTCCCTCGTTACTAGACAGGAGTCCTGACGTCACTGAAGAAACTCGTGTTTTGAAGGGCCATCCCCGCCGTAAGTCGAGAACATACCCCAGGTCCCCGCCGCAACTCGAGAAAAACCATGAGACTTCCCCCTAGAGGCGAGATGAGGCCCCATTCCCCTGCAGTGCATGCAGAGCTATTCCGTGATCCCATTCAAACAAGTCAGGAGCTTCGACTTGCTTAATGGATCTGGAGACAGTCCCCAAGAACACTGTCACCAGTCTAGACGGACCCTGAGGTCACCCCAGCAACGCAAAGCAGCTCCATGTGCCCAAAATCAACTCGAGATGAGGCCCGATTCCCCTGCATTGACTCCAGAGCCATTCCCCGTTCCCCATTCAACACGACCGGTGGCTCGACTTCCTTCAGGCAACTCCAGAGATGCCCCGAGAACACTGTCCCAAGTCTAGAGGAACACCAACTTCAGCACAGCAACTCGAGGAATGCTCCGTGTACCCCAAATTGTCTCGAGATGAGAGATGATTCCCTGGCTTAGGCTCAAGACGTATGCCAACTTCCCAGAAGCACCTCAGGAGGAGTCTTCTCTCAGCAATAGGTATGTGGGAGGGACCCCGAGTTTGCTGCCTCAAGGGGAATATACAGCGAGAAGCCCTAACTTGAAAGGAGGCCGGATTTCCTTGCAGTGGCTTGAATACAGGCTCGTCTTTCATCTCACAACATGAAGGGATGTCTGAATCCCCTGTGGAGACCTTAGAGAAAGCCCTAGGTCCCTGCCTCATTTTGACGGAATGCCTCACATCCCGCTGACACCTCGAGAGTCACGCGGAGTTCATTGCTTCAAAAGGTGACGAGGCCTGACTCCTCCTGAATGCTGATAGGAATCCCAAAATCCCTGTGGCTACTGGAAAGGGTCCTTGGGTGCCCTGCCTCACCTCGAGAAGCGTCCCTTTTGCCCTGCCAAGCCTCGAAGAGATTCCTGAGGTGTCCCTCGTTACTAGACAGGAGTCCTGACGTCACTGAAGAAACTCGTGTTTTGAAGGGCCATCCCCGCCGTAAGTCGAGAACATACCCCAGGTCCCCGCCGCAACTCGAGAAAAACCATGAGACTTCCCCCTAGAGGCGAGATGAGGCCCCATTCCCCTGCAGTGCATGCAGAGCTATTCCGTGATCCCATTCAAACAAGTCAGGAGCTTCGACTTGCTTAATGGATCTCGAGACAGTCCCCAAGAACACTGTCACCAGGCTAGACGGACCCTGAGGTCACCCCAGCAACGCAAAGCAGCCCCATGTGCCCCATATCAACTCGAGGTGAGGCCCAATTCCCCTGCATTGACTCCAGAGCCATTCCCCGTTCCCCACTCAACACGACCGGTGGCTCTACTTCCTTCAGGCAACTCCAGAGATGCCCCGAGAACACTGTCCCAAGTCTAGAGGAACACCAACTTCAGCACAGCAACTCGAGGAATGCTCCGTGTACCCCAAATCGTCTCGAGATGAGAGCTTATTCCCTGGCTTAGGCTCAAGACGTATGCCAACTTCCCAGAAGCACCTCAGGAGGAGGCTTCTCTCAGCAATAGGTATGTGGGTGGGACCCCGAGTTTGCTGCCTCAAGGGGAATATACAGCGAGAAGCCCTAACTTGAAAGGAGGCCAGATTTCCCTGCAGTGGCTTGAATACAGGCTCGTCTTTCATCTCACAACATGAAGGGATGTCTGAATCCCCTGTGGAGACCTTAGAGAAAGCCCTAGGTCCCTGCCTCATTTTGACGGAATGCCTCACATCCCGCTGACACCTCGAGAGTCACGCGGAGTTCATTGCTTCAAAAGGTAACGAGGCCTGACTCCTCCTGAATGCTGATAGGAATCCCAAAATCCCTGTGGCTACTGGAAAGGGTCCTTGGGTGCCCTGCCTCACCTCGAGAAGCGTCCCTTTTGCCCTGCCAAGCCTCGAAGAGATTCCTGAGGTGTCCCTCGTTACTAGACAGGAGTCCTGACGTCACTGAAGAAACTCGTGTTTTGAAGGGCTATCCCCGCCGTAAGTCGAGAACATACCCCAGGTCCCCGCCGCAACTCGAGAAAAACCATGAGACTTCCCCCTAGAGGCGAGATGAGGCCCCATTCCCCTGCAGTGCATGCAGAGCTATTCCGTGATCCCATTCAAACACGTCAGGAGCTTCGACTTGCTTAATGGATCTCGAGACAGTCCCCAAGAACACTGTCACCAGTCTAGACGGACCCTGAGGTCACCCCAGCAACGCAAAGCAGCTCCATGTGCCACAAATCAACTCGAGATGAGGCCCGATTCCCCTGCATTGACTCCAGAGCCATTCCCCGTTCCCCATTCAACACGACCGGTGGCTCGACTTCATTCAGGCAACTCCAGAGATGCCCCGAGAACACTTTCCCAAGTCTAGAGGAACACAAACTTCAGCACAGCAACTCGAGGAATGCTCCGTGTACCCCAAATCGTCTCGAGATGAGAGCTGATTCTCTGGCTTAGGCTCAAGACGTATGCCAACTTCCCAGAAGCACCTCAGGAGGAGGCTTCTCTCAGCAATAGGTATGTGGGAGGGACCCCGAGTTTGCTGCCTCAAGGGCAATATACAGCGAGAAGCCCTAAATTGAAAGGAGGCCGGATTTCCTTGCAGTGGCTTGAATACAGGCTCGTCTTTCCTCTCACAACATGAAGGGATGTCTGAATCCCCTGTGGAGACCTTAGAGAAAGCCCTAGGTCCTTTCCTCATTTTGACGGAATGCCTCACATCCCGTTGACACCTCGAGAGGCACGCGGAGTTCATTGCTTCAAAAGGTGACGATGCCTGACTCCTCTTGAATACTGATAGGGATCCCAAAATCCCTGTGGCTACTGGAAAGGGTCCTTGGGTGCCCTGCCTCACCTCGAGAAGCGTCCCTTTTGCCCTGCCAAGCCTCGAAGAGATTCCTGAGGTGTCCCTCGTTACTAGACAGGAGTCCTGACGTCACTGAAGAAACTCGTGTTTTGAAGGGCCATCCCCGCCGTAAGTCGAGAACATACCCCAGGTAACCGCCGCAACTCGAGAAAAACCATGAGACTTCCCCCTAGTAGTGGGATGAGGCCCCATTGCCCCGCAGTGCATGCAGAGCTATTCCGTGATCCCCATCAAACAAGTCAGGAGCTCCGACTTTCTTAATGGATCTCGAGACAGTCCCCAAGAACACTGTCACAAGTCTAGACGGACCCTGATGTCACCCCAGCAATGCAAAGCAGCTACATGTGCCCCAAATCAACTTGAAATGAGGCCCGATTCCCCTGCATTGACCCCAGAGCCATCCCCCATTCCCCATTCAACAAAACCAGTGGCTTTACTTCCTTCAGGCAACTCCAGAGATGCCCCGAGAACACTGTCACAAGTCTAGAGGAACACCAACTTCAGCACAGCAACTCCAGGAATGCTCCGTGTACACCAAATCGTCTCGAGATGAGAGCTGATTCCCTGGCTTAGGCTCAAGACGTATGCCAACTTTCCAGAAGCACCTCAAGAGGAGGCTTCTCTCAGCAATAGGTATGTGGGAGAGACAACAAGTTTGCTGCCTCATTTGGAATATACAGCGAGAAGCCCTAACTTGAAAGGAAGTCGGATATCCTTGCAGTGGCTTGAATACAGGCTCGTCTTTCCTCTCACAACATGAAGGGATGTCTGAATCCCCTGTGGAGACCTTAGAGAAAGCCCTAGGTTCCTGCCTCATTTTGACGGAATGCCTCACATCCCTTTGACATGTCGAGAGCCACGTGGAGTTCAATGCTTCATAAGGTGACGATGCCTGACTCCTCTTGAATACTGATAGGAATCCCAAAATCCCTTTGGCTACTTGAAAGGGTCTTGGGTGCCCTGCCTCACCTCGAGAAGCGTCCCTTTTGCCCTACCAAGCCTCGAACAGATTCCTGAGGTGTCCCTCGTTACTAGACAAGAGTCCTGACGTCACTGAATAAACACGTGTTTTGAAGGGCCATCCCCGCCCTAAGTCGAGAACATACCCCAGGTCCCCGCCGCAACTTGAGAAAAACCATGAGACTTCCCCCTAGAGGCGAGATGAGGCCCCATTCCCCTGCAGTGCATGCAGAGTTATTCTGTGATCCCCATCAAAAAAGTCAGGAGCTTCGACTTGTTTAATGGATCTCGAGACAGTACCCAAGAATACTGTCACAAGTCTAGACAGACCCTGAGGTCACCCCAGCAATGCACAGTAGCTTCATGTGCCCCAAATCAACTCAGATGAGGCCCGAATCCCCTGCGTTGACTCCAGAGCAATCCCCCGTTCCCCATTCAACACGGCCAGTGGCTTGACTTCCTTCAGGCAACTCCAGAGATGCCCCGAGGACACAGTCCCCAGTCTAGAGGAACACCAACTTCAGCACAGCAACTCGAGGATTGCTCCGTGTACCCCAAATCGTCTCGAGGTGAGATGAGAGCTGATTCCCTGGCTTAAGCTCAAGACGTATGCCAACTTTCCATGAGCACATCAAGAGGAGGCTTCTCTCAGCAATAGGTATGTGGGAGGGTCCCCGAGTTTGCTGCCTCAAGTGGAATATACAGCGAGAAGTAATAACGTGAAAGGAAAACGGATTTCCTTGCAGTGGCTTGAATACAGGCTCTTCTTTCATCTCACAACATCAAGGGATGTCTGAATCCCCTGTGGAGACGTTAGAGAATGCCCAGGTACCCTGCCTCGCTTTGACGGAATTCCTCACATCCCCTTGACACCTCGAGAGGCACGCAGAGTTCACTGCTTCAAAAGGTGACGATGCCTGACTCCCCTTGAACATTGATAGGAATTCCAAAATCCCTGTGGCTACTGGAAAGGGTCCTTGGGTGCCTGGCCTCACCTCGAGAAGCATCCCTATGGCCCTACCAAGCCTCGAAGAGATTCCTGAGCTGTCCCTCGTTACGAGACAGGAGTCCTGTAATCACTGAATAAACACGTGTTTTTAAGGGCCATCCCCGCCTTAACTAGAGAGCATACCCCAGGTCCCCGCCACAACTCGAGAATATCCATGAGACTTCCCCCTAGATGCGAGATGGTGCCCGATTCCCCTTCATTGCATGCAGAGCAATTCCGTGATCCCCATCAAACAAGTCAGGAGCTTCGACTTGCTTAATGGATCTCGAGACAGTCCCCAAGAACACTGTCACAATTCTAGACGGACCCTGAGGTCACCCCAGCAACGCTAAACAGCTCCATGTGCCCCAAATCAACTAGAGATGAGGCCCGATTCCCCTGCATTAACTCCACAGACATCCCCCGTTCCCCATTAAACAGGACCAGTGGCTTGACTTCCTTCAGGCAGCTCCAGAGATTCCCCGAGAACACTGTACCAACTCTAGAGGAACACCAACTTCAGCACAGCAACTCGAGGAATGCTCCGTGTACACCAAATCGTCTCGAGATGAGAGCTGATTCCCTGTCTTAGACTCAAGACGTATGCCAACTTTCCAGAAGCACCTCAAGAGGAGGCTTCTGTCAGCAATATATATGTGGGAGGGACCCCGAGTTTGCTGTGTCCAGTGGAGTATACAGCGAGAAACCCTAACTTGCAAGGAGGCCATAGAGGATCCTGCTGTGATTTATGTCGGAGAGTTTTTGCCAATATTTTCCTCTAGGAATTTTTATAGTTTCTGGTCTTACATTTAGATCTTTAATCCATTTTGAGTTTATTTTTGTGTATGGTGTTAGAAAGTGTTCTAGTTTCATTCTTTTACAGGTGGTTGACCAGTTTTCCCACCACCACTTGTTAAAGAGGTTGTCTTTTTTCCATTGTATATGCTAGCCTCCTTTATCGAAGATAAGGTGACCATAGGTTTGTGGATTTATCTCTGGGCTTTCTATTCTGTTCCAGTGATCTATATTTCTGTCTTTGTGCCAGTACCATACTGTCTTGATGACTGAGGCTTTGCAGTATAGTCTGAAGTCAGGCAGATTGATTCCTCCAGTTCCATTCTTCTTTCTCAAGATTACTTTGCTATTCGAGGTTTTTTGTATTTCCATACAAATTGTGAAATTATTTGTTCTAGTTCTGTGAAAAATACCATTGGTAGTTTGATAGGGATTGCATTGAATCTATAGATTGCTTTGAGTGGGACCTAATGAAACTTAAAAGCTTTTGCACAACAAAGGAAACTAGAAGCAAGGTGAAAAGACAGCCCTCAGATTGGGAGAAAATAATAGCAAATGAAGCAACAGACAAAGGATTAATCTCAAAAATATACAAGCAACTCCTCCAGCTCAACTCCAGAAAAATAAATGACACAATCAAAAAATGGGCCAAAGAACTAAACAGACATTTCTCCAAGGAAGACATACAGATGGCTAAGAAACACATGAAAAGATGCTCAACATCACTCATTATCAGAGAAATGCAAATCAAAACCACAATGAGGTACCATTATACGCCAGTCAGGATGGCTGCTATCCAAAAGTCTACAAGCAATAAATGCTGGAGAGGGTGTGGAGAAAAGGAACCCTCTTACCCTGATGGTGGGAATGCAAATTAGTACCGCCACTATGGAAAAAAGTGTGGAGATTTCTTAAAAAGCTGGAAATAGGACTGCCATATGACCCAGCAATCTCACTTCTGGGCATATACACTGAGGAAACCAGATCTGAAAGAGACACGTGCACCCCAACGTTCACCGCAGCACTGTTTATAATAGGCAGGACATGGAAGCAACCTAGATGCCCGTCAGCAGACGAATGGATGAGGAAGCTGTGGCACATATACACCATGGAATATTACTCAGCCATTAAAAAGAATTTATTTGAATCAGTTCTAATGAGATGGATGAAACTGGAGCCCATTATACAGAGCGAAGTAAGCCAGAAAGATAAAGACCATTACAGTATACTAACACAAATATATGGAATTTAGACAGATGGTAACGATAACCCTATATGCAAAACAGAAAAAGACACCCAGATGTATAGAACAGACTTGTGGACTCTGGGAGAAGGCGAGGGTGGGATGTTTCAAGAGAAGAGCATCAAAACATGTATGTTATCTAGGGTGAAACAGATCACCAGCCCAGGTTGGGTGCATGAGACAAGTGCTCGGGCCTGGTGCACTGGGAAGACCCAGAGGGATCGGGTGGACAGGGAGGAGGGAGGGGGGACCAGGACGGGGAATACTTGTAAATCCATGGCTAATTCATTTCAATGTATGACAAAAACCACGGCAATGATGTAAACTAATTAGCCTCCAACTAATGAAAATAAATGAAAAAAAAAAAAAAAAAAGAAAGAAAGGAGGCCGGATTTCCTTGCAGTGGCTTGAGTACAGGCTCCTCTTTCATGTCACAACATAAAGGGATGTCTGAATCTCCTATGGAGACCTTAGAGAAAGACCTAGGCCCCTACATCATTTTGACGGAATGCCTCACATCCCGTTGACACCACGAAAGGCACGCGGAGTTCACTGCTTCAAAAGGTGACGATGCCTGACTCCTCTTGAATATTGATAGGAATCCCAAAATCCCTGTGGCTACTGGAAAGGGTCCTTGGGTGCCCTGCCTCACCTCGAGAAGCGTCCCTTTTGCCCTGCCAAGCCTCGAAGAGATTCCTGAGGTGTCCCTCGTTACTAGACAGGAGTCCTGACGTCACTGAAGAAACTCGTGTTTTGAAGGGCCATCCCCGCCGTAAGTCGAGAACATACCCCAGGTCCCCGTCGAAACTCGAGAAAAACCATGAGACTTCCCCCTAGATGCGAGATGAGGCCCGATTTCAATGCATTGCATGCAGAGCAATTCCGTGATCCCCATCAAAGAAGTCAGGAGCTTCGACTTGCTTAATGGATCTCGAGACAGTCCCCAAGAACAGCGTCACCTGTCAAGAAGGACTCTGTGGTCACCCCAGCAAAGCTAAGCAGCTCCATGTGCCCCAAATCAACTTGAGATGAAGCCCCATTCTCCGGCATTGACTCTACTGCCATCCCCCCTTCCCCATTAAACACGACCAGTGGCTTGACTTCCTTCAGTCAACTCCAGAGTTTCCCCAAGAACACTGTCCCAAGTCTAGAGGAATACCAACTTCAGCACAGCAACTGGAGGAATGCTCCTTGTACCACAAATCGACTCAACATGAGAGCTGATTCCCTTGCTTAGGCTCAAGACGTATGCCAACTTTCCAGAAACAACTCAAGAGGAGACTTCCCCCTGCAATAGGTATGTGGGAGGGACCCAGAGTTTGCTGCCTCAAGAGGAATATACAGCGAGAAGCCCTAACTTGAAAGGAGGCCGGATATCCTTGACGTGGCTTGAATACAGGCCGTCTTTCATCTCACAACATGAAGGGATGTCTGATTCTCCTTTAGAGACCTTAGAAAAAGCCTTGTGTCCCTGCCTCATTTTGACGGAATGCCTCACATACCGTTGACACCTCGCGAGGCACGCGGAGTTCACTGCTTCAAAAGGTGACGATGCCTGACTCCTTTTGAAAATTGATAGGAATCCCAAAATTACTGTGGCTACTGGAAAGGGTCGTTGGCTGCCCTGCCTCACCTCGAGAAGCGTCCCTTTTTCCCTGCCAAGCCTCGAACAGATTCCTGAGGTGTCCCTCGTTACTAGACAGGAGTCCTGACGTCACTGTATAAACACGTGTTTTGAAGGGCCATCCCCGCCCTAAGTCGAGAACATACCCCAGGTCCCCGCCGCAACTTGCGAAAAACCATGAGACTTCCCCCTAGAGGCGAGATGAGGCCCCATTCCCCTGCAGTGCATGCAGAGCTATTCTGTGATCCCCATCAAAAATTCAGGAGCTTCGACTTGCTTAATGGATCTCGAGACATTCCCAAGAACACTGTCACAAGTCTAGACAGACCCTAAGGTCAACCCAGCAACGCAAAAGTGCTCCATGTGCCCCAAGTAAACTCAAGATGAGTCCCGATTCCCCTGCATTGTATCCAGAGCCATCCCCCGTTCCCCATTCAACACGACCAGTGTCTTGACGTCCTTCAAGCAAGTCAAGAGATTCCCCGAGAACACTGTCCCAAGTCTAGAGGAACACCAACTTCAGCACAGCAACTCGAGGAATGCTCCGGGTACACCAAATCGTCTCGAGATGAGAGCTGATTCCCTGGCTTAGGCTAAAGACGTATGCCAACTTTCCATGAGCACATCAAGAGGAGGCTTCTCTCAGCAATAGGTATGTGGGAGGGACCCCGAGTTTGCTGCCTCAAGTGGAATATACAGCGAGAAGGAATAACGTGAAAGGAAGCCGGATTTCCTTGCAGTGGCTTGAATACAGGCTCTTATTTCATCTCACAACATGAAGGGATGTCTGAATCCCCTGTGGAGACGTTAGAGAAAGCCCAGGGACCCTGCCTCGCTTTGACGGAATGCCTCACATCCCCTTGAAACCTCGAGAGGCGCGCAGAGTTCACTGCTTCAAAAGGTGACGATGCCTGACTCCTCTTGAACATTGATAGGAATTCCAAAATCCCTGTGGCTACTGGAAAGGGTCCTTGGGTGCCTGGCCTCACCTCAAGAAGCATCCCTTTGGCCCTACCAAGCCTCGAAGAGATTCCTGAGGTGTCCCTCGTTACGAGACAGGAGTCCTGTAATCACTGAATAAACACGTGTTTTTAAGGGCCATCCCCGCCTTAACTTGAGATCATACCCCAGGTCCCCGCCACAACTCGAGAATAACCATGAGACTTCCCCCTAGATGCGAGATGGTGCCCGATTCCCCTTCATTGCATGCAGAGCAATTCCTTGATCTCCATCAAACAAGTCAGGAGCTTCGACTTGCTTAATGGATCTCGAGACAGTCCCCAAGAACACTGTCACCAGTCTAGACGGACCCTGAGGTCACCCCAGCAACTCAAAGCAGATCCATGTGCCCCAAATCAACTCGAGATGAGGCCCGATTCCCCTGCATTGTCTCCAGAGCCATTCCCCGTTCCCCATTCAACATGAACGGTGGCTCGACTTCCTTCAGGCAACTCCAGAGATGCCCCGAGAACATTGTCCCAAGTCTAGAGGAATACGAACTTCAGCACAGCAATGCGAGGAATGCTCCGTGTACCCCAAATCGTCTCGAGATAAGAGCTGATTCCCTGGCTTAGGCTCAAGACGTATGCCAACTTTCCAGAAGCACCTCAAGAGGTGGCTTCTCTCAGCAATAGGTATGTGGGAGGGACCCCGAGTGTGCTGCCTCAAGGGGAATATACAGCGAGAAGCCCTAACTTGAAAGGAGGCCGGATTTCCTTGCAGTGGCTTGAATACAGGCTCGTCTTTGATCTCAAAACATGAAGGGTTGTCTGAATCCCCTGTGGAGACCTTAGAGAAAGGCCTAGGTCCCTGCCTCATTTTGACGGAATGCCTCACATCCGGCTGACACCTCGAGAAGCACGCGGAGTTCATTGCTTCAAAAAGTGACGATGCCTGACTCCTCTTGAATACTGATAGGAATCCTAAAATCCCTGTGGCTACTGGAAAGGGTCCTTGGGTACCCTGCCTCACCTCGAGAAGCATCCCTTTTGCCCTGCCAAGCCTCGAAATGATTCCTGAGGTGTCCCTCGTTACTAGACCGGAGTGCTGATGTTACTGAAGAAACTCGTGTTTTGAAGGGCCATCCCCGCCGTAAGTCGAGAACATAACCCAGGTCCCCGCCGCAACTCGAGAAAAACCATGAGACTTCCCCCTAGAGGCGAGATGAGGCCCCATTCCCCTGCAGTGCATGCAGAGCTATTCCGTGATCCCATTCAAACAAGTCAGTAGCTTCGACTTGCTTAATGGATCTCGAGACAGTCCCCAAGAACACTGTCACCAGTCTAGACGGACCCCGAGGTCACCCCAGCAACTCAAAGCAGATCCATGTGCCCCAAATCAACTCGAGATGAGGCCCGATTCCCCTGCATTAAGTCCAGAGACATCCCCCGTTCCCCATTAAACAGGACCAGTGGCTTGACTTCCTTCAGGCAACTCCAGAGATTCCCCGAGAACACTGTACCAACTCTAGAGGAACACCAACTTCAGCACAGCAACTCGAGTAATGCTCCGTGTACACCAAATCGTCTCGAGATGAGAGCTGATTCCCTGTCTTAGACTCAAGACGTATGCCAACTTTCCAGAAGCACCTCAAGAGGAGGCTTCTGTCAGCAATATATATGTGGGAGGGACCCCGAGTTTGCTGTGTCCAGTGGAGTATACAGCGAGAAACCCTAACTTGCAAGGAGGCCATAGAGGATCCTGCTGTGATTTATGTCGGAGAGTTTTTGCCAATATTTTCCTCTAGGAATTTTTATAGTTTCTGGTCTTACATTTAGATCTTTAATCCATTTTGAGTTTATTTTTGTGTATGGTGTTAGAAAGTGTTCTAGTTTCATTCTTTTACAGGTGGTTGACCAGTTTTCCCACCACCACTTGTTAAAGAGGTTGTCTTTTTTCCATTGTATATGCTAGCCTCCTTTATCGAAGATAAGGTGACCATAGGTTTGTGGATTTATCTCTGGGCTTTCTATTCTGTTCCAGTGATCTATATTTCTGTCTTTGTGCCAGTACCATACTATCTTGATGACTGAGGCTTTGCAGTATAGTCTGAAGTCAGGCAGATTGATTCCTCCAGTTCCATTCTTCTTTCTCAAGATTACTTTGCTATTCGAGGTTTTTTGTATTTCCATACAAATTGTGAAATTATTTGTTCTAGTTCTGTGAAAAATACCATTGGTAGTTTGATAGGGATTGCATTGAATCTATAGATTGCTTTGAGTGGGACCTAATGAAACTTAAAAGCTTTTGCACAACAAAGGAAACTAGAAGCAAGGTGAAAAGACAGCCCTCAGATTGGGAGAAAATAATAGCAAATGAAGCAACAGACAAAGGATTAATCTCAAAAATATACAAGCAACTCCTCCAGCTCAACTCCAGAAAAATAAATGACGCAATCAAAAAATGGGCCAAAGAACTAAACAGACATTTCTCCAAGGAAGACATACAGATGGCTAAGAAACACATGAAAAGATGCTCAACATCACTCATTATCAGAGAAATGCAAATCAAAACCACAATGAGGTACCATTATACGCCAGTCAGGATGGCTGCTATCCAAAAGTCTACAAGCAATAAATGCTGGAGAGGGTGTGGAGAAAAGGGAACCCTCTTACCCTGATGGTGGGAATGCAAATTAGTACCGCCACTATGGAAAAAAGTGTGGAGATTTCTTAAAAAGCTGGAAATAGGACTGCCATATGACCCAGCAATCTCACTTCTGGGCATATACACTGAGGAAACCAGATCTGAAAGAGACACGTGCACCCCAACGTTCACCGCAGCACTGTTTATAATAGGCAGGACATGGAAGCAACCTAGATGCCCGTCAGCAGACGAATGGATGAGGAAGCTGTGGCACATATACACCATGGAATATTACTCAGCCATTAAAAAGAATTTATTTGAATCAGTTCTAATGAGATGGATGAAACTGGAGCCCATTATACAGAGCGAAGTAAGCCCGAAATATAAAGACCATTACAGTATACTAACACAAATATATGGAATTTAGACAGATGGTAACGATAACCCTATATGCAAAACAGAAAAAGACACCCAGATGTATAGAACAGACTTGTGGACTCTGGGAGAAGGCGAGGGTGGGATGTTTCAAGAGAACAGCATCAAAACATGTATATTATCTAGGGTGAAACAGATCACCAGCCCAGGTTGGGTGCATGAGACAAGTGCTCGGGCCTGGTGCACTGGGAAGACCCAGAGGGATCGGGTGGAGAGGGAGGTGGGAGGGGGGACCGGGACGGGGAATACTTGTAAATCCATGGCTAATTCATTTCAATGTA